TACCCAGAGTATTGTAGCTAATATAACCGGAGCATTGTAGCTACAATAACCGGAGCAGGATGGCTTCAATAACCGGAGTGTTGTAGCCACAATGGCCAGAGCATTATACCTGAAATGGCTGGAGCATTGTGGCTAAAATAACCAGAGCATTATGCCTGCAATGGCCGGAGCATTGTATTTGTACCTGCAATACTCGGACCATTATACCTCCAATAACCGGAGCACTGTAGCTGCAATAACCGGAGCATTATAGCTAAAAACACTGGACTATTATTGACATTCTAAATGCACAAGGCAGGCGGCCGCCCTGACACACACCTGGGGGTATGGGCCGGAGCATCTCCTGCCAGTCACCCAACCCCTACAGTGAGGCGGCCGCCAGGACATGGTCGGTCAACCGCCGGTCACCGCTGCCCTGACATCCTCGGGGTTTTGACCCATCCGCTGACCGGACATCCTCGAAGGCCCGGCCTGCATATCCTGGCTTGAAAAGAAATCGTTTTCGTTATTCGAAAATTATTTGAGCGAGGTTTCCTGTCCAGCGCTTGAACAGGCATTGATTATGTAACCCGATTAATCCCCGAAAAGGACTTGACAGATATTATTTTTCCAAGTCCTTGTCAATGGCTGTTCGTCACGCAACTAGTATTTGACAAGTTATCCCTTTCAAGCGTTGAATATGTTATCCTCCTCAACATATATTCGCAAGTAGAAAAGTTGCTGAATTAGTAGCCTGGCCAAACCCTATTCATACACCGACAAGTACTAGACCCAGGTTACCAAACCAAACCCTCATCCGAATCATACTCTAGATCAGAATATTCTCGTTTGCCCCAGGTGAGTGGTTGTGTCGTACCGGAGCCCACATGTTCCCTTTGCAACGGAAGTTCAACGAAGCAGCATCAGAATTAGTTCTCTTGAAAGATACCGCTCCTGCCAATAGAGAGTGGATTGTCGATTCTCAGAGCAGCACTGAAGGCGTAACGGAAAAGCGAGCAACAAGATTGTGGTTGGACGGCAAAACGCTCCGATTAACCCCGAGTCGAGTCGGCATTTGTGTGCTCGGCACTCTCGGTCCGAATCTAGTATAGCCGACGTGCTGTGAGAACGTGTTCTGTGTCCGCGCCACCTCCGCTATTTCTGCTCCGACTCTGAGGCTCACGCTGTATCTTATCCACCGCTGGAGGCTACGTGTGCCTTATACTAACGGAGTGCTTGAGAGGAAGGGTAGACAGCTATGTACCCTGACCCAAGGAAAACGAATGAATAGGGGGCCTCTATCCTTTCCGTGCTCATTACACCTAGTTGCCGTGCTCGTACTAGACAGTGGACGGCACACTCGCAGAGGCTGATGTCTCCCCTTTCCAGAACATCCCTTCATAATCGGCCTTGATTCAGCCTGGAACGCCAATCGTGATGGTGCACTGTTTGTACTTCTTGTCCTCGGCTTAACGGTACTGGCGCTATCATGGGTTTGGTAACGATCAACGCAAGTGGAAATATTCCAGCCTATGAATGTTACGATCATATCGAGACTTTCTCCGCGGAACATAGACCTCCAGCGGATCCTTTTTTTGCGCGATATACGCGATTGGGTTACAGTAGACATGCCCACAAGGCATAGACTGAAAAGACCAGACTGATCAAGAAGTCGGAGAGTCGGAGAGCGATAACGAAGGAAATGACAAATGATGTTACTTCCACTAATAGGCGCGTGCAAGCAGGGCCTTCACGTATCACCTCTTCCGACGAACCGGGACCACTAGTAGAGGCACCACTCACTAAGTTGGTATCTGGTGCTGTATTCCATCAAAGTAAGGTAGGTAGCTGTTTCTTGAGAACTCCAGCCTTATCGCTACAAAGATGCATATACTATCTATGCTCAAAATTTATGAACATTCATACCTTCGGGTTTGATTAGTCGTCGTCCGAGTCATCACTAGCGCTACCGCGCCCGTACTCATGCTTTCGAGCCACACCCTGTCTTCTCACTCGTATCACCAATGCCAAATTCCCATACACGTACTCGAGCTCCGCCTGATTGCCGTACGCAAGATACGGCGTCTCCAGCTCGTTCCCGTGCTGAATCTTTGACACCTCTACTAACGTCTGCATTCGACTGCGCTCCTTCTTGCTTGTACGTGGCGGATACTTCTTGCCCTGGAGACGAACGAACGCGCACCACGAACGGCAGCTATGATATATCCAGCTCCACAGCTCCGAACCCTCGTATTCGGTGCACTGGCCCGTGATGCCGACAAACCTATCGGCGAGGACGCACCGCTCGCGCTTGCTGTACGGGATGGGACATCGATATAGGATGGCGAGCCGCCATTCGAGGCCGAGGTCGCTGCATGCGCGCTTGAGCGCTGCGTCGACGCCTTTAAGCTTGTTGTTGAATTCGTCTGTGCCCATACCTTCTTTGACTGGGTACTGGTGGCGCAGGCCGAAACCGAGGTAGCCTCCGAGAGGGAGAATCGACGGATCGTCTATGACTGCTTGAATGGCACGTTTAAGGCCGGCCTCGTGAAAAGCCACGGTTGTCGAGGCTGGCCTGGCAGCGCTCTCTCCTTCGGTATCATCAAAGTAGAGGTTGTAGGTGAGCGTGATCCGGTGACCGCTTTCAACGGGGAGAACCTCATGCTCAATGTCGCTGAAGAAAGCGACGTAGCCGATGGTAGGCTCTTCGGCGGTTTGGAGCGCCTCGGAGAAGTCCATCTTCTGTTCTGTTCCTCCATGACGTAAAACCAAGGCACCGCCTACGTGAGGTACAGGCAACACGACGACGAGGGACCCAAACATAGAGCTGTCGCGGGGAGTGTCTTTGTGAGCCTTGAAAAACGCGCCTTCTGCTACTCGTCAGAACATCGGCGTGGGGTACGTGAGTGAGCGTATCAGTTAAATAGGGGGCATATACGCACCGTACACATTCATCTTGTCCAGTTGCATACGGACCTGACGTGTACTGTTGCTCCCTTCAAGCAGCGAATCCCGGACCATATGGTGTATGCCGAGCGTAGTCGGGCAGAAGCCAGTACTGAACTCGCCAGGGTGCAGAACACCCGCCCTTCGATATGTCTCATCGAGGACGTCTTCTCCATCGCGCCCGAACATAGCTGGCTGACAAGCACTGTTGAGCGCTTCGACGCGTTCGGGAGGAATGTCCTTTTTTAAATCAACGCTGAAATACCAATCGATCAGAAATGTATGAGCAGGAGAGTCAAGTAGAGGTGTCGCTCACAAATTTGCGTTCTGGTTCGGGTCCGTGAAGAAGAGCCTGAGTTGCCCAGGTGGGATAGTGCATGTTCCGCTAACATACGGCGGCTTAGTGTAAGCCCAGAGGCGTAGAGTTTCAAGACTATGGTTTTTAGGCATCGGGTGACCTTGCTTGGAAGCGGAAGTTAGAGAGAAAATACGGGCGAGTTGGAGCCGCAATCCAAAGACGACAGATTAAGTTGCCAGGATGTGCTGTCTTGATATACGCATTGGAGGCCAGGAAGGGCGGGTGACACGAGGCGTGAGGAAGCGGTCGGCTGCATACACGTCGATACACGGTATGTCAGTTGATAAATGAGACCAAGACTCAATCTGAGTCATACCTCGAAGCGAGTGAGGGAGGATCTGTGAGACAAATAAACACCCACTGCACCGTGCGAGTACAAACGAGAGCGAACAATTAACGCCACTTTTATTTTCAAACTCCGCCTGAGGGAGAGCTCAACATACGTTTCTGAACAACCCGACATGTCCAAAGGGTGCACAGCAATCACTGCAGAAGTCGGAATCTACACGCGCCAGTTTAGACGCTATGTGTGCACCTAAAATAGACTGCAGACGTGTCTGACCTAGACAGCTACGCAAATGTTTAGATGATGCGGATGTAGACTATTCGGACCCTCTATGCATCATTCTTAGGATCTTAAGCCAAGCCAGCGTAGTTCATCATCTGTCTAAGAGGGTCGAGGTTAAACCGACTAAGCTGTGATATGGCCGCCCTTAGAGCGTTAAGTTTTCATGTGTAGCACCTGGCTATGCATCTAAATTCGCTTCCATGTGACAGCCCCTAGAGCTTGTAAACCGAGCAGGCATAGACAAGGCATAGTCCATCAGCTGTCTAAGAGGTATCGTGGTTAAGATCACTACGCCTTTGTATTCCTGGTTCTAGAGCTTTAAATTGTACTGTGTAGCATCCGAATTAAAATCAAGATCACTTCTATATAGCTGTTCTAAGAGTCGTAGGTAGTCTAGGGTAGCGTTGATCTACGTGGACTTCAACGGGTGTCATAGAGCTTGGCTAGCGCTATGCAGAAACATCCAGCCCACCTGGTGCACATAAAAGCTGACTGCAAGCAAGTGACAGAGGAAACACGCCCCTCTACTCCGCACCTTGCACCTCTCGAAACCGCCATGAGCTCCCAGCAGCCGCTCAACGCCTATGCACCAAGCCAGCAGAGGAGACCGCTTGGAGCCCTCGACACCTCTCGCCTCCACCCCCCCCACGCCAAACCTGTCGAAGGGTCATGAGCAAAGTGTAAGTGCGTATGTGCTCAGGCCCCGAAGAGATGCTCACTCACCTACAGCCCATCAACCAACACGCGTCAGCAAGTCCAGCGTTGCATGACTACGCGCTTTCTCAGCCAACGCGTGGATACAGTGGGTACGCCAGCCTTGGAGGGAGCCCCTACCCTGGCGCAGGGCAGGGTTATATGGGCCTGTCGGTGCCAGATCCAAGCCATCTGATGGGCGAGGAGCTGCGTCGGCTTGGGCTCGCCGTTGAAGAGCAAGCAAGCTCTATTAACCAGCTTGATCAGAGCCAGCAGCAGCAATCGCAGGTCCTGCAGGCGCTCACCGATACCGTTGCTAGGCTTGAGAAAGAGATGGAGGAGGAGAAGGCGCGCGCTGTTGCAGCAAAAGGAGGGTCTGCCCGCGCACATGCAAACGACCACCCCGATGTCAAGGTGAGTAACAGCTCCACCTGAATGCATGAACATACCGCTGATATGGATCTAGAAACATGTCCACCAGATGTATGTCCGCCTATGTGACATCAACGTTGAGGGCCGCTATGCCATTTCGGATGCACTGGGTGCTATCCAGCCCTTGTCTAATGGGGAGGCCTTCGAAACTGCTCCAGGCCCAGGTACCGACACAAAGAAAGTTTGGAAGCCAGACTGGAGGGCTGGCCTTCGAAACCCTGTTAACGCCCTGTTCATTAAAGAGGTTGCTGAATGCGTGTACCAGGATGAACAGGTACGTACCAATTCTACACCCGTATGCCCACCGGCTCATGTGCATATGCAGGACCGCCGAGGCCAAGACAAGAGCAAGGCCGCCAAGATCCCTAATGAAAGTTTTGATCGCGACATAATCACGACGGTGGTAAAGACGTACTTCGGCAACTTCACCAGGCGCGCACAGCAAGAAGATGATGATGACAGGGCTGCCCGAGCTCGCGACGCCAACAGGGATAATCGCCGGTTCCAGCGTGCCAAGACGGTAAGCAACTGGTCATTTTTGTTGCAACAACGAAGCTGACGCACCTGGTGTAGCTGGCGAGAACGCGTCGCGCCGCTGCTGAGCCCTATGAGTCTGTCTACCCAGGTGTTGTTGGCACGATCCACACTGACTTCTGTACCGATCAGGAGACGTGCAGTGAGGGTGATATGACTGACCATATGCGTGAGCGCCGTGCAGCAGCAGGGCTGGCACCCGGATCATTCCAGGCTTTCAACAAGGGCTGGAGAAACCCCAACGTAAGTGCAGACTTTGCAGTTGAGGCAAGGTGCTTACCTCAGTTGCCAGTACACCACCCTTATGCGCTGGTTGTCCCTGGTATCAGCAGGGGGAAACAATGAGGGGGTGAACGCCCGCAAAAGAGACGCAAAACAACTGGCAGGGGCAACCGCAATGCGTGGGACGCAGCCCCTGACACCATGAGAATGCAGCCGCCAAGCACGGGGAAGGGCGTACCTTTCTATGATATGGTTGATACCAACTGGCTTGCTAGGCAGGTGGAGCGTCCGAAGATGGTGGACGCAAGGCTCAAGTGGCTGCAGAGTTTCCACGCTGATAAGAAGGACGAGCTGAAGGAGAAGGACAGGTTGTTTATTGAGGAGGTGGAGGAATGGAAGAAGGAAAACTGGGAACTATGTGACGGTGAAGTTCCTGGAGAGGTGACGGTGGCCAGCACCGTGCCCAACGCCGAATGAGAGAAAGTGGTGGTTGATAGGGTATCTTATCCTGACTTCTTGGTACATCCCCATATGCTTGCGTACAGTTCTTGAATCACTAGACAAACATGCGCATTGAGATTCACAAATATAAGTAGTAAAATGGCTTTACCTTGGCTAAAGTGATCGTTGCCCAGACCTTATGCTTATCTGGACCCATCGATACCGTGGTAAGCGCAAGCTGATTCTGAAGCCAGTCAAGACATATGATAGGAGGGCGACATATGTCTTGCGTGCTGTAGTACTCGCCAAGGTCCCATAGATGGACACGCGCCGCCTCACTGCATGGCGGCTGAGAAATACAAAAGCGGTGGAGAAGTACTGAAAAACTCACATGTTGTTCCAGAGGTTGCTTCTCGGTCCTTTCCAGGGGCGGAACCACCGAGCACGAGCAAACCACATGATCCGCTGGTTGCTGCCAGCTCCACGTGTCACCTGGAAAATCTCCTGTATTTCGCCATAGACATGAGTAGGATCAGCGTTAATGCGGGGGATAATGGCATGAGCAAGAGAAGTCTTGTTACTGCCAACGCTTTGCGACGCATGGAAGCGTTTTCCGTTGATGACTACATAATCAAAAAACACAGCCTCTAGGGGAAGAGGGACGCTCAAAGCACTTAGAGAGCGTGCACCTGAGCAATGAACAGGGGAGTCAGCGTAAAAGAGGCATATGGCCTCTACGGTGAGCATGTACGTGTTGTTTGATAGGTTACGTGTTCGGTGACGAGGACTAAGCGCATACGTCTTTGATGCTAAGACCCTATCTTTTAGAGCCCCAGTAGAATGACAGACGGCTTAACCTTACCATCATCTGACGAATCGTCTAGTTCATCTGCTAATATACCAAGAGCAGCGACAGTCCCACGTTCCTCTTGTGTGGCCTTGAGCATGACTTTTGACACCTTTGATGGCAGGGAGTCATCTCCGCGTGCAGCGGATACACAAATCTGGGTATAATCCATGATGTGGCTGGAGTGCATGTAGAAAACGATGACTTACAAGCCGACTGACCTCACACATCCGCTGAAAGGAAGTGAAGAATGTTGTTTCCAGGTCGCCTCGGCCATGGTTGTTGGTCCTAAAAGATTTGAGCACCTTGTTTAGCCGTTCGAACAAAAATGTCCAGAAATCATGGAGCGGGCCCAGATTTTGAATGCAAAGTCCAAGATGAGAAGCGTAATGATGGTTTGGCCTCAGAGCTGCCGAACCATACAGGACTCTGATGCCGTTAAGATACTCGCGAAGGAGCTGACTAGCCGAGGATATGTCATCTGTAGTCAGGGTGCGCTTTAGCATAGTCTGAAGGGCCATAGAGAGCTTAAGAAAATGAGGAACATCATCCGGATGTAGTGATAGCACAAGATTGTCGGTGTCCTGGGCAGCGTCGTCCTCATCAATATCTAAGGGAATGCTGCTTTCAGCCTCCTTGCGTTTGCGTGACTAAGAGAAATAACATCAGCTCTGTGGACGGATAGTGGCAGCGTGCAGACCTTTTTCTGTCATGTACTTCCTGCAAGCTTCTTCTGCTCTTCAGCCTGTTTTGCCTCCAGGTCTTCACGCTCGTACTGGGCTTTCAACTCCCTGTGCTCATCTTTGGACCGTTTCTTCGCCTCCTCCAGTGCTTGCTTTCGAAGTTTCTTGCACTCTGCTTTTGCCTTGCGAACATCTTCCTCTTGCGCAATGGCAGCTCGACGTCGATCTAATAGAGCCAAGTCGACGTCAGGTGGTAGAAAATTCTCCCACAAGGCCGGTATCTTTGTATTTATAAGCAGACCTGAACGTGCAAACAAGATGGTGGAGGACGTACGATGATAGGACCATACACGGTGGCAAGTAGGAGCCACTGGTCGGCTGTTAGAGAGCCGCCAGCAGGTATGCCAGTCTCCCTTGGTAGCCTACCACATGTAGTTGGGATGGCAAACTACAGGGGAGGATTAGCAAGGAACGATGGCAAGGAATAAATATACGTCAGGAAGCATCTCATGCAGCTTCTTAAGCTCATGATTTGGCCGTATAATATGCTTCTTGATCCATATGTCATACCATTGAGTTTTCACAAGGCCTATGTCTCGGGTAATCAGTCTGAAGTCATATGCTAACAGTTAACATGATACGCACCAAGGAAGAGGTTATGCATGGGGTCAATTACAACTTGATTAACTATATCAAAGTATGGAAGGCGAGAAAGCTGGGTGTATCGTGTAGAGTGGGTTTGAACGAACGCATGGCGAGCGCCCTTAGTTTTGAGCTGGCAATACTGCTCACCAAGCTCACGATGCCTGGCATTCGTCCTTGATGGAAATGCTGAAAGAGGTGTTGGGTAAACTGGGATAGGTAGCAGTGAATGCGACCCACCACGGTCTTCAAAGGCACCCAAGTTCTCCTTTATATCAGTCTGAGTAATCCAGCACATGGAGCACGGTTTGCCATGCGTGTGAGCACCAAACCCCCCTAGTTTGTGGGCCGCTGGCTTGTCGCACACCGCTGCAACAAGAACAACACGGACCAGCCGACCTGTGCCCAATGACAGGTTATTTTGACTCATCTGATAGGGTAAAAGCTCACCCTGCGGACAAGATTCTGTCGGAATCATGATCCCATCCCTCCATAGGCGGAGAAGATCAGATATGACAGGGCGGAGGTAACGCTGAACCTGGTCACCAGTTTGCTCTTTTGGTCCAGGGAGGATGCCCGTGCACAGCAGATTTGATGTGCGGTAACGGTATTCCGGTGGGAGGTTGCATATCGAAAATGACATAGGCCCTGATGTATGCGAAGGCGCTATGTTACTACAAAGATAACTGAACCTAGAAAAGGGACGTTAGTGGGCTAAACAAGAGGCAGAGACACACTCACCAATCAACGCCAAGGTTGAGGCCAATTCTGAGCTCGCCGTTGGGCCCTTGGCGCTCATGACGTTGGTTTGAGAAAAACGACCTGCCATCAGGACCCTTGATGTTTTGAGTCACATGCCCGTCAAAGATGTCCGCGTAGCGGCCAGGAACGCGCTCTGCTTCTCGCCATTTGTCCAGTAGTGCCTCAATCCCAGGTGTCTTGAGGATTGAGCCAATCTGTGTAGAAAGTGGCAAGTAGGGGTATTTAACGATAGGAATACTGAACTTCCTTTTGTTGCCGCGACCTGTGGTGTCGGATATGAACAGGGGCACCTTACAAGTAGTGCAAAGGTCGCTTGAGTGGCTGGAAGAGGCAGGGGGGTAGACGTCTCGGCAAGATGGACAGACAGCAAGGATGGAAATGGGGCGGTCGACGCCCAACACGCGGTTGGTTGTTTCTAGCGTGAGATAGGGCGTGGACGCTTCGGGCACACCAAGGCTAAGCAACAGGTAGTAAAAGACGGTCAAGAGGACGTTGCAAGCTGTTTTGGGGAGTTTGAACGCAAGGTTTAGCCATGACACAAGTGCGTAGATGGTGAAGACTTGTGGGTCTAGATCCTGGAGGCTCCTCGATTCGGAGTCATCCTGGAAGAAATCAACCTCCTGCATAAATGGGTCAGGGCTGTCTTCGCCGGGTAATAAATCAGGGAACACAGCTATCGCATCCTCTTCGCCCAATTCCCCATCCGCCATCTCCTCCTCGCCCTCCGCAGGGTCCTCAACGTCGTAGTCATACCCGTCGTAGTCGGCAACAACGGGGATGCTGCCTGGTGCTTCTAGCTCCTGCGGTTCTTCCAAAGGCTGTAGGCTAAAGGTTTCAAAGGCTTCTTCTAGCTGTCGCTGGGCCCGGCGTTCTTCTCGTGTGAATAGGGGAGCATGATGCGCGCTGTAGCTGTTTAGCTGGTGAGAAGTCTGTGTCATTGCCTGATTCAAGAAAACATGATGGTCAACGTCAGCAAGGAGACCGTCAGGGTTATGGAAGTAGTGAGAGCCAAGATCAGGAAGTCCAGGGGAGCGTACGGCGCTGACTTCTAGGTCACTGCGGGTAAAGACACCAGGTATCAACGTGTCTTGTTCGATGGGCAAGAAGGAGCCCTCCACTGCAGGGGAATCATCAGGTAAATAGGTATGGAGCGGGGAGGAGGGCTCAGCTGAAGCTGATTTGTGGGAGAGCTTGGCTTTTTTTGCAGGTGGCTCGGGTTGAGTTTGGGCTTGGTAACTGGCGAGGGATGCGGCAGACTTGAGGCGGAGATCGTCGCCCTTGTGGGCAGCAACTTGAGAGCTGAGCAGCTCCTTTCCGTTGCATTTGTGGGAGATGCACCGGCAGGACGGCATGGCGGACGTGCGCGCAGGTGCGAGTGTGGTGGGCTTCCGTTGCAGCGATGCCCCGCGTTGCGCTCAGGTCTGAAGCGCGCGTCTAACATTTCAACACCACGTGCACCGATGAGCACATCAATATTTTGACGCCCTGCACCACCGGCACACAAAGTAAAGGAGGATGCTCCGCTGGGGAACAGATGGCGTATCGACTACGGTAGTGGCATGGGGCTGAACTTCATCAACTGGCTGTGGGTTTATCTCCCACCCTGGTTTCCTCCCCCCTCCAATCAAACCCTTCCCGCTCCCTTCTCCACTCCAACTTCGCCCTTATTCCTCAGCACCCGCTTCCCCTCCCTCACCCTCCTGCTCGAGGAACGTCGTCGAGTTGGCGACGTCAAAGCTTTGCTGGATAGCTGCATGAAGAACGCGGAGCTGACGGCGAGGGTGGCGTAAGTTGAAGGTGCTGTAGACGCTGGGACGCGATTTCTTTCCGTTGCTTCCAGAGGGCGCAACGAGCATGGCCTCGCCGGCGAGCTGGGCGGCGGCTTCTTCGGATCGCAGCGAGCATCCGCGTTGTGAACAAGGTGGCGACAAGGGTAGATGAGAGTGCACACCTAGCCGCGCACAAGCTGGTATAGACCCTCGCAGTACACCCCGACTTCACCAAGAAGATGGTGCTTGAGCAAAATAACGAATCTGTACGGCGGCATGTTCTATCACGGAGGTCAGCAAGTTCCATTACAGCAACAATACGGGCGCATCACGTACGCCTGAACCAGATCCAGTGCCCCCATCTTCTCCACCATCATGACCGCAGCCTTTTCATCCTCTTCCTCCTCGACCACAACGCCGTCGACTTCTATCCCGGTTTTGGCATTGGGTCCGTGGCGGAGTGGAACATGGAACCATATAACGCACGCAAGCGGGCGCGACGTGCGGATGACGTCGCCCCACCCGCTACGGCCCATCCAGAAGCGGTCACAGCCGCTGGAAGCATGGTAGGAGATAACGAAACCGAGAACGAGACTGGATGACACCACGTCGGTCAGTCGGTGCGGGGTTGGAGGACCGGGAAGGTGACTCGCCAAGGACAGTCAACATAACGGAGGGAATTTCGAGCCAGTGTTTAGTTTTCAGAGAGGTAGTGGTAACGGCTTTTCAGAACGGGAGTTTCGTCAGCATTCCTCGGTACATGACGCATATAAGACGGGTGACGCACCAGCAGCAACGAGAGTATGCAAGAGCACTGCGGGCCAGATCTTGTGAATCTACCGCACCCAGCCCTCCGTGTAAGCTCATTTCACCAGACGACGCGCTAAATCAGGACCAGGAGGCGGGTCACTCACCACGGTACCGCGTCCGAAACGTCCACGAGATGAACTCGCGATCGGGGACGATCGACATGAGGGTTTCGATGCGCGCCTCTGCGGCAGGCAGAATCTCGTGGTTGCCCGTGAAGGAGCGACGGGAGCCGCGCGTAGACATGTTTGATTGGCTGTTCTTGTTCTTCCTCGGGCTGTTTCTAGTTCTTCCTGTGGGTATAGCGCGAGGGTATGCTGACGCGATGCGTCGCTAGTGACGAACGAAAGCGAGTGTTGGCTCCCTGCTCGGCCCTTGCGCGCGCGTCCCGCCTCGAGTCGAACCCGTCGGCGCACCGTGACGCTGCTGTTCCTCTGTTTACCCGCCTCTGCACCGGGCCGACTGCGCTCGCTTGACGCCAGCCGGCGCAGCTCATACGTAACGCCTCCGTCCCGTGCTTAAGACCGGCCTGCAGGCACGGGGCTCAGAGACCAACCGCCACCAGCGCCTGGAAGCAGGCCCCATGACGCCCCGCGTGCTTTGACCAGTCTCGCCCACAGGCAGGTTGGCGCGCGACACGGGCTGAGGGCACCTGCCACGGGCGGCTGGGGGTCGGGAGGCGGCGGCGGTCGCGTCATCAGCGCGTCTCCGTGCCCAGAGGACCCGCGGTCGGCTGCCACCGGCACGCATCAGGCGCCCAGCAGACGCAGGCGCCGCAGTTGGCCGCGCGCGTCGTCGCTCGCGAGCGCCGCGCATATGGCACCCTCCCGCGCCCCGTCCACGCCGCATGCGACGCGCTCACCGACCGCATTGAGGCGAGCCCGGATAGGTCCATCAAGCTCGACATGGCAGGCATGCTCGCGGACGCGCGTCAGCGCGTCGCGGTGTTTGTGCACGTCGAGCACGACGAGCTCGTGCTCGTCCCGAACACGTCGCACGGCGTTGCGACGGTTTTGCGGGGCTTTGAGTGAGAGGAGGGGGGTGTGCTTATTGGAGGTGCGCACCTATGCATCTGGGTGGCAGTCGTATCAATGCTGAGAGTCGATTGCTAATCAACAGCAACGACGACGTATGGCTCGATCACGCAGACGCTCAAATACCTCAGCGACAAGGCCCCGCCCCCGCCCCCGCGCGTCGAAACGTTCGCACTGCACTTCCCCACATCGCACGCGCAGATCCTCGCCCAACTGGCGCGCCTTTCTCGTGCGTCACCGCCGCGCACCCGCGCACCACCAACTCCACCTCTAACTCCACCATCAACAGCCCACCACCTGCGGCGGAACAAAAGGTGTACAAACGCGGCTCGCGCAAAATCCTCGCCGTCATCGACGCGCTTGTGTCCAACCCACGGTCGCGCCGTGCGCCGCACACGGTGCGTGGTCGCTCGTCGACGGGGCGCAGGCGCTGCCAGCGACCCTATGAATGCGCAGCCAAGCGCCCGCACCTCCGACGCTGCCGTCGCCTTCGCGTCTACGACCCCCGCAGGTGGCCAAACCTCTCGCGTTGAAGAGCACGGCCAACGCAGCGCGCTGGCCTCGCGCACCCTGCACCTTTTGTCTGTTGACCCCACCGCCGCTGAGTCGGCCCGTGCCTTGCCAGCCTCCACCAGCCCATCATGGGTTTGGTGGGCCCTTACGCCGACACGCGGTGTGCAATGCGTGCCGCGTCTACTTCAGCCTGCCGCCAAATGCGAACCCCAATGGCGGCTGCCTCATCAAATGCAGTATCTATGTCACAAGGGCTGGTGGCTCGCAAACCAAACTGTAGTATATTTTGTACCAGAAATACATCATTGCTTTTTCAAGGCTTCACGATCTGAGATAAGGGTGTCCATAGTTGAAAATAAAGAGACCATGCTGGACCATCTCTCGTTACCTTCACCTCCATGCACTTCCTGTCGCTCAGCCTGTGACAGGCTCTTCATAGGACGAAAATCGGCATGAACCCAGCGAGCCAGCCCCCCTGGGCAGAAGTGTGTCATGGAGACCCTGGTCTCGTTGGGCTGGATCGCTATGTTGCCATGGGGAACAATGCTCGAAGGGATTAAAATCACTGAGCTGGGGGGGAACTCAATCACTAGCCCAAGTTCCCAGAGAATGAGATGACCACCTTGGGTGGGGTCGTAATCCCCCCCAGCCCAGATGGCACACCATCCCTGCGGGAGATTCATGCAGTCGACGTGCTTGTTGGTGACCACGTTACCGCCGTAGTTGAAGGACATGGCGGGCCAGGTGATGTGCTTTAAAGCCGGTACAAGGTCAGGGTCTTGATGGAGAATTTTGGTGTACATGTTGCGCATGTACTCCGCCTGCTTTGGGGCGTAGGACCAAAATAAGGCTAGCCTTGTCCATGAGCTCAAAACAACACGAGCTGGATGCTTTCATCGACTCACAATCAGCATAACGGGAGATGCGATCAACGGCAGGATCGTGACGCAGAAAATCAAACAACTCCTTATCAAGGGCGTAATTCCTTGGGCACTGCAAGCCTCAGCGTGAGTGCTGATGAGCAAAGGACAGCGCGTTTGAAGGGTACAAACCAAGGTGCCCTGGCCGTGGGTAACGCCAATTGTGATGACCCCGTGTTTACCCCTTACTTGCTCCTCAGGGCGGTTCTTTGCAAGATCAACCGGAAAAACCTCCTGCAGCGCTCTCAGCAGAAAGGTGAGGTCGTCGCAAGCGGTGCTGTAATTCTCGGGACCTGAGCCTGAAGGCCCAGGCTTCCCACCCAGGATGCCGACCAGGCGCCCTTTTTGATCCAATAGGGCCTCCGTGTGCCTACATTGCAAAAAAAAGCACTTTACATGGGGAGTCATGAAGCAAGAAAAAGCACCCACTCAGCTGTGAACTTCACCAATTTGAAACCAGGGCCTAGTTTCTCCATCACGTCGAAAACCTTGCCTTTGTCAGCAACACGTTTAGAACCGCCAAAAGCGCCACGCTCAGTTTTGAGGTCGGTTTCAAAGTTGATCTGGGTCTCAACCACAGCGCCAGGGAGTCGGTTGCGGGCAGCACCTGTCGCCTTCTGTATTCCTACGTAGCCAACGGCGTGCTCACCCGATGACTTGGCCTGACCGAGCTCCCTTCGGATTTGTTGTCGCTTTGCCTTCTCTCTCTCACGCTTGCGTTTTTTACGCTTCTGAGCACGCATTTGATCACCCTGCAAACAGCTAAGGTGGGCACAGGGCTGGGGAGGGAAAATGATCACCTACGCTTGGGTTGGGGAGGTCAGAAGCTTGTGGGGCAATGTCTAAATCAGAATCGGAGCTGCACTCTGCAGTGGCAGAATCACAGGGGTTGGGTGCAGCAGATGCCTGTGCCTTGAGACGGTAGTGTTCCTCCATGAGGGCACGAAGCCTTGATAGCGCAGCTGAGCTATAGGGAACGCCTTGCGTAGGCTGATCTCCAGCAGCATATGGCTTGCTCATGATGCTACCATCATCATGACCGGCAAGGAGAGATGCAGCATCAGCGCCGGTCTGATGAGTAGCCTGGGAATGGAGATATGCCTGTCAGAGATCAGGTACTTTGGCTGAAGGTCTACCCACCAAGATGTCGAGGAGGTAAGAGGTGTCCTGCAGGGAGGACATGGTGCAGCGGGGGTAGATGTCAAGGAGGGTTGCTGCGTGACGAAGGGCCGGTGCACGTAGTCTCCTTTGTGCAGCCGTTTTACACGTGTCGCTGCGCTCTTTTGAGGTTGTGTAAAACCGGTGCACGGGTGAAACGTGCACTGCGGGCGCTGCAGATGCCCCGGTATAGCACACAGGGGCTTATCTGCCAAATTAGTCATAGACGGCTACGACCGTCTCGCTCGTGGAGATCCAAGGCCCGGCTCCCCCGGCGTGTACATCTGGGACTGCTCCGCCGCGGGACACCTGCTCACCAACTTCAACACCTTCGCCGAGCGGCGACCAGGACGCCTCGATGGCCCGTGGTGGGCACCCCGAGGGTATGCAGCCGTACATGAACGCGCTCCAACTCGCCGCCTGCGCTGCGAACGAGCAGCTCCCCTACTGCCCTGAGCTGCCTGCGGACATATTCACGTTGTGCTTGACGTCGCCGATCAACATCGCGCTGAGGTACTTCATCATGACATACCAGCTCCCAGACAACATCACGCCCAACATGGTCATGCAGCTCCCCGGCGACCTCAAGGACCGGCGCACGCCGCTCGGTGAGCTCAACTGGATCTTCACCGCCGTCACGGACACGATCGCACGGACGACCTTCCCACGCGACATCTTCACGCGCCTGTACCGCTCGGACCTCCTCATCGCCTCCCTCTTCTGCAACTTCCTCCTCGCAGAACGCATCATGAAGAACTACCACTGCACCCCGCACACGCACCCAGCCCTCCCGTCCATGAACACGCACCAGCTCTGGGCAGCATGGGACCTCGCCGTGGACATCTGCCTCCGCCAGCTGCCCGACCTGCTCGAAAAGAACACAGCCTCAATCCCACCTAATCCGAATCCAGGCCAGACGCAGCTGCGCAAGGGGCAGCAGCAAGCACAGGAGCCCGTGCAGATGGTCGCGCCCGAGAAGCAGTACCAATGTTTACATCCCGAGCCGCTTCTTCACGGACCAGCTCACCGCATTCGAGGTGTGGATATCGCGCGGCGGCTCGGCGCTCACAAAGCACGGGCCGATGTCGCTGCCCGTGTCTAGCAACGGGCTTGATGGTGTCAACAGCGACGCGGCCGCGGCCGCCATTACCTCGCCATCGCTGCTTGCGCCCTCCCTCTCCCAGATGTCAACGAGGAGCATGACCCGGTTTTCAGCACTTCAACACCGTCCTTGAGCACCTTTGCCTCGAGAGCAGCTGCTCTCGGGGGGTGCAGGACGCCTCTGGGCTACGCGTACACAAAGGCCCGGTACGGCGGTGCAACGCCGAGCGATAGCACGCTGTTCTTTCGCAGGACAGCAACTCCCCCGGCTCCACCAGCGGCAACTCAGGCTCAGCACGGCGGCGCGCGGTGGCGACGTTTATCACGCACCTGTCAACGTGCGCCGCCGGCATAACAGGCCTCACTGTCTTGCTGGACGCATCTTTGCGTTGTGCTCAGATCCTGGGCCGAATGAGGGAGGGCGATAGCAGAGCGAGGGGGGGAAGTCGAGTTTGCGGGCAGGCAAACTCTTTGAGGTGAGCTCGCCATCATACTGCCCCGAACACCGCATCAGTGCAGCACTATCTCAACAGAAATCAGCGCCCTGCTGCACGTCGTGTTTAGTCCACCTCCCCTATGCACGAACTGCTTGGGCGAGGGCTACATGGCGGGCTATGCGCCCACTTAGGCCTTCATACCCGCACGACGTGCTCGCCTTGGTCTTCTCCATGCGCGGCCTCGGCTGGAAATTTGGCAAGGGCGTCTACATCCCACACGACACCCGCGTGCTCTCGCACGGACCCTTCCTCCTCACCACCCTCCAGCCCCTCATGAAGCTCACCCCTGCCGTCGGCACCCCGCACGATGGCATCATCTCCGTTCCCTCCCACCCCTTCCCGCAGCGCTACCTTGTCAGCACACCTCTGCACTTTGCCTCCGGCTTTGTGTACATGCGGCTTCAACACGGCTAATGCTGATGGCCGAGCACGTGTAGGGGCGCGTGACAGGCCTGAGCGTCGGCGGGCGGTGAGGGTAGGGGTGGTTGTATTTCTGTGTTGCTTGCAACGTTGGAATCCGCAAGGTGTTGTGTAGACAAACCATGGTGCTGGGTAGTTTGATTCCATCGCAAGCTATCTTTGCAAGCACACGCATATGTAGCTCAAGAATCGTCTGTTTATAGCTAGATATATGTACAAATAACATAAGCTAGCTAGCTGATCGCCCGCAAGATAGCTACAAGAAAGGAGGGAACATGCAATTTGAGCCCTATGCTCGCGGGCTCGGAGATGGTGGGGTCTGTTCGCGCTTTACAAGAGGCGGGGCCGCTGACTCAGACCTGGCCTTTGGCTTGGGCAGCCTACGGGTTTGAAAGCGCTGCTCCAGCTGGTCAAAGATAAAAAAATCCTCGTACGCTACAGGGGTACAGGGCTGCGTGGGCGGGAGACCTGGCATGGGCGTTGGTGATCTGACGAACCCGGGCGAGGGAGCTGTGAAGGGGGCGGCCTTCACAGGGGTTGCCACCTCGTCACTTGAAGTGCATGCTGCAGGGGAGGGGCTCCGTGCATCCGATGCAGGTGGGGAAGTAGGCGAGGAGCTTTGTGCGTCTGACTCAGCTGGGGAAGCAGAGCTTACCGCTCCGGCACCTGAGGGAGCTGGGAGGGTGCTTGTCTCTGTGGCTCCCGTCCCTTCCACCCGAGATTTTTTCTGCAAAAAGGTCAGCAATTTGTTGCATGCGCTGAAACAACACTCACGGCTGGGGGTTCCTGGTGCTCCAGTTCCAGCTTTACGTCACCCATGCCCTTGCGATGGTCATGGTCATGACCATCATCCGCCTCCATGGAGAACCTTTCGACAGTGGCAAAGGTTCGTTTCACCCCTACAGAGGTGTAGTGGAAATGAGTTTTGACCTCAACGTCCTGGAGATGCGTGATAAGTGCGGTGACATAAGGTTAGAACATGGAGGCGCTCACAAGATCTCCACGGCGGCAGCAGGGGAGCTGAAAGGATGTACGAGGAACATCGTGGGCAACGATGTGCTTGACTACTTCGTCTGAGCCTAGCATGGTGGTGAGGAAGAAAACGACTGAGCTAAAATTTTGTGCAAGGGCGTCTTTTAACTGGCCCAGAGCTAAACTCACCCTGTTTGTACACCCCAAAGTTGGTTATGTGCCCTCCGTGTTGGGCTTGTGTAGCTAGTGGGCTTCTGGAAAGGAAGCGAGCAGCTCTCCGACGGAAAGAGGAGGTGATCTTTTTTTAGATTCATCACGTGTAATGTCCATGAGCTGGCAGTGCTGGCCAGTCAAGCTCAACAAACCCAAGCATTTCGATCGAAAAGTGGTTTTTAGAGGCATTTATCTACAGAGGGCCTTCAAGAAAACATGAACGTGGTCTAGAATTTATAAGCTAGGGAAACATATAGCTAGTTCTTGCGGCCCTGGCCCCATGCCTTCAGCAACTCAACATACAGAAGCAAGGCACCTAGCAGCATAACGATCGCCTCTTGAAGCGGCTCTGGCATGCTGGAAGTGGGAGTGGGGGGCGGTGCAGGGGGGTATGAGCCAGGGAAGCCAGGCATCATGGAGGTGGGGGGGATCTCGGGTGCACGTAAGACTAAAGTCCCGATTGGTGTGCACATGTGAGCAGGAGAGGACGGCCCATCCATGGCGGATGACGGCTTTAAGGCATTGACAGCCCCTTGTTAGCATGGAAAGGATATGTGATAAGAGGGAGAGGGACGCACCCTACTGGAATCCTGAGACCCCTGCATCGTCCTTTGACTCTGGCCATCATGGCCATCTTCGTCACCCCCATCTTCATCATCATCCCTGGGGCCACGGTCTTGACCCCCGCCACTCCCCCCGTTGTCGCCACCTTGTTCATCGTCATCCCCACCATCGTCCCCATGGTGAGACTGACCCACGGGGAGCACATTGGTAGCTTTTGTGCGTTTGATGGAGATGGTGCTGAAGTCCGCGTAGTGATCAACTTCGATGATCTGGAGAAGGTGTATGAGTCAAAGCAAGCTTTCTGGGCGGTGGTAGACCTACCACAATCCCTTTGCGCCAACATGGAACTCTAATGGCGGTGTTGGGGACATCCCGTGCAATGACCTGCTTCACAACTTCATCGGGTGCGAGCATGGTGGTAGGAGAGAGAGGACTTAGACAAATTTTGGCCCCGAGCGCCTGCTCGGTAGAGGTGGGCACTAAACACGCACCCCATTTACCTTGCAAACAGCTATGTGGCCGCCATTTTGAGCCAACTTTAGCGGCGAACTGTCACAACGTGTGTAGAATCCATGTAGGGAGTTGAAACTAAATCGAAGGTTGTTATAGCGCCCGGGGACGGATCGGCGTCGGTGGCGAAGATGGCGGGATGGGTTTAGTTGGGTTTAGGTCTTATTTAGTCAAGTTGTGGGTTTAAACATCGGTTAACTCCGCTAGCTCGTAAGATGTAGGATCAGCTTAGAAGCCGACTTCTGCAGTGAATGCATACAGGCAAAAGTACGTCGCAGGGACACAGCAATTCACTAGTCCCCTTTCATTCTCGTACCCCATCAGCTGCATACAGGTGAATAAGCGCAATCGGAAACCCAATGTCCACTTCTGCACGTCTGTGAAGAGCCGGTCGCGAGGCATGCACTGGCAGTGATACTATCACTACCCAAAGGCTCGAGATCGTGGAGTAACCCTGGTCGAGCTATAACCCTCTCTGTCTCTGCGACACTCGTAATACCCTCTTTCTCTCTCCTGCCCACTTTTCCACTCCCGCTCCATGGCTCTCAAGCTCGATCTCTCCTCCCTCGACCCGCTCAAAACCACACTCACCTCCCCAGATGGCACCGCGCGGTTCACGACCGAAACAGACGCCGGGCCAGAGAAGAAGACCCGCGTGACCCTCATCAAGAAGGTTGGAACCGAAAGTATGACGGACTGGTCGACCGAGATTGGCAGAGTTGAGTGGCAGGAGGATCAGGACATTATGCCCGCTGTGATGCTCGGGGACCGGGTGCTGGACATGACGAAGACTGGTGGGAAGTTTACAAGGTATGCCAGCCCTATATGTTTAAGGCTTCTAGCACTAACAGGGAGACGGAAGCCCCGAGAAGTTTCAGGCGTCAGACGGAGAGTGGTACGAATGGCGAATCCAGAGTATGCAGCCTACAGTATGCCCATCTCCACCCGAACCAAACCAGTCATCACTGACAGACTTTCCCCTCAACAGCTCGTCCCCCTCTCCACCGGCGTCGGTCATGTCGCGACGTTCTCGTCGAGCACACACCGCTCGGGGCTGAAGAAAGTGCACACCGCCTCGCTCTTCATCGCACCCGAGGGCATGCACCTACTCGACGAGATTGTCATCACGTTCGTGTACTTCCTTGCGCGTTGGAGAAATCGCGAGGCCGCACGAGAACGCAAGAACGGGATCAACCCTTTGGCGTGGATCGGAATAGGTTCGAGCGGTGGGGCGATTTGAAGCTTTCCAGCGTTGTCACTGTTGTCGTCTCACAGTATATATGGTGTGTATATGCGCCTGTGTTTGTCTCGGACCACTTTTTCCTATATTATAACTGCATACTTGGGCACGGTAATCTGAGCATCTTGGATGGCCTTTGGCCTGGCCGCATAATACCGCATGGATGAGTGCCCGCTCTGGGCGCTATTTCTTCATTAGAGCCCACGTATGACTCTCGCACGCGTGTATGTATGTGTATGGAATATCCACTCCTGACTGGTCTTCGCAAACGTAATCTAGAAATCAGAGTCTCTGGGTCTAGCGGGCCCACGCACATCAATGTGGTGATGCGGGCGACCAGATCATACAACCATGAATCCGCGGCAACTAAAAGTATTACAATAGGGAATGAGGGTGCTACTATGGAAATAGTATTACGGCACAAACGGCATAGCGTAGATGAAGGAGAAAGCAGGCGCGACGGATTTATCGAGACCGTAGGGGGGTATCATAGACTAGCGTGTATCACAGCGCTAACACTATCCATACAACAAAACATGGGAAACCGAGAAAGCGATCAGTACTCAGTCCCAGATCGACCAAATAGCAAGACAGGGTATCGTACTACCAAATGCACACGCTAGGCCCTATACTCTACAGTCCAGGTCATGTCCTTCACATAACAACTTAACACGACAGTGAGAATCACGGCGCACCAGTCGGTGCCGAATAACCAATGACAACGCCGCCATTGCTCGACCGCCGTCGCCGTTCGCGAAGGCGCCAGCGCGTGACGAAGCAGATGAAGGTGACGACGATGTCGTCGAGGATGTTGCCCGTGCCCTCAGGCTGGACGACGAGCGACGCGCGCGCCGTGGAAGAGCGTTGCCACCATGAGCGGTGTGGGGTAGAGAGACATGCAATTTCGAAGGGGAGGGATGCGGTATTCAGCAGAAAGAGCTATGGACGAGGTGGCATCAGCAACTGAAGTAAGTAGGGCCGAAAACAGGGCAGTGGGAGAGAAAGGGAATGAGGGAATGGGAGAAGAGTAATGGAGGGAGGGGAGTATGTACCTTCGGAACGCCATTGTGTATCTGCCACTCGTACCACTTCCCGTCGTTCGCAATAAACTTCTCTGAGCTGTTGGGTGTGGCTCGTCAGCATCAGTATGCATGCTCTCGCTCACTCACGAACACCGTGACCGTGGTGCAAAGGTCGAGAATGATCTCGGGGATTCGCCCATGCCAAACTTGAAAGCTCAAGGTCCAAGACTCGGAGCAGCGCCGGTTGAACACTCACCTCGTAAACGTCCCTGTGCGTATCATGTTCACCACCCGCCAGCCAACCGTCATCGTGAGGTTCGCCTCATCGATAGGCCAGTCGATGCGACCGACGCCATGGAGGCTTTCGATTGTCTCGCGCCGACGGCCCACCTCTGTGCGTTTGCTCATTGTCGCGGAGCCCCCAGAGACGGGTGCAGTGGAGATGTCAAAGCGTGTGCCGTCAGGAGCGGTGAAGGTCGTGTTGAGGAGATCTTGGCCCCCAATTTCGAAGCAAAGGGGTGTTTGTGTGTTCGTGGAGGCGGAGCTGGAGCCAGGCATATTTATGTTGATTGTGGCGAGTGGAGGTGATTGAGCAACAGAAGGTTTGGGCTAGAGCTGAATGAAAGGGGAAAGTGGTTCAGGAAGGGGTGTGGTGGAAGGGAGGTTGCCAAGTAGTACACGCAAGGGTTTCGAGCAACAACGCGAGAACGGTTTGGCGCCGCTGTGGTAGCTGATACTAAGTAGTCCTCTAGTTCGTGGGGCTGGGCGCAGCCACTGAGTCAGTGTCACTGGCGCCTTCGAGAGGTAGGCGCGGGCACGGGAGGTACCGACGGCTACAGGATACAATGGAGGAAAACGCAACAGGGAAGGCTACTGCCGCCAGGTCGGGAAGTATCCTTGCGTTGGTTGCAGAAGTCCCGCACAGAATGAGGACGTTTAGAACCAAGGTCTCCCGATTGAGTTCAAACACCCGCCTTGCACCGCGTAGGACTCGTAATGGCTGGAAGATGGCGGTTAGAGTTCAGGGGATGGAAAGGCGCCGACAACCCCACTTACACTGAGCTCCCATGCGCTCCGGTGTCCCAATATTCAGGACATTACGTTACGGCCAACCAAATGACCAGGCTGAAGCGCTCACCAGACCGAGGCGAGCGGCATGATCATGATGTGGGACATCCCAAAAATGGATGAGTCGCCCCCATGCTGGGGCACCGGTGCAGTGTATGCCAGGGCGGTGAGAGCTGTGCTTCCACAGCTGTCAGCGGAGCCAGTCCGGGGAGTCTGGGGTGCTTGCTGTGTAGGCAAACTTGCTGTAAGTGTTAATGAAGAGATGCGGGCAAATTTGCGGGCAATTATGAGAGGGTAAAAATGGAATGAAAGAGCGCTCGCTGCGTCGCGTGATATACCCCACATCCGTTTCCATCCAGGCACGATTGATCTAGCGCTTCTGCGAAAGTTTAAACGTTTGAATTCACCAGACCTTATCTTTCCGAAGAGAGGCGAACCAATCCCGTCGGCCAATCCCGTGAAATTTATGAGCCGAATTACTACTAGTACACACTGGTCGAGAATAAAACATAAAAACACGGAAGTCGTTAGGGAAACAGCCCGGTTTGTGTCTGCGTCTGCGTCTGCCCCTGATGCATCATAAAATCCTCGAGCTCTATCGTAGTAAACTGAACGTGCCGGCTCGTGCTAGCACTGGTCCCTGGGTCCCATCTGGACGACTTCGCCTTGACTTCCTGATCTCCACACTTGAGCATGGTGAGGACCATATGTGGGCCGCACCACGAGAGCAACATGACCTGGCTGAAGTCATGGAAAGCCATGTAAGTCGCCCCGTTGAATGCAAACTATGGGGGGAAACTCGCATGTTAGCATGAGCAGCCATAAGGTGACGTAGTCCGCTGAGCAAACGTACCGTTTCGGGGTCAAAGTTGGGCAGTGCCCAGTGAGACGTCATGAACAAGCAAAGAATTGCCCTTTGATGTCGATAAGGCAAGGTCAGAAGACGGAGATGCGACGACGGCGGCTTAAAACGCACATAATAAAATACAGGATATTATCCCTGATTAACGTCATAAAAATGCGGTCGTTGTTACTCCTTGGCCTTCTGCGGGTCGACCACACATGGTCGAAAAAGCGGTATAACGCAAGGAAAAGGAGCATGATCTCGAACGTCATCGGGCACAAAACGTTCATAGTTTGCATCCACTGCAGCTTCGGGTTCTTCATTAGCAGCGACGGGCAGTACTTGGGGCTCAGGGAGGTATATTCGGCTGGATCTTACTTTAGAAAGGGTCTAGAAAACGAGAGAGGAGGATTGAAAGGGAATAAATCGATTACATACATGCCCCTTGTTCAGTTATTAGTGCGAGACTGATGATTGACGTGACTTGTGCGGCGATGAAAAGGATCCCAAGCAGAACAACTACGAGCCTTGAGGATGGGTATAGTGCGTTGACGCGCAAAGCCATCATAACTGGACAATGTTATTTAAGCGTAAGGGCATCACCAGGTGGCAAACGCCTCACTTACGTTCAACGGCAAACAATAGTATAGGTTTTATTCCATTCTGCGCGGTGCGCAATCGATCACACCTGTCAATCAATATCGTCGACAATCTTCAGTGCGTATGTCGACTGAGATGTGTACGACGATACGTACGACTGAGACGAACGTTAGCATGTACTGCCACTTGGAAATTCGCGCGCTCACTGTGTTGGGACTTTTCGGCAGGTAAAACACTACCTCCCGTCTCGCCCGTCAAACTCCGCTAAATTGAACATATTGTATAGACCTACGTGCAGTGACGCTAGTCGAATCAGAAATCAGAAACAAAGATCCACAATTGAGTGCAAGCCCAAAACGAAACTCACATGGGAAGCGCCAAGCCCGCGTACCGCATCTATGTCCGCTGTCAGCACCTGTTCAATGGTTGCAATCGGCGGAGGGGCGTACCACAAAGTACAAAGCGGAGATGTGATTGAACCTCCTACTCTGTGAGACGTCACAACTCGGGGGACTCCAGTTTCAGACAATCATCACTCACCCATATAAGATCCACCTGAGGTCCCCAAGTCCATCAGTCCGACGTGGTGCGCAGATATCCCTCACACCATAAAACCGTACCTCTGTATCGAACCGGATCACTGCGTCCATCGCCTCAGTATAAGCATAGCGATAGCATGAGGTCTCTTACTCACAGAAATCATACAGCATGAGCGCCATGATAGCCACTACGCCGGAACGGCAAAAAAAAAACCACGGAGGAAGCGGAAACATGGACGCAGCAGATCGAAAGATGAAGTCGTAAGCAATTCAGCCTCATTGGCGGTACCCCCACCGTAGCGCGTACGCGTTACGATGCGGGAACTCGAGAGGATCTGAGAGAAGTGGTTTAGCACTCACCATTCGTGTAGGCTATGACCTCCGCATACTCGACCGATCCGTAGGTGTATGTTGCGAGCGACTCATCCGGCGTGTGCATAAGGTTTCAGTGAGCTGCTCTGCGCTCACGGCGAAAAGACGGATGGACAGCGCGGAAAGGAGCGGGGCAGAGAGAAGACGGCGAGGGAGCAGGCGTGGCCGGAAGGAAGGGCGGGGAGAAGAGAAGGTCACGACGACTCACGCACGCGGGGTGACGAGGGGAGGCAAACACCAGGTCGCTCGTATGCTTAAGAACAGTGCGGAGGGAGGACGCCCACCGAATAGCGAGGAAAAATAAAGTGAAAGGCCGCCTGTCCCACTGCCAGAAAGAGAGGGTTTGGCAGGCCTCGACCTTAACCTGACCCACCAAGTGACTGAGGAGTGACAGGAAGAGGCCTAAAGAGGTCCGACTGAATGGCCCGGCGCCTGTTGAGACGCTGTGTTGGCCCCTAACTGCTGTCAACGGTTGTGTCGAGATGGGCGCGTGGCATGTTCAGGGTCGGCAGAGGGCTTGTCGTTGCTTGATGGGGATGAAAATTACCAGCCCACTGGCTGGGACACTGACCGCTGGACAATGACACTCGCCTGGGGTTCACGAGGCCCACGCCAGGAAACTGGCTGGTGGCTAGGATGTGCCCAACGGTCGTCCAAGTGGTGGCTGATTTGGCACGCCATCGTTCAGATTGCAGCCTGTCTGCGGAGAGAAAAGCGGTATATTACCCGCTAATCATCTGAGCTAGGCATGTCAAATGTCAAAACGTTAGTCGTTGGATCATGCTGGCGCACACCGGTACTCACGTCGCCGGAAGCAGTGGAGTGAATACAAAGTCCGAAGTTGCGGAGAATTGACTTGACGAACAAGGACCTAAACGTTGCGCTGCAGCTGCGACGTGAGCGTCAAACTTGGCTGAATGAAACGGAACCAAAGTTGCAGAGCTGATACGAGCTGTCACGAGACATTCAAAGTTTGCTGCTCACCTTCAACATGAAAATACGTAGTCAGTTAGAAAGTACGACGGCAGGAGTATATCGTTGCGATTGAATGACACTATTCACAGCGGGAATAGCCCGATAAGTTCTCGGGACTTATGGTGGAAATATTGAAGACGAATCAAAGACGAATTTTAACTTTGTTTTGCAGGAAAAGCGAGACTTATTTGGTACTTAGCGGGGAGATATTCTGATTAAATTATCTTTTGTGACCAAATTGGCCGTGTCAAGTGTGAATCGCCAAAATTTATTCAAAATGCGTCCTTGGTAAGTTCCAAAATAAGTCTCGCTGTCCTGGCAAAATTTCATTATATTGCATCCACAATATTTCCACAATAAATTCTGAGAACTTATTGGACTACTCCCCCTGTGTATTGCTGTTTGAGGGGTGCTTGGTCAGGTAACTGTTTAAATATGCAGTCGATGCTTCGTAGTCGTGTTATTCACTAAGTCGCCCCTCGGCGCTCTTTTCAAGGAACACCAGGAATCCTTGGATCCAGTACCAAACTAGGACAAGATGGCACACTTGGCTACATTCGTTCTCATTCAGCTTCCAGCGTTCATTAGCAGTTCTCCCTCGCAGCCATGAGAGCCTCAAAGGACGACGCACCGGTCATATTCCTTTTTTCAGCGCGTACAAAGAGTCAGACGATAGTGAATACATAGATTGCGAGGCCTCGAAGTGCTGATCTCGAGGTTGACGACGCATTGATCTCGGCTCCGTTCTGTCAAGCAGATTGTCAAATGAGCAAACTAAGAACAAGGGCGCCCACCCCTGCCCACCCTCGCCCTCCAGGGATGATGTAGTGATGAACGTCGCATGGCAGGTGGATGTCTTCACATGGCAATTACGAGCCGAATTCCTAGTGCCGTTCCTTTCGGACATCTTGTTTCATCGGTGGTGTGGTTTGGCCGCGAAGAGACTCCCGCGAAGCATGCACATATCCCTATCGACAAATGTATAGCAAAGTGCATTAACTTATAATTAAATAGTACTGAAGTAGGCAGGACCGCATTATGCATCCTCTACTAGATCAGAAAAGCTACGAGCGCCGCTCCAGGCCGACTGACTGACGTACGTCATGCTCGAGTCCTCTGGGTTAGTCGAGGCGTCCTCGAGCACGCTGGTAAACTGGTAAGGATTTGTATCCCTCGACGTGCCTCGGGGAACTTTGTCGTCGTTCGTATAGTGTTTTCGTATATTGAGAATCATGCGAGGACCTGTCATAGAGAACAAGCAAACTTGGCTCGCGTAAAGGATGTTGATGTACCACGCAGCCGATGAAGTAAACTAGTGGAGGATGGATTAGAGACATCGCTTGAGAGCCAAAGTCCGAACGTACGCCTTCAACCTCTGCGGCAGGTAGGGCCCATCTCGACGTTATACCAAGACAGATGACGGCACTAAGCGTTTGATCAGAAACACAAACAGTGGCTATTACCGAGACGTCACAGAACTCACATAATGAAGTACATGATGTTATCGCGAATAAGGGTTGTCAGTACATCATTTACAGACCATTGCATGAGGTGCCGCCGAGACGTTCTAAACCGCGTAGACCAACGGTACAGAGCAAGGGCACAGATCATAATCTCAAACGCAATTGGACACGTCACATTGAGTGTATCTTCCCATGAGCTGTCCGACGTTTTGAAGTCTGGGACGGTACAATAGCCCTGTCCGACATACTGATATGCGTCTAGAATGCTGTCATAAGATAGTAAAAGAAAGCCATGAAGATACGACGCACTGATCTCCTTCTCGGTAATAAAAACCAGTCCTGTGAGAGCGGACGCCTGGGCAACGACGAACATGACAAAAAGAAGAGTGCGGATGAACTTCGAAGAGCTATAGAGTATGTACACACGAAATCCCATGAGTCCTGATTTGACCTATGCCATCAGGTCATGCTCGCGATAACGAAGAGTGACTTACCTTGAACCAGAAACATGAGAATGGCTTTGCAAATCATCGTTGCGACATAAAGGCAATCACCTGGTCTTGTCATTAGGAGACCCAGGATGTTTGGATATGATATGTGACTCACATCTTTGGAACAGGAGACGAAACCTTGTATAAACCTCGGGAAACTGGTAAGAACAGTGGGATATTACGTACGGATGCTGCAACTCCAGTCAGAATGCTAAGGAAAGCGACGAGTCTCCGAAACTCACCGACAGGTAGGAGGTGGGGAGTCGATATACTTGCGGCAGCCGTTAGCTTCAAGCTGTGCATGCGAAAGCTCTTCAAGAACTCACTGCAGAGTAAGCTGCTGTCGCTCAGCCTCACACAGACATAGATAAAGACGAGAACACTCACACGACAAAGACTATCCCAATATAACGTAACTATACAAAGAGGTCAGGGCTTCCTCGCACAACCTCACACCACCCTGGATGAACCGCACCAGGAAGTAAAGGATGGTCATGCACGTGGGCTTCTTATTCTACCATGCCAAGGCGACGTCAGCGCGGACGGACAGACGAGACCATAATTCCACTCACCCAAATCAAGCCCACCTGAAGACCAAACAACCTGATTTCAGTTCATGTAGCCGTCAACCTGGCTTTCAAGACGTACTTCTTCCCCAAGGTGTATGACTCCAAGAGGTCAGCCGCGATGACGGGTACGTATGGTCAGGGCACTCACCCCAATCATAGAGAACCATCACCAGGAGGGCAACTGGGGTACGCAGTTAGACTACTGGCGACGTTCGCGGAGGGGGAATTGAAGAAGGTACAACTCACCATCACCATAGCTCAGAATCGCCGCATATTGTGACCTAGTGACGTAGGAGTTTACAATCGTAACAGTCTCCATGGAGTGCGGCCACCAACGCACGAAGAGTCGAGGACACTCGACACAAGTAGTGTTCACCGAGAGAGCGGGGGTGAATGAGGCAGGTTGCGCGATGACGGAGGTCGCCTTTTCTTCTCCTTATAGGCGGGGGTAAATCGTGGAACAATGCATCCGACGGCGGTAGGGGCGCGTGGCGCCGATAGCTTGGTCAGGGTTAAGCTTTTATGTTGTTGCGTGGTGCCCTAGGACAGGATGAATCTTACATCGGTTCCCACGCGATGGCAACGCTTCATGCCATTTCCCCAGGCTCCTACGCAGCCGTCACTGAGAGGAGAGTAGCTTATCCTAGGGCGCGGTAGACTCAGCAGAATCCGCGACAAGTCTTTCGAGTAGCGATATTGAAACTCAAGCCATAGTTATTAAGTAGTTGCTTTGTTCTTACGACGTATATAGACACGCTGTATCATAGATTACCTCCTTACGAGGTTGCAACGGAGTTTTCTCACTCAAACCGTGCGACTTCTCGAATTCCAACAGTAAAATCTCAGTTGGCGAGGTTCATATGTCCGTGAGATATGACGCACCGTCAACAGAGCATTGAGACGGGCATCACGAGCATGTAATTCAACAACACCTTGTTCGACGCTGGACCAAGAGTCGAGATGTCCGCCATTCGGACCGCGCTCTGCTGAATGGAACAAACATACTCCCCAAAAGGCGGTCATAGCATGGCATGGCATGGCATGCGTGATTTGCAGTCTAGTGTACAACATCCATGAGTACAGACCATTGAACCTTTGACTATACCTCTCCAGTCGCAGCTCAATCCTCCTCATCGCTCGCCTCCCTGCCGACTTGAGTGTTATCCCACTCCTGAGGCATATCCACGAAGTAGCTTGGAAATGCGGCGCTTACACCTTCGGCATACCACCACCCTTCCTGTGTGCCCCTATTTTCGTCTACCATCGATGTCTCATCGCTCCGTCGGATGGCCTGCACCCACACCCCTTGCAGGCCCATCCCCAGACCCAGCGTCTCTGCCGCCTCAGGCTGCATGAGAAGCATCACGTCGTCCCTGTATTCATCGTACCCCTGTTGATCACCTTCTTCCTCGGCCCGTATCCGGCCTCTGCTAAGCACCTCCGGTGCTCTGATCTCCGCTCCCTCTCTCGCTTCGTTCTCCGCATCCTCGCGCGAGAACCACCAAGGCCCGAAATAAACCCTCGCGAGCCCCGCGAAGATCCCCTTTGGCGCGAAGACAGACGTAGCGGGGAGAACCTGGGTGTACGGCATGACAATCGCGCGCACGCGACGGGTCGAGCGCTCGACGACGCCGGTTGTGTGCGTAAGTGGAAGGACAGAGGGTCCGCCGATAAAGGAGAGAAGGGAACAGGTAGTGGGGGATGTCCAATCTGAAGTGTCGCCCTCATTGAGAGAGTTGTCCGCGATTGCGCCATTGGCGACAACAGAAGCCGCGATGGAGGGGGAGGGTGGCCATGGGTCGTTAGATAGCGTGCCTTGTGTCGTGGATTCTACTGCCTCAAATCCCAAGGCAGAGCGGTTAGATGAAGCGAGACCTTTGTCCTCGAGCACCTGCTGTGCGGTGACAGAATGTAGGACCGTCTGAGCAGGAACGACTTCGGCGTCTTCGCCTAGACTGTGAATATACTCGACCTTGGCAGCGAGTTCACCCGTGTCCGTCCGTGAGCTTTCCTCGAGCGATGTCTCCAGCGCCTTGTCCGGCTCTCCCATCGTCGTCGCAGTCGCTTGTGCACCCCAGCAGGCAACACTCGCGACGCTGAAAGCATCTGGGAGAGCTAACCCGATGCGCGCCGTGCGCGGCAGCTCGTGCTTGGCGAGCTCTGCGACAAAGAGCGCTCGTTTGAGCGAGTCTGAGTGATCCCTTGAGTCTTCGAACACGGCGTTTCTAAGGAGAAAGCGGAGGAAGAAGGATATAATGATGGGTGCGATGTTCAGGTTTTGAGACGACCTTGAGTGTATGGATGACAGTCATTTAGCTGCAAAAAAGATGCCCATGTATGAAGTGAACGCACCACATAAGACCCTTGTCGCGCATATATGCACCCAGAAACATCTTTACGCCACCCTCTATATCATCCACGAATACCTTCATTCGCCGTCTGAGCTTCTCCGTGAGCACCCCCTCCTCGCCGGCCGGCATCGCACGCTTGTTCGGCTGCCAGACTGGTTCCATATAGTCTTGCACGATGTCCTGATCAACGGTGCGAGTTGCAACTGGGATGGGTTCCTGCTTGGGGGATACGGTTCCAGGAGATATCTGAGAAGTGTTTGGTGCAACGTCCTCGTCGGATGGGATATCGTCATGCTCAATGGGCCGCTGCACGTCAGGCTTGTTATTGGGTTTTACTTTGCGGTAAACGGGGAGGCAGTCAAGCAACCCAATGAAGACGCCAAACTATGTATATGTCCATGTCAGCTGAAGGAACGGTATAAGCTAGCTCACGTGAAGGATGATGATGCTTACATGGTCCCACATCAGGCGCACACGCGTCGAAACCGTCGGCCACGGACGCCCTGCTCGAAAGTCGTCCGCAGCCTGGTGTACACGCTCAGTGTACTGCATGCCCCTGGCCAATCCAGTAGCGCGCTAGCAGTCAGCCCGCGTATAGTCAACAAGAGACGCGCCATATTACACACCCAGCAAGCGGAAAACTTGTCCTGCGCTTCTCCTCACCAGCCGCCCACTCCTCCCACCACGTTACGACCCTTCCTTCCTCATCTTTTTGAGTGCCTGCAATACGCTTTCGCTTCTTTGCCTTCTGAAGTTTCTTTCGCTCTTCCTCGGTGGTCAACCTGATCGTTGGTATCCCGTACGCTGCGTCGACCTCAACCTCCCGAGGGGTCAAACCGGACCAGCGTGCTTCATTGTCAGAAAGGGGCGCTATCGTGCGTGTGTAGCCAGAAGCTTTGAAGTCTTTGAAGGGCGCGATAGTGACGCCATCGGGGACGGGGGGAAAGGGAGGGAACCTTAGCAGTGTTGGTCCAAGATCGACAGAGCCAGCTGTATCGTCGACTTCAGTTTTGTCACTCATGCCGTCGGTAAATGTGTCAGTCTACAGACAACCACGCCCAGTGTAGATGTGGACGGAAGAAAGACGAGAGACACCCGTAGACGAACATTTGACTGGATTCTGTGAGCACAGGAAGTTCTCATCGCGATTGTTTACTTTGTGTTGATACATGAAGTCTCTTTCGGCGTTTGCCAGTGTTTATCGCCCGGCTTCCTCCGGATGAGTGCTACGAGCGGTTTCGCAAGTCGGATCTGTTGAACGTTTGATTTCTCCAGCCATGTCCATCTTGTACAGTGTCTTTTGTGAGGGCATCTTAGCCTTTCACCATCATACCCCTCTGTGCTTTCCGCTCTGGCTGTATCGGCAATGGGCATTCCTCAATAGTACAAAGGTCACCAATTGGCCCAATGCCGCCTGATCCGCATGCGAGCTATATTCCACGCTTCGACTTTCCGGCACTTTGACAAAAAATCTATTCCTTTGCTTGATGGTTGGAACTTGCCTCGCATAGTCTTGTTCGGGTCCGATGCCTGAGAACCTCTCTTGGACCCCTTGGCAGCGAGCGCTTCTAGTGCGCGGACGTCGACGTTTTCTGTGATGGGAATTCCGACAGAGCCTATGCCCCGATCAAACCCTTCTTGGGCAGTTCTTTGTATGCTTATATCCCATCAGGCTCTTCAAACATAGGCTAGCACTATACCGCGACTGCAATCCCGGTGCTTCCCAGAAACACTTCCTCGCTACCGCTCTTAGATCTTCAAAACATTGACAGGTAGTCAAGTTCTTTTTCGCTTTATCCGCGGATTCCATGCTCGTCAAACTGACAACTTGTCATCCATTCCGAAACCGAGGCGACTTCTGGCGGTCTTTTGGGCTTAGCACTGAGGTGAATCATGCGTCGTTCCTGTGCGCCTTTGCACCCTTCATCCTCGTCACAGCTCAATTTCGGTGCATACAGGTACCATTCCTTCACCTATGGCCACCATTAATACTTTTTGAGTGACGAAATGGCACTATGCATGATCCACAGGTATTCGGCATCACACTGAGTCGAGCAATTTCTCCTTCACTAAACTCCTCTTAGCCATTGGTATTCTTTCCCCGCATCATTTCGCTTCAGCAGTATTCTTCGGAACACACTAGCGTCTCGTTGCTTCTGTCCGCTAGACGAAATACCTTTCAATGGCCCATTCATCTGTCCGGCAAATGCGGACGCGGTAGATAACTCCCACGAGGACTCAAAAACATATAAAAGACGTCTGTCCAGGCATCGAGGAAAGCATCGCTCACTCGAGGGATATCTAGCTCGTTGACATTAGATACCAGCCGGCAGCGATGCAGCTCAATACTCGCCTTCTCTCGCTTTCCGCGTTCATTCTCCTCGCGCAGCATACCTATGCACAGACCCCTTCAGGTGTGCAATGCCAGAGTACGTCGTTGCCCTACTGCGTTCCCTCTTCGTCGTTCTCATATACTCGTATCACCTCTTCTTGGGCACAGGCGAGACGATCCCCTACACAGACCTCTTCCCGAATGCGGACCCGCAGGGAGCTACGAACTGCACTCTGCAGCTTGTCACAAGCGCGACGGACGTGACGGACCCCGACGCTGGTGAGGACGGGGGCGTTGGGTCCTCAACGTTCGATGGAACGGCCGACGGGAGCGACCCGAACAGCCAGTCTTTTGCAGAGGTCGTGATTGACTCGCCGAACGAGAGCTCGGTGTCGTCTATGAACCCGCAGTCGGACTGGCGCGTTGTTGGGTGCAACACTCACAGTGACCAGCCTCAGAATGTAGGTGCATTGAATCTGGGCTATGTTTAGAGTACTGACATATGCCTTCGGACGATCATAGGTACTCGCTTACTGCTCCAAGGCGATGGATGACCCAAAGTCGGGATGTGGGCACGTCTTCCTCGGCAAAGCAGAGCACACCATCGTCGCGATGCCAGCGGAATGTGGTCTCGGCCCGTACGCACGCGTCAGCAAGCTGGAGCCGCACCCGGACCAGTCGCTCGCAAAGCAGTTCGCAGGCGAGGACAAACCCGAGAACGAGCCGATGTACCACTTCGCATTCGACTACGAGTTCACTGACATTCCGGAGGATAATGGCCCTGTGTACATGCGCGTGAGTATCTTTGCGTGTTTGCCTTCGGTTTATTTATTTTGTCCTTAGATCGATGCATCAAACATGATGGACTTCTGGTAAGCCGTCCTCTTAATTGATGCAATCGCCAGCAAGGAATAACCATTATACATAAACAGGGACAACATCGTCGAGTCCCCGCCCGAGCGCAGACAGTGGCTCGAAGAACGTGGTCTATGGGAGGATAAACCCTCTAAGCGCGGTTTATGGGACACCTTCACATCCTGGGTTAAGAAAACCACTACGATTACGTCCCAGAAGGGTGGCGGAAACACGTACAAGTGGGACGACAAGTTCAATCTCACCAAGCTCTACACTAAGGACGTTGGCTCGGGTGGCTCTAGTGAGTTGTTTATACTTAATTGTCCACAGGAGACCTTGTATTGACCCTGTCTTCTTTAGTCAGCGGATCTTTCGACTTCGAGATTGACGCGCATGCTTGTAGGTCACTGTCATCATACCACAGAAGAGTGTTTTAATAATATTTTCCCCTAGCACTCAGTGCCAAGTACGGATACTACGTCCAGGGCAGCGTTATTCCTCCTGCTATCGACAAGGCGTACTTGTACTTCAGTAAGTTTCGATATCTGTCCGAATGATGTTCATATCCTTACCCATACGTTCAGCGTCCAATGCCCATGCCGATGCAGGAATCTTGATCAAGGGCGAGGCCAAAGCTTCGTACAAGTCTCAACGTCTCCAGGTTGCCAACCTCGGCTTCCCTGGTCTTTACTACCCTGGTCTCATTACGTGAGTGGCTGGAAATCTATACACGTGAACCTCGCTCAATGTGTACGGGCTGTACCCAGGATTGGCCCTGCTCTCAACATCGAAGCCTACCTCGCTGGATCTCTGACTTTAAGCGGGTGAGTCAGCTGTATCCTACTGTATAGGCCATTCAATGAACTATACTTCAGAAAATTCGAGACGCGCTTGACAATCGACCTCCCTCTGGTACGCTTGCCTTGACACTTACTTTCAGAATTATTGCTAATGCAAGGAATAGGCTAACTTTGCGTTCGGAAAACAAGGCGACGATCAGGATCCCCAGCCCATCACCACTATCGCCGGTCCCTCTGCTCCCACCGTTAGCCAAGACGTCAACATCCAGTTCGGCCTCCAAGGCGACCTATCTGTTCATCTTGTCCCTCAGCTCCAGTTTGGCATCAAGCTCCTCGGCGGCAAGCTACTCGATGCGCAGGTTAGCGTCTATTCCATCTCCAACATTGTTTCTTGCTAATGGAACATTTTCAAAACAACAGAGCTTCATTGGTGTCGACGTTGGCGGCGGCATCACGCTTGATGCTGGTGTGGGCACTGGAACTAGCCCTCATGCATGCATCACCCCCTACATTGACATTCTATTGTAAGCCTTATGGTTTCATTTTCCCGGCATAATCTAATCTAAGTCGGGTTTCTTTTCCAGCGAGGCTGGTCTGAGGGGCAGGTAAGCGTTCTTTACCCGAAAAAAGCCGAATGAAGATGCTGACCGTACTGCTTAGTGTACTGTACTGGAAGCCAAAGCCCGCGAGCTACAAGATCTTCCAGGAAAAATACCCATTCGACTCTGTCAAACAGGTATGTTACGCATACACATGATCATGTGTCGCCTACGCGCTGACACATCTCCGCCTGCACAGTGTCTCGGTAACACCTCCAAGCGCGACATGCTCGACAATTTCGGCGTCGAAGACGTGGACGAGTTCCTCGCTCTTGACGAAATACCCTACAAAGTCATTGATGCACGCAACACTGATTTCATGGACGATACTTCCTTCGATACTGTGCCAGCCCTCGGCTCAGGCTTTGATGCCAAACCCTCCCGCGTTTACCGCAACATGATCGTTTCGGCCTAAATCACGCTTCGCTCTTTTTCGGCTGTTTTCCAATTGACCTCTGATTTCCCTGCCCCCTCTCTCGTTTCGCTCTTTGTTTGGCAGGTATACACATACCCTCGTTTCTCTTTTGGTCCTTGATGTTGTGATTGCTTTCGTCTGTATTACTACCCAGCGTCTTGTATGACACGCTACTGCCATCTTTCCTTGTTGATTCTATGGGCTTCTTCCTCTTCTTGGGTCCTCTTTGTGTCTACTATAAACGTAATTCCAGGGCGTGTTTGTATCAATTTTTGTGATGGAAATTTAATGCACCCTTTTGGGCTGAAAAAATTCTTAATCGACGCATCGTCGATAGTCTTAACCATTCAATCGGACATCTCATCAGATAAGTGCGATCTTTCGATGTTCACCTTGACAAAACTATGCCCGATCGAGGCAAATACCTCCCTTTGTCAAGCGAGCAAGAGGTTGCCTACCCCTGCCTATCCTTTTCACTCGGATGTCGAAGTTACGCTCCCTGTTACGCTCGCCTGGCTGAGCCATGTTATGTAAAGCGCAGGTTGACACATGTTGAGAACAAACCCAGCGAATTATCCCTTCATTAACGCTTGGAAGATTGACTCCATTAGAGCTATGAGGATTCGTCTACACTTCAAACATCAAGACATTAATATATCATTGCTTTATTACAGCTTCACCACGGCGCTAAAAGTACTCTATACTTCTTCTATTTGGTCACCGCTGCGATCAGTCGGGTTGAACTCACTGCCGTCCCCTGGCAAAGACGCGGAGTACGCCCCAGAAAACTCGTCCAGCTCCAAATCGCTCCGCATCCGCGACGCGTCTTGGAGCACTACAGTAGTGAGTTCACGTGGACTCTGTACCGCAGTCGTGCATGATTTCGTTACGGCGTTATCCTGGTCGTAGTATTTGCGGACATTAAGGATCATGCGCGGCCCACAGAGACTGAATAAAGCGACCTGGCTCGCGTTGGTTATGTTGTTGTACCATGCAGCTCGCGTGTCAAACTATGCGTTTTTTTAGGGTCAGTCTCCCACATGAGGCACAGAGTAAGTTGGCTCACCGAAGCATCATCGGCCATGGGCAGCGCCCATCTAGGCGATAAAAACATGCAAATCACAGCACTGCAACCGATAACTATCGGCATGTCGTAATAAAAGGGAAGAGAACTCACATCACAAAGTACACAATATTATCCCGCACCAACGTCGTTAGGATATCGTCTACGGTCAACGGAAGTACCTGCCGCCGCGACGATCTGAACCGCGTAAACCAGCGATAGAGCACGAGGATACAAAGGATGACCTCAAGCACTATCGGGCATATGACATTAAGCGCTGCGAGCCACCCTTTATCTGACGTCTTCCCGTGTGGAATAGAGCAGTAGGGTGCGGCTATTGACTGATACCCTCGAAGGCCTTCAGCCCCTATGAATGACGATGATCACAGTTTGGAAGACGTACCTGCTGACATGTGAGCTAGCATGGCGAGCCCTGCTGTGGCAGTCCCTTGGGCGACAATAAACAATGCCAACAAGAAAACAAACAGCACTCTGCAGGGCCGATATAGTATGTATACGCGGAACGCCATGAAACCTGGAGGTATTTATCGTTAGCCTTTGATAGCGTGATATGCCAACGGCGATTGACCTTGAATCACGGGAGCTAGTATCGTTTTACACACCAGTACACCGACGTATAATGATTCGCCTGCGTGCGGGCGTGATCAGGTGAAATGGGTTAGGAAGTGCATGTAAGATACGAACATCTACAGATCGAGAGAACGGAGATAGTGTCAGTCCTGTGAAAATCTGAGGAGTGTACTAGAGGAATACGAACGGTCGCTGACACAATCAGCACAAATCTCCAGAGACTGCCTTGCTCTAGCTTACCTCATGAAAGGAGTCTGGGAATCGGTTCACTGATACACCCGTTAGAGCGAAGTCGTACGAAGCATGTTGATAGAGACATACAACAAATGAATCTACTCTTGCGTCAGTACAGGTAGCAAAAAAGGGAGGCCAGTCACTCACACTATGTAGACGATCCCGAGATAACGCATCTGGAATGCGAGATCAGCTCGGAGTACACGTACCCGACAGCACATTCGTACCAAGTAATAGAGGGAGGAGATATACGTGAGTCTTTTGTTCTGCAGTAAGCGCCTTAGTCTAAAAACCACACATACAGCATATCATGGCGCTTACCCAGATTAACTCCACCTGAGGCTCGCCATTCAACATCTGTATCACACTACTTATGTATTCGACACTCACTTCTTGATCAAGGTGGGTCACTGAAGCAGGCTTAGATACTCAGAGCAGATGTGCCATCGAGACTACTCACAGTAATCGTACAGGACCGTGACCAGCAAGGCAGCTGACGAAGCTTAGCATGAGCCCATGAATAGGAATCAAGAATGCAAAGCAGAACGCACCATCACCATAAGTCGTTATGACCGCATATCGTGTCCTATTGACATCGACAGTTCCGTATAAACCAACCGTCATTGAGGGTGTCGGTAGTGAAGGCGTAGGGCAAACAAGGCGGGGGAAGACATCCCGCGCGACGTCCAGCAGGCTTCCCTTATAAGCGGACCTAAATCGCGGCTTTGGAACAAGGGAGAAGCAGGGCTCCTCGGTGGGGACGCAAAGCAGGATCACGGCCGACACCTTTCAACTTCCCTGCAGCCAGTTGTATGGTCCATGGCCACACGTTCCCACAGGTTGTCGCATCGACGATGATTGAAAAATGAAAGATGGACTGATGACAACGGTGCCTCGCAACGTGCGACGCCTTTTGACCTGTCTTGACAGCTACAAACAGTCAATATTGAAGCCCCTGACGTTCCAAAGGTCTCTTTATCAGTAGTTTCTTGACGTCATCAATACTTACGGGAGCATATACTAGTGCTGGTGTAAGGAGCGAAGAGGGGCAAGGATGGGCGAAGAGAAACAACCTTCCATCCAAAAGGTACAAATGCTCCGTGATTTGTATCCATTGTCCCAGCCGAAATGGATCCCACACAGAATCCTTCAGGTCGTCCAAAGTGTTACCGTCCATCGCTATCTAACATTTAGTACTAAGTAGTTGCCCTTGGCGCGTGCAACTCTGCAAAGGGCGAGGTGCGTACTATGATGACTGACCTGTACAACTCCATACAACTCTGCAGGTTTGCGCGCTGACTTCTACACACTGGCCCTGAGTGTTGTACAGATCTCGGGTAGCATGACGGGGGACGCAATGACACGTGGGAAGCACCCGAAGACTCACCCAGCCGCCCCGAGGCGCTCTCGGCTCCGAGGCCCGAGGCTGTGCAGTGTCATCAACCTCCACCAATCTTTCCAGCGCCTCGGTCATATCTGTGCCTCTGATCAACGCACGCGGAATCGTGTTGTGCGTGTATGGATTAGGTAAAACACCGTGTAGGTAGGGAGAGAACGAGGAGAGGAGAGACAGGTGCAGGTGCGGGTACGGTAAAGTGGGCAACGACAGGAGTAATGCGACAGCTAAACCAAGAAACGGGAGACAAATTGACACGAGGAACGATGGCAGACCGATAACCGAGAGGTACAAGGTTAGAGTCCGGTGTGTATGAGGATCAGATGGAAACAAGAACGAAAAGACAGACAATAGAGGATCGAAAAGAAAAGCGGGGAGGAATCGCAGAGAAGAGCGAACCTAAGAAGGCGTGATATCCAACCCGGCAAGCTCCTTCCGTATGCTCTCCTCGCCCTCTATCTTCTTGAGCTGCGTCGCCTCCAGGCGCTCTCCGCGCTTCGCCTTTTCCTTGAGATCGTCGATAGCCTTGAGCTTTTTGTTCAAGTTCCTGATCTTCTTCGCATTCGAGTCCGGCTCGGGTGCGTCGGCCGCACTTGAGCCGAACTGATCGTGCTCCGCAGGCGACGTGGCACCGTTGGGCGCGGTGACCTCCGTGCGCGGCACATCGAGCGACGGGCGCGCGCTCTCGCTCCCATTCGCAACGATCGCACCGCCGTCGACAGCGCCGGCCTTGTCACCCTTATCCCCACCCTTCTTCTTGCCTTCCTTCTTCTTACGCTTGCCCTCCCCATCCGGCCCTCCCCGCTGCCCTTGTCCCTGGCCTTGACCCTGCTGCCCACCATTCACGGACGGACCCTTAGGTGGCGCACCGGGAACATACCGCCGCCCATTGGACTGCCCGTGTCCGTACCCACCGCCATTCACACCCGACCCCGGCGGAGCCGGGCTCCGGCTGTACCCTCTCTGTGGCGTGTTCGCGCCCGACCCAGCCGGACTCCCCGTCGGTACGCGCGCAGCGCCTCCCTCGTCCTCGCGCTTATAGATGGTGGGCGTCGCGAGCCCGCGCGCGCCTGGCGGGCGGTACGCACCGACCTTCTTCACTGGCCCGCTCGCAACCGCACCACCCGGCGCACTGAGCACGGACGGGTGCGGTGCAGGTGGTGCGGGGACGGGGAACGACCACGGCGCGTCCACAAGCGCAGGGGACGGCCGCCAGCTGGCCTGGTAGAGCTCATCCTGCAAGTGCACGTATTGCAGCGCTCCGGACGCGTACCACACCTTGATGCCGTTGTCGACGCGCAGCCGTGGACTGAGTGTTGCGGTCATGAGGAATCGCCCGCAGGGGGACCACTCGCACACACTCGTATTGGGCGCGTCGATCGTGCAGATCGTCGATGGTGTGCTGTTGGGCGACGTCGAGAGCGCGTAGAGCGTGATTTTGCCCGCAAGGTTGCCGAACCCGGCTAGGGCCACGATGCGCCCCTGCGGGTTGTAGGCGACGAAGTTGGTGGGTGCGGAGCCGAAGTCGTGAATCTTGCGTACGCGGTGGTCAAAGATGACAGCCTTGGCCGGCATGTCTAAATGTAGGCGCATACAGTCAGTTTCTTTTTTCATAGGACGAAGCAAGAGTGACGTACATCCGTACACGACCAAGAACTCCTTGCTTCCCGGGCTCCATGTTACATCGTGAATAGGACCATCCTTGTCGAGGGTGACGCGGCAGTCGAAGTTGCCCGCCGCGGAGAGGAGGTACATCCCCGTCTCGCCGTAGTAGCTCATGTTCGAGTTGTCCACGTCTGTCTGGGTGAGAACGAGCACCTGGGTACCGAGCGCGTTCCACTTGATCTGCGCTCGGTCGGCCTTGTAAAAGTTCTTCTGACACGTCGGAGGAGATGTCGAGAGCGAAGTCAGAGCGTAGATAAGGACTCGGGCCGGCGCACCCTGGAGATCGCGGGGGTAGCTCCATTAGTCAACGTGATAATTCCAAGCAAGCTCGGGACGCACCTTCTTCTCCGCGATGAAGACAGCGACGTAAGGGTTCAGCCCTGGGCTAAGGCTGACCATACTAGCCCCCTCAACCTTGAGCTTGTCCACAACGGCCTGGCTCCAATCCGCCGGCTTGAATACCTGGATTTCCTGCCCAACAAGACGAACGGCATGCGACTCCGAGACGGTGAACTGCAGCTCCCATCCGTCCTGAGATTTTTGAGTGAACGCGGTGAGCTGCTCGCCGGTGGAGGTAGAGTGCACACGGAGGTTTTTATGCTGCGCCCCGTCTTCGAGCTTGACTGCGGAGCAAGAGCGAAACGTGTGAGGAGCTGGTGGAACGAGAGACAGACGATGACGTACCAGGGCGCTCCCAAGTGGAGAGGTAGGTCCCGCGCGGCGAGAAGCTGATCTCGATTGCATTGGGAACGGTGAGTTCATGAAGGAGAACGGCCCCCTCCGCCAGGAAGATACGGACACTGTGGTGATGGTATCGCACATATGTTGGCGAGATCATGAGATACCGAGAAACACGCGATTGAAGCAAGGCAGACGTGCAATCGATGGACGGGAGAATAGATCGGTGGTGGTGCGTTAGATCGGAGGATAGAGAAGGAGTGAACGAGACCGAAGTGAGCAGCGGCACGGGAAATGAGAGAAAGGAAGACGTACACAGCAGGGAGTGCGTAGGCGAAGAGGCGGCCATCCGGAGAGTAGGTGAACATACGCGCAGCCGTATCAGGAGAAGTGAAACCCTCCACTGGTGTGTAGTTGGGTGATCCGCCGACGAGGCCAAGGGCCTTTTGTGCCCTGACTAGATAATGAGCATGAATTAGTAAGAATATAGATGAGGGATGCAAGTGGGTGAATGAGAGTGGCGGACTCACAAGCGTACTGCTGGGTGAACTGAGAAGACATGTTTTATGTTTTAAAGTGTTTTTGTCGGTTTTGTGGTGTACTTGTTCAGTGAAGAACTTGACTCTGAACGACGGGATGGGCGGGGAGGTGGAAGAAGCAAACTAATGCTTCAACTCTGGGGAGGCGGCGAGGCAGACGAGGAGGAAATGGACAGACCCTGCCATCTTCCACAGAAACAAAATCGAGGCGCGGCACTGCTCTTTAGGGCAGGCACAATCTCTTGTTTCCCTGCCGCCGGCTCAGACGGAGCGACAATTTAGCAGCGCTGTCATACCTCTCCATTCCAGAGTCGCTACTGCATGAAACTACCGTAGGTATGGTTGACACTGGTTGACATCCCCCATTGACCTGCGACGAGCTTAACCCCTCCCCTGAGCCAGCTTTGGGTCTCGCTTGCAACGTTCAGGCGCAACGATGCAGCTTATCAACAACTTGAAGTAAACCCGTCAATGTGACCGAGACTGACGCTCGCCTGGTCACTATCAGGAGGAAACCAAGCTATAGAAGTTCAAACACCGCCTGCATTGACTAGCTTGATTGTCAGCCCCCTTATCTTAAGCTGCTCAAGAGGACTCGAGCTAGCGCCGCTGTCAGAATCTTTACGGGTTACTTGACTCGGCGTCCGACATATCGCGGCTCTCGGGATTGACTTCCATCTCGAATCCTTGATGAATTCGCTCGAGAGCCCACACGGATTCATTGATACTCCACCAATCGCCACGGCGCGCGGAAGCTACATGCTAAGATACTCGCTGTACCCTTGGGTGCGTCCGACCACGTCGTTCTGGTTAACCGACTGAAAGTACTAGCATATAGAACCTCTCAACCAGTGGGCAATATTCAAACAGTGGTAACCAAACATATGCGGTAACTAATCTCGTATCAAGAAAGCTTTGCTAGGTACTCAAAACTCGTGGAACAACTCGTATCCCTCTGGTCTGACACTCCCTCTCCCCATTGTGGCCTCGGTGTATTCGTCCACCTCTTTTCTACCAAGGAAGGCAAGAGCACATGTTAACTCGATCGGTAGATTGTCCGTCCACCGGATGGTAAGCCTCGCCGGAAGGGGTAACGTGCGAGGGCCCTGCTTGTTCTCGTTCAGGATCTGAGTTAGTATTGGCATCTCCTTCATCCTCTCTGCCTGACTCTATATCTTCTCCGCCGATATGTCTCCTTCGTCGCTCTGGCGCGCCAGCAAGGCGCTGAAATACCTCAGTCCGACGCTCGTATTTCGACTGGGATCACGTACCTCCTTGGCCCGAGCAACAGAAACCGGAACGATACGACGCAAGGGGAACGAACTCGCACTTCTAGAGTAGTTGCCTCCCGTGCGCTCATTCCGAGCTTGCTCTCTCTGATTATCTGTTAAATCGAACAGCTTCTTGAATCTAGATGCTAGCCTGGGACCTTGACCCGCGGGTCGCGAGCTTGATTGGATCGCCTGAGGTTGGTGAGATGAGCGCCCGCGTCGAGCGCCTTGCTGATGTGTGCTTTTGTATGCAGGTCCCTCCCTTCTGACAGTCGCAGGCCACTGTCGACACAGTTTGTAAAAGGCGATACCACTTGCATGAATGACTTACATTCATGAAGCTTTCCTCAGATGTGCGACCCGTTCGCTGAATGACACAGTGACCTTGTTAATGTCTAGTAATCCGTAGCTGGGCTCGAACACCTACCTCTCGCTGTGCATCCCTTCCCCCCGGGCCTTCTTCAACTGTTTCGTTTTCTTCGCCATCTCCCTCCGACCCCTAACGTCATTAGAAAGCTTAAGACGACGATGTCAATATATTACGTACCTTTCCCAATACTAGTTTTCCGCTCACTGAATCCCAAACTCTGATGTATCCCTCGTACGTCCCGCTTGCGATCCGTGTTCCGTCAGGCGAGAACGCAGCTATCCTTACCGCGCTCTCATGTTCAAGAGACCAAAGCTGCTGGCCAGTGCCCGTGCCCCAGATTCGAACGGTCTTGTCGGCTGACGCGCTCAAGAACGTTATCCCATCGGGCGAATACTGCACGCAGTTGACTCTGTCGTCGTGCTCGACTTTGAGCAGTTGCTCTCCGTTGGAGATCCTCCATACTCGCGCGGATTTGTCTCTAGAGCCACTGAGGACAAATGCTTCATCCAATGACCAACAAACCGACAGCACGCCGTCATCGTGCTTGAATGGTCCAGCTATCACAGTTCTCGTCTCGAGATCCCAAACGTACACTGTGGAGTAACCTGACCCCCAAGCCAGCTTTGACCCACCAGGTGACACATTGAGGGCATTGGTATAATTGTCGTGAGCATCGATAGACTGAAACAAACGGCCAGACTTCACTCCCCAGAGACATATAGTACCATCTTTGCTGGCGCTGACAAGACGGGAACTATCGGGGGTGAATGAAACAGCGTTGACGCGGTCGGTATGCCCCTTGATGGGATCCACGACGAGTTTCTTGGTCTTTAAGTTCCACAGACAAATGGTGTGATCTTCAGAGCTGCTGACCAGCATCGAGCCGTCGAAAGATATGTCGATGGAGGTGGTACCGATGGTCTGGTCGCTAAACACTTCGATTGAATCTTTGTTCTTCTTCGCATCCCAAACCCTGATCGTGTCGTTGAATCCAGCAGTTGCAAATCGAGTCTCACAGGGGAACCATGCCAACGAATTGACCGACCCGATTGTGAGCATTCTGCATGACAGTCGATTATTGGGTAGAAGTCAAAGAACAGTCACTCATGCGTACAGGTTTCCTTTATAGCGCTTGGGTTCGTGTCCCTAGACACAACCCATTCATATAAGTAACACTGAAAAGTAACCAGCTTTCTCACCTCGGGAAGAACGAGTTTTCCCGACATGGCGTCTCGAATACACATACTATAGCCTCTGCCACAGGCTACCACATGCTTCGTAGGGGAGACCGATATTCCGTTGACACGTCCGTCGCTGAACATCGGACCCCACAAGCAGTCTCCTGTCACTGGGTCCCAGGCACGTAAACTCCTATCATATGAGGCACTGATAAGCGCCTGCCCGTGGTTAGTAAATGCGAGGCTTGAGACGGCAAGTCTGTGGCCCTTCATCGGCCGCCTGCATAGTTTCCCAGTATCTGTATCCCACAAACAAATCGTGCAATCCCTACTCCCGCTTGCCAGAAAGCGTCCATCGGGGGAATATGCTACCGACCATACCTCTGATTTGTGGGCGGCCAGAGGCGGGTGGAGGAGAATTCTCGTAGCAACGACCCATACTCGTACCATGTTGTCATCACAGGCCGTCGCAACATGTGCACCGCAAGGAGAGAATGATGCGAGGGTAAGCTTGTTGGGATGTTCCAGAGTGGTGGTGCATTCTCCTGACTGTGCATTCCACAATCGTACGAAGCGATCGCTCGACGCACTACAAATGAGTTGCCCATCCGGAGAGTATTGAACAGAATTAACAACATCTGTGTGACCGTCAAGTGGGCCCAAAACTACCTCCTGGGTCGAAATATCCCAGACACGTAGCGTCTTGTCATCTGATCCGCTGACTATGCGGTCACCTTGAGGTGAGAATGCAATAACATAGATGCCATCCTTGTGGCCTATGAGAGGCTGGCCTACGCTGAGGCCTGTCTTCGAGTCCCAGATCCTTATTGTACCATCATTAGAGGCAGAGGCGATCCAGGCTCCGTCGGGAGAGTAGGCGACATCCCAAACGTCGTCAGTGTGCCCCTCGAAGGGTTTTGGAGTGCGAGTATTGCCTTCAGAATCCGATGATGTGTCTGAGGAGGGCATTCTGCTAAGCGATTCCAAAGAGTCAATTGCGGTTGCACCCTACATGGGTTGTGCACTCACGATGGTGGTTGCTGAGAAAGGTGTGCGGTGCCTCACAGCACACGCACGATGCCTCGAGGCCAAAATTGACGCTGGGGAACCACGCGCCTACCTCGGACCTCGGTACTTAGTCAATTTATAGGCACTCGCATTTGATCGGTGCTTGGTAGCGTCCGATAGCTCAACCTTAGGGGTGAATTAAAGCCTGCCTAGATGATCAACCAGCTGACGACAAAAATTCGAACGATACGCATTCACTCCTTCGCTATCGAGTGGAGCGGTGCCGTCCTGTGGCCGTCAGACCTTCACACATGCACGCGCCTGTCTAATGTGAGTATGAGCGCCTATCATTATGGCTATTCTTCCACAAACATGGAGTCATCCCGTGGCCGCCGTAACGTGCCGGCGTAGGCCCAGACACACAACCATCATCGACTAAGGGTTCTTGGAGAGCGTAAATGAGAGAAGGAAGACGAGACGACCTCGTCATAACATTTGCCGAGTGTACATCGTACGCATCGCTATGATAAGGCGAATGACACGGGAGACCAACGTACCACTAGCCGACCCACGAGGATAAACTACTCACATCTCGTTCGTGACAACTCTAGAAAGAGCGGAACGACCTGGTATCTGAATATTACCCAGAGATCCGGGGTCTGTGGAGCCGCTGAGCATTACGTGTTCCAAATGATTACAGAGTGGAAACAACGCAGGCGGATGTACCAAGATTTGGGATGTAGCGGCCACTTCATCGCATGTTGTAGACTACATTAAGCCATTTGATCGAAAGAGCCGGGTGATAAGAACACAGAATTGGTCTTGAAACGTATGGCAGGCAGGTGAAGTTGCTTACCGCAGCCCGCCGACTGACCACATCCGTAGCAATGACGATGCTCTCCCAGATGCTATGCAAGACTACCGTGCTGAGGCCTTGACATGACTGCAGCCCTGCTGCTGACACCGGGTTACCAGCTGCGGTGATGGAGGTGTTCTGTTGAATCTGAGAGTGTGTTCAGTCACTCTGAGTCGAAGCGGAAGGGGCACTACATGCAAACACGCATGATCCTATCAAGGGAAGGGTATCTGAAGCCGTGAAGTAGGGTTGTACAAGCAGATTGACCACAAATGTGTGATAAGTGAGAATGCGTGGAACGTACCTATTCCTTGTCGCTATCTTACTAAAATCTATCCTCAACCTGCCATTCATCCGATGATTCATATAAAAAGACGCGACCCAAGATCCGCTTTAGCTGTACTATATCTCTAGTCGGCGAGATGTGTGCATGAGCTACTGCGGATAAGCCAATTCATGCGGCGGGTATGAGAGTGTCATCGCCGGGGTTCGGTGGACTGATTGACTTGATTAACTCGGAAAGACGAGATACAATGCACAGGATGATGGATTCAGGATCGTATTTGATGGTCACGTATGGGAAGGCGGATTGGGGTTGAACGTGAGGGCTGAACGGTGCTGGGGTGCTTGACTAAACGCCTCGGTTGGTGTCATGGACATGGGCAAAGACGGGCAGAGATTGATTCCCACGAAGACGGGTTCGGATCGTGCGCCCCGAACACCCGCCGGTGCTACGCCGACGAACTCCGCCGCGCACAAGCTGAGTTGTTGACCAGCTCGACCTTCCTTCAGTGACTCGCGCTCTCTCCCCCTGCTCTTACCTTTATGGAATCACAATCCGCCAGTGAAAAGCCACACCTCAAAGATAGATGAGATTGTATCCACCGGCAGTATAATGGTCACTGTGAGTCAATACGTCTCATGAATGCGACGTACTCTCCTCGGCTCGCATTCCAAAGGCGTACAGGTCTACCCCGGGTTATATCCAAAATGTTACTGATGAACCTCAGACTCGTTTCGGTCGAATGTCTCAGCGACACGACGTTCTCCAGCAAAGAGAAGAGATATCCTTAATCTTGCGCTGTACATCCTCCTTCACCACACCGCATCTGAATCTAATCATTCGTTCGCTATGGTAGCGAAGACCAAGGTCATGTCAGAACACTCTCATCTAGAATTTGTATGCTGTACCACGCCCGCATGCCCCTATATCAGCGGGGCCTACACGGCCTCCCTAGGATGGCTAGCAATGCTCTTCAAGACCGGAGCAAAACGAGTTGACGGTATGTATTTCTTTTATTCCGTTATTGCGAAGACGGCTCGTGTAGTAAACGGTGGCCACAGCTTCAATGCATACAACCCAGACATGGAGGATGTGGAGCCGCCTGCAGCCGCATACAGTACAAATGAACGATACACAGTTACAAAGGCAAGAGTCTCGCGGAGTTATGTTACTGTGTATGCATTCTGCACCATCAACTTGAAGTTGGCATTCACGGCACTTTACGCGATGCACTGCTTGACGAGGACGATGGTAGGGGAAAAGTCTACGGCACGTGGTCTAACCTGTCTCCCTTGAATGCTTACAAGGTCGACTAAACGACAACGAATTCTTCGAATCTCACAGGGAAATCACTGCGTCCGCATCTATTCTCAGTTTGCATATCGTCGCTTAAGTTGTCGGCTCCTAGCAGAGGCGATCCACTCGTCATAGCAGCAAACATGGAAATTCGGTATCATGTTGTCAAGACGTCCGACCATACGCAGGAGTCCACATCAAGATACGCCATGTTCGCTGTGATGTCGATCCTCCCCGTCGATAGTGGCTATCGCAGCATTATCACCTACGGCCCGGGCAGTTGGACACAGCCATCTCCTATCCCAAACATGGAGCCTAGCTGTAATTAATTGATTGTAGGGCTCCAACCATTTAGTTTACGTGTACAACCCAACGTAAATTTACACAGAAACAGTTGTATTCGTATAAACCGTGTACAGTATTCGGATATAAACAGTTTACATAGCACTATCTAGTCTTTGAAACAGTTTGAAACAGCTTCGAAGAATAGGTCAGCATCCTCGAGCCATTTTTTCGTACACATGACCTTAGTAATAGTTGATGCTTTAAAAGAGGAACGAGAGTCACGACAGACGTGGCGTGAACCAGAAAATAGACGTTCGACAGACACGGATGTGGCTGGTATGGCTAAAAAGTCGCGAGCCATCAAGGCAATGACTGGGAAGTCGGTGTTATGCTCCTTAAGTCGGAGTGAATACCACAATGTTACTATGAAAGCAATGTCACATACCTTCCACCAATCCAGGGATTGGTTTAGATCGTCGAAAAACCCTCCCTCGCCATCTGTCCATCGTTGAAACTCTGTACGAACCGGAGCATCAATCAACCTGGGTGCAGATAGGGGAGTATAGCTTAGTTTTGCAAGGGAGTTTGTTGCATTGAGCTTCGGGTGCTTGACCGGTGATGGTGGGGCGGACTTTGGAGCACGCTCCTTCGCGTAGATATCGTAGACGACCTCAAAAAGGTCAGATGCACGCTCCTTTTCGTCTGCGCCGAGCACATCAAACCACTCGACCCGGAAATAGGGGTGGAGGACTAAAGTATCAAGTAGTGAGCACAAAATACATTCGGGTATAAAGAACTGGAGCTTACCAGTTGATATGATGTTATGCTGGCAGCCCTTGGCCATATTGAAGTAATGAATGAGCTTCGCCTTACCAGCAGCAGCAGCTTCACGGATCTTGAGTGGATACTTGTTGGCAGTGTCCTCGATGTACTTGTCGAGGTGCACCCTCATTTGGTGGTATAGGGGTAGTACAAGCGGGAGGGTGGCGACACGTTCGACGGAAATGCTGTGTGTATTCTCAGCGAACTCCTGCTCATGTGTAAAACGAGTCGACATCAAAAAAACCACCAGTAACAACAGAGTGAATGACGTACCTGTAATAGTTCATGAATCATCTCGACTTCCTCCCAATCATAAGGGGGAAGATAGAGATCTGTAAGCTTGTCGTCATCAAAAACCCATTGGTTGATTGCCTAGTGATATATTTTAGCAGAAATACGAGGCAGAACACCCAAAACATGCTCACCTTTCTGAGAATAAGTGCTCGACCCATCATTGCATGTGTCGAGTTCCATCGTGTCCGGACATCGCGTATAGGCATGAGGCGCCATATAGGATGCCCGTTGGGAAGGGTTTCATCAGCAGGATAAGTGCGAGTGGCAATCTCGCGAAATCGCTGGCGGCGTGAGGGCGAGCTGCAGACTTTGATGACAATGATACGAAGCTAATAATGGTTTAATGAGTAATGGAATAAATCCCGATGCGAGAACTGAAATACGCACCCGTTCAATAGCTGAAAGCTGCGAGCGGTCTCCGAGCTGCTCCTGAGCAGCCGGTTCAGCATCGCCACTGGATACGCCCGTGTAATCGTCCTCCTCCATCGCTCGAAGGTCCTCGTCCTCAATGTCAGCTGTGAAATCGAGGGGGAGGTGCTTATTGAGTTGTTCGTAGTACTGTACTTTTTCGACCTTAGGTTCGCGGCCGGAGCGTGGGAACCTCCTTCCTATTCTGGTTGTCCACGCTTCTAGGTTCGGCGGAGGGATACGCCTGGGACACTACGTTCGTTGCACTCCATGGGACTCCACCACGGGACATTAGGTTCACGCCCAGCGACCGCGTGACTGTCTCCGTAATCACGCACGCACGCCGCAGTCTCCAACGCTGCATCATTGGACGCGCGATCGCTCCTCCAGGTCACCAGCATCGCCACCCGTTGGTCTCCATTTCCTGCCAGGGCCCGGCCTTCGAGTGGTATGGGGCCCTCAACGTTTCAACCGTGCTACACAGCACGGATTTGTGCTCCCAGAGGAGTGGTTGGACAACTGGTGAGTACCGTTTCATATCGAGTTGACGCCCCACTTGGACTCACCTTTGTCAACGCTCGGCTAAAATCCGCATCGTTGATGCGGAAATTAAGCGAGCAGCGTCGACGGGTCCACATTATGTCCACCTCTCGGCAAGCAACCTCGCGCTTGCACAAGAGCCAACACGTCAAATTTGAATGCCATACCTATGTACGTCCCATGTTGCTCTTCCCTTCCCCTTTTCCGTTCACGAGTACTCGCGCACCCCATCTTCGCGTCGACTGACTGTTCTTTACAATGCCTGCGAGTTCTATCCCTCAATACACGCCTCCAAACTCAACCTGAAGGATGAAGATCGGGTTAGTCTTGAGAATGAAGTAGGAGCTGACGGAGCTGAAGAGCAGTGCGCTGAACTCGAGACATAACCCATCCATCACCTGCTGTACCCATCTGTTGCAGCGACGTATCTACACGCACCATCTTTGTAAGATCTGAGTAATCTAAGGCACTTAACTGATAGCAATGGTTCGGACCGTCACTGGCGTTCTCGCATGTCATCCAATACCTGTATTTCTGCCCTCACTTGTCCATCATGACAGACTCCCGCTCTCCAGATCCTTGATGTCAATGCCTAGTGCGATCTAGGCGATGAACCCTCTGGACCTTTGTTTCTCTGACAACACTGACGGAATTTCAGTGCATCCACCTCCCCCGATGGCAGCGTTGCGAGGATATGCTTAGGAAATTCACATGTTAGAAGGTGCGTCCCTTATTCTTACGGTGGTCTGGCATGCTCGTACTGACACTTAAGCAGACAGGTTTTGGGATTGCACGCTGTGATTGTTTCCTCCCTCGCTTCTATGGCCTCATCCACCCTCCCTCAGCTCTCCGCTGATGAGCGCGACACGTTTCGGGCTGCCATTGAGGTCCCGAGGGACTACATCCCTCTTGCCAAGGATCCCAACACTCCTATCATGACACTTCTCTCTACTCGTTTGCCCGCCCGCTCGCAGTACCCTCGCTCACTTCCCCTCATCGACATCTTCTCTACTCATGAACCAGATACAGATATTCCAGACATAGCTGACATCCCCATCCCCGCCTTCGCATCCACTTTGAACAACTCGACGCTCCAGAGTCAGTGGGCAGGTGGTTCACGTAGTATCCGTCTGGTGGTATTGGGCCGCGTACGCTTCCTCTTTCTCTGGTTTGCTCCCTTGTGGTCATCCCTTGCACCTATGATCGACGCGCAGCAGGCTTGGATGTGCGCTCACATTTGGGCCACCCTCTCATTGCTTGCCAGTCCTACACCGACCCCCTTTGCCCACATTCCCTCATCTGTCACCCAATTCTTCGATACTGTTGGCTGGGATGCTTGGCTCGGTCCCTCTGGGCTTCATTCGCTGGAGCTCGTCGAGCTCTTCTCAGAGGATCTCATCTGTGGTAGTCTCATTGACCGCTGCGTTAAGATGATTCGAGACTGGGCAGACAGGTATCCCATCCGTGCAAAGCTCAAGATCGACACCCTTGACTTCCAGATCCCCTTTGATGACAATCTCCAGGTCTATTGGGATCGTTTCGGGACCATCCACGCTGGCCATCTCACTCATCTTGGCAACGTCGCTGGCGAGTTGCTTGACAGCGACTTTGTTGGTGTGATAAACCCACTTCATGACCCTATTCGTCGGCATTACTTTGCTGCTCTCCTCGACACCCGCTCTGGTCAGCTTCACGTTGGTGATTCCCTAGGTGGACTGCCCACAGAATCCATTCGGCCTGGCGACCTTGAGGGTTACCGCCTCTTCGCCAAGCAACTTGGTCTCACTCTTAGCCCTACAGTCCGGAGTCTCCCGCATTCGCTCCAGCATGACGACTCGTTTTCGTGCGGCATCATCACGCTCAACACCATGGAGCGTGCTGTCTTTTCTGGGGTGCGACCATGGTCTCTGGCTACCAGGCATCCCGAGCGTGTTGAGTACGCTCTTCTCCTCGCTACTCAGCCGGACAGCCCCTATACCTTGGTATGTTTATATTTTATAGGTGTCCTTACTCAGGCTGACGTCTCTGAAGGAGCAGCTTGGCTTGTCGGAGGAGATTATCACAGCACGTCATGATGGGAGCCGCCTCCGCGGAACCACACATCCTTTCGCATCGCATACACCATTCCATTCCAGCATCGACCCCTCTCTTGGTACTCCATCCGCCTCTGTCACTGACCCCTTGTACGATGACCCCTCCACCGACGCTGATACCACCGGTGACATCGGCTCTTCCTTCGACGCTGACTCCAGCTTTGATATCGACACTCTTCCCAACACCGATGCTGACCCATATACTGATGTTGATGTTGATGTTGATGTTGACTCCGACTCCAGCTTCAGCTCGGACTTGGACAGCAAGTTATCAAGCCCTCGCCGTCTGGTCGACCCCTCTGCTCGTAGCACCACCCATAGTCAGCATGCCAAGCCTGCTCGCTGCACTGTCCAGCCTGGTTCGCTTCACACTCGGCATCTCTCCCAGTCCCGCCTTGGCTCGTTCTTCACTACCGTTACCCAGGATGAGGCTGAAGAAATTCGCCTCAAAACTAAGGACGAGAGGCAGGTGCACGTGAAGGAGAGGATAGAGATGGCGGAGCGAAAGGCAGTCGTCACAAAGCTCTCGCGGCAGGCAAAGAAGACAATGCAAGAGACCATCCGCAAGCGTCGATACCGGGCAAAGCTCAAGGCCATACGGGTATGCATCATTTTTTCGCATCACTTGAACCGCCCCACTAACACGCCAGTTAGCTCGCGGCCAATGCTAGTGGTGGGAGCAGTGGCTCCATTACACCAGCTTCGGGCACGCAGTCCCTTACTTCGTCCACCGCCACATCAGCACCACCATGTTCGCTTCCCGTGCTCACTCCAGAGCTCTCCCGACCCCATCGCCAATACCAGGAGCTTGCCCGCCAGGACAAGGACTCACGTGGTCGCAAGCGAATCAATGAACACGCTGAGGCACAACGCTTTGATTGGGTCACACCAGCTATCTTCGCTCAGATAGACGCTGCAAGACGTGCAGTCGGATGGTCTCAGGCGGATATCGTCAGGCAGTTAAAGTTGACAAATTCGGAGCAGTTTGGTCGTCTCTGGCCGCAGAATGTCGGTCGTTGGATTGTTTCTGATGAGACTGGCAATAAGGACTGGCATCCCCGCATCTATGCGAAGCTGGCTATGGGGAATTTGCCACACGGGCGAGTCACTCGTAACGGGATCTTGGTGCGTATCAATCTATCTAGCATGCTTGCTGTTACTGATTGTTTTGTAGAGTATGTACCCTGATGTCGTTGAGCAAATAGCCGATCAACTGCGCCTCCTTCGCGCAGGTGGTGTACCCCTTTCCATTGCGTCAATACGAGCGATCATGCTCGCCTTCATTACCCGTCATGTCCCTCACCTGCTCGAAGCTCACGCTCCTGACGCAAGGCCCTTCATGTGCTCAGAGTCGTTTGTTCGCAAGTTCGTCTATCTCAATCTCCGTTGGGTCCCTCGAGCGTCCACTCGTGCAGCTCGAAAGACACCTGAAGACGCAGAGCAGCAGATATACGAGCTCTTCCTGCGGCTAGCACTCTGGGTGCGGGATAGCGCAGTTGATCACCCCTCCCTCTTGATTAACTTCGACCAGACTCAAGTCATCATGGCCGACAGCACGGCAAATACGTTTGAGGTTGAGGGCTCTAAGCAGGTTGAGGTGCTCGGAAAGGAAGAAAAGCGTGCGTTTACCGCTGTCCTTGCTATCTCAGCGTCAGGCGATGTTCTCCCCATCCAGTACATATTCAAGGGATCCACCAACCGCTCTCTCCCCTCAGCGTCAGCTCCCCGGATGTCTGAAGCCTCTGACCTGGGGTTCTTGTACTCGCTTAATCGCCTCAATTATTGGTCCGATCTCCGTACTATGCAGCAGTTCATCGAGCTCGTAGTGGCTCCGTACTTCACACGTCAGAAAGAGCTCCTCGGCTACCCTCCCGACCAGGAATGCACTATTCTGCTGGACTGTTGGTCTGTTCATCGTGGTAAGCCGTTTACTGGCTGGCTTCGCAAGTCGTACCCCTGGCTGCGTCTCCGGTTCGTTCCTGGTGGCACTACCGGCATTGCCCAGCCCCTTGATGTCGCCGTGCAACGCCCGTTCAAGCTATCAATCAAGAGGTCTCAGCTACAAGACACAGTTGATGAGGCCGTACACCACCTGGAGGCCAGCGACGATCCCTTGGCACTGAAGATTGACACTCGTCTTTCCACCCTTCGAGACCGATCAGTAGCGTGGGGGGTTCAGGCATGGCATGATATTAATCAGCCCGAGCTTATCCGCAAGGTGATTGGTGCATATTTTTTAATTGTACTTACTCTGACACCTGATGCGACAGGCTTTTTCTCGCTGTGAGGTCCGTGGAGGGTATAATCTCTCTTATGAATCCCTTACGAGTCGAGACGCCCGAAAGCTGCTTCGTGAACTCCCTCGTAGCGAGCCGGCGCTTTGGGATCGTATTTCGAGCCCAGAGGCTGGCAACGCAATCGATTCCAACCAGGATCTGCCTGAAGACGAGGACGTTCACCCGGCCTCCGACGCGGAGGACGACAATGATGACCCATTCATAGGTGATGACGACATTGATGACGATTCCTGGATGGAGCCATCCGACCTTATGTCTCGTATACTTCACCCAGACGCCGGGGCCGCTGCTCAAGCATCTCTGCCAGGCCCGGGAATCGCTGATGAACACGAACTTGATCTGGACACCATCAACGTCCCCGAGCTTGACAACGACGAGGATTTTGGGCGAGGTAAGAGGCGTCGTACCTCAAACAAGCAATATGATGGTTTTGTAGGTCACTAGGTAGTTTTGTCGCACTTGTACATGTTTTTTGCCCCCTTATTTGTATTATTTTACATGCTTTACACAATGTCCACGCAAATAGGTTCGTCCACGCTGTGACGGTGGGACTGTCCACGCATTTTAGGTTCGGTTCGCCGGTCCGGTGGGACAGGGGACGAACCTAAGGTCGAAAAAGTACAGTAGTCTTGCATGTCGGGGTCGTCATCAACGAGTTTTAACGAGGCAAGCATTGCCTGGACGATGAGATTGAGCACGTGAGCCAGGCAGCGGATCTGACCATTCTTTGCGTGGAACGGGATTCTGTATCGTTGTTGAAGAAGCTTGCCCACCGTTGTTGCAAAGACCTCGTTTGAACGAGCGTTGTCCATAGTGATTGAGATTAAGTGCTGCGAAGGTCAGATTTCGTGTAATAGGGATTGATTCGGGCAGCTGTTTGGATAGCTTGCTGATACTTTTGACAAGGGTTTGGCGGGCTGCATGCTCGTCGTCTGTTCTACCCATGATACAAGATGTATGGAGTGATGTTGGTTAGGATGTTGCGTGAACTTGAGACTTTGGGCTGAGACTAGGGGATATCTGAGACAACGCGCTGTAGTGTGTACTCCTCAGTCCTCAGCCAGTGTGATTATGTAATTGAGAGCTTCATCATTGCACATATCATTCTAGAGTGGTCCTACAGTGCTATAAAATACGTGAAAGTACTTGTCTACTATGAGATAGACACTCCCAGTCTTCAGCATTGATATGTAGTGCTGCAAGCTCCGGGTGTTCACCGCTCCACGTATCTATTGCCTGAACCGGTGCACCCAAAATATGGGTCATGCTATAAATACTAGTGCTTAAAGTAGAAAAAGCGATCTGCTTACCGTTTGAAGCTGGAGTGCACGCTCGACCATAGCGAGAGTAGTGGCTGGACGTGTTTGAATATCCAACACCGGCAGGAGGCCATTACTGTAGATTTTCGACCTTAGGTTCAGTCCCCTGTCCACCCCCCCATGTGAACTGAACTTCCGGGGGTGGACAGTCCACCCTTAGGTCGATACCATGAACTTAAATAGGTGGACAAATTGTAAAGACAGCCAAAAACCCGATAGAATTGCAATGAGAACAAAACAAGCGTGATAAACTATTCTAATGGCCTAAGAAACCCGAGTAGCGCTTACTGGTAACACGACGGCGCTTCCCCCTGCCCAAATCCACCGTGTCAGGGTCAGGGACTTGCAGAACACTCACGTCGACGTCGAGATCGTCTGCCATGCCAGGGGTCGAGGTGGAGGCAGCAGAGACGTTGACATCACCTGGGTGGAGGATTCGCGACATGAGATCAGCGGGCTCCATCCAAGTGTCGTCATCGTGCTCGTCTTCGTCTTCGAAAGGATCAATGTTGTCAGAGGAGGCTGTGTCTCCGTCCGGCACTGTGTTAGCCTCAGGTGTGATGCCGTCGTCCTCGGTGTACTGGGAGATGCGCCGAAAGAGGTCCGGAGAGGTGCGGGGTAGCTCGCGAAGGACCTTGAGAGCGGCCAGGCTGGTAATGGATTCGAAGGAGAGGTTGAATCCTCCTCGAACCTCGCAGCGAGCGAAGGCCTGTAGACTTTGTTAGTGTACCAGCCATGGATTGAAATGAGAAAACTTACCTGCTTGATGAGCTCGGGATGGTTGACAGCTTCATATGCCTGCACACCCCACAAGACCGACCGATCCCTGAGTGTACTGATACGATTGTCGATTGTGAATGACGAAGGGTCATTGTTGTCGGCAAGGTGAGCAAGGGCCTCATCGACGGTGTCTTGAAGCTGCGATTTCTTGATTGCGAGCTTGTATGGGCGCTGCACGCCGACATCGCAGGGCTGGCAGATGCCGGTCGTGCCCCCGGGGATGTACTGAAGTCGAATCCAGGGCCAACGGCGGCGGATGAGGGATCGGAAAGCAAGGCTGCGATGAACTGACCAACAATCGAGGAGCACGACACACTCCTGATTGTCGGGGTAGCCCAGGAGTAGCTTCTGGTTGGTGAAGTAAGGGACAATGATGTTGGCGAAGTACTGTTCCATGGTCGACAAGTTCGACCAGTAGTTGAGGTGGTTCCAGGAGTAGACGAAGCCGAGGGAGCTAGCTTCGCCTCGACCTCGCGCGTTTGGGGAGGGAATGGAGCGCTCGGTGGCACCCTTGAAGATGAACTGCGTCGGGAGGACATCGCCCGACGCAGAAACACCGACCACCGCCGTGAAGGCACGCTTCTCCTCCTTCCCGAGGACAGAGATTTGCCTCGACCCCTCGACGTCAAAGGTGTTGGCGGTGGTGTCGGCCATGACGACCTGAGTCTGGTCGAAGTTGACTAGCAGCGAGGGGTGGCGAGTCACAGTGTCGCGAAACCAAGAAACGAGGCGAAGGAACAGCTCAAATATCTGTTCCTCTGCATTGTCGGGGGTCTTCTGGGCTGCACGGGTTGAGGAGCGCACGACCCACTTGAGCTTCTCATAGACGAACTTGCGGACGAAGGACTTTGAGCATAGGAAGGGCTTCTTGTCAGGGGCGATGGTACGGAGCAGCTCAGGAGTGTGGTGGGCGATGCGAGCAAGGATCAGGGCGCGGATAGAGATGATCGTCATTGGCACACCACTAGCTCGAAGATAGCAGAGCTGGTCGATGATCGCCGTGACAAGATTGGGGAACAGATCCTACATCAATAAGGTTAGAAGAATTACGATAAGACAACAGTGAATGCACGCACCAAAATGCCACTCCTAGTGGGCAACCCATGGGGTCTGTACCCTGTTGAGACGCGCTTGATGACGACATCTCGCCAGTGCGGAAGTCCGTTCTGAGGACGGTTGATCCACCGGCCGACAACTTGAGACTTGAGCGTTGCAAACTGCTGGGGGTTGACGATGCGAAGGTGACGAACGATGGCGGTTGGTGACCACCCAACGACTTGAGCAGCGTGGTCGATCTGCTGGAAGATCACTGGATGAGTCCAGTTGAATCTCTCAGCATCGACCTCTTCGTGTGTACGCTTGCGTCCACGAGAGTCCCGGTATGATTGATCCTGCTGGCTGTAATGGCGATAAGGGCGAGAGAGCTCAGCAGATGGGGCGGGAAGAATCGTGGCAGCAGAGGAGGGTGAGGAGGGTGAGGAGGGTGAGGAGGGCTGCTGGAGGGTGATGGTGGAGGAGACGCTGCTGGAACGAGCAGTCGTCTGGTTGTTCTAGTCAGTAGATAGAAAGATGGAATAGAATATGATTGCGCACCTGTCTGGCCCTCCTACGCTCGCGATAGCGACGCTTCTTTTCCCTCTCCCTCTCCCTCTTGCGCTCCCTGAGCCCAAGCTCCCGGAGTGATGCTTCACGCTCGAGTTTGTGAGCGTCGTCCAGACGTTCGGCCTCCCGATCTGCTTTTGTGCGCAGCCTCTCTACCTCCAGCTCATCCCGCGATACCCTCGAGAAGAAAGAATTGAGGCTCGACTGGGAGAGTGTGGGGTGGGAGGGCAGAGGTCTTGCAGACCGAAGGGGGGGTCGGGGAGGATCTGAGTCATCGTCGGAGGAGTCAGCACTGGTGTCTGAGTCGCTGTCAATGCTCGTGGAGTTGTTGCCATCCTCTGACCTGCCATCCTCAGCGTCAGTGTCCGGATGGGTCGGGAGGTCAAAGTAGAGCCGTCCTCCATTGTGTCGCTGGGGGATGAGCTCGTCAGGAAGGCCTATGTCGGACTAGAGAGTGATAAGCATACGGAAATGAGAGATGAAGTGAGAACTTACAAGTTCATATTGAGTCCCCTGCTGCGTCACCAGAAGGAGGGCAAACTCGACGCGCTCCAAGAACTTGGTGGCCTTTGACCAGGGACGAACAGCAGGAAAGACAAAGCGCTCGATTGTGTTGAGCGTGATGATACCGCATGAGAACGAGTCGTCTTGGATGGAATGGGGTATGGCACCGATGTTGTCTTGCAGGCTGAGATCGAGCTTGCGGGCGAACTTGCGGTAGCCGGCGAGATCGTGATGCGGGATAGGAGTTCGAGGAAGAGGGCGAAGCGAGTTTCCGACACTTAGTTGGCCGGTTCGGGTGTCAAAGAACGCAGCCACAAAGTGGTCGTTGCGGTGATCGTGGAAAGGATGAATGATGCCGTCAAAATTGCGAACGCGCAGCCGATCTGCGAGATCGCGAAGGTGAGTGAGGTGCCCGGGTGCCCCAGTGTCGAACTGATCCCACTCGACAGTGGGGCGGATCTCGGCTGAAAAAGGGATCTGGAAATTGAGGGAGTCGATGACTACATTGCGGCTGGTGGGAGATCTTGAGGCCCAGCCACGGATCATTGACGTACAGGCGTCGATGATATTGCCCGGGAGGTAGTCATCTGAAAAAAGATCGGCGAGCTGCAGAGAACGGAGAGGGGTCCCTTCCAGAGGACAGTCCCACCCGACGACCTTGAAGAACTTGTCGAGAGCGGAGGGAATGTGGGCGAAGATGGTGGGCGCCAGGCTGGAGTGAATGTTGAGATGTGCCCAAGCATGCGCCTTTGTCCACACGTTTTGCGCTAACATGGCGGGGCAGATGGCGTGCCAGTATGTGCCAAACCAGAATGGTAGATAGCGAATGACGCTGTCGACCTCGACGCGAATAGAACGATAGCCGTTCCTCCATTGCGTGGCGAGTGTTTCGAAGGTGAGGAAGGTGCCATAAGGGGGAATGGGGATTCTGCAGACATCAAACGGGCCATCCTCGGGGGAGTTCGTTGAGAAGAGGTTGTCAAGTTCATCAGCGGAGGGGGGCTCAGAAGAGATCCAAGAACGCGGAAAGGGGAAGTCGATTAGAGTGATGATAGCAAGTCCACGCCCCGGCATGAGAGGGCGGTAGCAATCAGGCACGTACTGAGCTGATAAGAAACCGGCAAGGGCAGACATGATGGTGTGGATTAGGATAGGGAACGTGGTATGAGTAACAAGCGAGCGGGTGGGCAATTACGAGGATGAGGTGATAGGATATGAGACGAGAGGAGGCGATGATAAAACGAGAGCAGGTGAGAGCAAGGATGTGGTAGGGAGCGATGGGAAAACGAATGGATGGGGTAGGCTGGGGTTGTCGCACTGAACGCCAGCCGTTTTTAAGCTGATACTGACCAAAAATCCTATATTTGGGTAAGTGAGTTGGAGAGCCAGAAGAGCATAAAAACTCACCGTCAGCGACGCGATAGGAAACAGCGAGAGGTGATAATGACCTGAAGGCAAACACGAGTAGCGAGTCACGTCAAACAGAAAGGCTTTGAGGAGACAAATAAGGCTTACTGGGTCCAAGGTCCATAGCTGGATGGACGGAGGGGGCTGAGCACAAGAGTTGGCCTGAGGGGAGCGAGGGGAACGAGGGGAACACAATGCCGATGCTGTAGACGATAACAAGCAAAGAAAGATCAACATCAATAGAGTCGGACGATTAGGCAAGACAGACGTACCTGCAAGTCGGCGCCGAAGCTGCAGTTCTGACGTGGGGAGGCATTGGTGGCCTCGAGGTCAACGCCGTCGACCCAGGGGACAGGCTGGGACAGGTTCAATGCGTCCCTGAGAATGAACGCTGTCCACCCCGGCCTCGGCCCGTTGAACTTATTGGAGGGGACATTCGGAAAAGGAAACTGGCCCGAGACGCGACCTTCCCACGCCACCGTGAACCTAAGGTCGAAAATCTACAGTATGGTGGGATATCTGGAGGTGCTCCACAATTGCACGGAAACGTGCACGGTGGGCTGAAACCCTAATAATATGTTGAATTATAGCACGAAGCTGGGAAGAGGTTAGATACACAGGATTCGGATATCGGGTGAAGATATACCTTGTTAAAAGTCGTGCTTGTTTCATTCATCGTTGTTCAGTGTAGGTGCAAGTGCCCAGCAAATATACTAGTGCCTGATCACGCTCGCGGCTGGAGTCAGGAACAATTACTCTGTTTGTCCGATTCAAAAACAAGCATTATTATTGGGACCAGCACAAAATTATAATATTTTTGGTGCAGTCCAAATGTCTCTGAGCACTTACAGACGTACTATGGTGCTATAATGTCTTGTAAACAAAAGAAAACTGTTTACATACAAAGTATAAACCATATACGCCCACCCGTACACTTATACAGTATACTATACACCGGAGTTTCAAGGAAATATTCCAACACGAGGAAGTTAGGGCGAATATAAGTCAAATTCTATATTCCTTAATGTACTCGCGTAGATACGAACACCCGACGCGCGCTCCTCTCACTCGCTACATACTCGACGTCGTCCACTTATGTTCACATCGGCGGATTTGTTAATGACATACATGTTTTGGCCTTAGAACTTGAACTGCCCGATGATGGTGCGAGTATGCGTAAGCCCTTGCCTTCGACCACCACCACCATTGACCCCTTCCACGCTGCCTAAGCCATGCCCAATGCCATTGGCCTTTTTAAGTGCCCATGAGGGTCCAGAGCCGGCTCGTGATAGTGACAAGTGAGTATATGTGTCAACCTTTCAATGGGATACACTCACTTAATGCTGTTCTCCAGCTCCAGCACCGCGCCTGCAGCCTGAGATGGCCTAGACACAGGTACATGCAAACAAGCAGGTGGAGGAGTCGCTGATGAGCGGGGAGGGTGTAGAGGGATCCCGAGAAGGACAAGCTCTGCGTCATAGGTAGGCTGTTCGTGATTTTCGGCTTCGTTTGCTGACACTGTCTTGAACGGTGTCTTGAATGGCTTTGGACCACTTCCCTCAGCCCTCTGTTGCTCCGTAAGCCCCCCTGGTGCAGTGCTAGCGTCCCGAAGCTGTTTCTGACGCATTTTTTTTTCGCAGTGCCAGACGTGCTGCTTGTATGCACGGGTGACTGACCTTGGGCTCCTGCAGTGCTTGCCCGGCCCCCATCATTCACTCCCCATCCTCTACCCTTACAATCTCCTCTACCCTGTCCTCTACCTGGCGCGCCTCAGCCCCAGTGGAATCCTGCGCTGCGGGACGATGCATCAGGCCGTGGGATGATGCGGACTTTGATGGTATTGGAGACTCCAGTCAGAACGGTTTATTAGCATCTGTGTGCCAATTTCGCAGATTGGAATTATGCGTCTCAATGCAGCAAAATGACATGCCATGCTTGATCTATACACACACATATTGCCGCAGATGCAGCTGTCTGCGAGAGATGGGTGTATGCACTCCATTTTGTTGCATACAGGTGCATCATCCGACAGAATCGGACATGCGGCTGGCTGTAATACGTGGGTTTAAATCGTCCATTTCGCTGCAGACAGCTGCATCACCCGGCAGAATCGGATATGCAGTATAATGCGATAGCAAGCAAAGCAAATAATATGATTCGCCCCGGATCTATTTTAAGCACATGCGGGATGATGTTCTAATCTGCGGCCTGGTGGATAGCACACTGGCGACGGCGCGATCATAAAAACAGAAACAATCCCGAAATCGTACCAAGTCCAAAATGCTGACCCGCTAACCCGTATCCACCTAATGAAACGTCCCTCTGGCGATGGCCGTGCACGTATTCGAGGTCCACGCACCCTCAGCGACCTGATAAATAGATTAGAACGATAGAACATGTATAGTTGTGATATACGCACCAGTTTCTTGGCCTCAGCAGTGTATTTCTACATGAAAACATGCATATGTCATAAACTCGATAGTGAGAATGAGAAAAACATACCTTTTTGAGACCTGGGGCCAGGTTCTTGTAGTATCGAGCAAAGTCGAACTCGTCGACTACGCTGCCTTTATTCTTCTCCTTCTCAAGCCACCGAATGGCGCAGAGCGTCCTGTGCATCATGCAAAAGGACGTTAGAATAAACACTTGAGTTGGCGGGCCGCGAAGAGCATACCTTCCATCCTTCTTATCCCCAGGATCAAAGGCCTCCTTAGCCGCATCCTCCTCCTTGTGTTGACCAGACACTCCAGCCTCCGGTTTATGGTCGAATGCGCCGGGAACGGGCTCACTAAAGCCTTCCTTGCGAGACTGCGAGCGAGATTTTTTGGTGTACTCACTGTACATCAGAGCATGTTAGCTGTAGTATACATAAAATAAGAGAGACTTACGAGGGATTCTCGAGGACAGCCTGAGCGCGAGACTTGAACGCTTGAGACGGTGGCTTGGAGGGTGTAGTGGCAGCTGCCGACTTGCGAGCCGTTGAGCGCGTGGTTTTCGTGACGGGTGGTGACACCAACAGGGGAGTAGATGTACTTGAGGCCGAGGTGTGGACTTGGCTACATATATCCTGCTCGTGAGTCGCCTCTTCAGAAGGCACTGCAGGGATGGCCTTCTTGCTCAGCTTGAATTTGAGCACCGGTAGCATGCGGGGAAGAGGCTCTTGCTCCAGGTCTTGGCTTGGAGCTGGCGCTGCGGTGGTCCTCGGCTCGGTGGGAGTCGCCACCTTTTGGCGAGAAGCAGCAGCTGTAAGTAAACAGAACATCAGCTTCAAATTATATAGAATAAAGGAAAATGTACCGTGATCGGCGGGAAGCCCACTGGCACATGCGTTGGTAGTGGCAGCACGCTCTGATTGCTCCCTCTCTGCACGCTCCTTCTCGAGCCACGGAAGCGGAGACGATTCACAACTCCCCTCTTCGTTTGCATCAGGTGAGTCAGAGGGGAACGTATGTGGCTCAAACACTTCTTCGTCCCTGTTCTCGGGAATGTCGTCACGTTCGACATTGCTAACGCGGGTGCAGTCGGTAGGATCAATGGCAAGGGCATCCTCGCGCTCGATAACAGGGCTGTCCTGCCGAGTGACCTCGTCTGCACCCACGCCCATCGGGTTGGGGTCATCCAGATTATCTTGATCGGAAATGGCTTCGGGGGAAGGAGGAGGAGGAGGGGCAGGATCTGTACTAGTGTTAGTGTACTGTAGTCTGACGAGCGAATACATACCGTTTTCTTTTTCCTTGCCTTTCCCTTTGGCGCGCTTGGTGGAGACGGTGGCTTCATCTGCAGAGGGAGAACGGCTTCGCTTGCTTGATTTTGCAGCCTTGGAACGAGCGCCTTGACTAGATGCTGACGTGCTCTCGGAATCCTTGAGGATGGCCTCAGCTGCCTCGGGGTTGTCCTCCATCTTGGCCAGGATCTCGGGCCTGATGTTCCCGAGATCGTCGAGGTAGCTTCTCTTGAAGTTGGGGAAACTGTCCTTACCGAGGTAGTCGACCTTCCAATCGTCCTCTGCGAGAGCAAGCCACGGATACTTGGAGTACATGGACGACGAGCATCATTTGCCAGCCCCTGAGCGGATCTGGTTATTAATGGGAGCAGTTTTGCGTGAGGGGCAACTCGACCGGCTCGGGCGGAGTCAGTGATTTGGCCATTTATGTGGGTCAGCCGGAGTGCATGTGCCCATGCACGTGTCGTTAATAATAATAAAATGACTGCAGAAATAAACTATGTAGTGACACCTGTGTATACAATCAAAAGTACACTGCGGTTTACTCTTCCACCTCCTCTTCGTCTGCCTCAAGCTCATCTCCTTGGCGTGTAAAAGTAGCTACATCAAATCCCGGCTTTAAACACAGGAAAAACTGTTCCTCTGGTTCACCTGTGCTCGGAATAACAGGGAAATGAGGCACCATGCCCACAAGATGCGTGATCTGGGTGACGTCAATAACAGTGGCAGATTCATCTCCCAGATGTCTGCTTGTCCAACATGCGCGTTCAGATAATTTCATCAGATCGGGATCAGGATCTGAGTATCTCCAGACGATTGCAATGGACCTGATTTCGTCAGGCGCGGTTGGGTGATTGAGAGGTAGGCGAACTTGTGTATAGTACATCACCTCGCCAATGCATGTCGTGCCGTCTGATTCATACTGATTAACATGAGTGTTAGTAGCACAACATGGAAAGCAATCAAATAATCTGATAAGTCACTGACCTTGACGTTACGAGCAATGCGAACATTAGCTCGACGTGCAACATTCTCGCGCCAGGCACATCGTGTTACTGTACCATCAGGAAGCTGGAGTCGAGCCCAACGTCGAATCTTGTGAGGCTCGCATCCCATGTTAGCTATAAGCGCAACTCGTGCCGAATCCACAGGAGCAACCTCGTAACGGTCGCGGGCATGTAAGAGAAAGTATCCATGTCCGACATCCTTGGCAAGCCCAGAGGGTGGTTTTGGTGGATCGAGATCGGGCATGAGACTCATGATAGCATTCTTGGTACAGCGACGAATGCCAATGCGAGACAGATTCTCGTACATCTGCGAGGGTTGCCGGATTTCTTGTCCAAGGTTGCCTATCGTTCGTTCCATCGTCCACTGGGCGTAGCATATGGGCGGACCTTTGCTAATCGTCTCGTCGACTAGATGTAAGACTTGATGAATGCTGTGTCGGACGAAATGCAGTCGATCTTCACGTTTGGCATAGTAGAGCTTCTCGTAGCCTTCGTACCATGACGTGAGACAACGATGCGCCTCAATCAGTTCATCCGGCGTGATCGAGTGCTGACTGAGAATTTGAAAGCCACGAACCAGCTTGCAGAAGTGAGCCCAATACTCAGTAGGAAGCACACCAAGGAGCAGACCGACACAGAGACAAAAGAACCAGATCTGGTACTCGCAGGTTCGGTACCCAGAATTGCTGTACTGCTGGATATTTCGCGGCCTATGATCAAACTTCTCCGGCAGGTGGAAGCCTGCAGCCTCAACATCCTCGCCGTGAGCAGCCCAGATTGCGTCATCCATCAAGACCGCAAAATCCCAGGTAGTGGGATCGTCGTGGAGTGAATGCTCCATATTGCCTCGCCAGAGATCAATGTGCAAGGTTGCAAGAAGGCCGGCCAAGTGCATCTGGTCGGGAGCGAGGCACCGAGGTACTTGGAGCGTGTATCTAGGCTGAAGACCTAGCAGGATACTTGGCTTTGTTAAGCCAGTGTCTTGACGAGCATCTTCGTAAGCCGTTTCGGATCTAGCCTGTACGATGATCTTGAGATTCTCGTAGTAGTCAGCTGATGCTGTGGGAGGGATGCGGTGTACAGATATGTCGTCATGATCGCACCCGGCAACGCTGTAGCTGCTAGGCCTGCGTGGCTTGATCAGAGCAGGATAATAATGTGTCCCACGAGCCTTGCGTCGCCCACGAACACCACAGTACAGGCGGCAGCCATTCTTCCCGCAGTGGCCACACATCCCGTTGAAATAAACAAGTCCGGGCCCGTCTGCCGTTGCCAGATAGTGGTAGATCCGCGCAAGGTACTGGCATTGCTACCATGCATTCCAGATCTGTAGTCCTTCCCGCTGAAGAGCAGAGACATGGTGGTATCCCGGGAACAAGAACGAGTCAACATTCTTCGGTTTCTTAGGCCCCGGGATAAATCCGCCAGGAAAGACGTACTGCTTCTTGTACCGTTTGTCTGGTGAGTACTCGAGAATAACCCACACATACAGCCAGCAGTCAGATTCCCGAGAAGAATAGAGCTGAGCACCATCGAGAGAGATCATGACAACGATGTCATTGTCAGTGATATCACCATTCCGAACAGCCTCGAGATAATCTGAGCCAGAGACAAAGTCATCATAGACAGGGATACGGCCGTTTGCCAGAGCTTCTTTGATGATCTGCTGAGTCCGTCGCACACAATAGTTGAGGTCTTCAGCGCTTTTAGAGTCCCCATAAAGCACCTGGAGCAGAGGACCTAGCGGAATCGTATGGAATTGTCGAGAGACACGCTGACCCGTTTTCCTAAGTATTCGCTGATCGTATCGATGCCTCCCGCATTGAGCGCAGCGCATGTCGTTTTCGAATGGACCTGTGAATGCGAGACAGGTGTCCCAGCACATATCGTGCTTAATCGAGTAGATACCAGTCAGCTTGGCCATGAGCTTCTCGACGCCGTCGTAGTGAAGAAGGTCCTTGGCACTATCGCCCCATGTCAAAATTTCGGAGGAGCGGACCGCCTCAAAGGCTGCGCGAGATGAATGTTCGAGGGCAAAGAACGTGCGTATACTGTGCTTTTCCAGTGGACTCAGAGCAGGTGCTGGTTCGTGCGGTGGGTTTCTGAGTCGATCGCGAACCTCGGCTGATAACTTTGCCACGGGATCATCAAGACTTGCATCACGTATTCGGTGTATATAGCTGCATGAGTTCCGAGCTTTGTGGTTCTTCGACAGCCGAGATAGCTCGTCAATGTCTATCACGGGAAATGTACGTCTCTGCTGGAGCTCAACCTCCTCTTCCTCCTAGTGTAGACTATTAGTGCATGTATAATTGATTAAAAGCTGAGCATATTACCTCTTCTTCCTCTTGTTCTGACGGACGTGGAGTGTTCTCTCGTACCTGCTCATCATGATGCTGATCATTGCCAAGTTCGTCTTCGTCCTCGTCATTGTCACTGAGCCTAGCACGTTTGGGTGAGCTAGACCGGTTTCCCTCGTCATCAGAAGACGTAGGTCGTGTACGCTTGCCTAGAAGGCCAGAAGGACCTGCCACCGGGTTGGGATCAGAGTGTCCCACACGAGAAGAGCTAGCGCCAGCCGCGTTCTGAGTGGTTTCCTCAAAGCCCAGGTCAGCAAAGATCTTCCGGAGGAGGTTAGCATCTCCTTTGCTGCCTGCACGAATGTAAGCTCGTTCCTGGGGCGTCTTTGCTAGCTGAAGATGATGTCGAAAGGTCCTCTCGGAGACGTTGTGGATTTTACCGCCATAGAAGTGCTTGCATACGCAGTCAATGTGTTTGACCATGATGTCAGTGCACCGAGTAGTGGTCCGATCTGCCCGGAAATGGACCAAGAACAGAGCAGGAGAGCGTACACAAGATGGGCAAGGGACTTAGAGAAAATTGTAAGCGTGCATCTCCCTGTGTGACACTATCAGCTACTTATGACATTGGAATGCTTATCCACTCTATTTCTGGTGACATGCGGGACCATGCGGCTACATAGGTCTCAAATGGTATGTATTCAACTCGCATTCAGAGACAGCTCACGACATACAGGTCTTTCTATTTATGGTAACTCCTGGCGTGTCGCATCCCAGCCCCGCTCCCGACAGCGCAGGTTTCCACTGGGCCTCAGCCCTGCCCAGGTCCAGGTCCAGGTCCAGGTCCGCCAGAGCCTGCTTCACCGGGCTCTGGCACTGCAGGCACTGTACCATGGCTCTGTGGTTCTGTCACAGGCCCTTGGGCGCTTTAGGGGATTTTGAAGACTCTCATATGCTTGGTGAGTTATTTTGTTGGCTGGTTTTATTACGATTGATTGGTTTGAAGGGAATATACACGCAGAGACGAGGCGAACCCGGCGTGAGTGTTTAGAGTTCAAGGGCGGCTTCCCGATTTAGGTTAGCCGTGCCTTGAACCGGCCCACGAGCTGTGCCGCGCGTTGTGGCCTCACGCGGTGTATAGTCAATAGCTAGTATTTTAGTAGTGAATACATGACTAGTACTTGCATAATCAGCAGCGGGAACATAAGCAAAAGGGGGACTATCCGCAAGACATCAGCCACTGGGTGAAGTTGCGGGAATATGTATAGTATTTTGGGATATATCTATATATCCGCAAAATACTCGCGTCGGAATATTTCCTTGAAACTACGGTGATACAGTTGTAAACACATAAACTATTTATGTACACTATATGGTTGGAGCCCTAGATTGATTGCTTGCCAATTGCTCGCCTTAGACACATCCACGATGTACTTTACTTGATAACGTCTGACAGCTCAAGCGCTAAAGCTAAAGCTTTGGACGAATTAAAGCCTACCGGGATCAGCCGACTGACAAAAGGCATAAAAATGGAACAGAACAGATTTACTCCGTCGGTTGGAGCGGTGCCATCATGTGGCCGTCAGGCTTTCACACATACAGGCGCCTGTCTAATGTGAGGACTGAGCATGAGCGCCATGGCGTGCAGAAACTATACGCTAAGACACTCGCCCAACCCATTGGTGCGTCCAACCACGTTCTGATCAACCGACCAAAGGTTTTAGCTCAACCAGTAAGCAATATACTTATAACTTGTGACAATCGAACATATGCTGTAACTAATCTCGTATCGAGAAAGCTTTACCAGGTACTCAAAACTCGTGGAACAGCTCGTATCTCTTCCGGTCCGACAATTCCTCTCCTTTGTAGCATCGGTGTATTCATCCACCTCTTTTCTACCAAAGAACGCAAGAGCACATGTTGACCTGCTCGGTAGATTGGCCTGCCACCGGAGGGTCAACTTCGCCAGAAGGGGCAGCGTGCGAGAGTCCTGCGTGTCCTCGCTCGGGAGGAGAATCAGTGTTGGCATACCCTTCGTCCTCACTCCCTGACTCTGTATCCTCTTCGCCGATCCATCTCCTCCGCCGTTCCACCGCGCCAGCAAGGCGCTAGGATGTCTGATTCCGGCATCTAATTGTGATTGGAAACGCGCACCTCCTTGGCCCGGGCAACGGAAACCGGAACGATACGATATAAGTGGAACGACATCACTAAATTGGGGGGAAATTTTCGGGGCATAAACGAGATTATCAGTGTTATAATATCACCGTTGATAGAATCCTGTATGACCGTAAATGGCGAGGATTCAACATTGGGTAAGTGTCAGCTCACAATATGAGAACGGATTATGGTAGAATATCATATCATCGGGATCTTACCATCGAGTACCATATGATTGCGAGCTTACCGTAGACCAAAATTCAAGGTAAAATCACTCGCGATAAGTGGGAGCATAACAAGCCGGATCTCATTTCGAAGGCAACATGATCATTCGATTATAAGAAACTGCTCATAAACAACTGAAGCACGTTGAGCAGTAGAAAACCGACCTTTACAATGCATCAAAGCCAGCCTCGTCAGCAAGCACTTCATCCTCACCCAAGAAACCTCCCTCATTCGCCTGCCCTGCAGCTTGGTCATCAGTAAAAGTACGGTGGGATAGCAGAGCAAGTGGGTGTTGCGAGATGGACTTGATTTGGGCTAGGGAAAATGACGGCTCGCAAGGCCTTGTGAGACAAACAGTCAGCTTGTTGTGGATCGTAAGAACGCGGCCAGCTTGCAAGGGAATTAATATGCTACTAGACACTAGGCTTCTTGGCTGCTGTGGTACTTTAAGCACCGAGATTTTTTAACATCGCTCTCCTCAAAGTAGGTTGAAGCTTCTTTTTAGGTGAGTGATAATGACGAGCCGGACTTGTGGCAGATGGAATCTCTCGATGACGTGCAGAAAGAAGCTTGCTCGAATTCCTTTGACCCAGTGCAGCAGGTGGTCCGTGCACACGCCAATTTGCGAGGTTCAAGAGGCTTCTTAAGCTAAGGGATTCTGTACCGTCTCCCTGCTGCCCTTGCTTCCCTCCCACCATTACCATGCCTTGGTACTAAGTGTTCGACGTGACCACAGTAAGTCCATCTACCCTAAACTTTCAATTGCAGCAGCTGACACCTATCAAGCTTCAAGCTTCAAGCTTCGAGGATGGCAACACCGCAACAAGCAAGGCAATGCTGACCGCCAACAGTGCCCAGTCTGTGGTGCATCCTCGTCATTGTCTGCATGTGCAGACAAGTCCAACTCGTCCCACACAAATGTGCAGGACCATGTGCATGGTGCGTCTCCTATAATGCATTCCACAATCAATACTATTTTCATATAATGCTATCAGGCCGTTCGCAGCACTTGCATAAGTAGTTTTTATCGGGTCAGTTTATGGTACGTACTTGCTTCTAGCACATATCTTTGTCGCTTTGCGTACACACCTTTTCTATGCTCTCGTATTGGACCCCGATCATTTGTATTACTGTTTTATATTTCTGTAGTAGTATTTGACTGTTATATCAGACAATCAAACATGCTGTTCCATACTTCATAAAAATTGTGTGGGCCTCCAACTCCTTGTAATATCTGTGAATACCTGTATGTTGTTATCATGTGGCCTCTGCTGATGGTAAGATGGCGCTTAGATTATGATAGATGTGACTACCCATATGTTATTATCATGCCGTCTCTGCTAATGATAACACGCCCCTTTGAGTAGATAATAGATTCTTCGCTATGATCATATCCCCACGATCTTTCCTGTATGCTAAAAACGGACGTTACATGGTACTAATGTCGGAGTCTCACCACTTACCCGGTGTATGTTTGTCATGATCTGTGATGTCGGTCAAGGTCATTTGCTTATCATTCATCCCCTCATTTAGTGATGGAGCTCCCATTTCTGGGGGGAGCGCCTTCCGAGCGCTCATTCCGAGCCTGCTCTCGCTGATCATCTGTTAGATCAAATAACTTCTTGATTCTCAATACTATCCCGAGACTTTGACCTGCAGGCCGTGTGCCCGACTGGGTTGCCTGAAGTTGGTGGGACGAGCGATCGCGTCGAGCGCCTTGCCGATGTGTGTTCCCATATGCAGGCCCCCTCCCTCCAATAGCTGCAGGCCACTGCCGAAATCATTTGACAAAGGCGATGCTTCTTGTAAGAATGACTTACATTCATGAAGCTTTCCTCAGATGTGCAACCCCTTCACTTAATACAGTGACCTTGTTAATGTCTAGTAATTCATAGGTGGACTCTATTATTATTATTATTATTGCTCCATTTGCGTCCATCGGGGTTAGTCACCCCACGTCGGACGATACGTACTAGTAGCTACTAACAAAAGAGAAAGGCCCATTGCCCAATCCCACTCGGCTCCCGAGGGTCCCAGGTTCGGCATTGGACGGCCCCCCCTGGTCAGCCCGCTTCCTACGGGTTCCCCGAGCCACCGCGGAGAAAGTGGGATCATACGTACAAATATGTCTAACATGTAATCGGAGGGTGTCGTGGACACGTCTCCGGAGGGTGGTATGTTGTAAGTCCTCTGGCTGTAGCCTGCTACGCCTTCGTTGGCTGTCTCCTGTTTTGACTTCCGGTTGTGATAGCTGTTCCACCCTGCGTTTCCGGTGACCACCCGCGGTCGGCCCACGAGCCCTTATAGATAGTGCCTTTCGGCAAGCCTAGCAACAAAGCAGTTTATGTGCCCGAATATAACGTGCGACGTACCGATCCGAAGGTAGATCGGAATCTCCCAGTCTGATCAACGAACTTCATGACTTCTTTTATTCCATTGGGGTCGTTAAGGAGGTGGCTTTCGGTGAAGGCGTCTCGTCCAAGTGAGAACATGAGAGCCTGTCGAGCTCGGCCCCAGCGTGGGCACGAGAATAGGTAGTGTCGCACTGTCTCGTCGAGATCTGGGCAGTGTTCGCAATGTGGGTCATCGCGTTTCCCAATACGATGTAAGTGTTGGTTTAGTGGTAAGCGGCGGGTTCGTAATTGCGTAAGCACCGCGGTCTTGCGTCTGGGAAAGGATTGAATCAGCTTCATGTATTTTCCTGAGGGGAGAGAGGAGTCTATTTCGACGAGGTGGCGGCTCCTCGCCGACTGGAGCCATTGCTCCTTCCATCGTTCATATAGCACAGTTCTGTAGTCTTGCTTTAGTGCGGCCGCACTGCGCGGGAGGGTCTTCCGGCGCAGGAAGGTAGGGAGCTCTCTTGGGTTGCTGGATTGGCGCGGCGAGCTCGCGGCCGCCTTGGCTTCCAGGTCAGCCTGTTCATTGCCGTCGACACCTTCGTGTCCGGCGATCCATCTGAGGGATAAGTCTGTCAGCGCTAGTTGACCTTTAGTAAGGGAACGGGAGATTCGGCGTATCGGGGCGTAGATATAGTGCCCCGGGCGAGTTGGATTGGGGTGTTCAGATGAGCGGATGACCGCCTGGTTGTCGATGAAGATAGCCGCTCGGTCGGGTGGTTCTCTCTCCGTGTGGAGCAGGTGGAGCCCCATGAGCAGGCCCACCATTTCCGCTTCATATACCGTGTGCTCCTGCGTTGTCCCTAAGTGGAAGCGTAGGACTCTGGATGGCCTGTCCGGCGCCAGCAGGACAGCTGCCGCACCAACTCTCCCCTCTTGTGCAGATCTGTCGGTGTATATGTGCACGTATTCCGTGTACCGACCGTGGTCGGCCACCGCATCCTCTCGGTTTTTCGCAATCGCAGTCCGTATCCCCACCTCCGCGCGGGTGGCTGCATGCTGGTAGAACATGGGCTCCACTGAGCCCGGCGGGAGGTCGAAGCTGTGAATTAAATTGTGCAGCGATGATCGGTGACGTGACACGTTAAATCTTGCGACATGCCTGAGGTGTTTATGCAGCGGGTGCGTGTCCGGTAGCGACGCGTATCTGGTAGCTGCCCGGTGGCAGTATTGTTGTACCAGTAGCAACGCCGGCAGGAGGTTGGCGTGAACCTCCAGTACCTCCGTAGCCGTACCGTACATAGCACCAAGCGATGTGCCTGCTGCGACCCGCTGCATGCTGGTGATGCATTTGATGATGCCGAGTGACCCACGTTGAGCGCATGTCGAGTCGCCTACGAAGGGCGGGATGAGCCAGATGTCGCATGCATATAGCATCTTCGGGAGGGTTATGGCTTTATAAAGCTGCCGCGCCATTTTAGCTGAAAGGCCCATCGACACTCGAGAGAGTCGACGGAGCTGCATAGCATATGCCATGCCCTTCGCTATGGCCGCCGCTCCCTGTTCCTTCCACCGCAACTTTCTGTCGATGATAACGCCGAGGAGTTTGTGAGACGGCGCCGATTTGATGGTGTGCCCCGCGATTGTCATATGCGGGCGCTCTTTCGATCTGTCCATACTAAAGTCAACTAATCCGAATTTAGATACTTCAAACTTAGAATTGTGGGACTTAGCCCAGTCTAGTGCGCCACCGGGGCGAAGAAGCATATGGTCCAGACCCCGGTGCGTGTCCCGGAATATCTTGCCCGTCATTACGAATGTGGTGCCATCAACATAGGCCACGGCCAGTTCCTCCCTAGAACTTGCATCAGCTACGCGAACGAGACCTGAACAATAGATAACATAAAGAAGCATGGAGAACGGGTCTCCCTGTACTATACCGTTCCGGATTGGGATGTCGCCCGAAACAAAGTTGTCGAATCGCAAGCGAGTACGACGGTCTCGTAGCATGTTGGCTGTGAATGAAACGACCCAGTGCGGTAACCCCATAGCCCGCATCTCGTGCAGAAGCATATCCGTGGCCGCGTTAGGAAATGCGCCTTCTATATCGAGGAAGAGCGCTGATACAACCTTCCTGTTCCGCCACGCGTTTTTTATCATTACCTCGAGCAGGTGCAGCGCATCCGTGGTCGTGCGCCCCTGCCGGCCCCCGAAAGCTGTCGGTGGTAACATTCCCGACTTTTCGAGTAGGAAAGTGGTCCTTTCCGTGACCAGAGAGGACAGCACCTTCGCCATGGTGCATACGAGGGCAATAGGCCGGTACGCTTTGGGCACCGCATAGCTCGGCTTACCCGGTTTCCGTAAGACCACCGTGGTGAAGACCCTCCAGGGGTCGTAGTACGTGTTGAGGAGGAGGATGGCGTTGTAGATCTCCACCAGGTAGGGGACTAGTATGTCGCTGCAGCGGTTGAGCACGACATTAGGTATGCCGTCGGGGCCAGCCGCCTTGTAGGGACTGAGTTGAACTAAGGCCCTGTGGAGATCGGATTCCGTGAAGCGATGCACAGAGCCCGGCTGCTCTGGGTAGATGAAGTCAGTGGGCACTGAAGACATCTCAGGGGGAGGTGGAAAGAAAGTCTCAGCTAGCGCCGCGCTTTTCGCCTCGTTCTCCACTACGTGATGCACCCTCCCATCGGCATCCCGCACGTCCAGATCCGGGATGCGCGTTCGTCCGCCGTCTGTGCTCGGCATTGATATATACTTGTGGGCTGTCCATAGATTGCTCGCATTGGCCTCTTCTAGCCAATTGTACCAATGATCCTTTTTTGTTTTTTCGATCGCGTTCGCAAAGCGGGCATCTGCCCGGCGAAGCTCGTCCTTAAGTTCTAAATGACGAGGGTGCTGAGGAATGGAACTAAACTGTCGGACTTGTCTACTCAGCTGGTTGCATTCGTCTCGTAGCTCCGACAGTTCTCTCGTCCACCATCTTCGCGAGTGGGGACTCAGCTTCAAGTTCGGGACTAATTCTTCTATAGTTTCCTGTAATACAGACGTCAGTGTGGTTGCGGAAGAGTGAAGGGAATCATGGGTGAGGATGGGCCCGGGGGCTCCCATCCGTTCTCGTATGCGTGGTCCCAGTACGTCGTTGAAGTTTTCCCAGCCCACGTCGCGGAAGTTCTTTCGCGGTTCCTCCGTGTCCCGCGCCAGGCGGAAATCGATGCACGTCGCGATCAGGAAGTGATCGGTTCGTAGAAGCTTTCGGTCCGTTAGCACTTCGCATGAGACCACGCACTGCGCCGTGTGTTCCGTGCAGAAGACATTGTCCGGCCGCGTGTAGTTACCCGTGCTCAGCGAGCAAAGGGTTGGGAGGTCCTTCGGGAGCGCCATGACCATCCCATGGTCCGCCAGTAGGTGCAGGAGCACCTCCGCTTCGTCGAGAGCTGCAGGTGTGAATAGGTGGGAGTTCCTCTCTTCATCCCAGAGGGGGTGGTGCCTGTTGAAATCCCCCGCCCATACTACGTGGTCGCGCTCCGTCAGCCGAATCTGCTGTGCATGGTCGTGATAGAACGCGTCCATTGCGTGGAGCACCGCCCGCGAGTCTCCCGGATTGTAGATATTAAATAACGTGAGGTTGCCAGCCTGACCCGAGAACCGGATCACTACCGCGTCCATGGATGGGAATTGGACTTGCTGCCAGCAGTTGGTGGCGAGTCGGGCGTTGACCAGAGTAGTCGCCCGATAGCCGCTTGCAGCCTGTCTCCGCTGGGAGGGATACACTACATGCCAGCGGTGGGTAGCCCGAGTGTTGCCCAGAAAATTCTTGTACGGTTCTTGTATTACGATGACGTCCCACTGCTCCGCGAACCGGTCGTTGAGCAGATCCTGTTGGGCAAAGTCAGAATTATTAGCGTTAATTTGTAGTATTTGTAATGTAGTATCTAAGGGCTGCGAATTCATTGAGCAGACATAAAGGAGGCGTCTTCCGTTAGAGATGGGGAGCTCGGGCGCGCGAAGGGCTGCCTCGGGACCGCAAACTTAGTGAGGTCATACTGAGCTGACTGAGCTGGCGCTGGCGTAGCGCTGCGCGAGCGGGAGTCTGACTGAACTTGGGGGCTCACCTCGCGCGTCCATTGCTCGCCAGTCGGGAAGTACGGGAGGTCGTCTTCCGGGAAGCGCGCATGCAGAGCCTCCTTATGACGGATGAACTCCGGGCAGCTGCGGTCCCAGCTTGCATGATCCCCAGATTTGCACGATACGCAGTGGCGTTTCTCTTTCTGAGGGCAGGATTTCGTGCGGTGAGCATCTCCACACGTCCCGCAAACATCAGTCGGAGATTGGCACTTAGCTGCTAGGTGACCCCACTGCTGGCACTTGGCGCAACGCATGGGGTCCCTCCTATCTTTTGTGGGGTAGTACTTCACGCAGTCGATTACGACGCCATCCCGGAGCAGCGCGTTGGCCGCCTCCGGGCTGCGACACTTGACCATCGCATGGGCTGTGGTTTGGCCTGCCCTGCGGTCCTTTACCTCTCGGATCCAGCGGGACTCGGCTATGGCGCCCGTCTCGAGCTGAGCATCCGACTCCCAGCTCCGAGCGAGCTCCTCAGTGGTAACGGGCGCTCCGACTGGGAGCCAGCGCAGGATGAGACGGTACTCGCGTCCTCTAACTCGTGCTTCAGCCCCTAGGACCCCCGCCAGGGCTTTGGCTCCGGTCCCTGATTGGAGCCAGGCCACCGCCTCGGCGTCCGTGAGTTCGACGACTAGGTCCCCTTTCGGGAGCCTGTTCACCGACTTCACCAGCATCTGGGGGCCGCCCTCGGGCGCGATGGACGTCAACAGGTTCTTAAGCCGCTGCACCACCTCCGAGTGCGGGAGCGTCGGTGCGAATGCCTGGCTTCCTGTCGGTACCGACAGGAGGAAGCAGCGGCGCTGAGTCTCGGCCCTGGCGAATTTCAGAGCCGGGTCGACCTCTGGGATGTTGCGCGCTGCGACTGAGCTGTACGACGCTCGCTTCGCCGGCTGCGCCGTTTGGGTCTGCAGTGCCTTTACCTGCTCGGCCAGAGCGGAGGAGGAGTCCTCCAGCTTCTCTAGCTTCTCCGCGGCGACCAACACCTTACCTGCGTGTGGTGCCAGGGCCGTTACCACTGAGCCCGATACTTCCTTGGCAATAGTGTCGGCTATCTCCTTAGCCTGCGCGTTGAGCTCGAGGTCTCTCAACACGAACGCTGTCGCCCGGATACATTGCTGTATCGCGGGCGGCATCTTCTCGCTGGAAATAAAAAGCAGCGCGGCGTATATGGAGTGAACCGTGACGGGCGCACCTGGGGGGAGAAGGGACTTCGCCTCGAGATGCTTGAGTCCGGCAACCGGATCCGAAATGAGGCTGTCCCCTTTCTCTAGCGAGGACAACGTGGGTTGCATCTTGGGGTCTGAGCGCTGTAAGTGCGGGATGAGCGTGCCGGTGCCCTGTTGTTGTCCGATTTTCGCCGCTGCTGCTACCGCTGCACTCCTCTTCGCCGTCGTCTTTGCGCCTGTCCCGGTCGACTTTGAGGGTGGGGGGGATGATTCTTGCCCGTCTTGCTCGGGCATGTCTTGCGTATGTTGCTGGTGAGTGATTTTGAAAGAAAGAGATGTATTCCTTTAGTATCCCACTGAACTATGCTGGCTGACGAGGACGGGGTCCTCGGGGTGTCAGACCAAGCAGATGGTGGTTACGGAGAAAGGAAGGTAGGTGGACTCTAACACCTACCTCTCGCTGTGTGTCCCTTCCCACTTCTTCAACAATTTCGATTTCTTCGTTATCTTCCTCCGCCCCCTAATAAAATTAGAAAGTTTGAGGCGATGATGTAAATATTTACGTGCCTTTCCCAACAGTAGCTTTCCGCTCATTGAATCCCAAACTCTAATGTATCCTTCTTCCGTTCCGCTTGCGATCTGTGTTCCATCCGGCGAGAATGCAGCTCTTATTACTCGGCTCTCATGCTCAAGTAACCGAAGACGTTCACCGGTGCCCGTATCCCAAATCCGAACGGTCTTGTCCGCTGCAGCGCTCAAAAACGTTTGACCGTCGGGCGCATACCGAACACACCGAATCGGATCGTCATGCTCGATTTTGAGCAAGTGCTCTCCACTGATGACACTCCATACTCGCACAGTTTTGTCGCCGGATCCGCTGAGTATGCATGACCCATCTGGCGACCAGCAGACACACAGCACAAAGTTATCATGCGTGAACGGTCCTGTTACCATAGAACCTGTTTCGATATCCCAAACGCACGCCGTATAGTCTTCTGATCCGGTTGCTAGCTTCGATCCGTCAGGGGATATACTGAGAGCGCGGACGGGACTGTCGTGTCCCTCAATAACTCGAAGCGAGCGGCCTGTGAGAGCGTCCCACACACGTATGGTACGGTCACGACTGGCGCTGACAATACGCGACCCATCAGGTGTAAACTCGACAACGTTGACGCCGTCAGTGTGACCCTTAATTGGATCCATGGCAAGTTTCTTGGTCTTTAAGTTCCATAGAAAAATGGCGTGATCTTCAGAGCTGTTGACTAGCATCGAGCCGTCGAAAGAGATGTTGATGGAGGTGGTACCGATGGTCTGGTCGCCAAACGCTTCGATTGAAACTTTGTTCTTCTTTGCATCCCAAACCTTGATCGTATCGTTGAATCCAGCAGCTGCAAGCTTGGTACCACAAGGGAACCATGCCAACAATTCAAACCACCCAATTGTGAGCATTCTGCATGAAAATCGGTTATTGGGTAAAGTCAAAGAACAGTCACTCAGGCGTACGGTGTGGCTTTAGAGCGTTTGGGCTCGGGTCCCTGTACAAAAACCATTCATAGATAAATAATCCGGATAAGTAACCAACCCGCTCACCTCGGGAAGAATAAGTTTCCCCGACATGGCATCTCGAATACACATGCTATAGCCTCTGCCATACGCTACCGCATCTTCCGTAGGAGAGACTGACATTTTGTTGACATACCCGTCGCTAAATATCGGGCCCCATAAACAGTCGCATGTCGTTAGATACCAAGCACGTAAACTCCTATCATATGAGGCACTGATGAGCGCCTGTCCGTCGTTAGTAAACGCGAGGCTTGAGATTGCAAGTTTGTGTCCCTTCATCGGCCCCTTGAAAAATTTCCCAGTCCGAGTGTCCCACAAGTGAATCATACAATCCCTACTTCCACTTGCCAACAAGCGTCCATCGGGGGAATATGCTACCGACCATACCTCTGATTTGTGGGCGGCCAGAGGCGGGTGGAGGAGAATTCTCGTAACAACGACCCATACTCGTACCATGTTGTCATCACAGGCCGTCGCAACATGTGCACCGCAAGGAGAGAATGATGCGAGGGTAAGCTTGTTGGGATGTTCCAGAGTGGTGGTGCATTCTCCTGACTGTGCATTCCACAATCGTACGAAGCGATCGCTCGACGCACTACAAATGAGTTGCCCATCCGGAGAGTATTGAACAGAATTAACAACATCTGTGTGACCGTCAAGTGGGCCCAAAACTACCTCCTGGGTCGAAATATCCCAGATACGTAGCTTCTTGTCATCTGATCCGCTGACTATGCGGTCGCCTTGAGGTGAGAATGCAACGGCATTGACCTTGTCCTTGTGGCCTTCGAGAGGCTGGCCTACGCTGAGGCCTGTCTTCGAGTCCCAGATTCGTATCGTGCCATCAGCAGAGCCAGAGGCGATCCAGGCTCCGTCAGGAGAGTAGGCAACTTCCATACGTTGTTGGTGTGACCCTCGAAGGGTTTTGGAGTGCGAGTATTGCCTTCAGAATCCGATGATGTGGCTGAGGAGGGCATTCTGCTAAGCAAGATTCCAAAGGGTCAATTGCGGATGCACCCTGCATGAGTTGGGCACTCACGGTGGTGGTTGCTGAGAAAGGTGTGCGGTGCCTCACAGCACACACGCACGATGCCTTGAGGCCAAAATTGACGCTGAAGGGACCACATGTCCGCCCCGGACCTCGGTACTTAGTCAATTCACAGGCACTCTCAATCCATCAGTACTTGATCGCGTCTGAAAGCTCAACCTTAGGACTGAATGGAAGCATGCCGAGACGATCGACGATTAGCCGACTGTCGGATGACAAGCCTACAAATCGGATGGAACGTGTTCACTCCTTGGCCGTCGAGGGGAGCAGTGCCGCCCTGTGGCCGTCAAGCTTTCACACATACAGGCGTCTATCTAATGTGAGCATGAGCGCCTATCATTATGGCTATTCGCTTCTGCAACCGTGGAGTCATCTCGTGGCCGTAACGTGCCAGCATAGGCCAAAACACACAGCCATCATCGACTAAGGGTTCAACTTGGGGAGCGCAAATAAAAGAAGGAAGACAAGACGAGTCGTCATAATAAATATTTGTCGAGAGTACATTGTAGGCATCGCTATCGTAAGGTGAATGTCATGGAATACCAGCGTACCACTAATCCACTCGGCATCATCATTTACCATGGCACGCATGAACACTGGTTGACTTGGTCGGTGGATTGCATATCGTTTGGAAGATGGGAGGGAGTACGTTCAGGAGCAGAAGTAGCATCCGCGCTCCCTCCACCCTCCCTCTCCGATTCTGTGTCTTCATCATTGTTATGCCTTCTCCGCCGTTCAGGGGCACCGGCAAGGCGCTAACTATATCAGTCCAACAATTGATATCTACAGGGAGTATATAATCACGCACCTCCTTGGCCCGGGCAACAGAAACTGATTTAATACGACGTAATCTGAAAATGGCTGCACTCTTAAAGGTACTACCTCCCGATCCTTCGCTGTTATGCAAGCGTTGGTCACTGGTCAATCCAAAGAGCTTCTTGACGATAAACACTGGGCCGCGACCTTTATGTGCCGAGAAGGAATGTGATTGTGTAGCTTGGCGGTGGTCGGAAGGATAATCATGCTGAGCGCCCGGCTGACGTGCGCTCCCGTAGGCAGGCCCTTGTCTTCGAATCGTCGCCGGAAGCTGTTGGGTGATTAGCAACAGACTAAGCCAGAAAATAACATTACGCACGTTCATAAAGCTTTCGTCAGCTGCGTGAACTTTCCGCTGAAAGTCACTATAACATTAGTAATGTCTATGAGCTAACGTATAAGCTCAAAGACCAACCTCCCGGTATACTTCTCCTTTGACTTCATGGACAGATTCGTGGTCTCCGTCGTTATTCTCCGATCCCTGAAAACTGTTAACGTGCGAACGAGTGCGGAGGGATAATACACACCTGTCCCAAAAGCACCTTTCCTTTCACCGTATCCCAAACTCTGATGCATCCATCACCTGTCCCGCTCGCAATCCGTGATCCATCCAGCGAGAACGCAGCTACAAGTACGGCACTCTCATGTTCAAGAGACCATATCAGCTGGCCAGTAGGCGCACTCCAGATGGCCACAGTCTTGCTATTTGACGCGGTCAAGAACGTTCGCCCATTAGGTGCATACTCCACGCAGCGGACGGCATCAAGATGTTCTATTCGGAGCAACTCCTCTCCACTAGAGATGCGCCACACTCGTGCTGATTTGTCTTTCGAGCCGCTGATAACGCACGTTCCGTCTGGGGACCAGCAAACCGAGTGCACAGTGTCATCGTGCTTGTATGGTCCCGCTACGAGAGAGCCTGTCTCGGTGTCCCAAATACGCACTGTGTGGTCGCGAGAGCCGCTCGCCAGCCTGGATCCATCAGAAAACATACTGAGAGTGTTGACAGGTCCGTCGTGTCCTTCAATAACAAGAAGTGTACCACCAGTCTGCGTGTCCCATGTGCGTATGGTCCGGTCGCTACTGGCGCTGGCAAGACGAGAGCAATCGGGTGTGAATCTGATGGCGGTGACGGTCGCTGTATGTCCAGCGAGAGGATCCATCGCAAGCTTCTTGGTTTCCGTGTTCCACAGAGAGATTGAGTTGTCTTTAGAGCCGCTGGCCAACATGGTGCCATCGCGAGAAATGCCGAGGGAGGTCGTGCCGATGCTGTGGTTAGAGTAGCTTTCTATCGGGTCTTTGTTCGTCTTTGCGCCCCAGATCCTAATTGTATCGTTATGTGCTGCAGTTGCAAAGCGGATTCCTCCGGGGAACCACGCCAATGATGCTACATGTCCGATTGTAAAGCGGTTGTTATACTCACATGGGGAAGAATCAGTTTGCCTGTGAAGGCGTCTCGAATACACATGCTGGAGCCCCTGCCATAGACGATGGTACTGTCCGTAGGAGACGCAGAGATGTACCTGAGAAACGCGGGGCTATATACCGGACCCCACAAGCAGTCACCTGTTCTCGGATCCCAGGCACGGACACTCCTATCACGGGAGACGCTAATGAGCGCCTGTCCGTCGAAAGTGAACGCGAGACCCGAAACAGCAAGAGTGTGCCCCTTGAAAGGGTTCTTGAGTAGGTTGCCCGTTTCCGCGTTCCATACACGAACAGTGCAATCCCGGCCGCCGCTGGCTAGCAGGCGCCCATCTGGAGAATAGGCCACAACCCATATTCCGGACTGGTGGCCTTTGAAAGGAGGTATAACGAGGGTTTGCAAAGACACATCCCATACTCGTAACAGCGTGCCGTCGCAGGCGGTCGCGAGGTGCTTGCCGCTGGGAGAGAAATCGGCGCGGCTAAGTTTGTCAGGATGCTCGAGAATGGCAGCGCAATCTCCGGAGTTTGCGTCCCAAAGTCGCACTGTCCGATCGTACGACACACTGGCAATGCGCTGTCCATCCGGAGAGTAGCCTACCCAGGACAACAAGTCGGTGTGGCCTTGGAGTGGATCGAAAAGTGGCTCATGTGTCAAGGCATCCCAAACGCGAACCGAGTTATCAGAGGAGCCGGTGGCAATCGTCTGCCCATCAGGGGAAAAGGCGGCGGCGTTAACCATACCCTTGTGGCCTTTCAGAGGTTCTCCAATCTGCAGGCCGGTTTGCGAGTCCCAGATTCGTACTGTGCAGTCCATTGAGCCCGAGGCGATTCGAGTGCCGTCAGGAGAGTACGTCATCACGAACACCGTGTCGCTGTGACCCTCGAAGGGTTCGGGAGGACGAGTGCTACCTTCAGAGTCTGAAGATGCGTCAGAAAGAGACATTCTGGTGCCACTGTTGAATGATACCATTGGGGTAAGTACTGCAAGAACGCAAAGGAAGTGCACCTACGATGATGGTTGCTGGATAACGTGCGTCTAGTCTCGCAATACGCACGCACTGCAACAAGGCCGAATTCGACGATGACGACGGAGGCACTGCACGAACATGTCGTAATCTCGTCCGAGCTTAGAGTGTGTGATTAATCAATGTTGTAAACAACTTACTCAGGCCGTTTCACGGGTGAAGGCAAGAACATGGCATGCTCGTTGGCTTCAGTCGATGCATACCATTGCTTTGACATTTCAATGACCTGGCTGTTCGCTAGTGCTAAGGTGGAATAACATGAAGGCCCCAGTGGGTTCCGGGGTAAGCCTAAGCGCGCACAGCAACCTAATACTAGAAAGGCTTAGTTTGCACGGGCATGAGAAAAGGAAGACAAACAAAGGCTGTTATCATCTTGCCTACGAGAACACTGTACAGCCATGGCTTCGATATGGTTCAAACCGCATTCGTACAGACAAGTAACGTCAGCACATCCATCGAGATTTGAGTCAACAGAGAGCGCACGTCGTGGAGCTCGAGGTTGTTGCTGAGCGCGTCGCGATCAGTCGGGACCACAAACCGAGCTCCGCCGGAATCGACCGGAGTTAAATCCCACGCCATCGGCCCGTTTACCGACTCCGCCCCGCGCGTCGGTGGTCAGCTTCAGAATCACAGAACGCCTGGCTCGACGCATGCACTCCTCAGCAGCAACGGCGATGGCACTTGTCGCTGCATCTCCGTTTATGACCCAATTCGTCTCTTTCTTCTCGATCCTTCGAAAACCTGACAAACATGACCTCTCACCAGCTCGTGCACAACGTGGAGAACTGCTGAGGCATCTGTCCAGACACAGTATTGCAGAATCACTGACAATGTTATTAGGCGCGTTAGCTTCCCGATTAGACCCGACTCCAGCTCGTTGACTGTCGCATCTATTGCAATACACAACTCCTGGGCAGCCTATATAGCGTAGCCACGTCGACGATTCCTCCGCCCATCCTTCTCGTTTCCCATCACCAAGTGTCGCCACCTCATCCACGTACGCGTCGCTCTCCCCAAGTCCTCGAACTTGTCGAGAAGCATCATAGGTGTGTCCGATGCACATTCTCGCCTTCTCATCGACTCATGATGCATGTCTACTTAGCCTACCGCTGCTTGACGCCGACCTCAATGCTGCCTTCAGCCCATTCCACTCTAAACAGTCCCCTCTTCCCCTCTTGCTCCATCCAGTCTCTGGCATCTGAAACGCTACTTGAGATATTCGACTACCTGTACAAGGATGCAAAGCGTGCCCTCAAGGAGGATACATACAATGCATCTTCTCTCTTCCCCTTCGGAGTCGCGAGCGTTTGCCGCGGCTGGCTCGACGTCTCAATCCTACGATCCAGGTATTGGGTGAACGCTGTCATTCCGCTGGATTTCATCATCCTCCCGCCCGTCATGGCGACATACTTGGCCATGTTCGAGAACCAGGCGTCCCCGGATGCGCATGTCGTCTTTTGCGACGTTGCTCCCATCGACCCCAGGACGGAAAACGCGCGTCTCGATGGCGTGATGCGTCTCCTTGTACCCCATCTCCACAAATGCAAGTCCATTGTCCTCGATACCCATCATCGCTCGTCCATTGTTCTCGCAACTCGGCACCTCGATACACTGGTCGTGCGCCCACTCGCAAAGCTGGCGTTGGTCTCCACGATTTCCGACACAACTCAAGACGCTCACTTCACATCATTCGCCTGCCCCGACCTCGCCTTCCTCTTCGTTGACGCCAAGACCTTCGTCAACTTCGTTGCGAGCGAAGGCCCGAAAGGAAACGCAAAGGACTTTGCTGGAGAGCTCAACATTACTATGTACCACCCTGACTCCTCGTCTGGCCCGGTCGAGCTGAAGCCCTCTGAGCTTCTCAAAGCTATCTTCGAACTGGACTCTGTCCACGATTTCGGATGGCTAAGCTCGCTCACCATCGAGGGCGTGACCTTTGACGCTGAGGCAGTCGAGTACGATGACGATGATATCGCTGAGATCCTTCCGGATTTACACCACGTGGAGGACGTCTACCTCACCGATATCCACAGTCCGTTCCTCCGCAGCTTCTTCATCAGTTTCCAACCGGACTTCGAGAGCGGGCAAGAACGCACTGTCTCCCTCACGCGATGTTCGTCGGACGAACCCTTCGAAATCTGCAACACCGGAATCCTCGAGCTGCACGAGATCGGCGATGGCATGCACGTCATGACGGCAGTGAAGCACTGGGACGGGCTCGAGCTGCGCGTGGCGGATTCTCCAGGATTTCATGACGCTGTGCTGAACACCATGACTTTGGAACAACTGTGTCCGATCTTGAGTATGCTCGACGTCAAGAATTGCCCGTTGTCAGTGCGCAGTCTGAAGCGGTTTGTTGCGGCAAGGGAGGGGGATATAGAACGTCTACGCGTTTCAAAAGGGCCGGAGCTGAGCATAGAGGACAAGCTTGTGTTGAAGGAGTCGATCCCCCATGGTGTGATATGGAATCGCGAGAGGCTTTATTAGTCAGATGTAGTTTGATAAGTCCCTGCGCTCGTCTGAAATAAAACACATCCGCCCTCACGTATCATATAACATGTAGCATCACCAGGGTGAAACATCGAAATCGTCGAGGCCCCGGGAGATTCAACCGAATAAGGCATCGCATTCGTAACAGATTGCCACTCATAGTAACATGTAGGAATATGCAGTACAGAATCAGTCAGAAGTCAGCATCACCAGATCCAATGTGTAACGCTCGAGGTCACTGCTTGTTCTCTTGTGGCCCAGTAGAGATCCGTGTTCTATCCGCCGAGGACATAGCTACGAGGACCCAGCGCTGGAAGGACTGATCCGACTCCGCGCGTTGTCTGCCGCTAGTGGCTGGACACCCTGTCGCTCAAGGCGGAGTACTGGCCCACTATGATCGTCGGACACCTCCATCTTTCTTCCATATCTTTTGTCGTTGCGGCATCTTTGGACGCATTGAAAGTCCGCGATATCGAGGATGTACATACACATACTGTGCTGTGAAAAGGTCACACTCAGTGCGCAGGAGGAGAATGCTCGTATCCGTACAGTTATGACGCTCTTGGCACCGCAACTTTCCCAATGCAAGACGATCTCCATCCGTACCCGTCTTCATGGTGATGCGCTCGAGGCGTAATAAGCACTTACTGATTACTTTAGCTGTGCCTCGTTATTCTAATGATGACATAGTTAGCCAAAGGAACCCGAGAATCCACAACGTGCCAACCTTTTCCCGTGGCCATATCGCTTACTTACCATCGCCGCATTTATCCCAAGCTCTGAATGACTCTGACTCGACCTGACTCGAGCATCAGTGTTGCTTCCTGATGAACGTTATTGATGACACGCGGAAGTTGCGGAAAACACCTGGACACCCACGCTTCTCGATTGTAAATTGCAAATGAATGACTCAGTCCTCCGCTCCTGGGAAGACAATGGCCAAAGACACCCCTTTTTCGTGAACCCAAGGCATAGCCAGACTTTATATATTATGGCTCGTCTTTCACTCCGAGGGGCCTCCTCACTTCCTGCTCCCGCCCCTCACCATGTCTACAGGACCGTACAGCAAAGACTGCAAGCTCATGCAGAAGATTGGCTGGGCGGTCCGGCAGCAACCCGTGTATTGCTCGGGCGTTATCCCAGTCCCTGATGATCTCATGCTTCTCTACTTCGGAAAAGGAGAATCCACTCGGTGAGTACTTACTTTAGGGTCGCTACACATAGTGGTCTGGCACGCGCATTCATTGACGATTGAATACAGACGCGTTGACCTCGGCGACGCGTCCCTAGCGGATCTTGAAGCGCTCTCTAATGCGTGTGAGCCTGCCGCGTTTGGTCTGGGGGACCAGACGGTCATGGATGAGACGTACCGGAAGGCGGGGAAGCTTGACTGCGACGCGTTCGCTACTCTGTTTCACCCTGGCGACGTCGGCATTAGGGAGATCGTGCACAACGAGCTTCTCGGAGGCGAGAAAGACTTCACGATGGAGCTGTATAAGCTAAATGTTTATGGTATGTACGGTGCCGACGAATCCTTGTCTGCTATTAACTCGTGTGTGAGATAGGCAAGGACGCGTTTTTCAAGCCTCACCAGGACACACCGCGCAGCGAAAAGATGTTCGGTTCTCTCGTGATCGTCTTCCCCACTGCGCACGAAGGCGGAGAATTCGTGCTCCACGAAAAAATCAGCTCGAGGATCATCGACTTTTCTGAGATCCTCTTGAGCTCGAAAGCTCCGGTTTCATTTGTTGGCTACATTGCGTTCTTCAGCGACACCTCGCACGAGGTCCGGCCCGTCAAGTCTGGCCACCGCGTCACGCTTACCTATAACCTGTACTTCACCGACGCCCCTGAGCAAAACACCAAGCCGTCGCATACCTTCCCCTCGTCTATCCAGGGCTTTCTCACCAAGTACTTGAGGAAGCTGACCTCTGCACTGGGCGTCCTGCCAAACGGGGGATACCTCGTTTTTGGTCTGCGGCACAAGTACGCGTTGAAAGCGTCGCAAAAGGCGGACACCCTCCGCGAGTACCTCAAGGGCTCGGACGACATCCTCGCACGTGCGTGCGACGAGCTCAAGTTGGACTGGGCACCGCACGTGTACTACCAGAAGCTGGTCGATAACATGTCGTTCGTATTCTCAGACAGAGTCATCAAGTACGACTACGTCGAGGACCACGAGCTATCCGGCCCAGGCGCCGACGCCGAGACATTTGTTAGCGAGTGGTCGACGGTGTCCGCTGCGGAGGACGGGAGCCTGTCGTCAACCCTACACCCACGCCGGTGGGAGGAGTATCAGAGAAAACTGTATCCCAGTCCTAGCGATCGGGAGACGAAGGGTGTGTTGTGGCGCAGCTACCAGCAACACGGGGACCGCAAATGGCACGGGGATACAGTTTGGGTGACTGGGCCGATGTCGGACCACAAGATTCAGACGCACCATACAGCGTACGGCAACGAGAGCACGGTGGAGTACCTGTATGGGTGCGTTTGCCTTCTTGTTAAGTTAAAACCATCTGCGGAGCGCGGTGATGCGGTCGCTGTCGGAGGCGAGGGTGAAACCGTAGCAGAGACCAGTGCCCAAGCAACCACTATTACACATCCTGAGGTCATGGTTGTTGATGCTCCTTCGGCATAGTTTGAAGCTCTCCCATAGAATAGGTCATGAAATTCGACGTGTCGAATCTGGTTTTCAACCTACAACGATCTGTATCTGATAGTAGAGACAAAAGGCAGTCAAGCAGCGACGGCTGTCACGGTGTTAGCGAAGGATATATGAGGCTTGAGCCAAGGGAAGTCCCAGTCTGAAAGTTCAAGCTCCGTCGGCACTTGCCGACAACATACTTACTTCCATTACCTTCTTCCGCGTAAGCACTTGAATATTTTTGCTCGTGCAAACAGATCCCTATGGGCAGCTGCTGAGTTGTACGATGTACAGAAGACCAACTGAGTACATGATACTGTACATCGGGTAAGGAACAAAGATGAGAAGGTACGATATATCCATACAGACGCATCCTGAGCTACTATTCCCTCGCGAAAAGACCTATCGCCCTGCGCAACACTGACGGCCGGGGCTTCAGTTGTTCTTTGACCTGCGTTGCTATTGGCGTCCCAGGCTCGTCCTCGCCCTCAACCTCGTCCGATAGTGGTGACATGCGAACGCTTGCTTCAATCTCGCCCTCCGAATCTGTACCATCCGAGATGCTGATGCCATCGTCATCGACCTCGCTGACATTGTCGGGGTCGTCTTCAGTCTCTGTTTGCCGCATCTCCAGGTCCTCATCTTCATCTAGATCGATCGGCATCTCTTCCGCCTCCGCCCCACCCGTTTCGTCCTCGCCCCCGTCTGCCGCCTGCTCCTCTTCGCCAAACCCGCCTTGCGCCTCCGAATCATCCGGCTCTGCCTCCGCACCCATCGACAGTCGCTTCCACAAAGCCGCTCGTGTCTGCTTGGGCGGTTCGTAGTCCGAGCTCTGTTCCTGGCTCTCGAGATCGCCGCTCACGACCTTGTACCTGAGCCCGCTCGCGGACGTGCGTGCCTGGCTCCGGGCCACCGTGCCGGTGCCGCCAGAGCGCCTAACCAGAGGCGTGCTCTCGTCGTCGATCTCTGCCGCCCACCGAGACGCACCGCTCAAACGCTTAACGCTCTGCGGCTCCGGCACGCTCCTCCTTCTGTCCGCACTTCCACCCACCAGACCACCCAACACATCCCCCGCACCGCCCCGAACCGCCCCCACCTCCGACGCCCTCCGCGCCCGACTCTGCCTCCGCACCCGCCTAAACACCCTGTCCTCATGGCGCGCGACAACATCGTGCAGCGCACGCAGCGCCTCGTCCGCGTCGCGCAGGTCGCGCGTGCGCTCGATGCACGCACGCACGGTCTCGACGGCGAACCCGTGGTGCGCGGCCATGCGCGCGATGATGTGCGAGTAGCCGTGCAGAGTGATGAGCGTGTGGTCTGCGGGGGAGAGGTGATCCAGTGCGGGGAGGTCTTGTAGGACGAGGGACGCGTCGGCGGAGGAGAGGGAGGGGCGGGCGGGTGGGGCGTGGTGTGTCGATGGAGATATCGGGTCAGACACTCGGCTTTGGTCGAGGCGGATGGACCGGGAGACGGAGGGGAACAGAGGCTGGGGATAGGGCCCGTTGTCGGAGTCATATTCTTCTACCGCGCGTGGTGTAGATATCGTTACAGGTACTGATATCCTTGCCCGCTTTCGCTTGCTGACCGTTCTGGTCGCGAGTATGTTATCCGAGACGCCGCGAGCAGACGAGGACCCGCGCGATCGCGATCGAGCCTCCTCCGCAAGCGCGACGAAGTCGACGCTCGGCGCGTAGACTTGATGCGAGGAAGTGTCATACCCGCCGAACGTCTGGCGGCGGCGTATGAGGTCGGGGTCAAGGTGGCGAGGGAGAGCAGGGCGGGGTTGCTCCTCGGGGCGTTCGCTGGACCTGGACCTGGAGCCTAGTGGGGGATGAGGGATGGTGGTACGAACAGAAGTGTCCAGAGCAGAGTTGTCGTCGGCCCTCGATTTTGACACAATTACAGAAGTTGGGACGTTGGACACGCGGAATGGAGATGCGTCGATCGTACTTGGAGGCGTAAACTTGCGTATGCTGCGTTGCGAAGTAGGTGGTACAGGGGACGTGGCCTCGGTAGACGGAGGCTCAGGAGCCGTTGCACCCAAAACGACGGAATATTCATCGCGAGACTCAACATGAGGCCGAGACTGGGACGCAGCATCGTTCTCCACCTCAGCTACAGGAGCCGAGGCGACAGCACTGGCCTTCTTCTCCGGACTCGCAGTCGCAGACGTAGTCCGTTGCGTAGAGTCTACACCACCGGGAGCGGTCAAGCTCGCCTTCTTCAAAGGTGAATACGACCCGTCGATAATCCTCCTCCCAAGCTCGCGCATATCTTGACGAGTCGTCGATGCACGAGGCCTTGCTCCTGAGCGAGGTGTAGGGGTAGTGCCTGACGCTGGGGCGCCGACAGGGATCGCGGAGGGCTCGGGTATGCGAGCAGGAGACGGAGGGACCGCGGTAGACAGTGTAGGCGCAGGCGCAGGCATCTCGTCGAGCGTGACCTTCGAGCTCGACGCTACAGCGTTGGCGACCGTGGTGTCATTGACGTGCTCCAGCCTACTGGACGAATGCATGGGCACGGCGGGCTCGACATTCCCGTTGAGTCCTTCTTGCTGATCGCGCTGCGCTTGCTCGCCGGCCACTGCCGCACCGCCTGAGCTCGTGCCCACAAACTCGCTGAGCACAGCTCGGACCCCCCGCCGAGACCTCCGCCTTCCCTCCGCCTCGGCAGGTGCGGGCGGGACAGCTGACGTCGAAGGGTTGGTGTACACCTGGCTGAAAGGGTGATGCCGTAGTGTTTCTGGCTCTGCTGCTGCTGAACGCGGCAGTTTTGGTTGACGCGAGATGTAGTCGATGTCTGGCCGCACCCGGCGAGTTGGGGGTGGATACTGAAGTGGAGGCAGAGCCTGGCTGAATGGATGATGCGCCTCCTCGAGTGGAGGCGAGGGCGAGGGCGAGCGTCGGTGGGATGGAGCAGCGACCTTCTGTGGGGTCGGCGACGCCAGATTGACCATCTCCACATCCCCAGCTGGGTGGCCATTGGACTGCTTCGTCGGCGTCTGTGGCTCCTGCTGCGCCTGTCGAGGCTCCTGTTCTCGCTTGCGCCTCTGCGACGCCCGAATAGGGGGCCACGTCTTCCTCGGCTGGCTCCCTCCACCATCTTCTCCGTCTTCGCTCTCACCACCGCCGCCTCCCAAGCTCTCCTTCAGCAGCGGCCGCGGGCGACCCCGGCTATCCTCGAGCGAGACACCGTGCCATCCGTTCACGGTCCTTGGGAGCGTTCGTGCACTGGGTCCGTTACGCGTCGTCGGGGCAGAGGCTCCCGGACAAGATGGCTGAGGAGCAGACGGTGGCGGGGTGCCGAAGATGTCTTCGTCGATTGACAGCGCGCGCTTGCGCTTGAGCGGGGTGCGGGTCTCTCCGAAGGGGTTGAACGAGGGCGAGGGCTGATGAACGGATATGGTAGAGGCATTGGCGAGCCCACGGACGCCGGGGGCGGTGTGGTTTGGCGAGGAGAGAACTTGCGTGTCGGTTCTAGTCGGAAGCTCGGGAAGCGCGATGGTGTGAGCCCCGTTTACATCCTCACGGGGCTGGTCGTTGGCTGGTGGAGGGGATGGAGATGGAGGCGCGGGAGGCTGGCGGGATGTCGAAGCTTTAGGTGTAGGGTCGGGATTACGCGAGGGGGACGAGGTCGTGATTCCATTGGACTGTGGTGGGGCAGACTCGGTGGTGTCATTGGGAGGCTCCCGCGAACTGTGATCACTCTGAGGGAGCGACTTCTTCTTACTATCGATGGTGTTAGCACAGGAAACAAAACCCAGAAACAAGAACGTACGCAGCGGACGAGCACTTTCCGTTGACTGCATTCTTCTTCGGCGCCTTCGAGGCGTGCTTCGAGCCCTCTGCCTCCAGCGTTCCTCCACTATCCCGCTCACGGGCTCGCGTCTCATGATTGATCTTGACGCGCTTGGATGCCGGTCGTTTCGCGCTCTCGGTTGTAGGTAGCTTCACTGGAGGTGCGTCCCTCTTGATGCCATGCTCCTTCTGATACTTCTTGATCTGATAGTTGTACCATTCCTGGTTCTTCTCATATTGGGCACGCCAGGACTGCCAGCTATGCCGGCTTGACCATGGCCACTGGTTGTCGAGCTACGATAATCTGTTACTGTTCCGTAAGGAGCTGAAAGAAGGAGCGGGGCGCGTACGTTCTCGTAGAGTTGGATGTAGAGGCGGTTGCCGCAGCGGCCTTCCTTGGGTGGGTTATTCCTTGCGATGTATGCGACGAGCTCGTCCTGGTCTTCTACGGTATAGAACTCGCGTATCCTGGCAATATATCATGAGGTATCGTTGATACAAAACGAATGGATGCGTACCCTCTGCCCCTTGCCATTGCTCCTTGATCTTGAGTGTTGTGTTCGACCGACGCGTTGACTGGAGCGCGTCGGAACGCGTCTCACATGGCTTCGCTTTCCATAAGAGGCATGTGCTCCTTTCTGCTCCTTCCCGCGCACGGACCACCCACCGACGGGTATATAAAAGGCGCGCCCGACGTTGGTTATTTCCTTAGAACATACTCAGCTAGGATCTATTCTATAGAAACTAACTCGAGTCTCGCATGTTTACACATGCCACATCCTTCAAGTCCACTCGATGATATTCGCACCCGCTCTGTATAACAGAGAACATGGCCTGCCCCTCGTTGGGCGGGTCTCGATGACGTTTGGCACGGCGACTGTCGCTACCGCTTGCGGTGCCACGGAAGCAAGCCAGCGAGTGGGGTGTCTGTCTGATGGGCTCTTACATACTGTAATTTGTACCTTTGTAATAAAGTGCTTTTTCGTCGTATTATCCAGTGTGACATTGTGTGTCCGTCGGTTAAAGGTCTTACGCTGTTGTTAGGCTGATACCTCCGGGCATCGTCGTATCTTCGTGATGAATTCGTTGCTGAGCATACTTGATTAGTTCATGCTAGTCAAACTAACCAGGTGCAGACTTTACCTTGTCTATCAGGATGTGGCTATCGTTGTAACTCGACGCAAAGATTGGTGCCGACTATATGCAGAAATGAGTGGTGGGGTTGGTCTCGAGCGCTGCTTGCTCTACCTACGCTAACGTTTTGATCTTTTCTCTGATAGTGGTACCATTTACCATTGCAGCTGCAGAGCTTCTCCAACGGCTGTTCCGGTGGGAGGTAGTGAGACACGAGCGAGCTGCCTCTGAATCCTCACCTCCCTTCATTCAGGTGTTCATGGTGATTCAGTTTTCCATCGTCCCCGAATCAATGGTTGGGAAGCTGCGTCACTTCGTACGTTTCACAGACATAAAAGGACGGGCGGTAACGGGGGAATGTGTCTCCGTCAAGCGCATCGATGCTTTTTGCGTCTATAGCTCCAAACTTGGCTTTCGAGGAACGTTTTGACTCGTCCTTTGCCTGCGGGCGGTGATGCACTGTGTCCACTCCGTCGCCCCTACGAGGCCAAACCGTAGATGATGTTTCGGGCGTCTGCTCAGGCGTCTGCCCCGGAGCATTGATCGATGACATTTGTACCTGCTGCGGCTTTGTACTGCAGCGCAAGTAGGAGTGTATCTTCAGTGGGTGTTAAGTGTGAGGCTCATTCTCCGAATACTGGTCTTGGATTATTCTGTCCATATATACCGCCTTTACCTAGGTAGCGTCGCTAGCCAACCAATTTCCTACATTAACAGTGTTTGCGTTCAAACGATCTGAGTTCCTATATTGAGTATTATATAGATCATGTGAAGGAGTATGCAGTTGAGTGCGGAAATATACACGTAGCCTATCTGGAAAGCAGCTAAGCTACTGGCTCATTAAGTCACGTCCTGGATATAAAACAAAACTACCGTTGAAGGTCCCTGCATCTGTTAACCACACACGTCGCACCCGAGTTTCGCGGCCTAACCCATATCAAGCCACTAGAGGCTTAGCTCATACTTTCAATCATCAAACAGCGGCAGACCGGTCTTCTCGTCGATCTGCGTCCTTGTCTCGCGCGCCTCAGCCTCAGTCCGCATGACAATATCTTTCCGGAGGTACTTGAATCCTTCGGCACGCTTGAACCCAAGTGCCTTAGCGCGTTCAGGGTCGTTAACTTGCTCGAGGTTCTGCGTAGCCCAACGACGTCAATCCTAGAAAAGGGAGGGACAGAGGGGAAGGAACGCACCACGACCAAGCTCTTCTTCACGCCAAATACTGCATCGCTTTGTATAAACTCGTCTCCAGCAGGGTAGAACGCGGTGACGAGCTTGGCATAGCCGGGCGCCTCGAACATCATGTGCAGGTGCGCGGGACGCATGTTGTGTCGCCGCATGTTGAGGAGCATCTCGCCGACGGGGCCCTACGGATGCGATACGCCGGTTAATCGCCACAGTAAGGTGTGGGAAGGGGAGGGACCTACGTCACCGGGGATAGGATATGGAACGGGCACGACAGCGCGATAGCTGTACCGGCCTTCTGAGTCGGTACGTAGACGGCCACGGCAGTCAGGCGCTTCGCGCGAGGTGTACTGGGTGTCGTAGAAGCCTGCAGGCACGTGGGATGACGTCAGACTTCGGCACGGGCGAGGAAACAGGCAAGGGATGTGAGGAAACGCACCATGGTCGTCCGTCTCCCAAGTATCGATCGTGACGTTCGGTATCGGCTTACCATCCGTACCCTTCACAGTACCCTCGACGAACATGTACTCGCCCTTGCCCTCCGATGCAATCGAGTGGCCGAGCTCGACTGGCGAGGAGAGCAAAGTAAGCGTTAATCATCCATGCTCGGACTAGTAAAGGAAGCAGAACGCACCATCGGCAGCATCCTCGGTGAAGAACGGCCCTAGAACGCTGGACTCCGTCGCACCCGCCGCGGGAGGGTTGTTGATTGCATCCACGAGCGCGGAGATACCGAACACATCCGAGAGCAGGATGGTCTCTTGGCGAATCGGCGTGCACGTCTGGCCGACGCGAGTGAGGAACTCGATGGCTTTCATCCACTCATCCGTCGTCAGGCTGCAATGGTGATCAGCATGCGGCCGTTACATCATAGAGGGGGCAGACGTACCTCGTCTCCGTGATGAACTGGTGCATGTGTCGGGTGAGGGTCTTGAGGAGAAAGCGTAAGCGTGGGTCATGCGCCTGCTCGAGGAGTTTGAGGATGTTGGCGGTGATGATCTCAGGTCTGTCAGGCAACGGTAGGTTGAACTCGGGTGCGCCAATACCGTTGGACACGGCGTGGTGCACCTCGTCCTGGGGGAATGTGGTCTGGGCGTCAGCAGGCATGATGGTGTTTATTGTGTGCTCTAGTGAAAGAGCAGCGGATTGAAGTGGAGGCAAGGTGTGGATGGCGGTAGGTGGTGGGATGAGGTGCTTGAGCTGCTACGAGGTGCGGTCTATAAAGGACTGGGGAAACGAGGATCGGTGCGGTTCGGATGAAAGGTTCATCCATGCGGGGGCATCTGACAGGGTGAAATACTGAATAGGCGGTCAGTATAGGTCAGACGGTACGCGGTGCTCGGGCGGCTCTTGGTCTGAAAGCGCAACTTACTTTATCGCGGCGCCCTTGCTCGTCCCCATTCCTCCCGCTCTCAACCCACCACGTCGGCTTCATCGGATCATTTGCGCGGCCGCCTGCTTTGACATCGAACGCGAAGAACTGCTCAACGGTGACAGCTGCATGGTAATATGGGGCGAGTCTGAGACTTGAGTCTGACAAAGTCTGACGGTGCAATGAGACCAGACGCGCGAAGAGTTTTCTTTCCCGATGGATATACCTCACTCCCACGAGTCGCCCATCCGACGCGTCAAACTGTTCGCGCTACCCAATTGGCCCCTATCTATGACCATCCAGACCGCCCGCTTACTCACAATCTAGGTAAGTTTAGCATTAAGTCTACCGTGTCCTGTTGAATAAAAGAACAGCAAGTGTAAGCGCATAATTAGAGACGAAGGGCCTGTCAACGTTCCTTCGACGACACCATCGCCACGCCTCAGCTATAGAGTAGAGTTGTTAACTTCCGGCCCCCGAGTCCATCAACTCTATAACTCCAGTTCGTCCGAATCTCGTCCGTGCTGCTATGAAAATGAACATGAGCGTGATCACCTTCTAACCCCCGCAACCGGCCGCCGCGCGCCTGCCCTGACTGGAGTCCTTTGCAGCTTGATCGACAGTGCCCAGTCCATCATGCTTCTGCCGCATCGTGCTTTCCACTGTTGCGGAATAAGCGGTGATTCCTGTCAAAAATCCAAACGATCAAGCCGGCGGCCGGCTGAGTTTGTCTAAGCCAGTGAACTTTTGGATGGATATGGACGAACTGACTAACGATCATATACAGACCGCACTGCGCACCTCTAGGAACCAGCACGAGGCGGGCTCATTGACAACGAAATTGCGTGAAAATATGGATAGATATGGATGACCTGACTAACCACCGTATGCCTGCTTACAAAGGGTGGTGCATTATATTGGGGCCAGATTTCCAGGCAGGGACTGCCTTAGTGTCACCGTCACGATTGCTTTGGCAATCTTTACCCCAAGACGTCCGGATCCTACGCAACTTGAACAGATTCTCATAAGGACCCGCGCCCCAATAAGCATGGAAACTCGGAAGACTATAGGTAGACGTCTCCGGTAGACGTCTCCTTCTGCGATAAACGTATTGATCAGATTCACTAGCAGCATCAGAGCACAGAAACTCACACATATGAGTCTATATGGAATACGCTATGTCGCCCATCAAACAGGGGACAGAGTATGGTGCCAGTTGCCCATAGTATACTTGACCGGAAGACATTTCCGAGCAATGCCCTTGACGCGCTGAGCATTGGGCGAGATCGTAGGCGACCTTTTCAACCAGAAGAATGGCTCAAGCTGTATCAGTCGTTCGCACTGCAAACAAACTGTCGTCTTTCTGTTACGAAAAGTGAGTGAAGAAGGCGGACAGATGAAAGCCTTTTTCACCCATCTTTTGCTGTGCGAAAAGTTACTGAAAAGATGAACTTTTGCCTCCGAGTTTGCATTTCTGTGCGGAGACTAGATAGAAACACGTTCAAATCGGGAAGGTAAAGTCCAAATTCGGTAACCCGCCAAATTTACCAGCGCAATATTGACGCAATTGCCGGCTAAAAGAATACCTTTTCCTGTGCAAAAGGGGGTCCCAAAACTCGGAGGGAAAGGCTTTCATCTCGCCACCTCTTTCTCTCGGTTTCATCCCGAGTAAAATCGCTGTTTGTCTGCAGTGTCGGGAGTCTTCATGCATAAGTAGAGAGCCAAATTCATATTTTTCGTGGTCGGGTATTTATTGAGATATGTTTTGAAGAACGACCTCAATCTTTGCGCTATATATATATTATCGAAAGGGATTTGAGGATGCTGTAGCCAGAGTTTGCGATGCCACTTGGTTTGCACTTGGTCCAATTTCGATCTCCGACTCAACCTTGCCTTTCATCCGAGTGTCGATCCTGGAGCCCAGTGGAAACGTGCTGTGCTCGAATCGGTGGGAATCCGGGCGGATTGGTGAATTGGAGCATAGTAGGGCACATCTTTGATTTCTCATCAATAAAAGATGGGCACATTGGTGAAAGCCAGTGCATGTGACCTTGACGCGATCATAATACCAAGGGGTTCGGCGCATATGGCAGTCAGGCAACTAGATACGGGCCCGAACTTCCCGGTGTTGCTTCATCGATCGTCTTTTTCATGGATGGAATATTCCCAGAGGCGGTCTGGGGAAAAGGAAGTATTGCCGTGTTTGCTTTGTGAAATGCTAAGTCTTTATATGTCCCGAAATCGACATAAATCATCGTGTAAGAGTCCTGATTGGCTCGGACAGTGAATTTATATGTGATATCATTCTGCGTTTGTCCACTGAATAGACAGTTGCAATGCCCTCGTAAAACTACATTCCAGTAGACGCGTATCTTCAAAGTAGCTGTTGCTTGTAACAAGCTTCTCTGAAAACAGTCCGGAAACTCTGTAGTTTTGATCCCCGCTTGTTACAGCCTTGCGCGAGGACGCGTACTTCGCTCTCCCTTCTTCTTACCACCACCACCCTCTTCCCCACCCCGAACGCCACCTGTACGCACTTGGTTACGTGCACTACAACATTCTACTGGTTGCCACAACATGACTCTTCCACGTTCACTACACCGGTCAGCCTCTCTAATTTGCATCACTCGAGATTACTTCTGATCGTCGAGTTCACGAGTAGGAAGGGATCGAGCATTCAGGTGAGCCGATTCCTGCAATACAGTTTACCTTATCTTTGCTCAACGACTGCACAAAGCTTGTCCTCTATGTGGTACGTACTCGCTACCTCTATCATCGCACATCATAATTGATTTCATCAACAGGCTCGCGATCGGGCGTATCCAGCTAATACCACTGCTTATTATTTGTATAGATAGCCGGTATTTATATTTAGTAGCCTTTAATACATAATATCAAGCTGCTTTGGAATTTTCGCCATGGATGGAATAAACCAGATTGAGTCGTATTCAATTATGGCAATTAGTTATTTAAATTGAGTTCACGTATTCGTGAATGCGTGCACCGATATGAACCGACGTGCCCGGATCCGAGCCAATGGGCGTCATGAATTGGCACCAAAAAATCGGTGAACACTCCAGCCATCGGTTCGCATTGGTGTGTATCAGTGCATCAAAGAAGCACCACGGGATATGCTTCGATTCACCAATCCGCCCGGATTCCCACCCATCTGAGCACAGCATGTTTCCACTGGGCCTGGAGGCCATGGCTCGCGCAGGAAGTTGCCGCGTCTCGTCTGCTCGTTTCTCTCCGACTTGGCACATCTGTATACAATTCGTACCTCATCTGACGCACTAACCTCTCACTGCATATTTGTATGCCCTGCTAGGACTCTCGAGCAAAGATCAGTGCTCGGCTCTCGTCACGCGTCAAGCACGATGTTTGTGACTACGTCGATGCTCTCTCGATCAGAAAGCTGTGCTCGATCACTCGTTCTTGCTCAGCTCAACATTTTGTCGGGTTTCTTTGATATATTGGCCGAGGTATTTTGCTTGCTATCTCTCACTCTGATCGCGGTCGGACCTGGGCGACTCTCTCACAAACCTGCCTTGCGCGTGTTGATCAGACTTCAATGGAGATGGGAAAGACGTACTATGCTCCACCAATGCGAGTGCTACCACTCAAGAAATCTAGAACTACTGTAGTAAGCTGGCGGTCATATGACTCCTCCGTCGTGTTCCTCACAACTCCACTGTCCTCAATGCAGAACTGGCGGATGTTCAAAATCATGCGAGGGCCACACAACGAGAACATGACCACCTGGCCTGCGTAGAGAAAGTTGATATACCACGCGGCCGCCGCATTAAGCTGTCCAAATCAATATTAACAAACCGCTCACACATGATCGCATACAAGTGGGGAAAAACTTACTGCCCCGACCTCACTCTTGGGCATTGCCCACTTGGACGAAATGCACAAGCAAATCAGGGCGCTAAACACACCGTCAACTAACCGTTGGGGAATGAGAAGAGCTCTCACATGACAAAGTAAACGATGTTGTCCCGGAGCAACGTCGCCAGGAGGTCATACACCAGCCTTTGCCTTGATTGTCGCCGCGCTGACCGGAGCCGAGTAAACCAGCGATAAAGCGCGAGAATGCAAAGTACGATCTCAAAGAAGATTGGGACCGACACGTTGAGTGCACTCATCCACTCATCTTCCCGGGAGAGCTTGTACTGCGGTACAGGACAGTATGCTTTGCCGACGAATAAATCCGCTCCTGTGAGGTTGTGGTATCATGGCCAGGAGTTTCTACAAGTCTCGAGCTTACTCGTCTCCTGCTCCGTGATGAACGTGAGACTTGCAAGTGCGCTAACTTGCGAAGCGACGAACAGCACAACCAACAACGTCGAAATCGTCCTGGCGGGCCGATATAGCACATGAACTCGGTGTGCCATAAGTCCTGCACATGGTTAAGTCGAACGTAGTCAAAGTATCGTTGGGATGAATCGCACCCTGCACCAATAGTAAGAGGATGGCTTTCGTGGCCATCGTTGTGATGAAGAGCCTCTTACCTTCGACAGAGAAGTAAACGTCAGTTATCAAGTATAATGCACCTTGCGGGAGCACTTACACCTATGAAGGGAAGCACACAGGATTCGACATGTTGTAAGTCAATCTCCGTGGCGAACTATAAAGTCCCACTCACATAGGCTAAAATGGTCGGTTTTAGGAGGGTCACATCTATGTCGCATGACTCACTGGTAAGAGAAAGACTGGCAGTCGATATACTGACAGCGTCCGTGAGCATCAGCATCCCCGTGAGAATGGATACAACCATACCACAGAGTATTCTACTTGCCTTCAGCACGCAGTTGTGAGAGAAAGGCTCGTGAACTCACAAAGCGAACATAACCCCAAGATACCTCATCTACTTCATCCCGTCAAGCTATTGTCATAAACACGAGATGGGTGGGAAGTACCAGTAGATATAAAACTGAGATGTACGTGAACTTCCTGCTCTATCATGCTGTCGTCAACAGGGATGATAGTACTATCAATCTCGAGAAATTCACTTACCCATATCAACTCGACCTAGATCGGAAGCTGCAACTTAGCCCTAGTCGGGTGGGTTTGGCCATTTTGACACGTACCTCCTCCCCAATATGAGCCACTGTGTCCCATAGCTCAGAGATGCATGGAGAGCTGGAGGCAGGAGTACTCACAGTAGTCATAGAAGACCGTAGCCAACAACGCGACTAAAAGTGATATGTTGTAGTTAGGGAACCAGACGAACACCCATTACCGCCAAACAACCCACCACCGCCATAAGACAAGATCAACGCGTATCGAGATTCGTCAACGAGGGCTGCCGCAAAGGATCCGACAGCCATTGAGAGGCCCGGTCTCTTCCAGGAGTGAGAACGACGCGTCCGGGAATGATGGCAGAGCAAGAGAGAGTTACAATGCGACGAGGAATGGCAGCCTCGGTCCTAATATCCAGTGTGAGTTTTTTTGGACATCTCTTACTCTTAGCGAGTCGCCCGTATGGGCATATGTCATTCTTTGATCGACAAATGATCGACTAAGAAAGGGAGGAAAACTAGACGGTTGACGTTCGCCTCCCCTGCGCCTCCAATTATGCAGGCCATACGTACGGTAAGAGCTAAGGTAGGCTAATGCGATGATTCACGTTCAGGTTCGAGACCTGTGTAAGTTGTGTAAGTGGGTCCTCTATCCTCGAGGACTTGACTCGGTCCACGGAGATAATAAGCTCGGCACAATTCAAATTCCTCTCGCGTGGGCTTTGGGCGGCTTTGAGCAGGGGGCAAGAATGCAGTCCGCTGACATACCCGGGAGCAATCTGGGAGACCCTTTCTCCGAAAACATGTAAGTAAGTTTGAAAAAAAAGGCGAGCTGTACACAGATCAAGAGTATGCTATAGTCTTCTACACCTCGCTACTATGTATGTTACCTGACCTTGAGCCACTGCTCCACGCTGAGTGTACGGTGTATACACCACCAGATGTTCCGGCGCCCAAGTCTTGTAGCGGAACGCTAGTGAGCTGTTGACGTTGAGGGCTCAAAGTGGTGGTCGCACTTGGATCAGATGCTCTGTTCCGCGCGTGGTACCGGCAAATATTGAGAATGATGTGCGGACCACATAGCGAGAACATGATGACCTGACTTGCGTCGACCACGCTCGTGTACCACGCAGCTCCTATGGTGAACTATATGGGGCGGCGATGATCAATATCAAATCTCGATGGTTAGGTCGACCAAAGTACCTCGTCGATGGCCCTCTGAGGTAGCGCCCATTCCGAGGACAAGCACATGCAAATCAGAGCGCTAGTAACAAGATTAGATAGTCGCTACTGCACATGCAGGTAAAGGCTCTTACACCAAAAAGTAGACGATATTATCCCTGATTAAGGTTGCTATAATGTTGTTGACGGACCACTCCATAAATCGCCGACACGTTGATCTGTAGCGGGTAAACCAACTGAACATTGCGAGTGCGCAGACCAAGGTTTCGAACGGAATCACGAGGGAAACATTAAACGTCCTTATCCACCGTTTGTTGTTCATATCATATGGAACAAGAGAGCAATATAGCCCGTCAAAGGTTCGATACGAAGCTGAGAGATTGTGAGTAACAGCGGCCCCCACACGTTGTGGAACGTACTTACTAGTTTCCTCGTTCATTATCAAGAACAGCCCAGTTAGCGCCGTAGCTTGTGAAACAACAAACGACACGAATAACAGGATAGCGATTGACTTGCATTGCTCATAAAGCACATAGACGCGAAGTGCCATCAGCCCTGGTATTTGTCACGTACTGGCCGATAGCATTTGATTGTGGAGAATAGCTCACCTTGGATTAACGGCGCGAGTACTGCTTTAAACGCTGTTGTCACGATGCAAGAAGTTTCACCTAAAATGTATACCGTAGTTAGGCGTGACGAAGGCAGGCTGTAAGGGGAAACCTCACATCTGTGTGTCGAGGAAGATCGTATGTCAGCCGTTAATTGCTAGGTGGATAGTGGGCTATTACGAACGGAAGCTGGCAATACTGTAAGTGATAATTCGTCAATTGAGCATCTCCGACGTACCGTAGAGAGGGAAACAGGTAGTCGATACACTAGCAAGTTCGTTAGAGAAAGCGCGCTAATGCAACCGAGCGGAGGCATACAGCATAGCGTTCTGCACTAGTTGATTATACGTACACGGGAAAGGGATGGTGCACTCACATCGCAAAGATTATCCCGATATATCTCATCTGTCCCTCTAAATCAGGCTACCATCTTAGCACGTCGGATTGATGGAGTTCATACCAGGAGATATAAAGTAGAAGTGAACGTGAACTTTCGACTCTGTGACACAGTGTCAGAAGGACTTGGGATGGCATGCATGGCAGGACTCACCCAAATCAGTTCTACCTAAGAGATCGAAGCCTGTATTCAGTCATTGCAACTATGAACTAGCTGTTTCCGTCACGTTACCGTACTTCTTCGCTGAGATGTGTTACTGTCGAGACCCTCAAATTAGCTATCAAGGACAAGGTAGACGCTATAAGTCCTTACCGTAGTCGTATAAAACTGTCACCATCAGCGAGGCTACGTTACGTCAGCATGCTTACGAGCACGTGCATGCCTTCGATGACGAACCATCGGCATAGGACAAAAGAAGTGCATAGTGGGGCTTGACATTGAGGGTTTTCACGATGCCTGCGTCCATTGATAGGTCTGGCCGATAGCAGGATGACTGGAGACGTCGTTGCGGGGATGATGGAGGAAGAGACGCACGACGGAACGGCAGGTGTTTCTGGGCCGTACATATGAGCTGCCGCCGTAAGTCCCTTTGAATGACCCTGAGTTATAAGCGAACAGCCTGATTAAACGCATCAAGATGTCCCCAGTGCTGCGCGCAACACGCTGCCAAGCGCCCAGATGGAGAATTTTGACAATCTGAGTCCGTGTCTACTGTCCACGTCCAACCTCTCGAGCGGACGCTGGCGCTGATCTGTTCATCAAGATGGGGTCTAACGCAGAAGGTCAGCTATACCAGGCATTTGCCATGCGTAATCACAAGTTGAAGTGTGGCCATTCAAAAGTACTTGCGGTAAGTGTTACCGGGAGAATTCGCAAACTGCCCCCATCCCTGCGCGTTCATCATGTGGTCGTGATGGAAATATCAGACCCACCTCGGTCCAGAACTACAGCATCCATTCTACTGTCCACGCTCTGTAGCCTCCACGAATCATCCTCAATTCTTGTGATGGCCCATTCCTATCAGGGTTTAACACAAGAACATAAATTTGGAGACGTCCACAGCGCTAGACAATTGGAACCCCGTACCCGTGCGCGCTCGTACCCGGCGCCTTTGATACGAGAAGGTGTTGTCCATGCCCCCGGACTCTTCTGGCGCAACTGGAACCAGGAAGGCGGCAATATATGTTGCGTGAAGTCACCCAAGATATTATAGGTGATGAGATCTGCACTACTGCACAGTGCACGACATGCTGGGAACTTGAAGGCAGTCCCGTTTGTTGATGTCTGTTTCGCCACTTTCCTTCTCCGCTTCATCCCCCCTGTCGGTCCGTGAGTCAAGCATCGGCCTGCATCTGCTCTCCCTCACTCATTCTCCGAATCATAGGTCTGTCTTGTTTCTCCAGGAAGCATGATCACCTGGTTGAACACGACAGAGCGTCTACATCACTGCTCAAGTATAGATGACGAAATCTCCTCCCATTACGAGGAGATCTCTGCGCATCATGGAGCCATACGAAAGCTACGAACTCGACGCAACTTACTCGCACCCATCAACGATTTACCAGATGAGACGCTCGCCCATATCATATATTTCCTCACACCATTGTTTGGGGATGATGAGAGCGGCCTATTTAGCGCAACACATGTCTGTCGCGTGAAGTAGTGCTTGCGTATCCCCACCTATGGTCGGCCATCAGGCTGCAGTCCCGCTCTTCCACGTGATTTATCCGGCTAATGCTCAACAGAGCTATGGGTGCGCTTCTCATCGTTTACATTTACGGAGACACGTTTAGCAAAAACCACGCCTATCTCATTGAAGAGCTTTTCAAAGAGATCTATCGTTCCAGAGAACTGTAGCTTAACTTTCCTTTCGTCCAACTTCTCGAACTCATGAACCTCCTCATTTCTGATGCTCCTGTCCTCGAACGCTTTCATCTCGACGCTTGCCGTGCCAATGCTTTCCTTCTTCCACGATGTCTCTCAAGTAATTACTCCAAGCTACGCAGTCTAATCCTCACCGTCTGCGCACCGCCCTGGGACTCTGCAAACTTCAGAGGATTAACGCGTCTCGAGCTTTGGAATTTAGCGAGCCTATCACCGACCCCAGATGAACTATGGTCTGTTCTACGCGGCATACCTGCTCTACAAGAGCTCAGTCTCTAGGATGTTCTTCAACATTTTGACTCCCCATCATCGTCTTGGGATAGAGTTGTCGCTGTTCGCTTTCCCAGCTGCATGAGACGGTAGTCGGAGGGTGAGTTTCACTCAATATGCGCACTTCCTCTCCCTCATTCACATTCCCCCCGTTGCTCACCTCGATCTCACAGTCATGTTCATAGAGCATCGGACTGGGGGAAGTATCCTCATGGCCTTGCGCTCATCCCTCCCATAATGTTTCAACATCATCGCATTGCAGTGGATCCTATACGCACGCTCTGTACAGCGCTTCGTGAATTCGTCAAATTTGATGTATATGAAGTACCTTATCAGTTCAACCATGGGGACAACCATGAACCAGCGCCAGAGTGTGGATGACATTCCAACCCTTTCTTTCGCAACATACAGCATTACAGCCAGATCCCGGGGACAAACCCATACAGCTCTTTCTGCTATGTAGTACCCCTCGTCTCCATCCATACTCTTCACATGGAACCGGCCAATGACTTCGGTTATAGTGACATACCCACAGCGTTGCCCCAGATTCGGACCTTGGAAGATTTGATAGACGGGCAGAACTTGGGTCAACTGATTGATAGCTACTTGCCAACCAAGGGAACCCTAGCCGCCGCGCCCCGACTCGAGGTCCTGGTCATTAAACCATTCGCGCACCCTTGCTTAGAGCGCAATGTCAAAGGGATTACCAATACATTTGAGAGGCGTGCACAGGTCATATCGCGTCTCACCGAGCTTGTTGGGGAAACATCTGGCTTTCCGACGAGGAATTGGTTAGGCTAAGGTAGAGTGTTCAGATGGTTAAGTGGGTCGGAAGAAACCCAGGGAGTAACTGAGTGGTGGCTTTGCTAGTACAGTATTTTCTATCGATAAGTAACATAGTCAGGCTAGCGTCACTAGACTCTAAGATGATCTCCGGCGGCGTGCACTGTTTGCCAAAGTGTGGATGATGTTTTTGACAGCTAGTGAATAGGGGCTATTAATCCTCTTTCGACCTCGACATAAACCCACGTGACATTCAGGTCTTTCCTCGACATCCACCTCGGCGTCAAAGCCTCACCCTACCGGTGTACCACCGTCGCGCCCCATCCGCCCCAGGCGACCAACATATCGTCTAGTCGGCACATAGCTGCGCTCAAATAGAGCTACCGACTCAAGCAGGCCACCATGTCACAAACCGACTGCTTGCAAGCCCTCCAACAGGCCATCAAGGCGAACACGCCAATATCCTACACCACATCTGCGAACGAGTCCACCACGTCCCTTCTCTCAGCGTCACAAATCCTCATTGGGTCTACACCCTTCCCCAAAGATGCACCCACACGATACACGCGTCCAACGGCGGCTGCAGGCGGCGCGGGCGACCCCGTGAGCAGCCCGAGCAACTTCTTCTCGCTGAGCGCCGTCTATCTTGCATGGCTAATGCGGGACACACCCGGAGCGGAATACATGAAGGCAGCACGTGAGAATGGATTGACGGTGGGATTCGTGAGCGTCACAGAGCGGAAGGCCGTCGTTGAGTGGTTGGAGGGCAAAGGCTCGGGCATAGGCAGGGTTGTCCCGATTGCCGGTGTGTTTCCGAACCTTCTCTCTCTAATGAAGTCAGCCTCTGATAGTCTTACCGCTTCTGTTTTCAGGAGAAACAACAACACCGCCTGGGTCACCTCTTGCTTCGCCCCGGAGACCCGTCTCACCATCGAAGCGCGCACATGGGACGACAGATGCAGTATCATCCCCGTCAAAACGACCCTACGTCGCCGACACTGCAGACCTAGAAGTAGTAAAGAGGATACGAGCAAACGAGGTTGAGCTAAGGGATCGGAACACTGTCCTCCGCGGTGTTAAATCCAATGTGAGTCGTCCCGCAGCATTGGCGCTTACCGCCAAAAATATGTCAGACAGCTGGCTAACGGGTCGTCAGAATTTCTCGGCTCTACATCTTATGTATAGCGATAAAATAAAAAAGCTTAAGGAGGGTAAACCTGCCACCTCCGCCACTCCATCGGCGTCCGCAGGAAATGCTATGCAGCCTCGGAAAGCCAGTACGTCGTGTTTTCTCGTCCTTGGTCGTCTCAGTCATCACTTCTTGTACGCATGCAACCCTACCTTAACATCCAATTAACCCCTATTCACGCATTTGCGCCAACACGAGTCGCTAACGATGACACCCGATAGAACATACCTACCCAATTATCGTCATCTCCTCCTCCCCAACTTCTCTTATCACAATGCACAACGTCAAGCGCTTCCTCCAAGAATCTACCTTCGAACTCTCCGCTGACGCCCGCGCACGCGAGGGCAACGCCCGGGCCGAGGACGTTGTGCACATCGATCGCCTTCGCCCTTCCCTCCTGTCCAACTCTACGCAGAATGGCAGCGGCAGCGGTGCGGGCAAGGTGAACGGTGCGACGCGGGGCCAAATGCAGCGGTACTTTGTCGTGGATGGGGTAGAGGCGCTGAACAAGTTTGGGACGGATGCATGGGACAGGGTCGTTTGTGTAATGACGACAGGGCAGACATGGCAGTTCCGACCGTATAAGTGGAGTGATCCACGAACGCTATTCCACCATGGTGCGTGCCTCCCTCTGTTGCTTCGTTTCAGCAGCATGGCTGAGTCGTCGACTGGCGAATAGTCAAGGGTGTGTACGTTACCTGGACGAATGACCCGCCAAACACAAAGATCAAGGACTGGAACGTCACCGAGCTCAAGGTAGGTCTAATCCTTATTCCTGCTTCGCTTCCGCTCTAGGAGTTAAATTCACCATATTGCCTTTAGATCGACCCCCACCGGCGACACGTCGACAAGTCCGTCGTCGCCCACTTTTGGCGCATGCTGGACGACTGGACCCTCGCGAACAAGCCGTGGCTCATCAAAGCTTAGGTTCATTCTCTTCCCATTAAACCGTTGCGGCAGAACCAAGCGAAGAGGTGATGGATGACGATGGGTGAGGTGATGGGATTGAGAGTGATGGGTGTATGCGGTATTTATTAAAGACTTCTACGTTTGCTCTGCTTTGGCGTGTATTCACACTATCTTCTTGAACGCATACTTACTACTCCTTGTTCTATCCATAGTAGATCTCGGTGCGTATGTGACGATGTTTGTGAGCACGCTACGGGGTCACGCACCGGCAGGTATTCTCAGACGGTATTCTGTTTAACACTATTATGTGTAGACTTCCACTGATAGGAAGACTCTATCAACACCATTGAACTCCGGTAGTACCTTCCTATCGGTTATAGACGCTTCCCATCCTCTCACTTTCGACATAGGTCTGAATCCTTCATTTATTTCCTTGGCATGGGCATGCACAAACAGAATTTAACCTCGCTGAGAGAATCATCGCAAATGTCAACGGGGCTTGGAAGAGTTTCGCGCGCGGTTTGTTGGTACCAGTCGTCATTTCCGGCGGCGTTCCCGGTACCTTCGTGACTGTCGCTGTCTGTGCTGTCTTCGTCGCTTTCACCGTTGTTCCAAAGCCGCCGGCGAGGCATTTCGGCGCCAGCGAGACGCTACGCCGTCCCAGTCAGCAAAAGCTCGCCTGCGAAACGTCAAACATACCTCTTTCGCTCGGGCAGAATAGACCGTCACCATGCGACGCAATCGAGTAAACGGCGTGCCCGCGGTATGGCCGACTGCGCGTCTTAGAAGCTGCGTAATTTTGGACTTGAGTCTACTGTCAGATCTCATGCTCGTATTTCGCGTCGGCTGATGGTCCAGACTTCCAAATGTATCCGGTTGGCGTCTACCTTCAAGTATTGGTTGCTGTCTCCGAACAACCGCAGGCCGCTAGCACAGCAAGTCATTAATATCGTCTCCAATTGATGGGTGTGCATTTTCTCACCATCATAAAGCTTTCTTCGGATTCCCCATCTCCTTTCTTGAATGTATACGTTTTTGTCAGATCGCCATTCGCTCAAATTGGATAACATACCTGTGGTGGAACCGTCTTGTCTCTTCGATCACTAGGTTGCTCATTCTTATCATTCTTTCCCGCCTGTAGACAGAATATTAGTGTTTAGCCTGATATGCACGGTAAGGAGTGGTACCCACGTTGCCCAATAGAAGCTGACCGGTCGCCGCCTCCCAGATTCTGATGCGCCCGTAGCCCGTACCGCTCGCGACACGTGTCCCATCTGGAGAGAATCCTGCTGCAGTAACCGGGCTCTCATGTTCAAGGAACCAAAGACGCTCCCCAGTCCTCGCGTCCCATATACATACTTGCTTGTCTTGCGAAGCGCTAAGGAAGGTGAGACCATCTGGCGCGTATTCGACTAGCCATACCCAGTCATCGTGTTCAACCTTGAGGACTTGTTTTCCAGAAGAGATATCCCAGATTCGTGCCGTCTTGTCCTCTGATCCACTGAGTACGAACAACCCATCGGGTGAGAAGCAGACTGACTGCACATCGCTGTCATGGACAAGTGGGCCTACGAGCGATGATCCGGTGTGTAAATCCCAAACGCGTACTGTTTTGTCCCTCGATCCGCTAGCCAGCTTATTCCCGTCCGGAGACACGGACACCGAGTAGATCCAGCTTTCATGCGCTTCAATCGTTTGATGTAAGCTTCCTGTGAGTGTATCCCATACGCGTATCGCATGGTCTTCGTCGGCACTAATGAGAAGTGTTCCATCAGGGGTAAACTTGATGGCAAGAACATTGTGCCCATCCTCCTGTGCAATCTTGAGCACAAGATCTTTGGTGTCGGTATGCCACAAGTGAATGATGGAGTCATTGATGCTGCTAGCTAACTTTGTACCGTCAGCAGAGATGTCGAAGCAGGTGGTGTTAATGGCTTGGATAAATGCATCAAGAGTGTCCTCGCCCGTATCGACATCCCAAGTCCGGATTACGTCGTCGATACCGGCGGTCGCAAACTGTTCTCCGTTGGGAAACCATCTAAGGGCGACTGTGCAGCCTTCTGTGTGCATCCTAAACCCCATTAGCGTCATCAATTGGATATGAAAAGCAGCGGAAGCGCACATGTCTTCGCTGGATGGTTCACCGATAAATTTATGTTGCTGGAAGTAAATCCAGAATATATACAAGGAGTTAGCAAATGTCAAAAAAATTTGAATTTGGGTGACTTGCCTGTGGCAGAACAAGCCCACCCGATCCAACTTCTCGCACGCACAGGCGACCTTCCCGGTCACCCACAACCGCGTACTTACGATCCGGGGAGCATGCCAGACTACTGAACCTCGCATCCCAATATAGCGGCCCCCAGGTGCAAGTCCCCGTTGTCAAATCCCATCCACGCATAGTCCTGTCAGATGAAGCACTGACGAGCGTCTGCCCGTCCATAGAGAAGCACAGGCCTGCAATGGGCTGTCTGTGTCCTTTCAGCGGACCCTTGACCAGCGTCCCATGGACAGCATCCCACAGCTGGATCGTCCAATCGTGGCTCCCACTTGCCAACACTCGTCCATCAGGGGAGTAGGCAACGGAAAATATCTGGTCCCGGTGGCCGACAAGAGGTCCGTACACAAGCTTCTTCAGGTCTATGTCCCATATGTAGAGCGAGCCGTCCATAGAACCTGTGGTAACGTGTTGTCCGTTCGGAGAGAATGCAAGGTCTGTGACCTTGTTGGGATGATCGAACGTTCCAACGCATGCTCCGGAGTCTGCGGTCCATAATCGCATTGATTTATCATAAGATCCACTGGCAAGGAGTTTACCATTGGGAGAGTATTGTACCGTGAAGATGAGGTCTTCGTGGACACCGAGAAGACTTGAGCGCGTTTCCTGGGTCAACACATTCCAAGCAAGAAGGGTCCCGTCGTTGTATCCGCTGATGATATACTTTCCGTCGGGAGAGAATGCGACGGCAGATACACCGCATTCATGATCGCACATAGTCTTCCCAATCTGAAGTCCACTTTGAGAGTCCCATATCCGAATGGTTTTATCACCAGAGCCAGACACGATCCACTTTCCGTCAGGCGAGTAAGTGAGGGAGTGTACAGTGTCTGAGTGCCCATGAAAGGGTTGTGAATCCTCAACACCGCTAGGCTGAGAGGCTGAATCACTAGATAGCATTGCCTTGATTGACCTTTGCATAGTAGTGTTATCCTTTTCGTCTCTGAACGGCGACAGAATGGTGCTTACGGTAGTGGTTGCTCAGAGAAAACCCGTGCGTGCTTAGCGCTATAGCGCTTAGCCGCGAGCTGAAAATTTTGTGGCCGAGACCCGCCGGAATTACATAATCCGAAATTGCCCTCACTTCGAAATTGTCAGTCAGGGTATCAAGGTAGTGCAGCATCTAAATTACAGTTTATACAATCCGAATAATTACAGCGTAGACTCTGCATCATGCAGCACATACTCTAGCTGTCCAATATCCTCGCTCTATGTCCGCCTACTCCTACACTAGTGTTTCAACTTTCGACCACCATGATACGACGCATGTGCTTACCAAATTACTCATGATCAACGTTGCGGACAAACGAAGTGGCTCAAAAGCGCCCTGGAACGTGAGGACGCTATATTTAGTGCGCAGCAGCAAGCGCTTGATTCATAAGATTCAACGTTTGTCAGAGACAAATGATTGATTCCGAACGCCTTCGATCCTATCACAACGAGCCTGACCTAGTTAACCTTGAGTTACAGTGATCCATAACTAGCAATGAAGCTTCTTGTAGCTTCATTTGCTGCCCCTCCTAACCCTGACCACAAGGGACATCCATCCATACACGTGGTCCAACTCGGACTCATTCCCGTAGGCCAAGTATTCGGACCTGAACCCACCTCCTGCCGCACGCATGTCTTTGACCTCCAACAGCTCTTTCAATGAATCTTCCGGGTCAATTTCTTCCTCGTCTTCCTCCTCCATTAGATTATCGATGTCGCCTTGATCCTCGTCCCATGTCGCGCTGGGACGTTCCTCCCCCGCAAAACGCACATGCGTGGCGCCTTCTCCGCATCTACGCCCAATTGCGTCCCAAATGTCCTTGGAGCGATCGCCGCACTCACCCAAATCTTCAGTGGCAACAAATCTGTCGGCAAGGACATACCGGTCGAACCGAGAGTACTGTTGCTTGCACCTATAGAGCACGCGCAGATGCCACTCAAGCCCCAGCGCTTCGCATGCACGCTTGAGCGCTGCGTCGGCGCCTTTGAGACGATCGTGAAACGTTGAGGTCTCCGTGTTCTTCGTGACGGGATACTGGTGTGTCAGCCCAAAGCCGATAAATCCCCCACCAGGAAGAATGCTGTCGTCGGCAAGCACAGCTTTGAGCGCATCCTCAAATGACTTCTGGTGCGGCGGAGCGTCAATAAGGGGATGGTATTGTTTCTGAACGCCCTCTCTGATGCCCGTTTCGTCGTCAAAGTAAAGGCCATAGGTAAATGTAACACGGTTTCCGCTCCTAACGGTCTCGATCTCGTGTTCGACGTCGCTGAAAAATGCAACATAGCCAATCGCAGGAGCCTGAGTAGTCTTGAAGGTATCCGCAAAATCGACCTTGTACTCCTCTCCCTTGTGACGAAGAACAAGCGCACCTCCATCATGTGGTGTAGGCAAAACAACAACGAGGGAGCCGAACATAGACGAGGCCCGCGGTGTGTCTTTGTGTGCTTTGAAAAACTCTCCTTTACCTGCTCGAGCAACGGAGAAATAAGTCATTAACACCATGTTTCTCTAGACAGAAGAAAACTCCTCACCATAGACGTTGAGCTTATCCAGCTTCAAAAGAACAGGGCGCAATCCATTCTCTCCCTCAAGGAACTCGCTGACGACATGACCTAGTCCAAGTTCGGACGGGCTAAGACCGGTGCTGAAATTACCAGGGAGAAGTACGCCTGCTCGACGATAAGATTCGTCGAGAACGTCTTCTCCATTTCGGCCGAATGTCGCAGGATAACAGGCGTTTGCGAGCATCTGTATTTCCTCGGATGACGCGTTTGATAGATTGATACTGTGTTTGCCATGGTAAGTTTTCGTTGATATGTTTTATCGTTTAGGGGGTAGAAGTACCGACGCGAAACTCCATCTCTCCCCTCAAAGAAGAGCACAAGCTGTTCGGCAGGCACAGTGATTGTCCCGCTAATGTACGGAGGCTTAGTTGCTGAGATATCCCGCAGAGCCTTCAAGTTCATATTCTCGTCAAGGCTCAATGCCGATGGGGTGGATAGAGAAGTAGAGCGACTCCTGCGACCGAACAATAGTCTCGGAAAACCTGAGTAACTGCCACTACTGAAACAGACTTTGTCCGAGGGGCGAGCCTTGAGGAGCCGATTCCTGTACATAACCGGAGCAGTCGGAGCTTTTCCAGTGATGGACCGTAGGGGCAGGCTATGGAGGTCGTATTTGATATTCTGTTTCAAAAGGAACATGATTCCCCAGCCGAATTGCTCAACAACTTGAAGGAAGTCAGAGAAGCGAGTGGCCGGAAGATGGCACAGTAGTGATCGGAAGCAAGGAGCTCGCTGTTAGGCTCAAGTGCTTTCAAATCTATTCTGGATATAGGAGCTTTGTGCAAAACAGGGGGACAACTGGTACATCGACGTCATGTCAAGAATGACCACACCCAAAGTTTTCTAGTACTTTCTATGCGGAACAGGGTTAAAATAAGATGATTTGGGACCAATTAATTACAGACAGACGTACCAGCAAGGCGGATAAATATGAAAAGTTTGAGACTGCACTCTGAACAGATGGTCGCAAAAAGTCTCTCTGGCGGGGAGTCGAACCCCGCTCTCCCGCGTGACAAGCGGGTGTACTAACCGATATACTACCAAAGACTTATTAAAGAAGTGTACTTATATTCTGGATATAATATGTCGCACAGGCATTTACCACTGAGGATAAATATAAAGGATGGAGCGATCCAGTATGTTAGCAAATCGGCAAGCAGAGGAATGTAGATTAAGCATAGTCTAGCAATAAATAACGGTACAGACGGGTATATAGCATCCACCAGTACTCACAGTACTTCATTTAAACGGGGTCTACGATGCCGTTCCATTTCTCGATCCATCGAATCCTTGCCCCCCACGATACTGTTCATTCTCACTTGGTACTTCTGGCGCGACCGTCCCAGCAGATAAACTGGCGTGCTGTATGCGCGGAAGCTGGATTGGCGTACCCTCAAACTCAGCCCACCCGCCTCTCAGCCCAATCTCGACCACCCGCTCCAGTATCTTCCGCATCTCATCCTGCCTGCCTTCATCCTCCTCCACTCGCCTATTCACATTCTCTGCCAGTGCCTCCATCCGTTCCGACAGTGAGGAGACCTGGGAGGTAAGGGCTTCGAGCTGGTCATCGATGCTGTCCCGTCGTTTGGACTGCGAGCGCGAGGAGCGCCATGATTCTCCAATGATTAAGAGGGCCGCAACACTGAAGAGGAAGCCCTCGGCGAGGGCGTTGGCTCCGTTCTCTACGGCTCTGGGTGACGGTAAGCGAACAGGAACGAGCGTGAGCAGGGGAGGGGCGCACCGAGTCTCCGACAGTGGCCGAACATGCTGGCGCGCGGGTTCACCGAGGATGTTCGTCCGTAACTTTATCTCTACGGTATACATGCCCTGTGCGAGAGAAATGCAGAGCTGGCGGAATTTCGGGTGTCTGGGAGAATTACGGGTCAGCTCGTGTCGCCTTGAATGGCGCGTAGAGACATCATAGTGAAGCAAAGGACAATAGAGAAGGACGGACATACTCCTTGGCTTGCCTCTTGATACCATTGCTGAGGGGTTTGGCAATTGTCTGCCTTGCGCGGATGGATGAGATGAGAAGGCAGCGCGAATCATAGGCTTGGCGGAAACACTCACTCGGATGGCGAGAGTGGCGAGCTTGACTGTAGCCATAGGAGATTACGTCGAGAATGAAGAAGTCAAATGCACTTAGAGAGACGTGGCGAGAAGTCAGGGAAAGGTTGGATGTGTTGTTTAGTTGGCGCGACTGGATACGGTGAAAAGAGCTGGTTGGCTGCGCGTCGAGCGTGCCGGGCGGGTACGCAATGGGATGCACTGAGGCGAATATAGCGAGTGACGCCTAGGCAAGATGCTAAGCTGTGATATTGGAAGGATCAATGAAAAGACTCACTTAGGCTGATTCAATCTAATGCTCCTCCCCACCGTGCACTGGTTGTCGGTCTTGTCGCTGCTGGCTATCACGCTCAAGCTCAAGCTCAAGCTCAGCGCGGCAAAGGATGCGGCAGTGGCAGTGCTGGCGCGGATGCGTCCGGTTGTCCCAGTGCGTGGGAATGTCATATGCGGTCCGGTTCCGCTGTCTCCACTGTCTTCGTTTCCTTCCCCTTCGCGTCAAAATCGACACCCTCGTGAATGCTCACCTGCCCAAGCGAGAGAGCTACACGCGTCAATGTTGAACCTTTCGTTTTACCCATACACTCTTCTTCTCCGTTAGCTTCTAGTCACGGACCTTCCCGACCATGACCGGGTCACAGGGTCAGTTGAATCTTACTGGCACCCTTCTTCCAGGTCCTCTGCAGTCAAGTATATTTACAGAAGCTAGCAGAGGAATGTTCTTCAACAGAGGCTGAGGGTCGACTTCGTCATCTGCGTCATTGCTCAATAGTCTCATATTTTTGGACTGCCCCGCGGACAAGTCATAAGGCCTACCTACTCCGCATACCTTCCCGTCCCCCACGAACACATCATCATATGACTCCCTTGCTTGTCCCTGCATAAAGGCAGAATACGCGATGTCTTGTATATGATCAAGAATCAGCCATCATGCTCCTCTATCGCATGTTATCGCTCTTCGCTGTGGCTGGGTTCGCGCTCGCCGCGAACCTTGCCGTCACAGGCTCTGTGTGCACCATCACGCCCGGTACGAATGTTACTGCCGACGATACACCTTCAATCCTATCGGCGTTCCAGCAGTGCTCGTCGGATGCGTCGATCGTCATTTCCGAAGGGACATACAATATCAACCAGGTCATGGAGACTACCGGGCTCAAAAACGTCACGATAGATCTTCAAGGCACGCTCTTGGTGAGCTCAATCTACTTGACTCTCGCGGCATGGAGTGGGAGGGCTTGAAGCTAATGGAAATGACCAGTGGAGCACGGATATATCGTATTGGAGGGCCAACGGCCTTCCGCTCAACTACCTGAATATGACCAGTGCATGGGTACTTGGCGGAGAGGACATTACGTTTGATGGACATGGGTACGGGACACTCAACGGAAACGGCCAGGTCTGGTACGTCTCATTCACCAGTAAATTCCATGCCCTCCACTTATCTGACTTGGGTTCGGACAGGTACGACTTCTCGAACGGTGTCGGCAATCTCGCCGGACGCCCTATCTCGCTCATCATTGCCAACACAACGAACAGCGTCTTCACCGGCATCCAATTCGTACAGAGCCAGTTTTGGACAATGGCGATCACGCAGTCGGACAGCCTCCTCCTGACCGACATCTACGTCAACAGCACCTCCAACGACGGCGTACGTCCCTTCCTCCATCCATTCTTCTTGCCTCTTATCCAAACCCAAATTGACGCTACTCAAAGACATCCACGGAGAATACCGATGGCGTGGACACCTTCTTCAGCAACAACATCACCTTCCGACGGTGGTCGGTCACGAATGGCGATGATTCCATCAGCACGAAGGCCAACTCGACCAACATCCTCATCCAGGACTGTGAGTTCTTTAACGGGAACGGCTTCGCGGCTGGGTCGATTGGACAGTACAACGACACGTTCGAGTTCATCGAAAATGTCACAATGGAGCGCGTGGTCGCGTACAACACGCTCTGGGCGGGATACATCAAGAGCTGGACGGGCACTGTCGAAGGGTACCCGCCTAATGGCGGCGGCGGCGGAATCGGGTATGCAAAGAACATCAGTACGTTCCCATCTCTTTCCGCTAGCCGCCCAAGATCGCTGACTCCCGTGACAGCCTTCCGCGACATAACGGTCCACAATCTCACAGGCGGCATCACCGAGATCACCCAATGCGTATCTTATAACGGTGACACCTCGGGCTGCGACACGTCTACGTTCCAGGTCTCCAACTATACCATTGAAGATATTCGCGGCACGATCTACGGCGGCTCGCTCGCGAACTTGTACTGCTCCGTCGCCGCGCCATGTCCTGGGATCAGCCTCGATTTCACAAACGTGGGTACGAATGGGACGAGAAACCTGACGTGTAGTAATGTCGTGGGCGCAGACTTTGAGTGTACGGGGCCGGCAGGGTATTCACCTTACTAACACATCCTGTTTGAGAAAGCGTGCTTTGCTGAACTTGTCAGACCCGCGTGGCTGACCTACGTGTCTATTCGCACAATTTGATGTAATAGTCATATGGCCATCCCTCATCAGACCTATGCGTTAAAAGAAGTTTGTGACGAGGATTATGCTGCGTTTATGCTGATTGCTGAGAGGATCATTTAGCGCTGAATCAAGCAAGGTTGGATCGGTTTAAATATAGTTCAATGGAGTGTCCAAAGTCGGACAATGAGTGTGGGAGCATGTTGGCGCCTCTGAGCGTTCATCAGAAGCTAGGCCACGAGGCGTCATGCGTATGCTGTGAGACGTGGCACACGTTTCCCACTAGGTGAGCATCGCTCAATTTCAGGCGTGCAGCAGTCACTCACCCTTTTCATCCTTTGACGCCGTTCAAGAGGTCTACCGTAATGCCTTCTTCTGACACATCTTCGGATTCTGCAAATAGCATCCACACTCTCAAACCCTTCGAGGGGCACGTTGACAGGATCTGGTCAATCGCTTACTCTCCTGACGGAACCTGCATTGCCTCGGGATCTTGCGATGGCACAATGCGAATATGGGACTCACGCACCGGCGTGCAGGTTGGAGAGCCTCTGAGGCGTTACCTGGGCAGCGTCGATTCGGTTACATTCTCTCCGGACGCAAAACATATCGCAGTCGCCTATGATGATCTATCAATTCGTGTATGGCTTTTTTCAACGAACGAGTGGGTTCTGGGTCCGCTGAGAGGGCACAGGGACTCTATCTCGTCCATCCAGTACTCCCCTGACGGAATGCTCATTGCTAGCGCATCCAATGACCGGTTCGTGAAGCTATGGGACGCGAACTCTGGGGAATGTACCAAATCTATGGAGCACCCCGACATTATCAGCAGCGCTGTGTTTTCTCCCTGCGGTAAACGCATCGCATCTGCCTGTGATGACAATCTGATACGCGTCTGGGACGTCGTCTCATCAAAATTAATTATTCCACCTCTTTCCAGACACAAGTCCGAGGTGTGGGCGGTAGCATATTCGCCAGACGGCAGGTTTCTGGCAAGCGGGAGTAGGGATTGTACCATTTACTTGTGGGATCCTCAGTCTGGGAAGATATGCAGGGGCCCATTGAAGGGACACAACCTTGCCATCTCGGATCTCAAATTTACCTTCGACGGACAAACGCTTATCAGCGCGTCGCGCGACAGGAGTGTACGCGCCTGGGATCCAATGACAGGTGACTGCGTATGGGGTCCAATTTATACCAACGGTTTTCTCGTGCGCATATCGGCCTCTCCGATACACCATGTGGTTGTTTGTGGCGAGGGGTCTAGTTTGTGTCTTCGCAATGCCAGGTCTGGAAAACGTATCCTTCCAGAGGTAATATTCACGCTGCTCTCCCAAGATACATTCTAATTGGTAACGCATATCTAGGGTCCCGATATCAAGCCTCCCAAAGGCAACAGGTACGTATGAATCATTCTTCTGTTATGTATATTTATTTTCCTGTTACGGTTTAGGATGCTCACAGTTAGCTGTATTGCGTCATTGGCATGGTTTCCCGATGGGACTCAATTTGCAAGTGTTGGACTATCAGATCGCACCATTAAAATATGGAACGCAGAAACTGGCAAAGAGTTTACTGATTCCTTTTCTCATCCCACCGACCTTATTACCTCCATCGCCATCTCTCTCGACGGATCCATGTTGCTCAGCAGCTGCAAAGATCAGACTATTCGCCTATGGAACGTGGAAACTAACATGCTTGCTATAGATCTTATGGAAGGTCACACTGATTTCGTCCAGGCTCTCGAATTTACACCAGATCATTCTCGCGTCGTCAGTGCTGGCAACGACCGTACTATACGCGTGTGGGACGCGCGGACCGGTCAAGCTCTTCTAGTCATTGAAGGACACGAAGGTGGAATAAACGACCTCTGTGTTTCTGCCGATGGGTCAAGGCTGGTCACCGGGTCGAACGACGAAACAGTGCGCATTTGGGATATCCAGACAGGCTCGCTGATAATGGGCCCTTACAAGCACGACGACGATGTGCTGTCTGTTTGCTGGTCCCCAGACGGAACAGGCATACTCAGTGGCTCATCGGACGGAACTGCACGAGTATGGAGCGTCGCGAGCGGGGGGCAGTTGCTCAAGGTTAAGCACGACGGTCGAGTTTGCTGTGTGCATTATGCATTCGATGGGAAAACATTCCTCAGCACCTCTGTCGACAAGACGATTCGCATTTGGGATGCTAGCACCGGACAACCCCTTCGGTCTCTTGTACATGAGAGCTGGGTAAGGGTAGCTGCGTTTTATCCAGATGGGAGAAGGATTTCAAGCGGAACAGACGACGGATACGTTCGGGTTTGGGACTCGGCAAGTGGGCAGCTACTCTTGGGCAAAGTGCGCATTTAATCTGTGTGGCTTTCGGTAGTACACTGATGTTATCAGGGATCCGACAATGATAACGAAGATGAATCTATCCATCAAGGAAAGAGAGAGGTACAACGAGAGGCAAGTGTTCGATATAATAGGCAGGCATATAGATTTCGATAACATGCCAACCTTAGAGAAGGAATCGGGTATCTGACGATAGTTTTCTCGATGTGAGTTGTCCTGTATTTCTCGGTCTTCATTGACATATTCTCTCCTTAGCTTCCTGCGACCCCTCAAAGGCAAGGTGCCAACCGCGGGGGTAGACATCGCGAGGGCTTCCTTGATGAAGTTTATTCTCATCCGGAAATCTCTAATCCTCAAGGGACTTTCGGGTTATCCATTAGATTGAAGAAGCTACTCGGACTAAGCGTCGAACGATCCTCGGACACCAGGAAGCACGTCAGCTCCACGAAGAGGAATAACTTCAAGTTACGTCGTTTTGTCCCAGTATACGCAGCCCGGGCAAAGCAGGTTTGTTCACCTTCAGTGTCTACCCAGGTAGTTAGCGTTGACTCGGAATCGTACAGCGTCTTGCTGTAGCCCCAGAAAGGCGCAGTGGCGATGGAAGTATAGAATCGGGGAACGAAGAGGAAGAGAATGCCGACATCACCTCCACTTCTCAACGCGTGCAAGCAGGGCCCTCGCATGTCAACTCTCCGGCAGACCATAATGACGCGCAGTCCAATGACCATGCCAGCTTGTGTTGCGGCATTTGGTAGAAGATGGTTTTGTTACTAGGCGAATCTAATGATCCCATAGACGATGCGAAGATTATATGATCTGGATATTTCATGTTCTCCAACATCGTTCCTTCGACATGCATATCAACTTAATTTAACTATCAATTAACGACCACTGGAGTTACGCTGCTGAAAAATCATGTGTTATTAACGATGGAATGCACCGTGTGCCAGACCTATCACCCGAACTTCATCGATGCATCAGGTAACCTGAAGTTATAAGAAACCTGACCGTGACGATGGCGCAATAGACGGCTTGTTCCCGTTCAGCTTGCCCGAGAGGCATAGTCTGCTGCAGTTTATTATTATAAATATTATGATGGGCGACTTTCACAGCTATCAAATGTTTACGCTATCATCATTCGCCCTGTCACCGGTCAGGAGGCAATTGTGAACAGTGTATCCTTTAGCCCCAGCCCGAGTTACCAGCGAGGACATTCTTCCGCAGTTGGAACGAAAGCCTGGCTTCGTATAATAATAAAACCTAGATCTTCCACATCTTTCCCGTGAGAGTACTGTAGTTATAACATGCAAAAGACGCGCCACCTTCGCACAAGAATTTAGCCACTGGTGTCGCTGCTCTGCGTGGGAACATTGTCATGTCAGTGCCTCGGGCGCTAATTCAAGTAAGTTGCGGCGTTGATGTGGCCGGTCGTGACGAAAACACAGCAAAATCTTTGTGAGAGTCCCCCTTCGTCCCACAGACTCCATTCGCATCCCCTATCACGATACTCAGCGCTTGCTCAGCTGTCAGAAGATGTCGCCGATCTCACCCGCACAAACTGATGGGAGTGCTGATAGCCTCCAGCCTCTGCAAGGACACGCTACTCTCAAACCTATTCAGTCGGTCGCTTATTCTCCAGACGGCAGGTGGCTTGCGTCTGGCTCTGGCGACACGACGATCAGGATATGGGACTCAGAGTCCGGCCAGCAGGTCGGTATGATCACAGCAGGTCGTCGGCAGTGCGTGTATGCCATTGCGTTCTCTCCTGATGGAAGGCACATCGTCGGCGCATACGGTTCGAGATGGTACGCGCTGCAAATCTGGGATGCTGTCACTCATGAAACGGCCATGGATCCCTTTGGAGTCCAAAACGATGCCATCTGGGCGGTGCAGTACTCCCCCGATGGGCGGCTCATCGCCAGCGCTGGAGCAGGCGGGTACGCACGACTTTGGAACGCGGCCACGGAAGAGTCACTTGCATCATTACCACACCCCGACGGAGTCGAGATCCATAGTATAGCGTTTTCTCCAGACGGCAGGTCCCCCGCAACAGGATCATCAGACTGTTTGGTCCGTATCTGGGACATAGACGGCCAAACACTCGCGCGAGAGCCGATATCAGGACACAAGGCCTGCATACTGACACTCACATACTCTCCCGATGGTTGTTTCTTGGCCAGCGCAGGGCTAGATTGGAAAATTCGAGTGTGGGACACCAGGGACGGTGCACCGGCCATAGAGCCTCTGAAGGGCCACCGACACAGTATCTCCGCTCTGTGCTTCTCAGTTGACAGCCAAAGGATTGTCAGCGTATCGGAGGACAGAAGTATGCGTATGTGGGATATATCAACTGGACAATGCTGTACTGGTCCTCGTTACAACAAGGAGCCTCTTTGGTCAGTGGCAAGCTCGCCTGACGGACGATGTGCTGCGTTGGGTGGAAGTAATGGCACTCTCTTCGTGCGGGATATTGACTCGGGGAAGCTCCTTGTACCAAAGGTAAAGAAGGTTCCCACTCATTTACAGATTGCTCAACCGTGTCTGTTCTTGAGAATGCAGAGTATACGTCTACGACAGGAGAAATGTCAGGTTTCATCTTCGTATTTGTGGAGAATAACTGGCCATAAGCATATCACAGGATGTCTTCAAATTATCAAACGAGGACTATTGCATGGTTTCCAAATGGACTACAGTTTGCAAGTGCAGGAGCAGACTATGTCGTCAGAATTTGGAGTGCGGAGACAGGCGATTGTATTGGTGACGCCTTCGTCTACCACACTGGAACCATCTGTTCTATCGACATTTCTTCCGACGGCTCATCGTTGGCCAGCGGATCCGAGGACAAAACTGTTTGCCTGTGGAACCGGGACTCCAGGGAACTTGCTCTCGATCCTCTCACGGGACATACGGACACGGTCACTGCCGTCATATTTACCCCCGACGACGCTCGTCTCATCAGCGGCAGCAACGATGGCACAATACGTGAATGGGACCGATGGACTGGGAGCTCGCTTCGTGTCGTAAAAACGCACGAACAGCCAGAAGCTATCCAAACCTTGAGTTTGTCTCCTGACGGCTTTAAGCTGGCGAATGGCTCGACTGACGGCACGGTACACTTATGGGACTGGACTACCGACTCGTCGTTAGCGGCATCGTTTGCCCACAGTGGCAGAGTTGAGGCTCTTTGCTTCTCACCGGACGGCAGGCACTTGTTTAGTGGGTCAGACGAGCACACTGTCCGGGTATGGGACGTTGTCACTGAAAAGGATGTCCACGAAATTTCCTACGAGCATGATGTGCGCTACGTGGATTATGCGCCAGACGGTTCCACCTTCCTCACCGTACCAGAATCACGGGTTTGTATATATGATGCAAGCAACCGAAGACTTACGTGAGATGGAGCACGAGAGCCCGGTTCTCGTCGCTTCGTACTCTCCGGACGGTTCTTGCATTGCGACAGGCACAAACCTTGGGTATGTCAGGCTCTGGGAGACGGCGACCGGAAGACTGATCCTGGGTAAAGTATGTATTTTCCCATCACTCTGGCTCTTCTGTCGCTCATGCTATAGATTAGTCGGAGAAAGTGCCCGTCCACGAAGAATCCGAATCGAAAGAGGTACATCGAGAGGTGGGTGTTTCAATTACACTACTTGGCCTACCAGCAGTACTTACGATCTCGTGTAGCGGGCCATATCACTTACCGAGAGCTTTATGGACGTAAGTGGCTTTATAACTAGCACTTACAGATGACTGGGTCTTTCTCAGCTTCCAGCCACAATTCGAAAACCAGCCCGTATACACCGAGAACGCGTGGACAGAAGCCTTCTTAACTACGACGAGAAGAAGGTACCGGCCCGAATGGATAAGAGGAGTGTCATCGAAACTGAGAAGATTACTTAGCTGAGTGGGCGTGTCTCCCCTCCGCTCGCGTCGATTTGCGATCATATACTCCGCTAAAGCGAAAGAGGTACGTGCAATATGCCTACAGCGCGCGCGATGCTGACTCCGGTGGAAAACCCATTAGCATCTCGCAGGGGTTCTAGATCCTCGTCAGCGCGAAAGCGACGGCGAAGACTCGGAGCATGACGAACGGGAAAACGACAACACCAACCGCCCCCCGTCTCGAAACTCTATCGAGTCTGTGGGTTCTATGGATCGAGTTCACGGGTGCTGGTGCCTCCCTTCTCGACGCCGATAAGCCACGGACATGCCATATGCCACTGGCCTCGCAGAACATCAGGTAACCCGAGGTTGCTGTCAAACTCAATCGTGGTTAATGGTCTATTTCGCGTTATTCAGTTTTGCACGGTTGGTTATCAACATCTTTTTTCTATAGAGAACCATACAGCACGAAGCCATACATTGCGCTACATACGGATGGTGTCGCTGGCGCTTAAGCGCTCAAGCTCAAGCGCCCAGCCACTTCACACAGTCCCAAATGACGAGTCTACTAGTAGCTCTTCGGCGCTCAAAAACCATTACCCTTGTTTTTGGATGACGCCGCAACTCCAAGGTACCCACTTCATGCGTCAAGGGTGTGGTTGTGGACGCCTGGTGACCAGTGCCATGATCCGAGTGAGCGCTAATTAGAGGGAGAATGCTACAAAGAGTTAGTCAATTGATAGGAATGGAAGGACACAGCTTAAGATATCCGCGAACGTGTGTCAACGTGCCACAGGTATGAAACAAGCGCGCGATCTTGGCTCTTGCTTTATCCCAATGAAGCTGCGTCGCTGTGGCTTTACTCCCCTTTCTCCTACCTTCGGTAATCTCAACACCACCAGAGACTCACACTCCCTGGAGCGATGCGCAGCAGATGCGTCTCAAACCAACATAACTTGATCATTCTCCGGCGCATAATGATACAGTAGAATATTTACTATGACTTCCGCTGCGGCGCTTCACGTCTCTATGGGTCATCATACGGCATGGGTGGTGATGAGTCTCTGAAATAGCATATGTCGTTGAGGGCACGTCTCAATAAGAAAAACACAAGGGAGCGTACCTCGAGATCAGAGATCCTAGCACCGACGACCTGACCGTTCGGCAGCTTGTCGCCGTCCTTGAAGGCCATGAAGGTCGGGATCTAGTGGATGGGTCAGCATTAGACACTACATACGCTACGCACGCAAAGAGGGATGTGTAAAGTGAGAATAGACACTGGCAGACAAAACCAGGTATAGAAACAGAGCATATAGTAGGAAGAATGGAGGACTGGGTAGTAGGAGCACACAGCAAGGGACCCGACATACCGAGCTGATGCCAAGGAGCTCGGCAACATCGGACGCATCGTCGATGTTGACTTTAGCAAAGATGACGCTGTCCTTCTCAGCGTGCTGTCCCGCGTACTGCTCGAACTTGGGCGAGATCATGTTGCAGGGGCCGCACCAGGGGGCCCAGAAGTCAATGATGACGGTCTTGCCGCTGTTGATCTGGCGAGGCGAAGGCATACGTCGTAAACTTGTCAGCGTCTCGCAGTCTCATGAAATCTAGTACGTCAAACGCACAAGCTCAGTGAAGTGAGTCTTGTTCTTGATTTCGGTGGGCATTGTTACTTCGGTAGGTGGGTAGGATTTAGAGGATGTGAGGGGATGGGGTTGCTGATGAGGTGATAGGCGCGTGGACCTGCTTATATACCGGGAGCAGTGTCGCGGATTCGCTCATCTTCAGCTCATGTGTTCTCACCCTCGGAGCCCCTAGCTAGTCAGCGACCTCTGCTTGCTGACTGTTGGACCTGTTGTCTGTGCAGCCAGAGTAGCACACTATGTTTGTTTTACGAATATTTTACTCAGCACTGCACCGTTACATTCGACCGGGACTGCATTATGAAGATGCGAAGCAACGCTCGGGAGTCGGGATGAAGTACTTCCGTGCTTCCGCATCAACGTCAGGGCAGGTCAGTGGTGATGACAAAGAGCTGCACGTGCGAGTGCTTGTCAGCATGACATCTGTTGAGTCTGTTCCTTCTTCGCCGACGCCGACCACCTCGAGCGCGTCCTTTCAAAAATCTTGCCCTACTCATTCGACATATGTTCTCCAAGCTTCTATGTGACTCTATCCCCATGAATGTCGGAACCTACAACATCCGTCAACTCGTTGTCAGATTGATCTGTTGGTCACCGCCCTGCTCGTCTTGTTCATCGCGGATTCCCGGCCCACGCATGCGAATCGCCCTAAAAGCTCTGCCCGTATCCTCGACGCCCTCTATCTCGACGTTAGTTTTTGTAGAGGATAACTTCTTCCCCGCCATGCGCTTTGGCTGGCTTCTCGAGCTCGGGCCCAATGAACTTGTATAGTGGACATTTCCGGCACTAGCGTCTTGTATGCCCTCGCTTTTCCTTGACGAATGTTCTTACATTCAACATCGCTTGTTTGATTATGTCATCGTTGTATGTATTGAAAAAGTACTAGCTTTCAGGCCCGTCGTTGGTTTTATAGTAAGCCTAATTCTCAAATGTTTGACTTCTAAACCTACAATACCAGAACGGGAGGCTCGCCCGTACGTTCACTGGAGGGCTTCAGGGAGACAAGTATGTATACTAATCCATACATATACTCCAGTGAAGCTTCGTTTCCGTAGGCGATGAACGACCCTTCCACCGTGTGGGCAGAGTTTGGAGACGACACGCGAATAACGCTATAAGTCTCAGCAACGTTGCTCCGGCGCTCGTCGTTGCTGCATCCGTTATCGCGATTTCCTCGTCCCCTTTCCTTACCCTCAGTAGTATCGACCCACCTCACCCAGAAAAAGTTTGCACTGATGTCGTTGAGCTCGTAGACATCCTCCAACTGAGAATTGTGGCTAACCACCTCGTCTGCAAACGCGTCTCCGGCCCCGAGATCGAAGAAGTCGTCGTAGAAGATCCGTGCACTCCAGTCAAGTTTCAGCGCAGTACAAGCACGAGCCAGGATCTCGTCTGCGCCTTTGAGATATCGTTTGACGACCCATGCGTAGTTGTTCGCCTCGAGCGGATACTTATGCTGGAGGCCAAAGGCGAGATAGCCGCCGTCTGGGAGCACCGTAGGGTCGGAGACGAGGGCAGAGATGGAGGTGCGTAGCCGAGCCTCGGTTTCTGTCGGGTGTGGTACGACAGAGACGAGGTTACTGACCGGGGGAGGAATAGGAGTTCCGAAATCTGACGACTGTGTTGCATGCTCCTCCTCCTCCTCTTCCTCTTCTTCTTTCTCGTTTGACTTAAAGTACAGATTGTAGGTGAGGGTGACGCGATGACCGGCTTTAACGGGCATAACTTCATGTTCGACGTCGCTGTAAAACGCGATGTAGCCCACTGATAGCTGGCTCCCGTCAGCGAACATGTCCGAGAAGTCAATCGTTGACTCTTTTCCATCATGGCGCAGAACGAGATCACCGCCCTCATGAGGCGTCGGGAAGACAATGACGAGGGAGCCAAACATGCTTCCGCTCCGGGGAGTGTCGCAATGCGGCTTGAAGAAAGAGCCTTCCCCTGTGAAATGCAGACGTGCATGAGCCGGGAACCACCCGATCACGCATAGCGACGACTTCCACATACCGTAGACGTTGAGCTTGTAGAGCTCCATAGTGAACTCGCGATCCGAGCAAAGAAGACTGTTCTGAATGATAGGACCCAGACCGATGTCTCCGGGATGGAAGAGGGTCGCGAAGTCGCTCCTGTCCATCTTGCCAGCCTTCCGGTACGTCTCATCGAGCACGTTCTCTTGATTCCTGCCGAAAGTGGCGGGCTGGCAGGCACTCGCAAGCGCGGCGAGCTCATCCGTAGACGCTGCCGACAAGTTGATACGGGAGCATCTATATGATACAAGACACGAGAATGTCAGCGTCAAGAAGGAGGAATAAAGCTGCGCAGACGCTTACTGGTTGTCTTCTGCGTTCTTGCTATAGAAAAGGTGGAGAAGGTCGTTTGGTACTTCGCAGGTTCCTCTGCAGTGCGTCGGCCGAGCTGTGACCGCGGTACGTATTGCGTGGATGTGGTCGAGCATAGTCTGCGTGGTGGACATAGTGAACAATGGAAAGTCGAGAACGGGAACTAGGGGTTAACGAGAAAGGAGGAGACGAGACCCTTTTATTGGCTGGACAATCTGTTTCCACACGTCTATTGGGAGCACAGATCTTGGCACAGATACTGCCTTTCCGAACCCGAGCAAATCGTCTCGAACGTCGTCGTATGACTCGATATTCAGTTCATCACATATTCAGGGTTAGGTTTGGGGCGTCTCCTTCAAGACGTAATAAAACGCTGTAATTGGTGAGTGACTCGGTCATCTAAACAGACTAGATCAGCACCGAATTAAGGGGCCAATTAGGGAGGTGGGACCCACCAAAAACGCATTTTTTCCAAGGTCGCTTGATATATCTATACCGTCTCATTTTGTAAGTTGCATTGAGAGAACAATGGAGATTTGGGAACGCTTTCCATCCAGCCCTTCGCCGTCGTTACAGAAAGTCCATTCCTTTACAATATGGCTTGAAAGCTTGAAAGCTGAAAGAGTTGTAAAATCTTGCACAGGTCGAGAATTGGAAAATCGCCAATGGCAACATTCACCTGGAGTCACCGTCAAAACATGTCAGAAAGAAGAAGATTCCGCCCTATATACCGAATTGGCAGACTAGTCATTCTGACTCATGCTCATTTGCGGATCGGGGGAAAGGAAATCGACACTTCCTGGATAAGGTTGGAATTGCGGAGCAAATCGTGGGAAATATTATACCGACACCCTGCAAATGACTGTCACTTCAAGCGGCGCTTGCTTCAAACCACTTCAACAGATAACTCAATGACAAGCATTCGGACGTGCCTTTGGTTGGGCCAACATCTCCGTCCGAGGTAAGCTGTACTATACGATCGTGACTTTCAATGACTCACTCTGCCTGTTCACGAAGGAGGTTCTTGATGTTCTCATAAATCATTCTTCCCAATTTTGAAAAGAAGATCACTGATAGAACGGTGACTCGCGCCGACTCATTTTCTTATGATGTCCGTGAGAATGTGCAACATGTTCGGTGGCTGATTTGACGTTGCTCGAAACTTCAACAACGTTTGAAGATAGCCGATGTCCGGAAAGGAGGTTTCGAGTCATCGCCGACTTCCCCGTTCCACCACGTTGTAGGTGAATGATGATCCATCTGCGAAGGAGCGCACGATCACAGCATGTCGAATTTGCTCATCATGGATGCCTAGGAGTTTCATGCTCTGACTCGCCCACTCAGGGGTCCAGTCCGTGTTCCCTACATCTGTTATGGAATGGAACATGCGAGCCCTTGGCATGGTAGGGGCATTGATTCTGCGAAGCGCGGGGCTGGAATTGGTCGTATAAACACACGGGCTTTTGCGTTTCAAGCTCCTTGTTTCCTGTCCTCGCATTCTTCTGTCGCCGAATCAGACGACATTCATCACGTCGACGCCATGGCCCAGCAGCATCTTCACACCATTCAAAAAGCCTTAGAGACGCGCCCTGCCTATTGCAGTGGAATCCATGAGGTCAACGAGGACTTCTTGGCCCTGTACTTTGGTAAGAAAGGCTCGGGCACCTCACGGTGAGTAGTGCCACTTTTTGCTTAGTTCACGCTCACTCATCGCAGCTCCTAGGCGCATCGATCTCGCCCATGCCTCTGACACCGGCCTGGCCGCGCTTGCCAGTGCGTGTGAGCCTGCTACATTTGGCTTGGGAGAGGAGACGGTATTGGACGAGACGTATCGCAAAGCCGGAAAGCTTGACCGAACTGACTTTGCGACGCTCTTTAATCCCGGAGACGTCGGCATCAGCGGTATTCTTCACAGCGACCTCCTTGACTCTGAGAAGGATTTCACCATGGAGCTCTACAAGCTCAACGTCTACAGTGCGTATCAACTACCTTTTCCCGTCCCCCGGGCTGCAACAGCCTGACTTGACCATACGGCATTCAGGTGAAGGCGCGTTTTTCAAACCCCATCTAGACACGCCCAGGAATGAGAACATGTTTGGTTCTCTCGTGGTCGTCTTTCCGACTCCTCATGAAGGTGGAGAGCTCGTTCTCCGCCATGGCCAGGGCGAGAGCCAGAATGAATGGACCGTCGACTTCTCGAAAGAACTGGCCCAGGCCTCTTCACCTAGCGTCGGGTTCGTCGCCTTTTTCAGCGATGTCGAGCATGAGGTCCTCCCTGTCAAGGCCGGCTACCGCGTCACCCTCACATACAACCTCTACTTCAAGTCGAAACCACCCCCATCCATCCTTGCCGTGGCGCGCCCCATCACGTCTATAGAAGCACAGCTGCGCAGCTCCCTTTCAGCTGTCGTTTCTGACCCAGCCATTCTCCCATCCGGCGGGTTCCTTGCATTCGGTCTCAGCCACAAGTACCCACTCAAGCGCGGACAGGATACGAGCCGCGTCAAGGACTACCTGAAGGGTTCGGACGACCTTATCGCTCGTGTCTGCAGCTCGCTTGCTCTCCCGTGGTCAATCTACGTTTTCTACAAGAGGTTTATCAATTACAACGAACGGAACATATTCACCGATAGGGTTGTCGCGATCGACCTATACGAATACGGTAACTGCTCCTACGAGATTAGCGCCAACCAGTTCGTTACGGAGTGGTTCAAGCTGAGGTCGGACGGCGATCCTTCGGCCTCGAGCCAAAAGGGGCCTCGCAAGCGATCACGACGTGATAAGGAGACTGGAAGTCGCGTCTGGAAAGGTGTGCTGTACAAGGAGGACGATGGGCTGGAGAGCGATCATACGAACAAAGATGACAGCTGGCATGCCGAAGTGATCAGAATGAACAAGCTTGTGTCCGAGCATCGCGTTGAATCTCATTTTATGGTGTACGGTAATGAACATCAGCTACAATATGTGTATGGCAGCGTGTGTCTTTTGGTTGAGCTGAAACCTTCGGGCCAGCGGCCCCTCTAGATAGTATTTGGTTTACATTGTATTCTCGACAGTTAAAAATTTCGACATCTTCCTATCTGCATAGTCACTAGGATAACGGTACTACTAGCAGATGAATGAGGTTCAACGATTTCAATCACATTTCCTCGTCGACATAGACATAAACCACCGTCGCATAATCTCATGCCTCATCAACTTTGCAAATGAGCTCACCGTTCACCAGTGAAAACCATGCGTCCTCAGCTTTGCCCCACTCCCTGAATCCCCTTCCCATATCTTCCAGTTCGTCCTTGTTATTCACGAACCCATTCTCTATCGCGCTTGGCCCGACTTTGGAGTGCACGAGCCGATCCGCCCATAAGCCGCTCCACCATTCGATCTCCTCCTTCGTGCTATAGCACCATGTGCTTGACGAAGCCGTGATGCTCTTCCTGGCGAAGCCTGATTGAAGGGCCCAACTAAGCAGCCTCCGCCCGGCATCGGGTTCACCTCCGTTTTTCCTCGCAACACAACCGTATACCTCAAAACCCCTGGTTACACCCACGTTCTCTGGAAACCACGTAAACGTGCCGTAGTCCGCGTCGCGCACCGCGACCAGTCCACCAGGCTTCGCTGCGCGTCGTAGGGCCTCGAGGGCGCGTACGGGATCCGAGACGTGCTGCAGGACCTGGTGCGCGTGTACGACGTCGTATTTGCCTTCGTGCTCCTCGCCTAGAGTGTACAGGTCCGCCTGAGCAAACGAGGCGTTTGATACACCCCGCTGAGTGGCGTGATCTTTGGCCTGTTGGATGACCTCGGCGCTAGGATCGATACCTACGACGAGGCCCTGAGGGACGTGCAAAGCCGCGAGGTCTGCGCTGATGGTGCCAGGACCGCATCCGACATCGAGGATGTGCATGTCAGGTTTGAGGTACGGTAGTAGGTAGGTGCACGAGTTGGCAGCAGTGCGCCAGGTGTGTGAGCGGAGGACGGATTCATGGTGGCCGTGTGTATAGGTGCTGGATGGGGTGGTGTTTGACATGATGGTGAATTATGCGATGAGCCTGAGTGGACGAGGCGTACTGGATGGCTACTTATATCTGCTAGTAAATCCAAGCTCATAGTCGGGCTGATGAAGGTCGCGACATGTCGCGATGGACCGTTCCTTGCTGGAGATTGAGACGGCCGAGATGCGAATGCTCGTCGGATCACGAAGCCGACTGAGTTCCTGCCGGATCGTGTGAATACAGCTTTAGGGTAGGCGCAAGTCGTTCCAACGTCCGGTCCGCGCTTGCACCGCTTAGCGCTCGCGCCCATGGATCTCAGAGGGCAGCCCTTCTCCTTGATCTCTGCCTTCTCCACTGTTTATCCAGGTCCTTCAAGAGGCTCATCGCTGTATCCAGTCTCGCTTTTGATGAAGTTGACAAGTACGCCAAGACTAGGTGCCTTCGTATTTGGACGCCTGCCCGTGACGCCGATAGGCTGTTACAGTGAGTCTGCTTATTGACATTGAACAGGGACCTCAGAGTCAAGCGATGTCCTAGTCAAAACCCCATGGGCAACTGCTATGTAGGTGTCGTTACTCATGCAATGTCTCATCCAGAGGACGTAAAACTAGACTAAGACCAGGCCTAGGGCTGTTTCGTCGACTCAGAGACACTTCGCAAACGTGAGGGGAACGGAAATTAAAGAGGTAGTAAATATTATCCCGTGATGTTGCAGGAGTCACAGCCTCTGAATAAATCACTAATTCAAAGCTTCGAGTCATCTCTGCGGTCCACATTCAAGTCGCTAAACAGAAGTTCATAATGCAATAATGAGTAGATAACTCATTATTTACGCAATATTAGAAACAGGGTTAACATCAAAGTGCAGCTCCGAGGAAGTGTAGCTTAATCTATTTGCGCCGTAGTACGTATCCGCAACATCCACAAATGTCATCTGGTAAGTCTCTGGAGTGCTGATTACGTGCGGAAACACGTCCGTCCACATCTTCAGCTTCTTCTTCGCTCCCCGATTCTCGAGGGTCTTCTTCGCTTTGACGTGGCTCTGGTGCGTGAAAAAGCCGCTTATAAAATTCAGCTATTTATTCAAAGTTGTCCGCACTGAGAGTCCGCACCTGTTTCTCCTTGGCTAGGGAGATTATCTTGAGCCGAGTATGTGATGCACGAGGTCGATCTACTAAAGCTGTAAGCAAGCCCTTCACAGCGAGAGGCCGCAATACGGGTACCTTGCGATGGTGCTGAACTTTGCGATTGCGCGACATTTCTAAAATAAGAGAAGATTCCTCTCTGTCTTGGGATACTCGCGACAATTTGCGGTGTAGCATAGTGAGCATATGTATCTCCAGCGGAGATACCACTTCTGACTTGCTTCTTATCATTGCCATGCTGCTGCCGTCGGAGAACTGCAGGACGCTTTATAGGAACTCTTAGCATTATTGTTCGTAGGTGAGAAATGATGTACACACATTCAGGAAACTATCCTCAGAAGAGCGGCCCTATTCGGATAGTTTAGTGCCTGTAGTTGTCATGAACGCTGTGGGAGATATAGAAGGTACCTCTGGTGCTACTTTCTCCACTTTATCCGGCAACTTGTCCTCGTAAATCTTTATCGGCTACTGACAGTGTCAACATTTTCAAGTATACTATATTGAAAAGACGCTTACCTCTCCTACCTGCAAATCACCAGACAACGCATCCCAGATCCGGATATACCCACCTTGAGAAGCGCTAGCTATGCGCAGCCCTTCAGGGGAGAAGGACGCAGTATACACAGGAGTGTCGTGTTGTAAGCACAGAAGAAGATCTCCCTGAGCCACAGCATCCCATATACAGACTTTTCCGTCCTTTGACCCAGTCATAAAGCTACCTCCATCCGGTGCGTACTGGAGGCAGACGATATCGCTCTGTAGGTTGACCTTCAGAGAGGGTTCTTCCCCCAATAGACGTTGAACCATTGCAACCTTCTTCGAACCGACGAGCAGCTTCGTGCCACTGGGAGAAAAGCATATTTTGATGGTGCTGCCAGCCTCGGAGCCGTCCCCATGCGCAAGAATTTCGGCGAGAAGCGAGTAGGTAGACAAACTACAAATAGACACGATGTTTTCGCTCACGCTCGCAAAGGTCGACCCATCTTGTGAAATATCAAGGGCAGATATCAAGCCATAATGATCCTCGAAAGTATGAGCGACTTGGCCAGATTGAACGTCGCAAACCTCGACGATATTGTTCTCCGAGTGTGAGATGTCGCCTTCTCCACTTGCAATCAGAATCCGAGAGCCATCCGGGGTGATCTTGATGCGTCTGATGGATCTTGTGTGTCTTTCCAGTGGACTCCGCAAGAGCTCTGCGGTCGTCACGTTCCACAAAGACACATGATCACGCGAGGCGGTGACCATCAATGATGCATCTGGGGAGAGGTCGAAAGTACAGAGAGGCTGAAAATAAGTGAATGCATTGGGGAGTGTTTCTCCAGTTTCAGGGTTCCACTTGGCGATTGTATTTGTCGAGTTTGCAGTTAATACCTCTTTTCCGTCTAATGACCATGCGATTGAAGATACACGGCCCACTGCCGCCGACTTGGCTGACAACGTTGACATACTACTACATGCTCACGTCATCAGTACAACGGCGTCTCGACGGGTATACTCACGTTTTTCTGGGGCATGACAGCTCGGCTGTGAGTTCCTGCGCAAGGTCTTCGTTGCTAGTCGTAGCCATTTGAACCTAGTGTAAGGAGTGAAAGAAAAATGCTCGAGACATAATTCAGCACACCAGATGGCAACCCTTGATGGACTAGCTAAAAATACCCTTGGGATGATGCGGCCCTCCAAAACGCAGCCACTACGTCCGACAAAGCAGGATCCGACTTATATGATGTGATTTACTGCTGTGATCAGTAGACCGTGAGCGGTACACTGCTACCTTCATAGTTTTCGAGATTTAATGATGGATTCACCAGTATCAAGGAACCAAGCTCAACAATGTCCGTGCTGTATGACATGCTGGACCTTTCAGCGTCACTGGTTTATCCAATGGCACACCCATACGATACTCCAAACCGCAATCCGATTCGAATACGACCTACGATGTCCATAGCTTTCGCCACTAATCAATGAATCCACCGAGTATATACAATATAATACAAACTATCCAAACAACTAAAATGTCCCAACATTATGCTACAGTCACACCTGGCCTCAACCAACAACACACCCATCCACGCACTCGCCCAACCACGTCGCACACGTCCTCTCCTTTCCCTCCCTCCCCGGCTCATCTTCTCCTTCGCCCTGGTCCTTCTCGTACACGCTCTCGCACTCTAATACAGCGAGGCTCTTCAACTTGATCACTCCGCCCTTCCTTCGTACTTCGATCCACACCTCCTTCGGCGCCTCACTAGCTTGGGGAGGGTCGTACCACCACCGCAGCGTCTGGCCCGATACGGACCACGTGCCCTCGGAGACCTTCACGTCAAGAGAGAGCGCGTACGCGTCGTCCGGATCCGCGCTTGCAAAGTTGGGTGCGAGGGTAGGCATAGAAGCAGACGGAGCAGGTGTCGACAAGCCGCTCGAAGACCTCGACGATGGAGCGGACGAGATGGCAGAGTCCGCAGCGAACTGCACAATCGGCAAGAAGATTTCCGTCGCGCGCCAGTCTTCTTCGCCTTTCTTAACATCCTCCTCGGACGCAGGAGCGCGAGGAGCATCGTCCGCCGTGACTCTAACGACAACCTTCAAGCTCGCCTTCCCGATATCAAACTCGACGCTCGTCGGGATTCCGACAGTGTGCACGGGCCAGGGACGAGCGAACGCCCTATATGCACGCGCACCGTCTGTGAGGAAGGCAAACGGAGTCGACCAAGGCTGCGGGACGCGCTGCGAGGTTGTGGATGAAGGAGAGTGAAACTTTGCGTCGGACTTGGGCTGGTTGGCAGCCGTAGTGAGCGTGACGGAGCTCCTGTTCGTACCGGCAATGGAGCTAGGTACGACATGCGTCGTCGCGGGCGACGGCGGGACCGAGTTCCTGGACGCAGGAAGCGTAGTCGCGAGAGAAAGCGCCGAAGCGCCCGGCGCAGGCGTATTCGCGCCGCTCGAGTTCGCACTGCCCAACAGCGCCACCTTGCTACCCTTGCCTGCCTTGCTCCCCATTCTCAACCTCCCGCTCGTCCGCGAACTTCGGAGACCTTCGGCCGACCATAAACTCAAGTCCTCCATATTCCACCCATCGCCCCACCGATGACTGCTGTCCGCGCAATACGTCCACACCGTCCACCCAATCCCGTTCGTGCCGTCCGCGGCGTTCAGCGAAGCATCCAGAGCGCGCTCCTGGCGCGAATAGTCGCCCGCGTACTTGCCGTCGTCCGTGTACCCGTACGCGCGCTTGCTGTCCATATCCATCGGTGTGCCAATCTCGCCAATGAGAGTCGGGTAGCGGCCTTTCCAGTCACCCTCACTGGATGAGAAGGACGTGGAGGCTGAAGGAGAGGAAGAGGAAGGCCGAGCACCGAGCTGCAAGGCATCGTCCTTGAGATACCCGAGCTGGTCGCGTAGTCCTTTGCGAATCGCGCCTTCGCCTACGCGCACCGCACCGAGCATAGTGCCGTACATACCCCGGATGAGGCCCAACGCGTCTGCGTTGAACCAGTTCCAATGCCGCGTGAGGAGTGTGAGGCCATCGTAGTAGTGCGCCGCATAGCACGCTCTGCCTCCGAGGATCGACTCGGGAACAGGAGGAGGCTTCGCAAACACAGGTGGCTGCACAAATGCAATTGCGTTGGGATGGTGGACCCGGATGGCAGAGAAGTAGGTGTCGAGGTGAGGAAGCCAATGGTCCTTCAGGAAGTTAACCTCCCCTTTGCCAGACGAGAAGCGGAAGTATGTGGGAAGTAAGATCTCTCCGCTCTCGACGTCCCAGACGCCGTGAAGCGCCCATATGCATGTGCCCAATCTCCACCCTTTGCCTCGCTTCCACCCCCACTTCTTGCTCACTCCATCCACCTCGTCCGTCCCGTCGTCCGCACCGCCCTCGGGTAACCATATCGACTTGCCCGCCGGGTCGATGGTAACAGTCCCGCTCTTCTTTGGCCCAAACGCAGCAAACTCCCAGTTATCCACCACCTGCGCCTGTCCAACTCCAAGCTTGAACGACTGAGCGGGCGTAGGCGTACTGCCCTTCTTGAGTGTCGAACCCTGCTTCAGTGGATAGATGTTCAAGTCCTCGTACCCAACGAACCCCTCCGCGGGCTCGTTCATCCCGTCCCACCCGATGATGCACGTGTCCAGCAGCTCGGGCGCGGACTCGGCGATGACATGCGCGAGCTCCTTGAAAGCGCTGATGAAATGCCCTTGCAGGTAATCTTGGATGTTGACACCGTCGATGACGCATTTAGGCGCAAAGACTTTGCCTGCGAAGAACAGCGCGAACAGGGTCTGCGAGACGAGCCGGCCGTAGTTGGTGGACCAAATCATCGCGGGGAGCTTTTGCGGGTCGTGCTCACCGCCACCACCTGATTGAGGGTCGGGCGAGAACTCCGAATGCAGGATGGCGGCCTGTGTGGCAGTGAAGTTGCGTGGGTCCATGCCGCAGGCGTGAAGTGTCCAGAAGGGAGCGCCTGACCCGCCCGAAAAGCGTGACCACTGGCAGTATGTTAGCTTGAGATTGATGTGACTAGTGAAGATGAGAGGATGGAGACATACGACGTCCTGGTGGGGGTCCATGTAGACATAGAAACCGTACTCTGCACATTTGCGGAGAACGCGGACGGTGTAATGGATAAAGTCATGGTCATATTTGCCACTAGAGAAATGGACATTGATTTAGTTTCCATGGGCATGACATAATAGTTGAGCGATTCAAACCGCCCATGTGCAAGACGCATGGCACGAGCATCAGAGCAACACAAAGAGGGAGGGAAAAGCGAGATCGATAAAGTGACTCACGGTCCTTCATGCTCCAATGCCTCCCAGGTGACCGGGTATCGTATACAGTTGAATCCCCACCCCCGCAGCCTAGCGAGGTGCACATCCGCACTGCCATCCTCCAAACAAAATGGTTGGCCAATGAAGTCCTTCCCGCCCGCCTCTGCATCTTCCCAGTACCCTTCGAGAATGTACGATGGCTGTCCTACGGGAGCCTTGGATGAGCCAGAAAGATTGACGCCGCGTAACCAGAGGGTGCGCCCAGCGCTGTCCACGAACGAGTTGGCAGTTGTATGAACGAGGTGAGGCGGGCCGTCCGCAGATATTGAGGGCATTACAAGGTCTCTGTCGTCAGTCTATCCGTTAAAAGAGAGGAGAAAGGTTGGCAAGAGAGGCAAATCCAAGGGGAGGGGAGTCCGAGACTGGGACTGGAGAGACTGGGGAGTCCAAAACAGCCACCGTCGTACCACTTTGCCCGCCACGCGACTTTCCATTTCTGGCGCTATCTCCGGACGGGCGGGGCCTCTATTTTTAGATGGCGTCATGGACGGGCTTTCGGCTTTCTCCGCATCGCAATCTACTTCCGTCCCTTCATCGTCGACTTGAGTGGACTCCGGACATCAGGTCATCAGGTAGGTGATAGTATCCCTCTAAATAGTACATTCATAAATCACAGATGTCGCGGTAGCATTGGAAACCTCAATGCCAAGGCCCCAAACAATACGAGCGTTCGCTCGAAGCTTTAAAGCATCTTTGCCAGCCCCAGAGCTTTCTCAGAAAGTCTGCAGCTAAAGGTGAGCGCTAACCTCGCCATACGTCGACTTAATCAGGTCTGCCGCCTGCTTGTAGCTCCAGCACAGAGAAAGCAAATCCAACGAAAACCACTCACCTTTTCAGCGATCGCATAAGCAATCGACTGGGTATGACACGATACCTCCTGCATTGCATATTAGCAGAATATTATTCAACGGGGTTCAAAGGACTCACCATCGGCATCACAGATAGATCAACCTTCGAGCCAATGTGTTAGCCTTTCTGTCAACAACAAGGCAATCATGACACTGACCACTCGTAGGTTCTCCGTCCCATACACCCGCAACTCAGAATCGACCACACCTCCACGCTCCCTAGGTCCCATAGACGCCGTACCGACCGGATGGAACACGCACTGAACGTGCTCCTTTACGTATTCCGCCAGTTTCTCTCTGCCGCCTTGAATCGTATTCGCGTCGGGCATGACGTTCTTCACTACATTATCGGCGAGCGGAGATGTGCGATATACGCGGAGCATGTACTCCAGAGCGCACACCAGCATCTCGAGATCTGCAGGCTCCGAGAAATACTGCGTATCGATGCGAGGGTGTGCCAAGGGGTCAGCCGAGGCGATATGCACGCTTCCACGCGACATGGGATGGGACAGAACAACGGCTACGGAGTTGTAGTATGTTCCCATGGTAGGCTGAAGGAGCTCGTTGGGATGCCATGTTGGTGCGTAAATGAGCCTTATAATGGATTAGTCCGGCCATGAATGAGAAAGAATAGGATGACTTCGGGCGAACATACTCAGCGCATGCTTCCTTCGGATTACGCAGCCACGCCTGATGTGCACGAAGCTGATCAATCCGTATGGCTGTCCTCCCAGATGACCCTATGTCGCCTCTGGAGCGAGTTCCGAGGTTTGAGATAGAGTTTTCACAAGACTGGCACCACTTTTCGAGTTCATCTTCGGTGGCAAACTGAGATGCAGGAAGGTAGGCGAAACCTTTCTCCGGGGCTGCATTCATAGCGTCCACAGCTGGCTCCCTGGAAACACCAGTGAGGTTAATGAGATGCAGGTGCCCTCGATGGCGAAGAATCGCAACTTACTTCAGAGGAGGTGTATCAACTTCGACGATGGTGTGCACGCAAATATGATCCTCTGCAGCACATCAGCACTCTAAAATAGAGGTATAGTTAAGCGACACACGCAGGTTCTCGCCAACGCCAGGAAGATCGACCATAGTACCGATTCCGTGCTTTGATATAATGTTGGGGTTTCCAATGCCAGATAATTCGAGAATCTGTGGAGTTTGGAAACTCCCTGCAAATTAGTTCAGACCGTGCACGCAGTGTGGCCCATGATAACAAACCTGCAGAAATGATCACCTCTTTCCTAATTCTGTCTAATTTCTTGAGCTGGTCGTTGAAGTAAAATTCGACACCAACAGCACGTTTACTGCCTCCGGGTCCATCCTCGAGTTGAATCTGTATATTCAATGCAAGGTTAGCTCGTAATTGAAATGTTATCTAGACATGCACAGACTTCCCTTGGAAACTTGCGCCCCAGCGAGCACGAACAGATTCCTTCTTCCTGAATTAGGCAAAAGATACGCAGATGCAGCGTACGAGCGCGTCGGTGTTGGTCCACTCGTGTCGATACAAGAAATGACCGTTTGAAATCCGACAGTGACGCCGTGGCTCTAAGATCATTCACCATTTAGCATGAGGAAAGACGCCACTTTCAGGGACGAGGACGCACAGCTTCGTAATTTGGCTGCACTCCTAGGTTTCGTAGAGACTGGCAAAATGGCAAGAATGTGAAATCGCAGCTGGGCGGAAAGAGCTTCTGTATAGGACCTATGAAAGTACAGTCAAGATCCTAGCCGTGATTTTTTACGGCGACTTTACCGTTTGAGCCGTGGAGATTGATCTCCGCCCTTGAGAAGTAGCGCTCTGCAAGGTCTTTATCGTGCAATGCAAGGGTCTCGCTCTACCAATGATATTCCCTTGATTGAAAAGGATAAACTGAGCCCATCATTGCATACCTGTTTTGAGTAATGCATAAAACTCTCCCAATTCCACCCTGGATTCCCCAGTTTCTCGACAAAGTCCATCTCCACTCTAGACGGGCGGGTCATCCCGAGGAAGTTGATCTGATCAATAAATGAACTTGATTTAGCCACCTAGCGAGGACAACGGAGAACTGGCAAGGAACTCACGGCAGAGCATCCGCCGAGTCCTTTTCCCCTTGGCTGAATGACGACGCGGTTACTCGCGTGCGGCTGAGGCACGGAGGCAAACATCCAGTCGTACCGCGGGTTGTACATGAGTGTTAGGCATTTGCCTAGAGAAAGGTGGACGCTATATTATGACGAAACGGAAGCAGATGCAGGTATGACCCACCAGGTGCATTAATGTTTGGATCATCCGACAAGTCGGGTCCAGCTTCGAGGACACCAATTGTCCAGGCTGAGTTCTCTGACAAGCTAACCCATCGCGAAGGCGTGAGCTGACTATATTTTTATGCAATTAGAGTGTGACGCGCGACGTACCGAGCAGCGAGAGCTAGACCAGCTGTCCCGCCGCCAACGATGACGAAGTCGAAGGTCTGCCGAAGGAAGTGGTCGACGTCCGTGTACCTTTGCGGCGTCATAGCGTATTCGAAGCTGTTTGAGATAAGGCAGAGATAGAGTACGGGTGATAACGTGTACGAGGGAGCGAACTATTCGAGGCGACGGAAGGGCCGAAGCACTCGCAAAGCAGGTGGGAGAACGCGGAGAGCCAAGGGAAACGCCTCCCCACCGCCTCGATGTCTAACCATGGGCTGTACTCGGGACCGCGGTTACCTCGGCCATACTTGTTCACTGCCATGGGTGTGCCACGGTGTCCAAGAGACGGAAGCGCCCGCATACACTGAGGTAGGATATATGTTCAGTCTGCATGAACCATTGTCAAGGAGCGTAAAAAAAAGCCTGTAAAGGATAGTGAGAAATGCGGTCTTCAACTGAAGCATCTGGTACTCCATCTCATCTGGGCCAGGCAGATCAATAGCGACAGTGTACGTTCAACGATGACATACAAGCCTACCATTTCAGCGTGCACATAGAGCTCTGAAATCTAAACTCTTTGCCCTCCCCTAGTACCGTTCTTCTTGGTGTAATGGTGCATCGAGAAGACGTACACGTCTTGTAGGTCAAATTTCTGATCGAACCTCCAACGCTAGCATTCATCTCGAAGATCGGCCTATCACAATCGGTAATAAATGTCAGGAAACTGGAAAAGACACCAAAGAGGGATATGAAAACAAACGTACAACCTTTGCAGCGTGCCAGATCTAGAGTCAACTGGCTGAAGCTGTTATTGACGTCGCCGTTAGCTCTGGCCAGCACAACAGGCCAGTGGAAGGGGATTTCCCGGACAGCTAGCGCATTCAGTATGAAAAGGAAACGTCACAGGATCAACTATGGATGCCATTATGCAACGGAGGACATGTCGTGACCAGTGAAAAAGTAAAAGGGCAAAAAATACAAGGACGCGCCGCAAGATCGTGACATGTGAGCGGTCACGTGCTCGTATATTTTGTATTGGGTCGACGCTTGCAACAGGCAAATGCCGACTTTCCCTGCCAGAAAATCAATCAAGAATCCAACGAGATGAAGTTCTGCTAACTGATTTTTCTGGACGTTCCATTGAAAAAGCCAAACCATCAGACTGTAGTGTACTCCACCAAACGGTCGAGTCATGAATTATAATTTGCTTCCATCGGTAATTTTCCCTATGAATTTTATTCCCCCGAGAAATTTGATCAGGGAACTTTGCTCCGGATAGATTATTTATATGGTATCGTCAGAGGAAATATCAGCATTTGCTATAAGTGCCTTGAAAGCTCGACGCGACATCCCCTTATCATCCCCAGCTGCCAACGTTTTCGTTGGAAATATTGATATCTGATCTGTCTAGTACATTCTGGCTGTTTATTACCCAAAGTTTATGGGGCAAATTATATCTATAAATGAAAACAACTGGAATAAAGTAAGAGATTGTACTAACTCTGTAGTCCTTAATTGAGTGCTTGTTTGCGTGCTTCAAAAGTTGCAGTCACCTTGAACTGGTATGTTTGTAGGAAAAGATACACCGTATCTCTCTCTAGTTTGACCTCAAACATGCTAAGAGCGAGCCTGGGACCCATAATGGCTTGTATAAAGACAATGACGCATACTTCGTAAATCTGTAAACCATATATTAGCCTGATATTAGTATCATTTTATTATATGGACTCACATTCGAATAGCTTGTGTGCGTGAGACACTTGCATATTGCGTCAGCAACGTCTAACAATATTGCACTGCAACATGACATTAGTAGGGAGAAACAACCGTGCAAACAAAACCGCACAGAGTAAAGTACACGCAGCCATCTCGGAAAATAACTGCAAACATAGATTTCCACTGAAATTCTCTGGGGCGATTGAAGGTTCTCCAGTGAGGATCAGTTGCATACATTACCATACCCATGAGGAGACATTCATAGATTAGAATTGGGAGATTGAATGCAATCGCATCATCTAATTAGAGCTTAGTGTGAATTTTGCTCGAGAAAATGACTTTGGTACGCACACAATGGGTTTTGATCTAACTTGCGTGAACTGATAGTGGTCGTCGTGACGAACGTACCCACTTCACCGACCATGAGGGCGACTAATATCCACCTAACCATCCTCCATCTGCTGTATAGCGCGTAGACTCGGACCAAGAGTAGTGCTGTCTTTGCTTGTCATCAAATAAGCCGTCCAGAAGGGTTAAGCATACCTTGAATTATCACTAGGGAGGCTAGAACTGAAATATACTGGAACTGCACCACAAAATCTGATGTGGTTTAATCAAAGGATAAAAGGACGTCGATCAGGAAAGCCCGGTACTCACTGGTGTTAACGCCAAGATTAGCGCTGGAAGGAAATAATTGAATGAACACATCATCAAGCTAAGGCCGATCACGCTTGTACCTGACTGATTCTTCCCAAGGCGCCAGCATGCTACATGACGTGTCAACTATTATCGTCAAGTGCATATGTGCAATTGCTTACTTCGTGGCAAACATTCCAACCACCGGGATTCTGTAGAGCGAAGGTGACTCAAACCGAGTGCCAATTTTTGAACGAGACCTTACATGAGGAACGCCAGCCCCATATATCGGGCCCCTCATTTGCGTTTGTGTGAGGAGAGAAAGACAAGTAGACATGTTGTTCTCACAAAGAAGTAGCCGATTGATGATATCATTCGGGGCTGTTGCTGAAAGAAGGGGAAACTCGCTGTCAGACTATGTGAACGAAACTGAGTCACTGTCAGAATTACAACTTGAACGCACCCATGCAAGGTCAATCTCTTCGGGTAGAGTGCACACTGAAAGAAGATAAATCCGACGCCTGAGCTAAGGATCGGCAGATCAAGTTTGCCAACATACCATAATCATATAAAGCGGCGCATAAGAGCCCGACTACAGTGAATAAAGCTCAGACATAATCTTCGTTGATTGTAAAGCACATTACCTTGTATCCTACCATAGAGTTGTGTGAACTCGGAGCCACTTAACGTGAAACTTTCAGTGTGGTGGTCGTTGGTCATATGCAACAATGGTAGAGGGGAGAGCAGGGTGCGACGGGAAGGGTACGTTCCCGAGTGCTTAAATAATTATAAGAAATGGCATTAAAACTAGCGCCTTACGAGGCAGGTCGACGGATAAGTCACGAGTGTGGCTCGATGTGTGAGGGATGCACGGAGTCCTAGCTGGACCGCGACACATAAACCACCCATTTCCGCAGTGTATGCATGCCGAATGAAGCAGCTGCACAATAGACGTTTTTCACGGCGGTCGGGGATTTCGTAGTTCCTCACATAGGCTTTGCGCAGAGGGGCGAGTATAACGTACACGTATCTCATAGAAGGTCGCAGATCGTTGAGGGGGCGGTTCTTGGCTGGGGATTGCTGCCTTTGGCCCAACTACTAAGTTCTTGCCATGAGGCTGGTAAAAGCTTCTCCGATATCCGCGGGGACGTGCATTGAAGTTAGTACAATACTTTATTACCCGAATATACACTCCCTGGAGGCTCGATATCGAGAGCACACTGATTTCCCAGCAACCTTATCACTTGCATCCGTTATATCCGACGGTGGATAGTAGTGGATAGTTGAGACCGCTTTCAAACGTTAAAACGTGATGATTGTCCCGTCGACTTGCAAGAGAATTTGCTAACGGAAACACCCTACTATTGGCGAACACGTATTGACGGACCGAATAATATCGCATCTGCATAAAGTGCGTAGCGAACAAGCAAAGGAACTTATCATGATCAGCGTGTTCCCCTTTTTTCATCGGGCTCCGAAAAACTGGGCGAATCGCTCCACGCCTGCAGCTGGCTACTCATCGTTCAGGATGACAGGCAACCCTGCGAGCTTCATCTTGACGCCTATCTCGAAGAGGTAATCGAGGCACTGAAAGTGACGCGGGACAACGGGCGTCAGAGAAAGCCACAATCAAGTTTGCCCAAGAAAACAAGAGGTAGCATACCTCAGCCTGCGTCTTCGCCTTTTTCCAATCATCACCTGAATGTAGACTCTGTCAACGTCTGCCCCAAGATCGCGACACAATCAGTACGCACCCCAGACGTATACACCGTGCCGACGCACGAGAATACCCGCGGCTTCCGGGTATTCGCGCATCGCAGCCTCCATACTGTCGCGCAGATCCTCTTCTTGCGGTGTGTTCTCGATGATCGGAACGACGAGCGTGTCAAGATACGACAGGGCAGCGCCGTTTCCTCCCCTACGGACGCCTTTGATCATCTGCCGTGTTGGTCAATATGCATCAGATTCCATCCACGAGCCCACGAGGGCGAAGATGACGTACCTCCTGATGCGAGATCTTAAACTCCTTCTCGGGCCACAATAGCGTGGCCATTACCGCATGCTGTGAGTGCGTATGTATGCAGCTGCCCGCGTTGCGAAGATCGAACGCGTTCCAGAAGAGCGGGGTGCATGCACTCTCCTTGAGCGGGATGGTCGGCTTGCGGAGGAAGACTCGGTCGCCGTCTGGCTGGGGAAAAGGGAGGACGAAGATGTGCGCGGGCTCAATGCGCTCTTTTTGCACGCCTGAAGGGGCGATGAAGACTTTGTCGCTGTTACGAGGACGGATCAGTAGCAGAAAGAGAAAAAAGAAGGAAGACACACCCGACACGGATGCAGATGCCGCCGCCTGTACCAGTGACCCAGCCGAGGTGGTAGAAGGAGCGGCAGAGCTCGGGGATTAAGTTCGCTGGCTAGACCGGGTCGATCAGCATGTGACCGCCAGCTATGAGGGCGGAAGACGGACGTGGGACGGGTCTTGCGAGAGAACGAGAGCATCTCCAGTCTCGTTAGACATTGTTGAGATCGAGGGGAGCGTGGAGGAGAGGGGAAAGGCGTATCAGGATGATGAGAACGGCGGAAGAGCGTTAATCTGATAGCGTCACGTCATCTTGCCTTCCCATGTTATGATGGTTGACGCGAGCCAACACGGACATCGGTTCGAACCTCCTTCAGGCGTCGGTCAAGCTCGGCCAATTCGACTATCATGAGACTGGTGACCATAAGCCTCCAACCGCTTCCGTCAGGCTGATTCCATACATTCCATTGTTCATCCCTCACTAGCCCACATGCTCTCGAGACTAGGCTGCTCTCGAGACTAGGCTGTGATGCCGAGGCACAAGAGGGTACAAGCGGTGCCGACATTCTCCATGACCTCAACCATATGGTCCCTCTCAGTCAGCGTGGTCGCACCTCGGCTGAGTGCTACTGTCAGGTACTACCACCTCCATCCCGGTAACGTCCGACCGTAAAACAGGTGTGTCTTTGTCCATGTGACGGCTGTTGCTGTGCATTGCTGTACAAACAGTATGTTTATAACACCTCATCTGTTGAACTCGGTTCACGTTCGATAGCCGCCACATCCTGCTCGACAATGGAGTCCCAAGAGACGCTCATAAACCAAGTACCCCCGCAGAAGTACTACTTCTCCCTTAACAGTGTCAAGAAGACGACCCTATTCCTCTCCACTACTACGCCGAATGCACCCACGTATACTGTCTCCACCGATTTGAAGACAGACAAGCACACAGAGGTGAAGGATGCTCATGGTGATGTTATCGCCGTTTGGTCGCGCAAGGACCTCTTGCCGGACACGATTGCCTGGCCTGGAAGGGAAGGAGGAAACAGCACGGCGGTGAAGAACTGGTTGAAGAAGGGTGACGGGGCAGACGGGATGTGAGTAATGATTCGGCGCTCTATTATTTTCCTTCACCAACCGCATCACTAACGCTCTGCATCCAATCGCCCAGCCCCGTCCACACACTGAACACTGCGGCCGGCCCTATCGTCTTCCGTTCCTCGGCCAAACACCGCGTCGGCGCATATTTTCCCTCGAAACTCGCCTCCGCTGCTTCCACCGACGAAACGGAGGCCATCGCGTACCTTGTGCCCAAGACCGAGGAGCATAACCTTGCCCTCGTTCTCTCCGCGCCAGCTCAGGCAACGGATGTCAGAGACGAGATCATGGTTGCTGTTCTCATTCTGGAGCATAAGCTTCGCATGGCGGATACGGCTATCAGCGTCGGTGGGGGGAAATTCGAGCAGAACAAGACGGTTGCAGGGTACTATGTGTCGACGTAGGCGATTGATTCTTTATCCCTAAGTTATCGGACGCGAAATGTTTTACTTGTACGTACTTTGAGTTCGACGATGACTTGATTGATAGTTACCAGAAACTTATTGAAGGGATCAACTACAGCTAGCGATATCACCAATACTGAGCACGTATAACTTTGAAGCGAGAGTTGTTAATCTTTGCTGTCGAAATACGAGGCGTGGGGTGCGGAAGTGCGGGGAAGCGAGCCTCGAGGTGCGGGGAAGTGCGGGGCAAACGGGATGAATCCACTTTTCCACGGTTCGAACATAGCCTGTGGAGGGGCAGCAACCGCCGTCCTACCACCGTTCATCATCGCGTGCCTGGGACCTAAGAGACTTGTTTAGGTTTCAAAGGTAGAGCGTGGGCTGCATTGGTGGAGCTTAAGCTCTTCCTCCAAGGAGGACTTATCACCGACCTGCTCCCTGCTCGAGCCCACCTGGGGAGACGTTGTAACTCTTATTAGCAACGGCCAAGGCCCTCGCGTCGATCCGCCACGCCTCTGCACCAGACAACAGCGCTGCACCTAGGGAACATGGAGTCTCAAGAGACGCTCGTCAACCCCTCCCCGCCGGCGAGGTACCACTTCTCCTCCGACAGTGTCAAGAACACCCGTATCTTCCCCTCCACCGGCTCACCCGCTTCGCCAACCTACACGATCACCACGGATAACAAGGCAGAGAAGCGCACCGAGGTGCGGAACGCGAGGGGTGATGTAGTTGCAGTGTGGACGCGCAAGGACCTGCTGTCGGACACGATCGCTCGGGCTGGGAGGTACGGAGGAAAGAGCACGCCGGTGAACAAGTGGTTGAAAAAGGTGGATGGGGCTGATGGACTGTGAGTGCCCAGATATCGATGTTACTTTATGTCTTGTATGACTGACATAAGACCCACCTACATAGCCCCGTACACACCCTTACCACACCCTTCGGTCCTATCCTCTTTCACTCTTCCCTCAAACACCGCGTTGCAGCGTACCTGCCCTCTACATTCGCGTCCACGTCATCAATTGGCGAGGCCGAGCCTATAGCATACCTCACGCCAAGGACTCAAGGCTGCAATCCCGCCCTCGTCCTTTCTACACCAGCGCAGGCAGAGGACGTCAGGGACGAAATCGTGCTCGCCATGCTCGTCCTCGAGCACAAGCTCCGTACATCCGATATGGCGGTTAGTGCGATAGCGGGAAGTTCGAGCAAATCAGGGCGGCTGCGGGACATCATGTCTCGGCGTAGCAATGATATTCGGTTTTCAGTTGTCAGTGATCAAGTTGACTGCTTTCTGTTCTGAACTTTGTTCTCGATTATGCTTTGGCGTATACCCTCCGCGAGTGAGTTTTGCAGTGTATCTAATTTATAGGCATGTGTATAATACATTCAAGGCGTGTACGTGTAGGTGATGACATAACAGGTTGCATATTTATTCGATTGAGCGATAACGAAGGTTCCCGGACTGCCCAGCCAATCCTCCGAGTAGGCTCGCCTCCTCAGTCCACTGCAGGTTCAAACCACAGCCTACTTGGCCTTCGAAGGCATGCACCAGCACGTGTAAACATCCTCAGTGGATTCTGTGTACACCTCACCGGTATTGGTCCGGGAAGTAGTAGTAACTCTACCGGGTGCCGCTACTTCACGTGGAGAGACGAAGGCGCCATCGTTACCCGATCGGCCTTCACTCCCCGATAGTGACACTGTATCTTCGGCGTTGTCTTGGTCCCTTCGAGCGGCAGCGACGCCATAGAGGCGCTAAAACGACACAGTTTGCGTACTGGATACGGAAGCCTACAATGGAAGCGCACCTCTTTGGCTCGGGCAGCATATACATTGACAATGGGTCGTAACTTGAAGGTGTATTTACTCCTGGGGCGGCTGTCTGCTGGAGACCTGCCTTTAAGCACCCATAACGCTTTCAGCTTGACCAACATTTGAGGGACACGCTTCGGCGGAGGTGTCTCCATGTCTGCAATTTGCTGGTCGTTGGTATCTTCATCAAGGGCAAGTCCATTAGGTCGGGCGGGTCCTTTCCGTCGAGGAATTGCAGACATCTATCGAGATGGTAGGTGGACGGCAGCTCAGTCGAAGATGGAGAACTCACGTTCATAAAGCTATCGTCATCAGAGTCTCCAGCTCTTCGCTACGACCCGCGTCATTATCGTGTATGGGAAAACGGCGCAGATGAGCAGACCCACCTCTCGTTCTGTTCGTCGCTGTGTCTCTTGAATAGAATCCCCTTCTTTGCCCTTGCCCTTCGCTCCCTAACAAACTCAAATCGCGAGGAATTATAACGTACGTCTATCACGTACCTTGCCCAAGAGCAACTTCCCGCCCGTTGCCTCCCATATCCTAATATACCCGTTGATCGTTCCACTCGCAATACGCGTTCCATCCAGCGAGAAAGCAGCTGCACCGACATCGCTCTCATGTTCAAGAGAGTGAAACATTTTGCCGGTGCTCACGTTCCAAGTCCGAATGGTATTGTCATCCGAAGCGCTAAGAAAGGTGCGTCCGTCAGGTGCATAGTGCACGCATTTCACCCATTTATCATGTTCCACCTTCAGAACCTCTTGTCCGGTAGATATATCCCAGACCCGCGCCGTTTTGTCGTCAGAGCCGGATAGAAGACACGACCCGCTAGGCGAAAAACAAACAGATCGCACGTAGTCGCCGTGTTTGTATGGGCCCGCTACCCGCTGACCGGTGTTGATGTCCCAGATGCGTACCATATGGTCCCATGATCCACTCGCGATCCTTGATCCGTCTGGAGACACATCGAGAGCGTTTATTCGGTCTTCGTGACCTTTGATGGTTCGAAGCGATTTACCGGTGCGTGTGTCCCATATACGAATTGTTCTGTCTTCACTAGCGCTGACGACAGAGGTGCCTTCAGGTGTGAAATTGACGGCGGTCACTGTACCGGTGTGTCCTATGAAAGGATCCATAGCGAGCTCCTTCGTACTTGTGCGCCACAAGCATACAGTCTGATCGCCAGAGCCGCTGACCAGTAGCAAGCCATCGGGGGAGATGTCAATGGAGTAGATTTTGTTTCTATGGTGAGTGAAGCCATCGATCATATCTTCTCCTGTCTTCGAATCCCAAATTTTGACTATGCTGTCGTTGCCTGCTGTGGCAATTTGAGCTCGGTTAGGGAACCATACCAGCGCATTTACGGAGTGGCGTGTAAACATCCTGTGTAGCGGTAGTCTCAATCAGCAAACGTTCATAATGCCATACTCAAACATACAGATCGTTTCTAGTAGGAACTATATTCTTTCCCTGAAAAGGCTTGTAAGGGCTTGTAAAAATGTGTAAAGCAAGACAATACGATGTAATCCGCTCACCACCGGTAAAACACGCGTCCCTGTTTTGACATTCCACACGGACACGTGTGGATCTAGCCCGCCAATGGCCACAAACTGCCCCGGTGAATTTGCGATGGTCCGTAAGTCTGCACCACCGTACATAGGACCCCATACTCTATCTCCCGTCACAGGATTCCACCCCAGTACCATGCGATCTTGAGACACGCTAACGAGAATCTGCCCATCTGATGAAAAACAAAGGCCTGTCACCGCGAGCTTGTGCCCTTTCAGGGGACCTCTGAGTGGTGTACCGGTCTTGGTATCCCATACTTGGATGGTCCAATCTAAGCCGCCGCTCGCTAACAGTGCACCATCAGGAGAGTAAGCCACAGCAAACACGTCTGACCTGTGTCCGGAAAGGGGCGGGAAAACGAGCTTGTGCGACGCCACGTCCCATATTCGGATGAACTTGTCGGCGTTACATGCAGTCGCAACGTGTTTACCGCTGGGGGAGAATGACATATCGCTGACCATGCTGGGATGTTTGAGCGGCCCCGCGCGATCCCCCAAGTTTGCCGCCCATAGCCAGACGCAGTCGTCCATAGACCCGCTAGCAAGAACTCGTCCATCCGGAGAGTATCGCACCGAAAAAATAGGATCTGTGTGTGATTTGGGGGACCGTGGAATTTCCTGGTGGGTCCGAACGCTCCAGACACGGATCGTGTTGTCGAGAGAGCCGCTTGCGATGTGACTTCCGTCGGGAGAGAATGCGACTGCCTTGACATAGTTTTGATGACCTTCCAGGGGCTTTCCGACCTGCGTGCCAGCATGGGAATCCCAAATCCTTATCGTCGTATCCGCAGAGCCGGACGCAATCAATTTGCCATCAGGCGAGTAAGCGATTGCGAGCACCTCTTTTGAGTGACCCTTGAACTCTTTCTGTGAAACTTCGGAGCCCGTAGACCTGACTGAGGGCATTATCCGAGTATTACGAGGTATTGCGTAGGCTCCTGAGCTATACATGAGCACGATCGAGTCTCAGTCGGGTCTCAGACACGAGCACTCACGATGGTTGTGTAGTGGTGGTAGCTGATAGAAGCCTGGGTATGTTCTGGATCGCAGCACACACAGGAAGCCTCATGTCAGCGCTTCACTGTGGTTTAACGCTGATGGCCCCACATCCTCTCACACGATAGTGGGCGTTCAATTTTGGATAGTTGCGACGTATAAATACCCAAGCGCCAGGATGAGCAGACGTCGACTTAAATTTGATGACTACCATCGTGCATTTCATCAAGATGAGCGAACAAAGCGCGTAATAGCTGAACTCACCAAGGAGTGACGTTACAACGTCAGACAACTCACAAGAATTCGTAGGCGCTTGTTTAGTACGTTTAGTCCTGATACATGTGGCGTCAATCACGTTGCTCCATTTTACAACCATTTGCAAGAGAAATTTGACAGCGCTCACGAAATGCTAAGTTTATTCAACGCAAACCTTAGCCTTGTTCGGCTGCCGCCGCGTCGGCATAGTATACTTATAAGCTCTCAAGCGCCTATCTATTTCAGCCCTTATCATATCATCATCTAGTCGCACAGACCAGAACTATGGGCGCATACTGGGCGTTACGCAACGTCCAAATCGCCGGAGGCGTGCGTGAGCCGGAGAGCTTGACGCTACGTACGAAGCTCGAGGATACTATCCACATGTGACTTGGTAGTGCAGGCAAGGTGCAGTGTAATACTAGCGGGTACCAATATGAGCATCCTCCTTCAAAACCGACTGTAAAGAAAAAGAGGTGAGGAGGGAGAAAGGCGATAAGGAGAAAGGGTTGGCGACAGCGAACGGGCAACGCGTGTCGCGCGACATGCCGAGATAGTTTCTCACGACCAGCTGGAGGCGCGACGCGCTTAGACTAGTCGGAACTTCCTAAAGGGGCATTCTAATGGGTTCGGAAGTGCCTTTAATTATAATCGATGATAATGCGCATTGTAATGCATCACCATCGAAGTGAAGCGACTAAAATGTTGTTTTCAACGCTTACTAAGCGGTTACGATGGGAATTTTTGCATTGTTATGGCCATTGTGATGCCCTTGGTAATGGAAAGTGCCTTTCATTATGATCGATTATTATGTATTTTCCATTGTAGTCGATTACAATGGTCATAGGACGCGCTCCGGCTTTCCCATCGACCCCGTCTTCTGTCCTTGCTCTGCGTTCCTCTCGCGTGCAGCTGTGTATGATCCCATGTTGACTACTGTCAGAAAACCTCAGCACACATAAGTGCTCACATCATGCTAGTCATTGCCTCTTGAAAACAGACCATAAAGCGATGGCGCCGTTTCGCTTCGCTTCGACACCACACGCCAGTACCTTAGAGCAATTCAATGCGACCCAGCTACTACAGGCTTCAAAGAGGCGCTAGTAATGTCAGGCTCTACAGAAACCTCCTCGCCGACGCCAAGACTGTGACGGTTGTCCTTAGCCGGTAACCTAGTACGTTCTCCTTGCCCGCCTGCATCTTCTCTAAACGCTCACGGCGAATAGGGATGCCTAGGCCAACAACGTCGACGATTATTGTCGCACCGTACATGCAGTCTCCTGGATCAACGAGAAGTGAACGAGAGCGCAGTGGTGAATGTATACCTGCAGAATGTCGACCAGACTGACGGAAGGTGAGTAGCTGCCCATCATTCCCCATCTCCCATACCCCGGGTATGTCCCTTTGCTAATCGCTTCAAACAAGTCTACTGCTCAGCTAATCACTCGTATCGTACCCTCTCATCTCCAACAAATGCACAATCAGTACGCCAACCCCCTTTGCGCTCGCGTCTAGACCCTACATAGGCGAAACCGATCTCGCCGCGAGGTGAGTCCTAGTGATTGTGCTCGCAATACATTGTGCCTATGAATTCACCGCCAAATTCAGCGAAGAACGTTAGCCAAGATGTTGATTTCGTGCTAGATGCGTCTATCAGGTCTTTAGACGACAAGGTCGAGCGGAGCAGGGGTTTGTCTGCGTTAGTGGGTATCGCCGGTACCATGCCAACAGTCGCGCTGAGCGTTGGAAATCAGCTTCAGTCCTGTGTACCTCTCCTCACCTTGAAACGACTCTCGGAGCACTCCCCGTGTCGGGGTCTCGGAGGGTAGATGATTCAGAAATGATCAGTCGCTGCCGTATTTTGACTAGACTATTCCTGGCAACTTCACTCTGACCAGCTTCGCCAGGGCATAAATAGACTCGCTCACACCACGCGCTTATAATACAAAGTAACGAAGTAACAACATGCATGTGGTACGTGTATACATGGCAAGGCGCATCGTTCATTCAACGTGAGTCATACAAAACAATGTGGAAGAGGTTCTTAACTCTTTGGCTCGCCAGAGGCGACATCTTATCCCCGTCTCTGTGGATTGCGAATCAGGCGCCACCCCGCACAGCCGCATTGCACTGCAGAAGCGTCGAACGAGACCCTCTCGCTCTGACTTGTCTGCGCTTCATTGGTGCCGGTGGCGGCGTTCTGGCAGTTTCTGTCTTGTGCATCAGCATTGCTCAGCTGCGCCGCAGCGCTGTTGTCTGCACTGCTGTTGGCTTGCGCATCGGTATTGCTCGACTGTGCAGCAGGGTTCTTGTTTGGATCTTGTGCGGTATCCCCGTCCATGGTACTCTTCTTGTTATGCAGCCGATTCTGCCTGTGAGCCAGCCGCTGATAGCGAAGACTTTGTCAGTATGATACTAGCTACAGCTTTTGCACTCACGTGGACCCGATCCGTGGACAACGAGTGCACCGATGCAGGTAAGAATAAGAAACGCACAAGTTTGGCTTTGGCCGGGGATATGAGCACAACACGACCTAATTTGAAAACAGTGTGTGCGGAATGTTCCTCGGCGCCTTGACTTCGCATGTGGCTGCCGGCGAATCCAAATAACCTCTTGAGTCTAAAAGATAACGTAGGCTTGTTGTTCCGTTGACGCGGTGTAACTGGTGTCATCTGGTGGCGATCATGAGAGGATCGTCAATATAACCTTGCTGTTGTCGACCGACGTGTCCAGGCTTTTGCCTTCGCACGGTTGCGGGGAGCTATGAAAGTGTTGGTGGCCGCGTCTCGTTGGCCTGTGTCCCACCGCTCAGCTTATATTCACCACGACACACCATCGTTTGCACCAAAAACATTACGATCCAAGCTAATAAGGTATATACATCTGCATAAGCTATTATAAGAACATCTAACGAGACTATTGAGCTTAGCATAGTACTTATACCTCCTTATCTCCAATCGACTCTCGAACCTCGCTGACATCCCCAGCCCAGTCTCTCTCCGTGCTCGCGCTATACTGCTGAGCCACGACCTTTACCATACCGAGGAGCTTAATTTTTCTTGCCCTCCCTGCATAATGTACGTCTTTGACCACTTTAAGCCGCCGATGGACTTCAAGCTGATCCCTGAGGTCCTCCCACTTCAGATTGGCAAGTTTGGCTTCGTCGAGAACAAGTGCAATCTTGCCAGTGCCGTATTTCTCGTTGAGTTCGTCTTCCTTCCTCTTCTTTCTAAGCTCCTTCTGACGGTTTTCTTCTGCGATCTTCTTCCCGTGCTCGATTAGTGCCTTCTTTCTTGCTCCTTCTACACCACTGGCCTGAAACTCCCGTGCCTTTTGTCGGATCCATGCCCAATCCTCCTCGGTAAGAATTGCCTCTGCAAATGACTTTGTGCTGTTGTGGCGTGCCATGACTTGATCCGAGAAGTTGTCCGAGGTGAGTGATGGATTTTCACATGAAGCTCTTCGCCACGCCCCACTTAAGTAAACCTTCATTTTTATCATTTGTTGCAGGTATGAACACAAGGTTCGTTTCTTCTTCTGTTGCTATCGCAATAATTCCTGTCGCCTCGAACTCTGTTGTGAAGCGATGCCAAGTCTCGAGTGAACCCGTAAGAAATGCAACCAGGACATTTCGTAAGCTGGGTAGCCTGCCGTCCTGATACAGAGCAAGAACAGCCACAATTGCTGTTGAGTCGTCCCACGTAAGACCATCAAGAGTAGCATCACGGTATGTACTCTCGGAAGCACTGTTCAGTAGGACGTCTGTGTTCTCGATAAGAAACTTGATATGCTGCTTGAGTTTTTCGTGAAATGGTCCAAGTGTGAGCATATTCAATTGCTCGATCCCGGAACCGCACACATGTTTGAGGTATGGTTTTGCTACAGCTTGAGAGTAAAGTACCAAGACAGCAAGCTCAGTGCATGTTGGAGGATCTCGTAACGCATTCTGCAAGTTTTCCTCCATATGGTTGAGGTCGGGGCTGTCCTTGTTGAGGCGAACGTATTCGAGAAAATCAATGTAGCCATCAAGATACTTGATCAATCGAGTAGCAGCATCGCAATGGGAGTGATAACGGGTGTTGCTGGTGTCGGGAAATTTAGCAGTGATGCCCTTGATGTCTGAGAAGTACATCTCATGAATTGCTTGCTGCCCTTTCTTGTCATCCCGATGGTTAAAGATCGCACCCGCCAGGCTTGTAGCTTTAACGCCACCCCTTGATGAGACATCCAAGGCACGCTGCACTGATGCTGACACCACATTTGTAGTTTGTGCAAGTTTGATTGCCGCCGCATTGTCCTTGTTGGCCAATAAGATAGGGGGTTCTTGGTCGTTCTCTTTCCACCACGCCATCATTGTTGTATTCCCTCCTTTCACGGAGTTCAGCTCCTTGTGCATAGAACAACCAGCCCAGAAAAACAAGTCCACGGATCGCTTTTCTTCACCAGGAAGCGAGTTGTAGATTTCTGTGCCAAGTTCCAAGGCAAGTTGCTCCATCATACATGTTATGATAGGTCCTCGAGCGTCTGGCTCCATTGCATCCCAAAGTTGCTGACCACCACCTTGTTCTATGGCCCGAGACGTTGAGAAAAGAAGCAGTGCCATGAGTTCGTTTGGAGCCTCATCTCGCATTCTCTCTAACTTTGCATATCCAAATGAGGTACGGGTTGTTTTTGCTTTCCACTCTTGCCAGAGTCGGTATGTCTTCTTCTGATCACTTGCATGATCTGTATTCATGCCCTTGAGCTTTCCTAAGAGTTCGTTTAAACCCAACGAGAGACATAGACGTTGTGCAAGCGGGCTTTGATTGAAGACTTCCGAAATTTCAGTAAGTTCATCCTTCCATCCGGCAATCTGTGCTTCCCTTGTAACCTTATCCAGCATAGCCTGCACCTGAGAGCGTTTCAGTTTTGACTCCTTAGCCCTAGAAAGCCTCCGTAGCGCATTCCTCAAGAGAGTATGGTTCTTCTTTGCTCGTATTTTAGCTGACTCAAGCGCAGCTGTTGTTTGCTTCAGCTCATGATGGACGCCATGTAGGCTGTTCTCTGTGGATGACAGAGTATCCTTGACAGCCTGCAGCTCTTTTGCAAGAACACGAACAGGAGGAAGTCGATTCGAGAGCTGAAAAGATGCCGGCTGGTAAGCCCTAGCATGGTCTGTTGTCTTTTTCTGTTTATATGACCGTCTTCTCTTGGTGTAGCTCACTATAGAGCGATGTTTCCTAGGTGAAGTCATGTTCTAGGGGGAATAAATGGTATGACATGAGATGTTATGAGCCTACCACTGCGAATGAGTCCTCACCTGCCCGAGCTGTCAGCACACCGAGCCTCCTGACGCGTATTGCGACGCGTGTTGCGACGCGCGACGCGACTTGACGCGACGCATTTTCATGAAATATGTCGGAACTTTCTCAGGAGCATGAGCACCCATTAGCAACCATTATAACGAGGGGTGCCATTGCGAAGCATTATAATGATAAGGTTGATTCCATTGCCATGGCCATTAAAATGGCTGAAATTTACCATATATGGTAGAGAAGATGACTAAAAGTGCTGAGTAAACGCTTGGCAGTGGCCATTATAATGAGGAGGGTACATAATAAACTCGTTTATAATGCGGGCTCATTATAATGCTCCCCAGAAAGTTCCGACATAGGGGCTAGACGTAGGGTGTAACTCAACGGAATTCACGTTGGCATCGTGTACACCTATCTACCTCAGGCACAGAGCTCGATCTACGTGTTTAAACTCTTACAATCAATTTGTTGAGACCCAGAAGCGTCAATAGCTCAAGCTGCCTCCTGGAGCACGATGTGAGACCCCTGTTGACCATGTTCCGGCTGTTTTTGGAAAATCACGGGCTCAACAAATCGTTTAGATTGCTTTACTAATACGTCCTAGATATTTAACTTTACACTACGGCGAATGTGTCATGTTGTACTATGAGTGTGTCGTCAATTTCAGCCGATCTTCCAAATATGGGACCCGTGGGAAGCTCGGGCCCGGTGGTGGGCGTTGCCCACCACCACGGATTGTGCCGAAACGCTTTTTTTCCCGCAACATAGCGACGGCAGCGAACGTCATTCAATATTCAAATATTCAAGTCTCGAGCACTGTCAACTCCCGCGGATGGCAGAACTTCAAAGTTTTCGGAAGATAGTCGTTCGGCTCAGCGTATTCCCATGCTTCGTCCAGCAGTCTTCGCGTTATCAGCGGCGCCTCTGCAGTATCGCAAAAACATCTGTTGAACATGCTAGCTTCAGACGCGATGGCTTCATGAAGGCATCTCCGAGAACGTATAGCACCTATTACACCGTCCCTAATGGTTGTTCCTGCTAGATTCCTCTTCCCATATACAAAAATCGACAGTGCTCCCTTCCCGCGCGACGCAGTTCCCGAGGTGACTTACCCATGGGCCCGACCTACATAATAGTTCACGTCGTTTTATCACTCCATCACACTCTGGCGCAGGTCTCATCTCATCCCGTCCTTTCCACGATCGAGCACACGTGGATGTGCATTCACTGCGTCAGCCCGCCCTCTTTCCTCCGAACCTCGCTTCTAGCCACCGTGTCATCGCGCGGATTTGGCGACTACGGATTTTAAGTGATATTCATCAGCTCAGTCCCTCCCCGTACTCCCTTCCCGGAACCAAGAACATGACACTTTCCATCTACCTGTCACTCTCGTCTCGCCCGTCTCCGAGTATGCCTTCACCAACGTTTGAAGACCGATAAGCACGCCGAACTGAAAGCTGTGGATATTAACCTCAACGACGGCGATCGATCCGTACGCCTCAGGAGCTCTTGATGAACGTATTTTCTATCCTGGATTGGAGAGGGACGAGCGTAGTAATGAAATCGGGGATGAATGATGTGTCGGAACCGATAGCAAGTGTTCAATTACCTATCTCCACTACATCTCTTCGTTTTCCTTTTGCTGATTGCATCACCAATCCTACCCGTTCCCGCTCACGAACTGGTTATACACATCAGTCCCGTGGCCCTCTGCGCCTCTGAGAAATGTGGCATCGGCGCCTTCTGTCCGTTTGCTCGCACCCCGCACCGTGTGTGGATATGTCAAGCTCGTCAGATGCTGCATTTGCGAAGGCCTGGACCCGCCGAACATATCTTTCAACGCGAAAGTGTAGATATCGGGAACGATGGCCTTCGTCACGCAAACTCGGATTCTCGATGCAAAGAGTGCACTCCATTTGGCCGAAGGCAAGGTTGTGTGTAGATGCACGTCTGTCTGTATGGTACGTGTATTGGTAGACCTCAAACGGTATTCGACGCACTGCAATGCTAACTAAGAAAGTACTTCAGTACAGTATACCTCTCGCGTCTCCAATGAAAAGGCCTGTATACGTCCTGTCTAGCGAGCTCGTTGATCTGAGCAATGAAAAACAACTGTCACTCTTGTGAAACGAGCTAGGGATTCCATTGCGACAGCTCTCGAGCACGCTTGGCTAAGATGTAATCTCGCGGCGGAGGTGCCGAGGAGCACCCACCCGCTGTGAATCATCTGTACTCCGTTGGCGCTGGGGTTGGGATTACTCTAACTGTCATGGGCATGCGCGTTACTGCTGCTCGATTTCACCTCCGTACTGATTCCTGTTGTAGCGATGTTCATTTGCTCTTCTTGCATCACGGTACATGGGGCCCTCTCGGCCTCCCAGTCTCATATTCTCGTCCATCACATTCATAGGCCCTATCGATTTTCGCACTTCTCTTCAGCAATGCGGTGTGTGTTTCCCTTTGCATTCGCTCCGCCGCCCTCCCTTTGGCGAGTGATTCGCCGCATGTCTCATTCCCGAGAGCGAAGACCCAACTTCGCACTCACCCTTTCAACACCGCAGATAAAGGATATGAAGTTATCGGGTTCGCCATCGTCATTCCCGTTGACAAGTTCCGCACGGCAGATACGACTAACTGCGACTGCGGCCTTCAAAACGGCGACAGGGGAATGCCGAGCCGATCGGGATTGTAGCGCAGAATCATCCCATGGTATAGCCTTGCCGTCTATTTTGCGATTTTTATTGCTTGTAGCTTACTTTTTCTCTGCGATTTACAAGTGGGATACGTCACGTATCTCGGGGTCATTTCTGGCTTCGCATAGTGTCGTACGATGAGCGCCGAGCGCCGAGCGTCTACCTGTGCTTCGAAGGAATATAACAGCATAAGTTGACGTGCTCAGCCGAATCTGCCTGCGAAGGATGATCCGTGTGCTCAGCGTCATCCCCAGGTTCCGTGTCTCCGTCTTCGTCGCTATCATCGCTACTTCGTGGGTCTACGACTCCGAACAGACGCTAAAGTAGATCAGTGCGACGCTCATGCATGAACATGACTCAGTGCAACGCACCTCTTTCGCCTTCGCAGTATATACTAGGACAATGCGACGCAGCTTGAAAAAGCCGTCGCCTCTGGTGCGACTGCATGCAGAGTGCCTCCCTGTGAGTCCAAAGAACATCCTTACTCGGGCCATTGTCCTTCGGCTACGGTTTGGCTGACGAGGTTCCGTATTTTCCGTTTGGTGGTAGTCGTATACATGGTCACCAAGCAGACCTTGCGGACGTCTGCCGCCATGGGTAGGTCCTTGCCACTGGATAGTCGCAGGCATCTATCACGAGGATCAATACACGGCAAAGAGAAAGACTAGGTAGATCACATTCATAATGCTATCATCAGAGTCACGAGCGCCTCGCTGAAAAACACATTCCCATCGGTAATGGATCGATGATATGAACGGGTAGACATACCTCTCGCAACCTCTGCCTTTCTTCATGCGCTGATTCTCCTTCCCCATCGCTGCCCTTTGTTTCCTGACCAAATTAAAAGAGCGCGGACCGAGCGCGAGTCAAACACATACCTTCCCTAAAAGCTGATTCCCACTCGCGGTCTCCCATACTCTGATATACCCACTGAACGTTCCGCTCGCAATCCGTGTTCCATCGGGCGAGAAGGCTGCTGCCCCCACCAAGTCATCATGCTTGAGAGAATGAATAAGTTGCCCACTGCTTGCGTCCCAAACGGAAACTGTTTTATCTTCTGACGAGCTAAGAAACGTAAACCCGTCCGGCGCATACTGCACACAATACACAGTGCCTGTGTGCTTCACTTTGAGGACTTGCGTTCCTGTCGAGACGCTCCATATTTGGGCAGATTTGTCGTCCGAGCCAGACAGAATACATGACCCGTCGGGTGAAAAGCAGACGGATTGCACATTATTGTCATGTTTGTATGGGCCCGCTACCAATGCGCCTGTGTCCAAGTCCCAAATACACACAGTATTGTCGAATGACCCGCTTGCAAACGTTGAGCCATTGGGAGCTACGCTGAGCGAGAAAACATAATCCTCGTGCCCTTCAACGACCAGAAGCAAATTCCCAGTCCGTGTGTCCCAGACGCGTATTGTCTCGTCGTTACTAGCACTAATAATACGGGAGCCATCAAGAGTGAATTTGACCGAATTAATGTTGTCAGTGTGTCCTTCTATAGGGTCTATGACAAGTTGTTTTGAGGTTATGTTCCACAAGCATATTGTGCAATCTCGAGAGCCACTAACGAGCAATGAGCCGTCGGTAGAAATGTCGATGCAAAAGATGGAGTCTGTATGATGGATGAAACCATCTAGCGAGTCTTCGCCCGTCTCTGAATTCCATAGTCTAATTGCAGAGTCATCTCCAGCAGTTGCGAAGTGCACTTTGTCAGGTAACCAAACCAGTGCGGCTGTAGACTTAGCGAACATCCTGCATTGTCATGGTTTCATATGAAAAACAGCGAGCACTACTGAAATGAAGCATACCTTTCACCTCGAGAAGGTCGTTTATCGGTTTCCTGGACACTCATTTTAACTCGCGAACGTCAAAGAGATATATAACCGAGTACGTATACTCACCTTAGGGAGAACAAGAGTGCCCGTCGTGACATCTCGCACAGATATCGCGGGATCATTTCCACCAATCACAACACACGGCCCTGGAGAGCTTGAAATCGCTCGCAGATCCTCGCCACCATACAATGGACCCCACACGCAATCACCCGTCAGAGGACTCCACCCTCGTACCGTCCGATCGTCTGATACGCTGATGAGGACCTGGCCATCCGAAGAGAAGCAAATACCAGTAACAGCGAGCCTATGCCCTTTCAAAGGCTCGCAAAATGGCCTACCGCTCCCGGCATCCCATAGCCGGACCGTCCAGTCCACGCTACCACTGGCCAACAGCTTTCCATCTGGAGAATAAACAACCGCTGTCACCGAGGACCTGTGGCCAGAGAGAGGCGGCAACGTGAGTTCTCGAGAGGCCACGTCCCATATCCGTACCATTCTGTCTCTACAAGCCGTCGCAATGTCTTTGCCGGACGGGGAGAATGACAAGTCTAGGACATCGTCTGGATGCTCGAGGGCTGCTATGCAATCACCCGAGTTGGCCGCCCACAGGCGGACCGAGTTGTCCCTGGAACCGCTAGCAAGAAGCTGTCCGTCAGGGGAGTATTTCACTGAAGACACAGAACCCGTGTGCCCTTTGAATTCGTACGGAATCAGCTCCCGTGTGAGCACATTCCAGACACGGACAGTCCACAAGGACGCGCTTGCAAGGTGTTTCCCGTCAGGAGAGAAAGCAAGAGTTTCAATGCTGCTGCTGTGGCCTGTTAGGACATCTCCAATCTGCAGGCCGGTATGGGCGTCCCAGATTCTTACTCTATAATCGTAAGAACCAGAGGCAATCAGATTGCCGTCAGGAGAGCAAGCAACCGAGGATACGTCGCAAGTGTTCCCTTCAAAGGGTTTTGTGGAGCCAGTGCTCCCCCCAGATCCCGGATCTGTGTCGAAGGTCGACATGATTCTGCTGGTGTACTTGAGCGATACGTCGGTTCTTGACCAATATGGAGGTATCAGCATGCTTCTTGCGCTGAGGTACAACTCGAGGGCACTCACGGTGGTGGTAGCCGGAAAGGCGCACTTTGACGCGCAGCACTCGCACGATGCCTCGAGGCGTTGTCAATGAATGTGATGGGCAACTAAATAGCACAATGCGCGCTTGGGATTCATTAACGTTCAAGCATAAACTATAACCCTGTACGTCCGCGAGTATAGAGGGAGACTATCGCCGTTCAGTCACCTTCAAGGTGGTTTGGACGATATACACACACGAGCTCACGAACGGGTGAGGCGACACTACGATAGTCCTGTGTACAGGAGCCGGCCGAGTCAAGCCGACGCTCAGCTTGAGCACCTGAGGCCTGCCCAGTGCCATCCCTAGATCAGAAGAGTTTACATGATTCGTTGCACGCTTGATGCTATGTGAGCTACTGCTAGGATTCTAAAAAATGTTGGCACATGTGTTTTGTTTTATCAACAAATCAACTGGAAACAAATAGGCCATACATTAATGTAAACTCGCATACCGAAAGTGACATCGCCGCGATTTATACAAGCACCGAGGTTCCGCGAGTGCGTGAGATAAGGTCCAAGAAAGAATCTGAGATCGCATCATGCAAACAAACAGACGAGCGCCCTTAGATCTCAGATCTCAAGTACAACTCTTCCGGTGACCTTGCCCTGCGCAAGCTCAGTGAAAATACTGCGGTGCAAGCGATGTGATGAGTCAATAACCTTCCATTCTCTTACGCAAACTATAAATTGACGCGTACCTCTCGACGTCCTCGAGCTTCCTCGTCGTGTAGTGAGCGACGACCTTGCCCTGCGCAGCCAGGTCCAGCACCTCGATTGCATCTTGCCTCGAACTACGTCGCTGTATCAGCAAGAGGGAGCAACATACTGGATGGTGAACAGTGCCCACCCTAGCGCGGATCCGACGAGTTTCAATTCCTAGAGTGCAAAACCGTATCAGTACCCAACAGTACGGCATGAGAGCGTGGAGTAGCTTACCTTTCCGACCCACACCATGAACGGGGCTTGCATAACCGCGTCTGAGCCCAGCCCAGCTGCAATCAACGTGCCCGTCGGCTTGAGGTATATGAGTGCTTGTTCATATGGCTTCGCCTGTTCATGGCGTGTACTTGATCAGCCTCGAATGCAGAATCAGCGGAAAAAGAAACGACGTACTCCACCGGCAGCAACGAGCGCCGTGCGCGGTCCACCGTTCGTCAAGCGCTGTACGTCGGCGACGATATTGGATGTCTCGGCAAAGTCGAGCCACTGTTCAGCACCGAGGGACATGCAAAGCTTGCGTTTATCCTCGCCCGAGTCTGTGTTAACTAGACAGTCAGTTTGAAAGTACGTTGATACCAGCTTGATATGGTGAGATACGTACCGATGGCTAAGACTCGGAGACCCATGTTCCGCGCCAGCTGGATTGCTGGTCAATGGAGATAAACCATCAGGAACTTGCATCGAGCAGCGAAATACCCAGAACTAACCAAGATGACCGAGCCCTCCACCCGCTCCAGGGATGGCAATCCACTCTCCGGGTAGAGAGTTCGCGTGTTTGAGGCCTTTGTATACCGTCAACCCCTGCGCGGATACAAGGTCAGATAAGGCAGGGGCTTTGTAGAGGGGCGCGCTTACAGCGCAGAGCAGAGGCGTAGCAGCTGCGCTCGAGAGAACATCTGGGATTGGAGTGACGTAGTCCGTCCATGTACGCTGTATTGATTGAGCAGCGCGACAGAGACGGAAGAGATGAACTGAACGCACAATATACTCGCAGAACGTCCCGTCGGTGGAGAACCCGTTTGTCAGACGCTTCGGACATGCTATATTACGATACAGTCGTCTGGTCAACATGCGTAGTCCCAGAGCGGAACGTACGACTCACAAGATTCATTGCCCTTCCTACAGAACTCGCACTTGTTGCACACTGTCGCGATCCACTTGAGCCCCACCCGATCTCCCACCTTCACCCCGCCCTCCTCGACGAGCGCTCCCTTTCCGATCGCGACCACCTTTCCAACGCCCTCGTGCCCACCGATGAAAGGGAGTCTGGGTGGCTTTAAAAGCCAGTCACCGTTGCGTGCATGGAGGTCGCTCTGGCACACGCCTGCCGTCTCTAGCTTGACGAGACACTCGTTAGGGCCGAGGCTGGATGGATCGGGGACGGGGTGGTCGTTGCTGAGCTTGGTGGGTTCACCAAAGGCATGGACACTGACTGCGCGTTGAGTGGCCGGAATCTGGGACATGGTTGCAGGGGTAAGACACTGGTAAGGTCGGGAGACGTAGGGAGAGGGGAGACGTTGGGTATTGAGCCACAGATGGGGAAGACAGGGTTATATGCCAGGAGCTGGGAGTTGCAGGGAGTTGCAAGGGTTCCCTGAAATTGGGCCGGTCTCGGTGTGCAACTCTGGGCCTGAGGTATGAGGACCCCTCCTCCAGGTCCACACATGCTCGACATCTGCAGCGCTTGTACTTTGGGACCTGAGAAGGCTACTCGAAAGTTTGAGGGCGATACTGGGGAAGAGGAGTTGCAGGTGAATCACTGTTGCGCTTCGCCGGTATGCGACGCGCTGGCCCGAGCTATACAAACGCGACGCCCAACTTTACTTTACCTCTACCCCATTTTGTAAGGACGTTACTGAGCCCCTGTTGCCCTTTGGAGGTTGCGCAAGCCGATTCACGTATGTAGAGCATCCACGTCCGGAGAACGTCAGGAGTTGCAAGAGTGAAATTTTACTGACGGTATGACGTTGGGAGCTGCAAGTAAGGCGGTGCCCATTCAATTGTGTGTCTTTTAGTTTGCAGAGCGAACTGTATTTCCTACACTTAATCGCGCACAGGTCGACAGGGTCCAAGTTTTCCTCCACGTCGAGTACCTGATGTCGGTTTGCTCTGTTCAATTGAGAAAGGTCGTGATAATTTAGTGATGCCATAATACATTGGTGTATGTTAGATTACAAAAGGCCTTCGATATTCACAAGTCAACCAGATTAAGAAAATAGAGAAAAAGTCGTAGTCATTCAACGCCCTCGTCTCCAACGTCAGCATGAGATATTTGAACGTAATAATGTCATCGTAATATGCAATCAAGCCTGCTGCGATGAAGTCAGTACAGGCAAATTAGAGAAGTAACTCAGATACTCACGACACCAGGTGTAGAGGAGATGATATCCTTGACGACGCCCGCAAGGACCTTGACATGCGCAGGCTGGAACATCGTATCATGGCTACCCGCCGCGACCTTCATATCCAGGTCCTTGATGCGCGCGTCCCAGCCATTGTGGTCGTCCGTGCCCGTGTCGAAGTCCGACGCGTTCCCGCTCCTGTACCAGCTCCGGTCCTTGGGCACGACGAGCGTCGTACGCCCGCTGTAGTGCGCGGGCTCGAAGTCGAACATCGAGTCGAGGTTCTTCCGGATCTCCGTGCGCAGCTTGTTCTTCCACTTGTCGCCGATGTCGGGGAAGTTAGACGAGATACGATCGATCGAGCGCTGGGTCCAGTCGGTCGACTTGAGCGACTGACGCTCACTTGACGGGATGAAGATGGGGTCGAAGAGGATTAGGTGTGCGACAGTCTCGCCCGCGTCCATAAGCTTCGTGGCCATGCAGAGCGCGACGCTGCCACCGTACGAGTAGCCACCGATGATGTACGGACCGGACGGCTGCACCTTCCTGATGAGCGAGATGTAGTGGTCCGCCATCGCCTCAATCGTTCCGAAGCCGGTGGCCGAGCCGAAATGCTTGTCTCCGATAGCGTACATCTCGTTGGGCATGAATGCACCGAGACGCATGAAGGGAGTCGCCATCCCAGTGATATCGTGCACGAGGAAGAACTTGGGCTGGATGCCCTTCTTCTTGATCGGCAGGAACTCGATGAGGAAGTCGGCGTCAGTGTCCTCGGCTTCGATGAGGGCTCGACTGTCTTGGCCCATCTCGTCGATGACGAGGTTGGCGAGCTCACGGATTGTAGGCCTGAAGGTGATAATTAGAAAGAAGGAACGAATACACTCCCGAAAAGCGGACCACGCACCTCAAGTAGACGTTGTTCAGACCGATATGGACATTGAACGTCTTCGAGACGACACCCGCCGCCTGAACCGCCATAAGCGAGTTCATTCCCACCGCGAACAGATCATGCGAGACGCCAAACGAGTTCTGGTCAATCTTGAGCACCTTCGAGAAGATGTTCATCAACTCGATCTCGACGTCGCCCTGCGGCGTGCCTATGTCTTGCGTGAGATCAGGTGCGAATGACTTGAGGTCCATCGCCTTGAGAGCATTGCGGTCGATCTTGCCGCTGCGCGACGCGGGTAGCTGAGGCAGCGCGGCGATGAGCGACGGGTACATGAAGCGAGGCAGACGCTCGGAAACGAAGATCTTGAGGCCCTCCTTCTCGTCATCCACGCGCTCGGCGACCTCCTGCTTGAACTCCACGAAGGCGACGATGGCAGGCGCGTCCTGCACGGTCCGGATGACGACGGCAGTGCGCTGCACGGCCGGGAACTTGGCGATGACATCTTCAATCTCGCCGAGTTCGATACGCTGGCCACGAAGCTTGATCTGACGATCTGCACGACCGCAGTACTCGATGTTGCCGTCCGTACGGTACAGAGCGATATCTCCCGTCTTGTAAATGCGCTCGCCGGGAACGAAGGGGTTCGGGATGAACGCCTCACTGGTGAGCTCGGGCTGATTGAGGTAGCCGCGCGCAAGCTGGATACCGCCAATGTACAACTCGCCTTCGACACCGACAGGAGTCGGGCGAAGCTGTTTATCGAGGATGTAGATGCGGCAATTGGGAAGAGGGCGACCGATGACGCCAGTGAGCGAAGGTGAGGTGACGTGGCATGAAGTACAGTCAACAGAAGCCTCGGTGGGGCCGTACATGTTGCGAAGGGTGACACGAGGTGACCAGTCCTCGATGAGCTTCTTACCGAGGGCCTCACCAGCGACGACGATCGTCTCCAGAGTCGGGTACTCGTAAACAGGAACGACGGCGAGGATACTAGGGGTGACGTGGAGGACGCTGATACGGAGCGAGCGAATGGCCTTGGGGATGTCGCCGAGGACAAGTTCCTTGCGACCCGTGACGAGCGTGGCGCCGTGAGTGAGAGTACCAAAGACGTCGACGACGAAGGGGTCGAACGTGTACGCGAGAGATGACATAACACGAACGCCTTGTTGGAAACCGTAAACGCTCGAGTTCTGCACCAAGTTGGAGATCGAGCGATGCTCAATCATGACACCCTTGGGCTTGCCGGTAGATCCCGACGTAAACCTGACGAATAGTGAGAATCAAATTGACATCAAAGAGAAACAAGGACGTACATGACATAAGCCAAGCTAGACGGGGTGAGGCCTTCGACCTCGAAGTTCTCGGCGCTGAAACGCGTGAGGCGCTTCTGGTAGCTGGGGTCATCGATATAAGCGATCTACGGGTTTCGTTAGAAAGGAACGAGAATGAAACGATGAGAAGTACGCACCAAGACCTTTGAAGCGAGACTCTTCTGGAATACGCGAGAGTGGCTCGAGGTCGTGATCATGACCTTAGCACCACACTCCTCGATCATCATCTCCTTGCGGAGCGTCGGGTCGTCGGGATCGAGAGGCACGAACGTCGCGCCAGCCTTGAGCACGGCGAGGATACCCAAAATCTGACTGATCCCGCGATCGAAGCACAGCGCGACGACGTCGCCCTGGTGCACACCTTGCTGGATGAGCGACTGCGCGATACGGTTCGCCTTCGTGTTGAGCTCGAGGTACGTGAGGCTCTCGTCCTCGAACTCGACGGCCGTGAAACGTGGGGTCTTCTTTGCCTGCGTCTCAACGAGCGTGTGCAAGCACGTCTCGTCGATGGCGACGGCGTCCGATGCAGCCAGCTTGAGGAGGCGGTCGTGCTCGGTCTCGCTGACGGTTGAAATGTCGGCGATCTTGACGTTGCCATCACGTCCGATCGTCTCAACGAGCCCGATATAGGCATCGAGGAACTGCCGCGCAGCGTCCTCGGTGTAGAGCTTGTTGTCGAAGCGGAGCATGACGTTGCCGCTGTGATAGTCGACCGTGAGGAGGAACTCGTACTGCTCCTCGCCGTTGGGCAGAGAAACATTCGACTTCTGCTTGAGGTTGCCGGTCTCGAGCTGGGAGATCGTCTCCATGTTGACACCGGCGGGCGCGAAGAGGTGCTTGAAGTAGCCGCGACCGTGAGCGCCGCCCTTGCCCTGAGCAACGATGTCCTCATAGGTGACCTCGTCGTGCGCCAAGCACGATATGAGCGCGTCCTTGAAGGTGCGCAGGTAATCGATGAAGCTCTGCGACTCGTCGACAACGGTCTTGATGGGCAGCATGTTGGCGAAGAAACCGATGACGCTCTGGAGCATCGCGAGGTTGCGCTGCGTGACGGCGGTACCGACGACGAACGAGTTCTGGTCGGAGTACTTGTGCAGGAGAACGTTGTACGCGGCGAAGAAACCGGCGAATGGCGTGGCGGTCGCAGCGGTGATAATTTTCGAGTACTGCTCGAGCGCGCCGACACCGATCCTAGCCTCAATCTGCGTCATCGGCGCGAGCTCCTTGTCCGACGGTGTCGCGAGTGTGAGGTGGAGCGGCTGCGTCTCCTGGAGGTTCCCTGCCCAGAACTTGAGGTGATCCTCCTTGAGCTCGGCCCGACGCTCAGACGTCTTCTCGAGCCAGTCACTGAAGTCGGAGTAGTGGATGGAAACCTCGGGGAGTGCGCCGGGGCCGTTGAGATAGATATGGAAGAGCTCATAGAAGAAGACGCCGAGCGAGGCCTCGTCGATGATGATGTGATGGATGACAATGTTGAAGGCCCAGTCGCCGGCGCCGAGGTCGAACATCATGGCTGTGAGAAGCGGGAGCTTGTCGAGCTTGAAGTTGGGCTCCTTGTTGAGCGCCAAGCTCATCTCGTATGCTTTGCCGAGGGAGTCTGACTCGCCGGAGAGATCGATGAGCGACGCCTGGAAGTCGCACGAGGGGTAGATGGTCTGCTGAAGCTTGCCGAGCTCCTCGTTCCACGAGAACGCGGTGCGAAGAGCGCCATGGCGGTTGACAACCTCGTTAAAGGACTCGGTCATGCGCTCGATATCGAGCGGCGTCTCCGAGTGGATAGTGACGAAGTACCCCTCATGCGTATCCCACTGCGTTGCGCCGTAGCGAGACATGTTGCTGTCAATCTTGGCGACGGAGCGCTTGCGTGCGTTGTCGTATTCACGCTGTAGTCATGTCAGTAAATCTGCACGCCAAAGAAATTTTAACTTAGCCTCACCTGAGCCAGCCAGATCCGGTACTGGTGAGGGGAAGCGTCCGTGGTGTACGGTTCGTCGTACGCGAGCTTGTCGTTGAGAACCGGGACGAGCGGCTCGCCGTATTTAGCGGAACCGTCGTCAGTCGTGAACGACGCATCCTCGGCGCCGGCTGAAGAGCCAGCCTTGGCGTGCATCTCGTTGAGCGCGCCGATCGTCATCGAGCCGAGCAGCTCGATCTGCGAAACTTGGATGTTGAAGCGTGATTTCAGCTGGTTACTGTAGCGAGTAGCTAGACTTGTAGTTAGTCAAATGCTCATAAGTATGAGAACTATGAAAACTCACCTCCCAGCGAATCGAGACCGAAGCTCGTGATGAGCGCGTTGTCCGTGATCTGTTCGACGTCCATACTGAGCAGCGTCGCCAGCAGCGTCGCCGGGCTCTCCGCGACACCGCCATCCTTTCCGCCTGCCGTATTCGCCACAAGGAACCGCGTCGGCAGCAAGTGGCCAAAGAGCATCGGCTCGCAGCTGGGGAACGTCGCGGGCACATCGGAAATTGCGAGCATGGGCACGTAGTGCGCGATACGGCGAATCAGTGAATCACCGATAAAGTTGCAGACTTGCGCGGTCGTCATACCCGTTTTCGTCAGCTGGGCGGTGTTCGCCTTGCCCTTGGACGCCAAGACCAGGCGCTTGAAGATGCCCGAGTCGGTGATGGGCGGGAATGACATCGAGATGGTGTTGGGGAGAACATCAGCGACGCGGTCGAGGTAGAGCTGCGCGGCGCAGTACGCCGCCTGCCCCGCGTTGCCGAAGACAGAGCCGATAGTCGAGAAAAGGAGAATGAAGTCCATGCTCGCTGGGTCGACGCACTCGAGCAGCGTGTTGAGCACCGTGACCTTCGACGTGTAGACGTCGTCGAACGAGCCCTGCGACAAGTTCGTGAACTTCCCATCGCGGAGCACGACCGTCATGACGAAAACACCGCCAATCGGGCCTGCCGCGCTAGCCTTCTCTACGAGCGCCTGCGTGTCGGCCTTGCTGACAGCGTCCGCAGCGATGACCTCGATCTGCACGCCCTTGAGGCGCCAGTGGTGGTTATACAACCCGTCCACCTTCGTCAGACCCTTCGCACCGCGGCGACTTGTCATGAAAATGTGCCGTGCGCCGTGCCGTGCCATCCAGTCAGCGATGCGCACGCCGAGCTCGGAGCATCCGCCGAGAAGAATGTAGCTCTTACGCGGGTCGAAGAGCTGTCTGGCGGGGTTGATGCGTGCGGACGCGACGAGTGCGGAGCCGGCGCCCTCGAGGCTCGTGACGACCGCATTAACGTCCTTGGTATCGTCGATCGCGGAACCGTCGAGAGAGAGGTTCTTAATGCGCAGCCTGAACGCTTGGCTCGCGTGTGCCTCCAGGATCGTGGAGACGAGGGGTGCGACGGCATGCGGAGATGACTCGACGAGCTTCGAGACGCTGACAACGTGAGTAGAGGGAGCGCCAACGGGAAGGACGGGCGACTCGTCGCCGAGGTGATGGTGGATGTATGAGCCCAGAGCAGACAAGGTATTAGCACCGCGAGCGAAGGTGGATTGGCCTCCAGCGTTGAAGACGAGGTCAAATGCGGTGACCTTGTTGACGGCGAACCAGCCGCGAGCAACTTCGGTGAAGTCGTAGATGCTACCGATCGAGCCGGCGTCGAGGGTGGTGTGCTCAGCGACGAGCGAAGCCTCCGCTGCGCTAGAGACAGTAGCGAGGACCTTACCCCCGAAGCGCTGGGCAAGTTGGACAGCAAGGAGACCGGCACCTGAAAATCGAGTCAGCTACCGAGAAAACGCACACACGATAATCGACTTACTGCTTGCAGCATCGTGAATAAGCACGGCAGACGTCTTGCGCACACGACCAAGCTCCACGAGCGCGACCCACGGACCAAGCAGGGCAGGAAGGGCGGAGACTGCCTCTGTCGGCGATACACCAGGAGCGAGGGGAACGACCGTACTGCCAGGAACGACAAGCACGGACGCAGGCGCCTCGCTCGTCAACCCGACGACAACAGTTCCAGCGGCCAGCGAGGCGACAGATGTACCTGCAGCGCGAACCGTGCCAACAAACGCGAGCGGCGACTTATCCGTCGCGAGCTCCTCAACGCCCAGCGCAGTGACCTCCACTTCGACGTCCTCCGTGCTGATCTCGCGCGGGAAGTAAGCAGCAACGTTCGCCGCCTTCCCGTTCTCCAACGAGAACTGTACAGCAGGCACGTCGAGCCGACGCGTCTCCGCCGACCCGTACACCAACCGACGCACAAGAACATCACCATTCTTCGAGACCTTGACATGCTGCTCCAACCCGAGCGCATTCTTCCTCAGCTCATGCACAACCGCCTCGCGTGCCTCCTCGTCGAGCGAATGGTCCTCGAAAAGAACCGAGTACACCGCGAATTCGGGCGCTTCCGCGACGAGACACGACGCGACACCGAGCGCGCCGATGCCAGCTGCGTCGTCGTTGCCCGTGACCCAAAGTTCGGCCTCGCCGGAGATGTTCTGCGCGATGTCCACGAGCTCGCCTTCGCGGCCGTGCTCGAAGGGTGCGATGATCACGCTCTTGAACGGGCCGGCGGGGACGGATACGATGGGCGAGGGAACTTGTACAGCGAGCAGGGTCTGAGAGGAGGAGATTGGGGAGGTTTGGACGTGGGCGTCGTGGGCACTGAGTCGCTGGGTGAGGGCGTCGAGAGTGATCTTCTCGGTAAGCTCGTCGGGTTCAGAGCTCGAGTCTATAAAGCACATTAGCATGTAAGTAGATAGAACGAGAATGCAACTTACCAGAAGCAACGAGAAGTGCGACACCTGAAGAGACGAGCAGATGGGCTACGGTCGCGAGATCACGGGGCGCCTTTGAGAGATCGACAGAGCCCACGGCAATGTCGAAGCTGCAGAGAACAGCTGCAGCCGCCTCGTCATTGGGGAGATACGACTCCAGAGCGAGCGAGCGAGCATGGGAGTAGGTGAGCGCCGAGGTCTTCGCGTCCGCCTCCTCAGGCGTACGTGCAGCACAGAAGTACTCGACGACAACACCAGAGTCAGCAAGAAGTGACTGGAGAGACGCGTCGAGCGATGTCGCAACGTCAGACGACGCAGCGACATCGACGACACGAACAACTTTGCGGCCAGCGGCGACCGCGTCCTTGACGAGTGCGTCAAAGAGCGCAACAAGCGAGTTGCCCGCGGGGACCGAGAACGACTTGACGGGGAAGTTCTTCGGCTGCCAGACCGTCGTCAGCCTCTCCTCGGTGCTGCTATCCGTAATCGCAACAGGTTCTGCGTCGGGCGCGCGCGCGATCTCAAAGCCCTCGATCGTGAAGAGAACCTTGCCCTCCGAGTTCGCGATGATGTAGTCGCTCTTGAACGGGCCCTCGGGCGCCCACGTGCGCGCGACGAAGTACGTCCACACTCCCTTCTGCAACTCTTCGTCGAGATTGGGTGCGTCGGCGCTGTCCCAGCGTCTGAGCGCGTCGATCTTGACGGGGAGGAAGACGCCGTTGAAGTCGAACTGCTTCGTGTCCATGTTGATGAACATCGCGAGACCGCACTGCGTAATCGAATCAAGAATGCCCGGGTGAACGCAGTACCCGCTACCGTAGACGTCAGGCGTGCCGGCAGGGATCTCGAGGCGGGTGAGGTAAGCCTTGGCGCCCCAGCTGCTCTCATCGTGCACCTCATGCACGACCTTGAGGTAGTTCTTGAAGTGGTCCTGGTAGCGGTACGCGGCGGGGATGCAGTCGTAGAACTCGTCGCCGTTGATGCTACCGACGGACAGGGCGAGCTTGCTCTCGAAGTCGAATGTGCGAGGGGCAGCGGCGTTGTAGGCGGGGTTGACGCGGGAGAAGGAGCCAGAGGCATAGACGGTGTCGAGGACGATATCGCCGTTGACGAACTCCTTGTTCGTCGAGGCACGGAACTGCCACTTGTCGCCGTCGATGGCACAGCCAGCGTGAGCTGGCCAGTTGCCTGTACCCTCGAGGACGAGGGGCTTGTGGATGGAAACGTCAGTGACGACCATGGCGCCATTCTCGAGGATACTCTCGACATAACTATACAGTTGTGTCAGCATACATCCACGTTTATCTATTTCGTAATACGACTTACCCTGAAGCGGGAAAGAGAACAGCATCAAAGACGATATGCCCAGTGAGATCAGGATGACTATCGACGTTGATACGGAAATGATGCGGTGCAATCGGGCGCTGCTTCTCGCGAAGACGCATCGACCGACCATTCCCAGACTCAGCCCAGCAAAGCGACTTGTTGTACGGATAATCAGGCAACTTCGGCTTATAAAACTCCTCCGCGCCCTCGGGCGACGCACACAGCTTGTTGAACTCCACCTTCTTGTACCCCTGCGCGAGCAGATTCCCAAGTCCCTCGAGGAACTGGAAGTGCTCGCCCGTGTTCTGCGCAGGCACTTTCGGGTTCGGGCGCCGGATGAGGCTGACCGGCTCGCCGCCGCACTGCTCGATGTACGCCTTGAGCACGGGGTGTGGGGCGATCTCGAGGAAGAGAAGGCCGTCGGCGCCGTGGTCCGCGATCATCTTGTTCATCGCGGTGCCGAACAGGACCGGGCGCCGAATGTTATCCCAGCAGTAGTCGATGTCGAGATCGCGCTCGAGCCAGCGCCCGTCGGTCGTCGACATGACGCGTGCGATGGGCGTCTTCGTGCCCTGCGCGAGCGGTGTATCCGCCATGCGGGACTTGAAGAGCTCTTCCTGCGGCTCCATGAGGGGAGTGTGGAAGGCGCAGCCAACGCGGAGCTTAGCGGCGAAGACCTTGGCGTCGGGGTCGGCTGCGAGCTCGACCATCGCGTCGATGAGCTCGTGCGTACCAGCGACGGTGACGGCCTGCGGGGAGTTGATACCGGCGATCCAGAGGCCGCTGGTAACCTTGTACTTGGAGAAGACCTTGCGGATCATGACCTTGGCCTTTTGCACACCGACGCCGAGAGCGACCATGGCGCCATTGCCCTCGGCCTTGGTCATAGCAGCGGCACGAGCGACAGCGATACCGACCGCCATCTCGCGGTCGTAGTGACCCGAAGCATAGCCCATCGCGATCTCGCCAATACTATCCATATCATAAGCACTCGATGATTTTGCGAAAGCAAAAAACACACCTGTGGCCCATGACAAAGTCATACTGGATACCCAGGCTCTTGATGAGGTCGACGAGCGCAATCTGCACAAACACCAACGACAACACAACCTCTTGCACCGGCCACTGCCCGTTCGCCGCCAACTTGCACTCTACACCAGGCACAAACAGCCCCGTACGCTCCAACATCGACTCCTGCCCATACCTCTCCACCAAAACGCGATCGTTCTCCCTAACCGCATCCAAGAACGCCGGATAGCTCGCAGCAAGCTGCCTCCCCATGAAAATATGCTGCGGCCCCTGTCCCGAGAACACAAGCGCCAGCTTCGGACTCGCGTTGCTCGTCGACAGCACCGGCTTCGAGAACTTCGTACCGGCACCGAGCGACGACGCGACCGCGAACGCACGCGCGGGATACGCACGCGCCTGGCGCCCGAGATCGCGCGCGACAGAGCGCAGCGTGCGGTCGTCCGCCACACCGTCGAACTGCGCCGTGAGCGCGTCCCTCCACCGGCCGAGCGAGCTCTCGGTCAGCGTGCCGACGGAGAAAAGGTACAGCGGGCTCGGGACGCTCGTAATCCGCGCCGTGGGCTGCGGCTGCAGCGCACCGGGGAGATCGTGCACAGAGTCGAACGACTCGAGCACGATGTGTGCGTTCGCACCGCCGACGCCGTACGACGAGATCGAGGTGACCCATTTCCCGTCGCGCGCGGCCATATCCGGCGTGACCTTCTCAAGCTCCAGCTGCACGCGCATCTTGCCGCCGACAAAGTCGATCTTGGGGTTGGGCGAGGTGAAGCGGATGTTGGGGACGAGTTCCTTGTGTTTGAGCATGTACGAGACCTTGACGAGCGACGCGAGGAAGCTGCAGCCCTCCGCGTGGCCGATGTTGGCTTTGATGCTGCCCACTCTGCACGCCGACTTTCAGCGACGATGAGAGGAGGGCGTTAAGACGAAGACTCACCGAAGAGTACGATCGTCAGCGCGACCCTTCGAGAACACTTTACCCGCACCGTTCGCCTCGATCGGATCGCCAACCTTCGTACCTATCCCACCCCATCAGAACCTCCCATTCCCCATCCCCAAAAACCAAACCAAAAAAACGCACCAGTCGCATGCAACTCGACATAAAATGCCTCCGCCGGATCCCTCTTCGCCGTCTTATACGCCGCCTTAATCGTCTCCGCCTGCATCGCGCCCTCGGGCATCGTCAGACTCTTGCCCTTCCCGTTCGCATTCACCGCCGAGCCCGTGATCACCGCATACGCCGCATCGCCGTCGCGCTGCACATGGTCGAGCCGCTTGACGAGCACCGCCGCCGCGCACTCCGCGCGCGCGTAGCCGTCTGCGTCGGCCGAGAAGGACTTGGACGAGCCGGTCGGGGAGAGGACGCCGAGCTTGGAGAAGGAGACGGTGTGTTCGGGGGAGATCATGGTGTTTGCGCCTGCATATCGCGTCTGTTCGTCAGTAATGCGTAATGCGGAGCAGGTGACGACGCACCGACGATGAGCGCCTGGTCGCAGTCTCCGAGCTTGATCGAGTTCAGGGCGAGATGCATCGCCGTCGCAGAGGCAGAGCACGCTGTCCCACAAACACAAGTCAGCGCACACCTCCACACGAACAACAGCGCAAAACGCACCAGTATCAACGGTGAGCGACGGCCCGCGCAAGTCGAACGTGAACGAGATACGGTTCGCGCGGATGGACACACACTTGCCCACACCATTGTAGTTGTTCATCTCATACCGCTCATCATCAAGCTCGTCCGTCGTCGTGAGCAAATTCCCAAAGAACACGCCCGTCTTCGAACCGCGGTAGTCGATCCCCGCATCTTGCAGCGCCTACATCCTATCCATGAGCTCCCTGCACACCCACCAGAAGAAGAATCAACAAATCCTCACATCCTGGGCCGCCTCGAGCGTAAGCCGAATCGCAGGGTCGAGGTGCTGAGCCTCGCGCGAGGAAATGCCGAACTCGAGCGGGTCGAACTGGTCGATGCCGTTGATGAACCCGGCCTTTGCCGCACAGTACTTGCCCGGCTCGTTCGGGCCGCCTTCACCACCACCCTCGTCAGCGAACCGCCTCCAACCCAACAAGCTCGCTCGCAATGCTCACCGTTCCACTCGGCGTGGTTCCATCGTTCGGGAGGCGGCTCAACCATGGCATCGCCCTAAATCGCATAGAATAGAATAAACGTAGCAGTAGTAAGTTGCACTGTCACGCCTACGCGTCAATAACACGCACCTTGTTGCGCAAGAACTCATAAAACAATTCAGGGGTGTCTGATCCACCGGGAAACGTCCCACCGATACCGATGATGGCGACGGGAATTTCAGCAGACATTTTGTAACTGGTGCGAGTGAGGACGCGTGAATTTCAGTCGTGTGTGAGAGCGAGCGAGATTGCCGTTGTGTGGGTTGAGAGGGAAATTGAGCGTTAACGATAGGGATACAGATATAATAATAAAATAGCGCGTGGGCTGTGCTCGTGCTCGTCTGTAGGTGGGTTCGCGTCCTAGTGGTGGTAGTCTGCTCCAGGCCGCTGGGGGTGCTGAGTTCGGTCTCCGGCGTGGAACAGCGGTGGAAGGGTGAAAGATGGTTGAAGGAGAACGCCGGGACCTCCGATCAGGCTTAAGTACAAACGCAACGGACCACTCGCTCCCTCTCAAGATCAGATGGGATCGCGACGGGAGCGACGAACGAGGGGGCATCGCAGCACTGCCCATTACAAATTATTTGCAGGCGTTGATGAAGATCAAACGCTCGCCACACAACTCTCTCTGTATCAGGCGACGAATCACACAATCTCGCAGGGGATGAAACACGAAAAGGGGAGGAGAGGCGGAGGTGGCGCTGCGGTGTGGCCTATCGTGTCAGTGTATCCAGGGCATATCTCTGTGTTGATCCAGATGATCTACTTCCATCGTCCGCATCTTGGTGATGGGACGACCGGATGTATCCTAGTGCACCTTGATGGGCGTCCAAAAATAACAGGCGTCTCAATTGTCTGCGAAACGCCGTCCATATTGCAGTGCTCTCGTGATAGACTCAGTTACCGGAGCCAGAGGGTGATCAGTGTTACAAAGGTCGGCGTTCGCTCGTTCAACCGAACTCCAGGATCAGGATCAGCTCGGGAAAGACTTGGTCCACCCACCGCGCTTGACGGTGCTTCGTCGTGGCCGAAACAGACGCTCAACAGCCCGCGGGATCAATTGGCGGTCAGGGGCTCTAGGTGTCAAAGCGCCACATGATGCGCTTGACAGACTCTGGACTTAAAGTCCACATGTGGACACGGGTTCGGCGCTCATCTCGTCTCCCCATCATTACTTGCGCACAAGTAGACACACACAGGTCAGCACTATCGCGCCGGCAAGCGTAGCAACACCGGTAAACCCACTGATCCCAGCTGAGATCCCTTTGTACTGTGATTCAATGGTCGTCTTATCTGTCAAGGTCCCTGATGATTATGGAATTCAGCACGACGTTGCTTTAAAATGAAACACAGTTGCTCGATACATGTCTCGCACATGCAAAGTACCAGAATTCTGTAATAGTACTCGACTGAAGGACCTACGGTCAGCGCGTGCGGGGTAACCTGTGACAGCACCCGGTACCCGGTACCGTGGATGATAGACGTCGCGCGTCGCCCGACACAACCCACTTTATCGCCTCGCGGTTGCGAGTAACACACGACGTTATCGACGTTCATCCTACACAGCGCTGCCATCGCGCCAGCTTACAACGTCAAGAGTGATACACCACCTACAAGACCGCGCGGTTTCGTGAACCCGCCGAAGGCCTGATAAGTGACGCTAGGAACTACGATGTCAAATCGACAAGGTCGACTGGGATACTGGAGATGCAACAGCCGATACGAGCGTCGGGAGCTGAGACTCGAAATAACGAGCGGTGTGTATCAGAGGCTGAGTATCGGTCATCGAGCATCGAGTACCCTGGGACGGTAGCCAGAGCGAAACACGGGACCGCAGGCGTAGGAGTACCTCCGGCTGGTGGACGTCAAGGCGAGGGTGAACGAGCATGATGGCATGGCGAAGGCGGCAATGATAGACGCGAACCCAGGGCCAGATGTCGAGAGCCGCCATGTTTATGTACGAAAACTCGAGCGACAACACGACAGTATGACGGGGGCAGTGACATGCAACAGATAGCAGCGTAGATCATTGATACACGCCCGGCCAGTTTCTTTCAATGCGGTACTACACCATGCAGCGAGGTTAGCTGCTCATTCATAGCACGAGGATACATCTGCTACTGACCGGTACGAATGCATCTGTTCAGCCTGAAAAGACGTCAGATGGAAGCACATACGACGGAGGATGCACGTCGGCCATGGATCCAGTGCATTGAAGTACTACTGATCTAAAAGAATCCCAGAGCACATATCCGTAGATCATTGTGATTGTTCTCGCCAACTGGCCGTTCAGATATCAGAGCCGGTCCCCGTCGAGCTATTCCCACTTGCCTGGGATCCGCCATTGTCCCCAACGGCTGGAGTAGCAGTTCAGAATCAAATCACACGGCCAGGCCACAGGAGCATCACCAGTGGATGAGCAACGACGAGAAACCCCTAATTCCTCAGTCCTTGAGCGTAGTTCGAAAACGAAATGAACGTTTCGGGCACCGTCCACTACACGAAATTTGCCCTGAATAGCAGTGCTGAGTGCGTTGACGACGATCGTAGGACTGAGAAGGAGGAGAGAGCAAGCAGTGCGCAAAGGAACGGAAAGCGATGAAGATGGCAGCCAGTTATTTTTAGGTGGGCGCTTGTTCTTGGTGTGACAGGCATAGCAACCAGTGCGGATCCTCCCGAGAAATGATCATCTTTGCACTCACAACTTGACATCAACCCACCCTGTCCTCCGCCCCAAACTAAGCCGCCTTGTACGACACGAACGCCCTTGTCCACGGCAAAGCGAACGCCCTTGTTGTGTGTCCCTGCCCGTGTCCGATGGTCTTCATCATGAACAAGAGAAGAAGCACGCTCGGACCGTCCACGCAGCGCCCATTCCCTGATGGGCCGAAAGCAGTGCGCGCTATTGCACCCATGCACCGGAAACAGTCCAGGATCAGGCAACGGCTCACAAGGCGATGCCAGCGATGCCACCAGACGCCCGCTACCCGACGGGAAATTGCTGCTTCGAGTGGAGCACCCCACCAGTTTCATTCATAAGCACCGCGCGGTCGAACGGAGGCCTCTCCTCCCTTTTCTTTGTGCAGTTGATCTGTCCCGTCTTGTCCTCTATCCTTCCCTCCCTCCTTCCTCCCCACCTCTCTCCTTTACGAACCCGCCATCATGCAAGGTCCTCCCGGCTACAACTACGCTAAAGGTTCAGGCATCGATTCCGTCGCTGGCGCCGTCATCTTTGCCATCCTCTATGTCCCCCTCCTCGGCTTCTTCCTGAGACAATCCTTTGCACGCCCAACCTATGTCTTTATCGTCCTCTCCATCTTCTCTGCTAGTACGTCCATTTCTATTCTTTACTCAATCGACGTCCTAACAAAGTTTGTAGTCCGTATTGCCGCCTTTGCCATCCGCGCGCTCCTCGCTAGCTCAGAAAGCGCAGGCGAGAACATCAACATCCTCATCGTGTTCGACATCCTCTACAACATCGGCTTCTTCGGTCTGCTCTACTCGGCATACACCCTCGTTCTCGACAGGTACGTCTCCAAAACCTTCTATGTGCTTTCTTACGCTGACACGTCACCCAGGGGCCTGCTCTCCGACGCCCCCCTCCCGAACGGCCCCATCTCGCGCATCACCCGTCGCCGCCCGCTCTTCCGCATCTGCCTGACGGCAGCTGTCGCAGTCGGCATCACGGGCGCGATCGAGTACGCCATCGGCACGAAGCAGAGCACGATCGACCTCGGCAACACGCTCCGCAAGGTCTCGCTCTGGATCTTCCTCGTCCTCTCCGTGCTCGTCCTCTTCCAGACCTACCTGCTCATCCGCTCCGAGTCTTCCTGTATGTCTGCTTCCCTCTTCATTCTTCTCAGCCCACTAATCCATTCGCGCAGACGGCACGCACAAAGTCTCGGATGCCGCATTTGGCGCACGCCACGGCATTGTTCTGCTCTGTGTCATCTCGCTGCTGCTCGTCGCCCGTGAGGCGTTCTTCGTCGCGACGGCGGGCAACCAGACAAAGGCGAACGACGAGAACCTCTGGTACCCGCTCGCCGCAACCACCGAGTTCATCGCCGTCATCCTCTTCGCAGCGCCCGGCCTCGTGCCCTCGCGCGCCGAGCTCCCTACATAAAGGGCGTCTCCCCGTGTTGTAGGGATGTAGAAGATGTTGTCACGAAAAGCATTCGTTCAAAGGACTTTCAAACCTGTGCTATATAGCCCTATAGCGACCTTATCTATAACAGCATATACCACCTTGTCTCTCAAGATCTGTTGTTCAGTCTCATCTGTTTAGGAAGTTGCTAGCTAATTATCGCCTCCGCCGTGGACTTTATAAGGGTGGCATATAGTTGTTGAACACGCATATGTACATACATACACCGCACACTTGAGCGTACGTTACCCTTTGGGAGCCCTGGGTCTTCAATATAGGCCTTTGCATGATCTCTGGATCAGCACAAGACTATTCTTTTGGTGTGAGCTCGAAGTGCTTTCATGAGTCTTGCTGTAGTGGTTGCCGAGAGCGGGGAAGGTCGTCGGAGATGCTCGGTGAGAAGATCGAAGCTGATCGTCGTCTTCTTTCATGTAGGTGAGAAGCTCCACCAGCGCAGAGCATGTGGGAGTGGTTCGTCGTGCAGGCGGTTGATCTCGAGGGGGTCGTGTACTTCTGGTCTTCATACGCAGTAACCAACGTGTGTCGAGCATTAATGCGCACTTCGGAGTCGAGGACGGTCTCCGCTCTCTGGGTTAATAGCAGCGCGGTTCTGCACGTTTAGATCACTTTCTAACAATCAACTGTCCATAAGCTGAGCCCGGGACCCCAGGGAATGCATCTAGTATCACCATGCTTTCGCTCGTGACTTCGCCCATCATGCGTTATTGTCTCTGAACACTATTGTTAGCCTACCGACTACAACGCTCGCTCCCATCATCGGCCGGTCCAAACGTGTATGAGAAGCACTCACGTTCGAGTGGTTGAGGAGAGCACTGCACTGCGCAGCACTGGTGGATTTTTAGACGAGCGCTAGCTCGCATCTGCATCGGCCGTAGTCTTGCGGTGGTGAGTTTTTGAAGGGAGTTGTGAGAGCCGTCGCCTACGATACTGTACTTTGCGCTAGCACTAGTGTTTGCTATTCGGAATGTCTGCATCCTGTTTGGTTAGTCGTTGCGGTTGCTGCTGTTGTATTATGCATGGATGCACAGTGGCTTGAAGTTGCAACTGGGCACTGTGGGGCCACTGAGCTCAAAGTCCGCCGCCTTTGGCGAGCCAGCTGGAACCAAGCCAAAGGAAAATGTACTTGCATTTGATTGCCATAAGTCCAGCTAACACACCTTGTCTCCATAGAGAGGCTAGAGGCTAAAAACCACGAAGCATCATACTTCAAGGTCTTACACCTGGTTGGTCGGTAATGTGGCAAGACATTCACGGTATTAATTCAAGGAGTCGGACGGTCTCAGCTGAAAGTTTATCGAGCCGCGACAACGCTAGCTGCAAATCTCTCACGCCATCATGTTGCTCAGCCCGACTCGCAAATCCAGCTGTTGAGAACGTTGAGGGGCGTCCGATCGCGTACGCACGCAGGCTACGCCTCTTATCTTTTTACTCACTTTACGCCTACAATCGACATTAAATTAAGTAACACCGACCATAGACAGAAACTAGCACTGACAGCCCAAATGACCGGTCCGACACATCGTCACAAGCACCGGCACAAACTGGATCGCCGAGGAGGTCAGCAGGTCTGGCGAGTGCGCGATAAGCGAGCCGGAGCGTAATCGAGCGTTGGGAGTGGGAGTTGGGAAAGTGCGGGGTAGATTCGCGTGATCCTGCGGTGTGGTTGGTCTTCGGCTTTTCTGTCGGTGAGTAGCACTGTTTTGAAGGTGGCTTGTTATTGGCTGGCTACCGCCATCGCTATCGCAATGGGCGAGGTGAGTAGGGTTCATGGTGTTCATTTGTCGCAAGGGGTGTGCAAGTTAACGGACTGGAATCGTCCGCTGATTAGGGCTAGTGCCGAGAAATACACTTGCTCTGTGCGTCTGTCTCGGCTATACCCCCGTTCACTCGATGTGCAGACGTTTGACTCATAGTATTTTCCCGCCAACTCAGAATCACGACTTAGTAAGGCCCATTTTATCGGTACGCGGAACTCAACATAAAAGCAGGGTTAAGATAAGGTCTAGGTGAGCTATCGCACTACCGAACTGCCGTACTAGTTTTACTACACACATCTTCAGAGTCCGCGATGGATTGAGATACCATCGCATTGGACATGTCGTGGATCGCGCCACAGGCTGACTCCAGGGGGCTGCCAAGATACGCCTCAACACGAGGCTGAAGAAGCCCCGGGCCTTGTTCTTGGGACATTGATGTGTGCACATGCACGGTCAGTATGGCGACTCGACGCAAATGCTTCTCAAGAGCGCCGCCGCCGTCGATCCATATGGCTGTTACTTGCAAACCTCACGGTATGTAAATGTCGGTGAGCTCGGGCTTGAACGAGGCAACGAGCAAGCGCCCGTACTTAGCCCTGGACTTATCTTTAGGTTTGCAATGCGATTCTTGGCGCATTGGGTGAATGGATCATTCTGAGATGCGAACAATGTATCATCAATTGCGCCTCCGCGAAGTCTTGATGATCATGAAGCCACCGCCGCCGACGTATTTCCGGACCGCGACCGCAAGCACGGCTACCTGAGTGTATCCCGCGAATGGCTGCGCCGCATTCTTGAATACTAGCCCAGGGAATTATTTTGGTGCGCTCAACATATGCCTTCATCGTTTTTGGACAATCAGATACCGCTCTCTCTCTTAGGATTCATCGCACGTTTCTCATGTCTGGTTCGACTGGGCTATAGAATTATTTCCAAACCTACAGCTGGTAAGAGCGACTCCGCCGACGCATTAGTTGAGAGCATCTGATCTACTAGAGCGATACTTTCGCGCAGCTATCATGCCAGGATATGTTGTGGCTAGACTGTGCTGTTCCTAGTACTGAAAGGAAGCGCTCAATGACTCGACACGACGCACACTGAGCACAGCAGGTATGGGCTTCGCTTAATAAACTCCTCGGTATCACAACGTCCGACAAACAAATTGGAGAAGCGACATTGCTCCGTCCCAGCTGAAAGTGTGGGGAAGGAAGGCTTGGCTTGCCAACCCTTGCTAAATTGATGAGACTGATCTGACAACGGTTCGTCCATAAGCTCGGTATAAAGGCACATTCCTTGCAGATTTCTTGTGCGCTGCGAGCCAGGGATAGATTCTTTGTCTGGAACTATGAAGGAAAGCCGTGTAGCGCAAGTCGTCCGCTCACACGGATTTCCACTGGAATCGGTGGCCTGTCTTTTTCTTGGTTATGTCAGATATCGACGATGAGGTTCGAGAACAATTGGCGTGAATGCAGTGGACTGCTGCCTTGTTGTACGCCTTATGCATTCTGTCTACTGATTTTTATGGTATATCGCGGATTTATATCAGGTGTAAGAACATCATGCAAGTTGGATTGAATGCACATCATTGAAAATTTTCCAGTGGTTGTTTATTACTTCTCGCGAAGTAATGTGGAGGAAGCAAGTAAACACTAAATCTGATTCGAATATGAGAGTGACGCTTTACTGTTTAAATCCACATAGTCTAAGTGCTACAGGTCTACTATGCAGGACTCGGTCACCTTCAGGGATAATGACGAGCTGAACGTGGCGAGCATATGTCACTGACTCAAAGCGCAGTAAATGGTGCAAGCAATTTATACTGGCAACCTGCTATGGATTCCCTTCTTTATCAACGAACAACTAGGAAAGAACTTGCGCAAATTGTCTACGTCTTAAGGACCCCAAGAGCATTGATCCAAGAAAATATTATGAAAGATCAATTTATCAGGAGAAAAACTCAACTAAGGCGACTCAGACCGCACGTTTTTATCCTCAGATATGGTTCATCATTGACCGCAAAGAGCACAGGCTCGCAATGCCAAGGCTGACAACCTTCGAACTTCACCACAGTATTATTTTTTGGTCAGGCGTGTACTAATGGCGTGTAGAGTTTATGAACATTGTCAACAGTATCAAGTAAACATCAGACGTAGTCTTTTGAATGTGTTCGTCCATTCCGATGACATAAACACACGCTGCAATAGTCCTTTTCAATAAGGGAGCCCTGGAAGAGTAAGGCCATATCAATTGACAGAAAAGCGCCCAAGGCGCATTGATATTGACGGACACGAGGATCCTGACCCTGTTTAGGCAGCGCAGCACGGATACCTCCGCTGTTAAAAGGTCTAGTGCGGGAAATTTAGACGGCGATCTGTGTTCTTATCAGAACATGTGTGCTTGGCATTGTACTCACTTGTGTATATTTGACAGCGGAGGCAAAACCAGGGACTGCCAATGACTGAACGTGTGACGAGGTGTGAGGCGAGTGAAAGCCCTGCGCCCAGTGACAATGGGCGAGGCGCCCGCACGGATGTATCAAGGGATCCTCACTGTTTGGCGCTGAACATTGTGCGCTAATCGCAGGGCGATGCGCCCACACAAGAACAAATTTTATTTTTACTTGCGACCCTGCTGTTGGATCAAAAAGTTCGTGCATGTAACCCGAGTCAGTTTCTTGGCGGCGATCCATGTTCTCGGGAGCACCCTCGAATTAGTCACCGAGCGAGAATACAGACATGATGAAACCGCAGCAGCGCGGTCGAGAGCAATTTGCGAGTTGCGCACGCTCCGAGCAGAGCGGAACATGTTTTTTTTTCTTCGGATTGTAACATATGAACTAGCCGTTGTCAATCCATGTCTCTACGTCCTAGGGTCAGCGGCGTGTTGAACGGATGCAAGGGAGCGCCGATGCCCTTGCTCAGAGGAGAGCGCAAAGTGCATGCTCTGTTAGCTGTCACGATGAGGTATTCAACTCATAAAGATCGTTCATGCTGCCACCTTTCTTGGCAGCATTGTTTTTGATCGACAGCTGCCTCCGCGTGCTCAGCCGATGCAACATGTTGCACAGTGCAGCTTCTCTGGCGTGATGCAGCACGTCAGCTCGGAAAAACGCGCCATACACTCAACGGCGTTGGTGAGAGCATCAGACAGCACGTCCGATGATCTGCATCGGTCCTGAAGTCATTGAGTATTGTATATATCCCCATACACATTGTATTGCAGAGCTGACAGAAGGCACGATCGGCGTTCCCAAATGGGCCACTCAGAATCATTCAATCAACCACAATGTTACTGTATGTGCGTTGACAGCCGTTGATTCCATTTCTCCGTGGATTTTGCATACAAACTTGTTGGTACATACGGAGGTAAGAAGGAAACTGCTGAGGACAAGCCGAAAGGGTAAGCGTCTTCGTTCGAGGCCATCGTTCGTTATCTGGGTACCACCGAGTAAACAAACCAAGAGCAACAAGGAACACATCAGTATATATTCGAAAGATGGACAATGTTGCGGATGCAGTCGTGTGTTGGACACTGACAGTCGAGCAGCATGGATGGCGACAGCGAGCACGGAGTACCTGGACGAAGCGAGGATGATTCGAGCTTTGATGCGAGTAACACTGAGAGCTACAGTACTGGGAGTTGATGAAGATGAGCACGTTGCCAGCGCGAGCAAAAGACGTAACCACAGGACAAAACGGCGACATCCCAGCCGTTCTTCGGTGTCCGAGAACACAAGCATCGGCGGATCACCGCGGTCCTCCCAGGTGTGGATTCACGAGTCCACCGTCGAGTCCGACCTTATCTCTCAAGAGCACAGCGGTCGCAGCCGTGGACCGCGCCAGCCCAGGGCCACCTGTCGCTGCGTGGGTGCCGGCGGGGGCGGGAGCGATCCACAGTGACAGGCTCGAGTGGGGAGGGAGCGGGTGCAATCCGCTGATCACTCGGTGACATCGGCTAATAGCCGTCAAAGGCGCTGGCGCTTACCTTTTCTATTTTCGCTCATTGCTTTTCTTACTTCTTCCACAAAAGGCAGGCATGCGCGCATATGGGGATTGTCGGGCGTCTATTTTGAACTCCGCGAGCCCGGGCGTCGGCTGATCCCCCTGAGCCGAAGGTTCGCGTGGGTGCGGGGATGTGGACGTCGAAATGGGTCGTGAAGTTGGAGGTGAATTGAGGTGCGTCCGCAGGCGACGAGGACGGCGGTGAGATGAAAAGGCTTGGTGGGGCACGAGTTCAGCGTTGGATAGAGGGATAGTGGACGGACGTACGCGACGAGCCGGCACCATGCGAGCTCCATGAGAGGGAAACGACGAACATCTGTCATCAATACAATAAGCGAACGTTGAAGGAGCTACGTTGCCTAGCGTGTCCGTCGGAACTCGAGATGATGTCGACTACTAGCTAACCAGCGAGTTAACTCGGCGCAGAACGTTCCCCTCTGCCAGTGAGCAGTGGAAAGCCGCAACGATGACGAGGGATGAGGAGGAGAAGGTGGTGACAAGAGTTGGAATATGGATAGCACCGACACCCTGAGCGACGTCGACAGCGCTAAGCTGACCATTAACAGCGAATAACCACGATAGAGCAGGCAAGAGGGAAGTCATCCAGAGGGGAAACTCAAGCACTCGCCTGCAGTCCTTTTAGATGAACGGACGAAGCGATCCCTCGGACCCTTCCGCCACTCTCCCGGGCCCACTTCACAACCGAACGAACAAACAAAGAGGCGAAGATCCATATACAGAAGGAGGGGGGTCACCACGAGTATTTTTATTGCTCCAAACTCCGGTATACGCAGGATATACGTTCCAACAAACAGGTGTGCGCTTCGCGTAAGATGAGCGCCGGACGTGTGCTTCGCGAGCGTCATGACGCCCTTCTTCGGACGGATTGAGATTTACAATTACAATTGATGACTTGTTGCCTATGTGCGGTTGCTGTTGATCCCCTGATGTCTAGAGTTCCGTATCGTGCTAAGCTGTAGTATCGCCGTGCGTCGCCAGGCTCCAGCGCCCCCGTTTCCACATGGGAACGTTCACCGACAGTCTACAGAGGTAGAACGAGCCTCGGAGGGAAAGAGCATGCAGAGGTCCGGCCCTGCGGCACGCGACAAAGCGTGGGCGTTGATCGACCGGCTAGCGAAGGGGACCGAGGTGGACGGATAAGTTTGGGGAAGGATCTTCCGGCTACGGAAAACATAACATCTTCTCAGTTTGCTAAAGCTTCTTAGACTTCTAGACGAGAGAAGTAGGCTCTTTGCGCGTTTTGAACGCCCGATGTGCGCGTAGATACGCTCTCTGTGCTTATGCAGGATAGAGGACAGTGGATAGAACAGGGGCAGATCGGTAGGCCGCGTAGATAGAGAATGACGAACGCGGGGATGGACGGTGCTAATGGCTAGAAGGCTGCAGGACGCCGAGCGTCTGGCTTGGCTAATTTGGGTGTTCATTTTGACGAGGTAAGATAGAAGAGAAGCAAAGAACAAGAGAAGAGAACAGCTACTATACACACATCCTCAGATCCTTCGATCCGGTGCACGACCATCGCGATCGCCCGTGATGCTGAGAAACAGCTGTGAGCATACAATGAATAAGGAGCACGCCGTATGGGACGGCACCTGCGTCTGCATGTCAGTTCACGTTCGAACGAAGTTGTGAACGCAGCATTGCACGTTCCTGCAGTGCCTGTTTCCGGAAGGTGAGTCATAAAACGATCTGCGTGCCGTCTGACCTAATCCGCTATCGAGGGGCACCATCACAGCGTGGCTCGTGGAGAACAACGTGCCTTGCTCGGCTAAGCGCATACAGAGGCTGACTGCGCTATCTTTGCGTGGGCTCTAGATCTGGCGCGGAATCGTCGAGAAAAGGCCGAGGTTGGCGAGTCGATTGGTGGAGTCATCACGGAACCGCGAAGGAGGGCTTGAGATGTATATGGGCATACAATGACTGCTTTGCATAGAGTTGTCCGTGGCGGTCCTCGTCAATACGCACTAGAAGAACGACGGGTTCGTGCTTTACGATTTAGAGAACCGAGAATCAAGGACATTATTATATAGAGCTTTGAAGAGGGTACATGTGGATTTAGAAGTACGTATGTTTTATCGGGCGCGGCGATAGCAGGATTTGGGGGACGGAGGAGAATGCGGGCTGGCTTCCGAGTAAAAGAGCGAGGGCGGAGGAGAACTACGAGGACAGGAAGGGTACGGATTTAGAAGCATAGCATCATAGAACGTGTTGATGGAGATAGGAGGACATAGCGAGCACGATGGAGCGGTGCGTCCGCCGTTCATCTAGCGTGGTGGATGCTACGTTCGAACGAGCATGGGCGTCATCATCGGGATGGACAGCGACTTAACTGTATCACACGTCGTTCGTTTGCCTTTCATCATCATTCACTGGGGTGCACGACATGAAATGTGGCATCACCATATAGACATATTCAGCCAATGCCCAGGCGTCTATCTTTGAAGCGTCTGTGCGGTGGCTAGCGTAGTCTCATCGCGTGGAATCGTATTCGTCGCGAGTCAAGTAACGCCCTCGTGCGTGATGGCGCTTGATGGTGCTCGTTGATGAGTGTCCACGGTTGTTGACGACGGCGTGCACGGGTCCCCACGAGGCACGGTGGGATAATGGATAATGGAACACTGAGAATAACGCTCGAGTGTTGTAGGCGCGCTCGCAGGCGATCGGATTGGGCAGAGGGTAGAGGATCTATTATCGAGACCGAGGTTGTGCAATTTGCGATACAAGTTGAGCGAGAGGTCTGCTTGCTGGAAGTGACGATAGCCTCCCATGAGGCATGCACACCGTGTGCACTCGACCGCCTCTGAGGCAAACAGCGAGCACCGAGGATCATGAATCGCGAATCGTCGCTGTGATTGACGCAAGAACGCATCACGACCCACAAGACTCAAGCCGGTGATGAGCCACGCCCGATCGCGCGAGACGCGTCCCCGTACAGCAGCCTACAGCAGCTGCTTGCAAATCGAGCATATCAAAGCTGAATCAGAGGCTAGAGCTGAATCACATCACCGAGCGGCATGTACTGTACCTCTCAGACCGTACCAGCTGACCGCTAAGCGACCCGGAGGACGACAACAGGCGTCGATCATCATCAAAGGAGCGTTGCGACGGGCTCGGAGACAGGCACGCAATATACGGCAGCGGGAGACGCTATCATAGGAAAATGAGTTGGGAGACGGTTTGCTGTGCTGACAGGAACGTTGTGAAGGAGGTTTCAGCTAGCGACGCGCGGGACTCCGAGTGGGCACTAGTAGCGCTGTGTGTCTATGGGCTGTGGCAGGTGCAGATCAGCGGTGCCTTGCCCTCGATGGGCGTCTGGACGCTCAGGTTGGCTGCGTGTGAGGTGGCTCTGGCAGGGGGCCGTATTAGGTGGTTGGTTGGTTGTTTGCTTGCGTGTTTGCTCGCTTGGTTCTGTGCGGGCTGCTGCCCGCGCGTCTCCGAACTGGGTCCGAGCTGAGGCTAAGATGAAAGACGCGTTTCAGTTCGGGTCCGCCAAGACATCGTTGCGGTGCTGCTTCGCTTCCATGAACGCACGGCGCCGTTCGACGGTTCGACGGGGACGGAGCTCTGGATGGCATTTGTGCGATGGTTGTGCAACGGGCGAGTGGGGCACCGAGTTCTTTGCTCGACGTCGAGTGTTGTATGATAGACGTGGGTGATGGGGGTGCGGATGTAGACAGGACGTAGAAGATGATCTGGAGGCGCGCTATGAGATCACATGAACGCTATTTGGCGCTAACGGTAAATACATTCATGAGCGGCGTATGCAGCGACCGACGCTAGCCAAACAATATGTTGCCTGAAGGCAGAGTCGGAGGATGAGGCAGCGGATCGTCTATATGGGCCGGGCTGACATAGTGAATGTGTTGCCATGTCGTGATGTGATAGCGTTCTCGCCCGGAGAATTGGGCTGGGATTAGCGCTGTGGAGGAAGTGTGCATCCAAAAGGATACAAAAGGGGAGGCGGTGCAAGTAGAAACGCAGCACTGGATAAGGGAATAGTGGCGATATGGATTGATCCGGGATGATGGGAGCGATGTGCCCAGTTGGGTGAGCCGGTCCCTTTGATGGAGATCGTTACGCAATGGCGTCAGGTGTGGCTTGAGTGGTTCACGGTGGTTCACATTCTGGGTGAGGGCGAGTATGTCTCAGCGAGTGTTTTCCTTCAGCAAGTACAATGTAGCAAGGTGAAACAGCGGTGGTGTTATCGGAGTGCGATGATGGCGGTCGCTGGGCACCCGGGTGACAAGTGCGGGCTCCATTTGATGAAGTGAGGTGGTGAGGCTGTATCTCTCGGCTAAGGGCTGTGCCTTGGGCCCTGACGCTGGCGGTGTGTGGATCGATCTGAATCTGCTGCCAAACATGTGCAGCCGGGAGTGATATAATAAATAAAGAAGAAGCGAGAGTTGATAATCCTCCCAGGCTCCTGGTTGACCCTCCCTGCGCTTCTTCGTCTTTCGCTTTTTAACCCGGGCAGGTCCCCGTCGAACGAACGTCTCTTTATTTCGTTTCGTCTTCATTTCCTCGGCTTTAGTCCAGGCCCTTTTCCTCTCTTCTTTCTTATTCTATATATCACTCCTTTTTGTTTTCTGCAGCCATGTCTGGATCGTCGTCAATGCTTACCCCCACCGAGGCTCTCCTCTCGGTCGCCAAGACTCACCCTTTCCGTCCCGCTGTACGAAGTGCAGGCTCTCAATGGTCTTATGCTGCTCTCTGGGCCCGTGTCCGCGAGATTGCGGCAAAAATCGATGACCTTGATGTGTCCAGGAAGCCCGTAGGCCTTTACATGGGGTACGTCGTCACTGCACAGCCACACCCACTGACGCTCACTAACATTCCCTCTGCAGCCTTGAGATTGACTATGTCGCCGCTGCACACGCCATCTGGCTCTCGGGTCGCACCGTGCTGTTCCTCTCGAACAAGTGGACGCCCGAGGTCCTTGCTGCCGTCTGTGCACGTGCCGACTCTCGTCTCATTCTCCACGGCAACTATGTCCCCCCAGCCGTGTCCGGTGTCGCAGCCGTCTCCACCTTTTCCCTTGTCTCCTCCCAAACCGCACCCTCCTTTGTCGCTGCCCCTACCAGCGATGACGGCGTGGACCGTGTCCCCGTCATCTCCAGCATCACCCCCACCTCTGGCTCAACAGGTGTCCCCAAATCCATCGTCTACCCCATGTCCCGCTCCCTCGCCGTCCTCTCAGAAGAATCATCATCACTCCTCAAGCCCATGGACGGCCAGTGGCTACGTGGCGGCACCACCTTCCTTCGCCCCCTCTTCGAGATCCGCCGCTTCATGTTTAACCAGACCACCCTCTACCTCGATGCCTCCGCCTCCGTTGCTGATCAGTGCACTGCCCTCTGCGAGGAGCTCGAGTCCACACGCAACTCTCAGCTCCTCCGCGTCCACTTCACTCCCTCCGTCTTCCGTGCCTTTGCCGACTTTGCTCAGATCCGCGCTGGCGGTGACCTCCCCCGCGGCTTCAAGCGCGTCTACTGGATGGTCATCGGCGGTGAGAATCTCAGCCCCCGCGACCTCGAGCTCGCCCGTGGTGTCTTCCCCAACGCCACCATCGCTTGCAACTATGCTGTACGTATCATCAGTAACCATGGTACCCTGTTCGTGTATGCTAATTCATCATCTCTACAGTGCTCCGAGAACGGCTTCGCTGGCATGTCCCAGATGTTCATCCGCCCCAGCGAGCCTATCCCCTCCGTCATCTCCTTCGGCCCCACCCAAGGGTGCACTGATCTCGTCCTCCTCGACGAGAACATGTGCGTTATCCCCCAGTTCGAGGTTGGCGTCACCGGCATCGTCGGTTTCGTCTCTTCTCAGACTGCCACCCGCTACCTGGATAACCCGGAGGCCACCGAGCACATGTTCCGCCCCTGGGATGGCGCGGACATGCTCCTCTACACCGATGACATCGGATGCATGCAAGAAGACGGCACCATCGCCATCCGCGGCCGCAGCTCCCGCAACGTCAAGGTCAACGGCCTCTTCGTCGACCTCGACTACGTCGAGCGTGCCCTTGCCCCCGTGTTCGCCGACCACGCGACCGGCGTCAACGGCTTCAAGCTCGTCAAGTCGCACGCGACCGAGAAGATCATCCTCTTCGCCGCCACCCACAACGACGCGACGTTCGTCCTCAAGCAGGCGCGCGACTCTCTCCGCGCCTCGCTCGGAGACGACCTCTCGATGGTCGTGCACTCCGTGCGCATCATCGACGAGCTCCCCTTCAATGCCTCGTACAAGGTCGACCTCGCGCAGCTGCAGAAGCTCGCGGACTCGGAGCCCGCGTTCGGCACATCCGCCGATGCACCCGCTACCGTGTCTGCTGCCTCCAAGGCTGACGCGCTCGCGGCTGACATTGCCGCTGAGATCGCCAAGCTCACCAAGTCGAGCGAGCTCGTTCCCACCGACATGCCCCTGCTGTACACCGGCCTGAACTCGATCACGATGGTTCGGCTGTACTTCTGGCTGCAGGCCGAGCACGAGTATGAGGAAGAGATGACGCACTTGTTCGAGGAGGAGGTTACCGCTGACGTCGTCGCCATGGAGATCATGGGCGACGAGATCGACGCTGAGGAGGAGGAGATTGAGGAGGTCGAGGCTGCCGAGGAGGAGATGGAGGATGCGCCGGACTCGCCCGCGTCGCAGGCGACCGTCGTCGAGGACGACGTGTCCAAGATGGACCTCGAGGCCGAGGCCGAGGCTGGCTACGTCAAGCCGCCTATGGTCGCGATGGACCTCGAGGAGGCCATGGACGAGAACAACGAGAAGGCGAAGCCGTCGAAGCGCGGCAACCGCGTGAGCACGGTGATCGTCATGCAGCCGCCGGTCGAGAACGGTCCGGAGTCGACCAACGACGTCGCGAACCACCCGACGCTGCACTACTCGCCGCTCTCGTTTATCTTTGTGTCGTGGTTGACGCCCCTGATGAGCCTGGGTGCGAAGAGGCCGTTGCTGGAATCGGTAGTTATCTTTTTATCTGGTTGATTGTATCACATATTTATTTAATATATTTTTCCTTTTTTCCTCTCCCCCTCCTGCAATGTTCGATTTCGCGATGTAGGACCTGCTCCCCCTGAGACGCAACGACGAAGCTATTATGACCGAACACTGGACGGACCAGTTCTGGAGCGAGCTCCGCTCGTGGTATTTCGACATGTCGCGCCCGATGCCCGCTTTGGTCGGCTCGATGTTCAACGCTGGGTTCAAGTACTGGTGAGTTCTGCTGCACTTGTCCGCGAGGCGTTGGTGTGCTTATTTGTCGTGTTTCCTAGGGCTATCTCGGGTCTGCTCTGGCTCATTTCGGTGGTCTCTGCCGTCCTCGCTCCCTTGTTGCTCCAGCAGATCATCGTCGCCATCAACGCACCACCTTTCTCGTCCGTGGCTGGCAACGCAACCGCTACCGCTGAGTGGGAGGCTGGCGTCAAGGAGGCGACTGGCGGTTTCCCCCTTATCTTCGACAACACTTACGCCCTCGCTGGCATCCTGTTCGGTCTCAAGGCGATCTACACGCTCGCCGGGCGGTCCGCCGACCAGTTGGTCAAGCGCATGTCCATCAACGTCAAGTCTACGATCATCTCTGCCGTCTACAAGAAGTCGCTTCGCCTCTCGCCCGAGTCGCAGCAGAAGTTCGGCAAGGGGTACACGATGAACCTTTTGAACGTCGACTCTGAGTCGATGATGAAGATGATCGATGTTGTTCACCAGATCTGGTCGATTCCCTTCCAGCTCATCGCTGTTACTGTTCTGCTCTCGCGCCTTTTGGGTGTTTCCGAGTGGGCGGGTATCGGTGTTCTCTTCCTCGCGCTTTTCCTCCTCATCATGGTCGTCCCCATCTTCATGCGCCGCGCCGCGCCCGGTTTCATGCGTCTCGGTGACGTTCGTCTCCGTACCATCCGCGAAGTTCTCGACGGCATGCGTATCATCAAGATCAATGGTCTTGAGGAGCACTTCCTCGAGAAGCTCCAGGGCATTCGTACCGAGCAGCTCAAGTACTTGCGCATGTTCAACACCGGTGTCGCTTGCTTCGTCATCGTCGGCTCTATCACCAACACTGTCATGCCTCTCGCTGCGTTCTCGCTCTTCGGCGCTGTGCACATGGGCCAGGTCCAGGCGTCGCGCGTTTTCCCCGCGCTCTCGCTCTTCGGCATGCTCGTCGACCCCCTGATCGCGCTCCCCCAGCTGCTTTCGTCCTTCGTCATCGCCGCGACCTCCTACGGCCGCATCTACTCGTTCCTCCTCGCCGCTGAGAAGTCGGGCAACAGCTCGATCTCGGACGTGCTCGCCATCTCGCGCGAGGCGATCAGCGTCACGCACGGTGCGTTCGACTGGCCCTACTCGGAGAAGCCCGCGCCCAAGAAGGCGGAGAAGTCCGACACGGACTCGATCGACGAGAAGGACGAGGACGTGCACCGCCCGACGCTGCAGGACATCAACCTGAACATCCGCCGCGGCTCGCTCACGGCCATCGTCGGCTCCGTCGGCTCCGGCAAGACGTCGCTGCTCTCTGCTATTCTCGGCGAGATGAAGCGCGTGAACGGGGACCTCGCTGTGCACGGCTCGATCGCGTACTGCGCGCAGCAGCCGTGGATCCAGACGGCGTCGATCCAGGAGAACATTCTGTTCGGGAAGCCGCTGAACCCATCGCAGCTGCAGACGGCGATCACGACGACCGCGTTCGACTCGGACCTCGACACGTTCCCGGCGGGCATGGCGACGCAGATGGCGGAGAAGGGGAACAACCTTTCCGGTGGTCAGAAGGCGCGGCTGTCGCTCGCGCGCGCGGTGTACTCGGACTCGGAGATCTACTTCTTCGACGATGTGCTCGCTGCGCTCGACGCGCGTGTGGGCCGCAATGTGTTCAACAAGTGCATCAAGAAGGCGCTGCGCCACAAGACGCGCGTGCTCGTCACGCACCAGCTGCAGTACCTGAACCAGGTGGACCATATCATCGTGATGCACGAGGGGCACATTGTCGAGCAGGGTACGTTTGAGGAGCTCGTGTGCAACAACGGCGAGCTGTCGCGGCTTCTTGCGGAGGTGCAGACGTTCGCGTCGGCGGACGAGCAGGTGAAGGAGGAGATCAAGCGGCGCTCGGAGAACAAGGAGAACAAGGGCAAGGCGAAGGAGGAGGTCACGGAGCAGACGATTGCGACGGAGACGCGCTCGATGGGCGCTGTCACTACCAAGACGTGGTGGTCGTATCTGCAGGCTATCGGCGGTATCCCCATCGGCATCGCGATGCTGCTGCAGCTGCTTATGCTCCAGGGTTCGGTTATTGTGCTTAACCAGTGGCTGACGTGGTGGACCGAGGACAAGTTCGAGGAGAAGGCGGGTGTGTGGATCGGGATCTACAACGGTATTGGGTTCACGTCTGTTGTTTTCCTCGGTGCGTCACTTTCTTTCTTTCGTGTTTTCGTTTGCTTATATTATCGTTTAGTCATCCTCAATGTCTTCGTCCTCCTCTCCACCGTCCGCGCGTCCCGCACGTTCCACGCCAAGGCGCTCCAGGGTGTTCTCAAGGCGCCCATGTGGTGGTTCGAGGGCCAGCCCATCGGCCGCATCATGAACCGTTTCTCCAAGGACATCGAGGCCATCGACCAGCGTCTCATGACGCAGATCTTCCCGCTCGTCTCCGCCATCGGCAACATCCTCTCGACCACGATCATCCTCGGCTACTCGTCGCCCATCATGCTCGCCTTCCTCGCGCCCATGTTCATCCTCTACTGGTTCGTCCTGCGCTTCTACCGCGCCTCGCTCCGCGAGCTCAAGCGCCTCGAGTCGACCGGCCGCGGCCCGCTGCAGGCGCGCATCAACGAGACGCTCGACGGTATCCCGACGATCCTCGCGTACCAGCGCGGACAGGACTTTGCGGACTCGGTCGGCGCGCTGCTCGATCTGAGCAACAGGCCGACGTTCCTGCGCCTCCACGCTGAGATCTGGGTTACGCTCCGTATGGAGATGGTGTCTTCGCTCGTTGTGTTCTCGCTCGCTATGCTCGCGCACACTTCGGTTGTTGGCAACTCGACCCAGTTTGCGCTGTCGCTGACGTACTCGTCGACGCTGACGTATCTCATGAACTTGCTTCTCAAGTCTGCTGCTAACGTCGAGGCTGAGGTACGTTTACTCTTCGAGAATTTTTGTTCTTTTACTAATTGGGATTGTTATAGATGAACTCTGTCGAGCGTCTCATGAGCTACACCGATGACCTCCCTGAGGAGCCCGCATACCGCCTCGAGTCCGACCCCTCCCCCGAGGCCTGGCCTACGCGCGGCGAGATCGTCGTCCGTGACGTCGACGCCGCCTACGCCTCGCGCCCCGACAAGCTGGTCCTCCGCAACGTCAACCTCAAGTTCAACGCCGGCGAGACCGTCTTCATCGTTGGCCGCACCGGCTCCGGGAAGTCGACGCTCCTGTCGCTCCTTCTCCGCATGATTGACGCCAGCAACGGGTCGGTCGAGATTGACGGTCGTGACATTAACTCTCTCGGTGTTGCCACGCTCCGTCAGGGCATGCAAGTCATTCCTCAGGGTGAGTTCATATTTTTATGTAAGTAACGAATGCGTTACTAACGGTATCTTTTCAGACCCCTTCGTCTTCTCCGGCACCATCCGCTCCGCTCTCGACTTCCACAGCAAGCACGACGACTCCGCACTCTGGCACGCGCTCGAGCTCGTCGGCCTTAAGCAGTTCGTCGCTGGGCAGGACAACAAGCTCGACACCGCGGTCGAGGACAACGGCAACAACTACTCGGTCGGACAGCGCCAGCTGCTCTGCCTCGCCGCCGCGATCCTCAAGGACCCCAAGATCCTGCTGCTCGACGAGGCGACCGCGTCGATCGACGCGGGCGCGGATGTGTTCATCCAGCAGGCGATGCGGGCGTCGTGCCCGAACGCGACGATCCTGTCCGTCATGCACCGCCTGAGCGACCGTATCCTCGAGGAGGCCGACAAGGTGCTCGTCATGGAGCAGGGCTTCCCGATCGAGTACGCGTCGCCCAAGGCGCTGCTCGCTGACCCCCAGTCGATGTTCTCGAAGTTGATGGCTGCGACGCGCAACAGCTCGTAAAGTGATCTCGCTTCCTACCCCTCCTGCATATCATCATCACCATCATCACCCTCATCCCGCTACATCTCAATCATCTACTGACGAATGTCGGACCTGTTGATATACCATATTGAATTTCAATCCAATTTCTCTTTCGCAACATTGTTGTTTGTTTGTTTGTCGAACTCGCAAAGTATATACCATACGTGAGGTTAATTTGGTTGTGCTCTATCATATACTTTGGACTTTCTTCTGCTTCTCCATTTTTGTTTATCATTATCATCATCCCCCCAAATGGATGCGCTGTTTCCGTTGCGCCACCCTCCGTCAGGGCGTGAAACGCTCTGATGTATTTATTGTTGTTTGAACAGCCATTCCGTTTTACGAAGCAATACGATTTTGGTTTTTGATCCTCAGATGGGCGTCGTGCCGTGAGCTTGGTGCGCTCGGCGTATGGTTTTGGATGGGCTAGGCTTGATGCGGGACTGTGTTCCTGGGATGCGATGTCTTGAATGAGCGGGAAAAGGCAAGGTCAGTTGCGCCCAGACGCAGCGTTTGCCGTTTGGGCAGTGAGGTGTCGTCGGACGCGGTAGTGGTGGTGTTTTGACGTGCGGTGGCTGCCTATGCCGCATGGTGCGGCGTTTCGGGCTGGCTCGAGCGGTCTTGCGCCCATATCATCGTCAGCTGAACTGAACTCTGTATGGATGGCGATGGCGATCATGGCGCATACTTGGGCTACGGCGAGGTGTCGTCTCGCGTTTGCGATGATGCTTGCACAATCAATATTCTTGGCCCCGTGTCCGTTGTGAACGGCCGGGGACAGCGGCCTGTGGACCTCAGCTGGTATGACGTTGGTGTCAACATCTTGAGTAAGGCTTCCAAACATGGCTCGTCGACGACGATCTAGCCTTACGCTCGCGGCCTGCAGCTCATACAACGAACGCCGTCGCCTTTTAATTCTGCGTAAATCTAACCTGAAATGTCAGCCGACAGACTTGCAAGGTTGTTCATCGAGAAGGCGGGCTCTTACGTTCTATTCTCCAAGCGAGGTCATGTCACCTGGGCATTAGATGCAGTAGGTATCACACAGCGAAAACATTGTATGGATGGTTTCCGGCGAAGTTCAAGACGCGAATGGTGATCCCGGCTGGAAGACAGTCTCGGGCGCTCAGTCTCATGGCTTGGGATGTCGAGAGTCACTGGAAAAGCCGCACCCGTAGTGCACGTACAGTTTCTTCCTTACCTATATAATCATGGTGTTTCGCGAACTATTAAGGGTGCTCAAAGATCTTACAAGCGTGTGTCGAACCATCGTTAACGTTGGTGACTCGGAGCATAATACAGAACGAAGGTTCGTCACTGGTTGCAATTGGAATCATGACACTCACCATAAGTGTCAATTGAATACTGTCGTGTAATGACGGTGTGTAAGACTGTATGTGATATGTTTCTTAAAAGACGTAGTTGAATGTAAGTTCGGATGTTGGCGTGTGGTGAAATACGAGTGGGATGCGTGGTGGACATTTGATATGAGCGGAAGTACGCGACTGACTTCCAATGTCGTCGACGCGGCACCATCTTGCAACTCCTTACTTTACACCGTATTTCTCTCTTCGGATTCCACACATTCTCGCAACTTCTGGCGTTCTCCGGCCGTGCGTGCTTCTTGCACGCACTGTAGCAGCTTCCACACCCTCTAGGCAGAGCGCAACAGGGGCTCAATAACGTGCACGTGAATGGAGTAGAAGTAAAGTGGGATTGAGCATGCTAAGCGCTTATATAGCTCGGGGCAACGCGTTGCATACCGGCGAAGCGAAGCGCAGTGATTCACATGCAACTCCTCTTCACCGGTGTCACCCTCATCCACCACGATGACCACTTTGTCCATGCCTCCTCGCAAGCCGGCCTGCCAGTGAACGCCTCCTCCAAACCTTCAGGACCATGCGCAGGCAGTACACGCTATCAAGCGGCCACTCGAAGTTCCAGAGCACGAGCGCTGCAGAGCTCGATGGTGTATGGATCTGGGAGGGGTTCTCATGACTTCGGGCCCAGAGTTCCACACGAGACCGAGACCGGACACCGACGCCGAGTCCGAGAGAGTCCCTGAGACTCCCAGCACCCATATAACTCCCATCTTCCCCCTCCGTGACGCAGCACTCACCAACACCTCCTACCACCAAATCTTACCTGCATCCTACCCCTACCGCTATGTCCCAGATCCCTGCCACACAACGCGCAGTTAGCGTTCACGCTTTTGGTGAACCCACAAAGCTTCGCAACGACCACCCCGTTCCAGACCCATCCAGTCTCGCGCCGAACGAGTGCCTCGTCAAGCTCGAGACGGCAGGCGTGTGCCAGAGCGACCTCCACGCGCGCAACGGTGACTGGCTCATCAAGCCGCCTAGGCTTCCATTCATTGGCGGACACGAGGGCGTCGGGAAGGTGGTCGCTATTGGAAAGGGGGAACTCGTCGAGGAGGGCGGGGTGAAGATGGGAGATCGGGTGGGACTGAAGTGGATTGCGACGGTGTGTAACAAGTGCGAGTTTTGTCGGAAGGGGAATGAATCCTGTGAGTCGTACGTTCTGTTCTGGGCCCTCGTTTGTTGAATAGCCGTTGTACCATGATATAGCATGCCCAAAGCGTCTGGTGAATGGATTCTCAACGGATGGGACATTCTGCGAGTATATCGTAGGTTGACTCCCTGCCTTGGGCCCAACTCATGTTGCTCAACCGATACAGCGTACGTGGACAGACTACGTTACCCCCATTCCGGATGTTCTCTCGAGCGCAGCTGCTACACCTCTGCTCTGTGCTGTAAGCACCCTCCTCTAAATAGCCCCTATCTTATCTGACCATGTATCTGTGCAGGGGTTGACGGTGTACAAGGGCCTCAAACACGCGAACTCTCTACCCGGAGAATGGATCGCCATACCTGGGGCGGGCGGAGGACTCGGTCACATCGGTTCGTCCCATATTCCTGATTTATCCTTGATTTAATGTCGATGTGACATGTCCACCAGCGATCCAGTTGGCAAGGAACATGGGTCTCCGAGTCTTAGCTATCGGTACGCGTCTCATTCCTTCAGATTGCTTCCCTATCCTCAGAGATTAATTTGCTTGACGGTGTAGACTCTGGCGAAGAGAAACACAAGTTATGTATGGACCTGGGTGCCGAGCAGTGGCTCGACTTTGCCCAGACATCCAACATTGTCGCTGATGTACAGCGCTTGACAAATGGCGGGCCGCGCACGGCGCTCGTTGCTGCCGGTGGAGTACGTCCTGTCTTTGTCCACTGATTCTGCATTCGAAGCTGATCAAGTACATGTCATGAACAGGCAAAGCCATATGAACAAGCACTTTTGTACCTCAAGCCGACGGGCACGCTGATTGCAGTTGGGCTGGGCTCAGACGCAGTTATGCAAGCGCCGTTTATGGTGTGGGTTGGGAAGGTAAGTTACCCCGTGATTTAATGATGTAATGTTGGGTACTGATACGGATTTGCTCGCTAGGAACTCAAACTGGTTGGTTCCGCGCTGGGGTACGCATTTTATCGGCCAGCATGTTATTACCTCTTGCTTACACGGCGGTTCAGATCGAGGCAAGATGCGATTGAGGTGCTGGACCTGGCTGCGCAGGGCAAAGTCGTCGCTCACTACACGACGAGGAAGCTTGAGGACGTCGAGAGGTACGGACTAACGTTGAACTCACGCATGATGATGCCAAATTGACGTCCATTGTTTGAAAGCGTTTTCGCAGAGCTCGCACAGGGCAAGGTTACCGGAAGAGTAGTACTCGAGATTTAGGGACTTTTATCTGTTCATTAGTAAGTATGATGCGCTGTCTACTTCTTTCTTGGCCTTCATTTCACGCGTTCAATCGTAGATTTTAGTGCATGTATAAGTAGCGTATCTTGAATCTGGTTGCTCCTGGCGGGATCAGAGTATGTCTCAGTGTGTGAGGCTGAGTCAACATGCGGTCTTCCGGGCATATATAGTCAAATAGTTGATAAAACAGAACATACGTGCCGCCATCTTGAGAATTGGAGTAGTAGCTTACGGAATGTTAATCGTCCAACGACTTACACAAATCCTTTCGACCTGGTTAGACAAAGAGACAACGTGGAGTGTCAGAGTCAAGCGCTCAGCGTGAGAATGCGTGGCTCTCTAGCATCATTTGCAGCCTTCGGAGGCAATACCCATGCTGTGGGATGAGATTCAGGCGTTTGCTTTGCACACTTTCAGGTGGACGTCGGACACTGATCTATTGCAGCGTCTTGCTGGTGCTGAAGAGAAAAAGCGAAAGCGACGGAATCGAGATGGCGACCGGGACACGGATTCGGAGGATGACGAAGAAGCGGAGCCAGTGCCCGACCTGGAGACGATGAATCGATGACGCACAGGCGGGACCTTCGAGAAACGCTATGAGCCAAGGGAAAAGCGCGAACGTGACTGATCAAGTACACATATATTTTGGCATCGTGGCTGACGCAGCATACTCACCAACTTCCAAGTCCTTACTAGATCCTCGATGGAGCTAAGAAAGATCAGGGAAAGACTGCATCAGTCGATGCTTCCGCAGCGGGATAATCCAGCTGTGTAGGATGGACCCTTTCTCGCACACCGCGTAGACGTGGATGATGGGACGTTACTGGAGACGTCCAACGGCTCAATGCGGTTTATTGAACGAATTAGGAGCCCTGTAAGAGCAGAATCAAACGAGGGATGCACTGATACGACGCCTCGTGGTTATCTGTCATCGATATCCCTTACATATAACGCGTTCTGCACGCATGTCTGCTTTATCTCGTCATCATCACAGAACGAAGCACACCACATGCTAACCGGACTTATCCAAACTATGGTGGCGAATGGTAAACTGGAAACTTAGGCATAGGCATGCCTGTGGAACGTTCTGAAGGTCTCAAGGGAAGAAAGAAAGATCGTATTTTAGTCATACGCTGCAAGTCCAACAATATCATACACGGAATGTAATATCAGTCACAACTCAGCCCTACAACGCACACAGCTGCTAGTTCACATATCCTCTATGCACAAGCATGAAAATCCGCAAAGAAAGATATCAACTACCATCATACCAAATTTAGGATTGCGCATGCTTCCATGTCCTCCACTTGCGCCCCCAAACAATGCACGCGATCACCATCATCATCGCGACGCCTATCAGGCCCGCAAAGAGCCCCGAGGCACGGGTGTCACCCATCTTGGTGTACGCACCAGAGAGGTAGAAGGGTGAGGCCTATAGGCAAAGAAATTGGGTTAAGGTGACTGATAAAACACAAGGAAAATAGGGAAGCAAGAATTTTAGGAACGAAAACTCACGAAAGCATACATATGCCTCACAAAGCCGATAAATACCCCTATCTCCGCAGTGCGCTCTTCCCTCACAGCGTCGTCGTGCTCGCTTTGTTCCTCGCCGTCTGTGATGACCAAGACACCAGAGTGGCTCACGCTCTCGACGGTGTACGTGACGCACATCGTCGTCCCGAACTGGGCGCCGAACAGTGCGATCGCTGCGCCGATGTCCTACGTACAGCCGCTAGATCAGCAACATCGAGCAGTAAAATATAGGGAGGCGACAAACAGGCGTGACATTCCACACCCCAGCCCTCGCCTCCTGCAATCGCACGCCCCAAATCATCAGTCCGACGATAGCAAGGATAAACCCGGGTGGAGCGAGAATAAGCCGGTCCTCGGGGTGCCACACTGCCGACTTCACTGTCTCGTTCTGCTCGCTTGATATATTATGTGTAGAAGACTGGGAACGGAGAGTGCGGAGGCGCGAACGAGCGCGCCAGTTGACGAACGCATCGCTGCTCGGGCCAGCAACGAGTTCGCCGAGGGCGGCACCGATGAGCAGCGCGATGAATTGGAGGCCGATTTGACCAGGAGTGAGGCTGAACACGGCGCCAAATACCTGTTGATCCGGATATGTTAGCACGGTTGAACGTCGTGAAGCGAAGACCTTAGCGTACTTGGGGAACGAATATCGTCTATACATCAGTACATGCCAATGACAATTTTAGTCATCAGTGACGTTCAAGAATGAAAACGGATTAGCGCACCATCAGCGCGACCGTGTACATGAGCGTCATGGCATACGCCAAAGTTGTAAGCACAACGCCCGGCCTGCCAAACATCCCGAGCCAGCCGTAGAACTCCCTCGCTCGGAATGGTGTCCGATCATACACTTTGAACCGCGTGTACGCCCGCCAGCTGGAGCGCAAACACACTTCATCTTCCGAGTAGGGTGTCCCGGGCGAGGTGCGAGAAGGAAAGAGCGTCTCGGGTGCGAAGAAGAGATGCAAGAAGAAAATGAGCAGGTTCATACCAGCCAGGAGATATAGAGCCGAGCGCCAGGAATAGTATTGGACGAGATATCCGGACCTACGTTGCATAGTCCGTCACCTCAGTATATAAAACACAGTTGACAAGATAACGCACATTAGAGGACCGATGACAGGCCCAGTCGCGACCATGAGCACCCACACGCCCATTTTCTTGCCCCTCTCATGTGCAAAAGTCGTATCGTGCACGCTCTGCGCACCAATGCTCAGCGGGGGACTGACCACGATTGCCTGGAAAATACGCGTCGTGATGAGGCTGCCCCATCTCTGCGTGAAAGCTCCTGCGAGCGCCAAGCTGGCAGAGAAGAAGGCGGAGACAAGGTAGATCGGGCGCCGTCCTATGCGCGAAGATAAGGGCGAGATGAGGATAGGAGCGATGGCCATGAACAGAATCTGGATTGAGCTGTCGTGAAGCAAGATTGTATCAGCGCTAGTAGCAGGGCAGGTGATGAGGTGTCGACGAACACGAGGTAGGGCGCCTGTGCGAGGGTGATGCCCAAGTCTACCACGAGCTCGTCGAAAGCAGGGATCAGGATGGCTGGATATAAGAACGTCCAGCAGTGCGATGCACCCACAATCCATGTCACGAAACATGTGCAAGCAGTTGCAAGGGCAAAGACAGGCACGAGCAGCGGTCCAAACAGGGTATAAGAGTCAGTAAGCGCCAAGATCCGCCCTCGGAGATAAAGCTAGAAGACGCACCTGCCCCAAGTGGTCCTATCATCGTGTGGAACGCGACGATAGCGAGTAACACATTCTTCCTCCACCTGTCGGCGTCTGTAAGCTCTGTCACTTTGTGCTAAGGCAGCCGAAGCAGAGACATACGCAGGCCAGTTAAGTGGGTCTACTGGCGAGTCGCTTGGCATAGGGATGAGGTCCTACGCGCTTGATCGACATCAGATACACGCTACTGCAGAGGTAATGAACGTACAGTCCGGCCATGTCGCTTGAACATGTCCGCGTACCGCTGGTCCAATTCGTCCGGTGCAGACGCGGTCTGCACACTGACGCTGTGAAAGCCATGCTTCTCGTCCAAGTCGGTTGTGACCGTCGTATGGACGGAGGCGCCCTCCTTGTCTATGGACATAGCGTATCTATCGCTTGTTGAAGAGAGCTACGTCTACAAGACCCTGTAAACAGGTGCGAGGGATTAAAACTGACGTTGGTGAAAGGAAGGAACGGAGTTTTATAATGTATTTTAAGTTGACTGTCCACATGAACAGGGTAATGCTGAAATGAGCTCGACCTCACTCCGAGGGCGACTCGGATCCAAGAACGACATTTGCCGTTTACAAGGTCCGCAGGATGCTGTCTGGAGCGATGGAGTTTCATAACTTTGATGCGTGCTGTGCGCATGACGAAAGCGTATGGCGATTCACGAACAAGCGGAAGAATGCGGATAATGGAGAGACATATCGAGGATACTGAGTCTCGTTCACATTGCACTCGGATTTATATGTTGCATGAACGTGCAGAGGATGCACGTGGTATGTATCGATAAGAATGAGAGTGGCAGATATTTCGAGTTCGAAGGAGGCGGATCGATGAGCCGATTTAGCAGACAGCTTGCTTTCAGCTAAAGTGAGGATCAAACGGCCGAACTAGTCCGAGTTAGAAGCAGTCGTGACGAAGAGGCGACCTCACTAGCCAAAAGTGAACAGAAATGGGTCAACAGCATAACAATAAAGCGGTCCATGATTTGGTGCATGCTTTGATATAGAAGAGAACTTACTTTCGGCTGGAGATGGAGACACCAAGCTAGCCTCCGCCAGTGAAGATATCAAGCGCTGAGCGGTTGAGCATCCCGAGGTCATAAGTGGACAGGTCCAGGTGATTAACAGAGCAGTATGGCGGTCCGGATTCGCGAGCGTCTCAGAGGATCTGTGTGTGAGGTCGAAGCCGCCTGAGCCTCGAGCTCTCCACGGCCATCGATCTGCCTGTCCTATGCCTACATACTGTAGATCGTTCTGCTCGCCCATCTCGTACTCCATACTGAGAGAATCGCCATGTCGTCGAGCAGCCACGAAACAGCACGGATAGTAGGCTCAAGCAATCCCGCCTCCATGTATACTGGAGAAGCAAAGCAAGAACCTCGAAGCAAGTGTGATTCTCGCAGCCTCGGGCTACATCTGGCAAGGCAACCCCAGCGAGTCCCACAGCGCAGCCACCACCCCCTTCCGCCTTCTGATTCGCCTTTCGGGGAGCGCGTTTGCGAGATTGCGTTGCGGAGACGTAGTAAGAGGGCGCGACAGCCGAATAAGTGGACGAGGGTGATATATTTCGCAGGAGATGAAGTCGGTAGGGATGCATTAGGTTGCGCTCTGAATTAGGTTGTGAGGTGTCTCGCCCCATGGTATCAGACGTTAAGCTTTCAAGCTTCAGCTTCGAGCAAAACACCGAGCAGAGTACAAGAAACGGACACTCACATTACACGATCCTCAACCACCCATTTGCCGCCGCACCCTTGCATCATCTACCTCAATCCCAGATCTGTGTCGAAAAGATGCGGCCGAGTGTCTTGAAACAAGCGGTGTTCCTCTTCCTATACCACCCCGCGATGCACCTGTTCGACTGAACACGTTTAGTGCCGTTCAGCGATGAGTACTATTTCAACTTCGTTGGTATGAAGAGCTTTTTTGCACTTTTTCGAGACCCATCTCTAGCGAGGCAGTGCAGTTGTTGATGCCTCGACGTCGAACGAGTCTGAAGGGGAGGGCTAGGTTGAAGCTTCGGGTTAGCCTGTGCCCCGGAAAGTTGCCAGAGAGATGAGTTTAAGCAAAACCCGAGGGGAAACATGGGCGAGTGTGGTTCATTGAAAGACTAGAAGGTCATGGAGAAGGTCGCGATGGAATCTCAAAGATCACTGAGTCCAATTGAAGCTGAAGAATTAGAGAACATCGGCTGCGGGCTCCCGATGCTCGTCAGCGCAATCAACGAGTCAGCGTGGGAAATAGGTCCGGCACAAGCCGTCCGCGTTCCGGCTCCCGGCTGTGGCGCCGAGGCCTTACCGATCCAAGGCTACTCACTCGTTCCCCCATACCATGGTACTGCGTAAGCTGTGAATCGAATCGAAACCATCGTCGCGCCTGAGTGAAGACCCAAGAACCCCAACCAGCAGCATGTTTCCGGCGACTTATACGATATGCCCCGAGCCATCTGTCTTAGCCCTGCTCTGCCGCTGGAGCATTCTTCAGACTCTCCATCATACCAGATATCCGGCGTACCCTCGTGTATTATCCCTCACTTCTCAAGCACTCAATGCGCCGTCTTCTTCCACAAGTCATGAGGGCCTGTAAAAGTCAGCAGCCCCCACTCTCTTGTGAGCCATCTATTGCGAACAAACCGAAGAGCGTCTCGAGCGTCTTGCAGGGTGACCTTCATGCAACAGGTTTGACTGACTGCCAAAGGTTTCATCAGGCGGCAGGTGCGAGGATGCTGGCGGATAATAGTCGAGTGGGAGGTTCGACGGATACATCGTGCGTGCCATTCGCGTTTGACGCTCCTCGTATCGTTAATTCCCGTTGCAGTATATATGGGCAGACAATGTCGCCGGCGCTTTTGATCACGGCTACTATACTGCTTTATGCTGTACGCACTCCATTTCACATTACCTATCCCCCATAACCGTCCGTCGTGGTCTAAGGTCTATCATTAACAGGTGCTTCACAGTTCCAGGTGATACGATAGGGCATCGGGTCGCACCTCGGGCCCTGAAAGAGCTCTATCCAGCCATCACGGAGCACCTTGTGCCTCAGACCTACGGAACTTACGTTGAGATTCTCGCGTTATCTGGCGGTGAGGCTTATGTGTTACGTCGGTTCATGACGGCCTTCGCCCCAGCGTCTTCCCGCTTGTGCATCTGATCCACTGCTTATGAGCTGATTGTCTTTGCCATGAAGGCGAGTGAGCAATTCGCGCCAGTCGGACTCGGGTGTCCTTCGAAACGTGGCACAGCTGCGTCAAGGCCACCACCATCGACCTCGCTGATTTCCAGTGCCTTACCAAGGGTAGTTCCCGTACCGCTTATTGAGTAGTACTTCTTGATTCCATTGGGCTCGAAAATGACTTATCGTCCTTCAGAGCATGCGTAGCTAAACAAGCCAGCGTTCCCGATATTATGTCGTGTGGGATTAGATGCGGTCAGGGTGTCTGCGTCTTTGTGTAGTGATGGGCGCCATTGCTAGTGCCTCCCAATCTCGTGTTCTAAGAACCATCCGCAGAGACCGAGACTCATGCAGCCTATGCATAGATAGCCTCCCCACTTTTCTCTCGGTGATAGCTGACATAGTCACGAATTTCCGTCATAGATAAAGTCGGTCCCTGCCAACTTTATTGACTCGGCGGCGACCAGTGATTAATGTGAGGGAGCTGCAGTCCACGTGTCTATGTCTCGTTTGCCCGAATTCATTCCAGAAGCCACGTCCGCTCGCCAGCCTAGTACGCATGTGTCGGCGCTTGTTATTTACAGCATGTAGTATTGTCCGAGTCGTGCTGTTTCAGTCGTTGATGAATGGATACACATTTGTTCGACTTGACCTCATAAAAGGATTGCATACAGTAGCTACAGCCTAATGGGACATTGCGATAAGTTTGGCGTGGGGATTAAAAGGCGAAACAACAATTTCGACAATTTCAGAATCAAGCGCTGAACGTGAGAAAGTGTGGTGTCACCAGCGCCAGTCGCAGCCTCGAGGCGCCATGCATGCTGTGAGCGGGGGCGCAGGCTTACCAGCAACGACCACCACCGTGAGTGACCTCCATATCTAGCCCACCAAGAGTCGCTCACTCCACGCATTGCCCAAGAGCAGCTACCCCATGTCCGCCTCAGACACATCTTCGGTCTTCGATGGCAGCTCTAGCGCACACAAACCCTTCCAGGGGCATGAGAAAAGAGTACTCTCAGTTGCTTACTCGCCTGATGGCAACTGGATTGCTTCTGGGTCTCAAGATGAGACGATCCGAATCTGGGACTCGAATACCGGCCTGCCAGTCGGTAAACCTTTGAAAGGTCATAAAGGCGACGTCAACTCCATCGCCTTTTCTCCCGATGGAAGGTCTATTGTCAGCGGATCTGACGACAAGACCCTTCGTGTCTGGGACGCCCTGACGCAGGAAGTTGTTCTGGGTCCGCTTGAGGGTCACACACATTATGTTTTGTCTGTGAAATACTCCCCGAACGGACGACTTATTGCTAGCGGATGTCAGGATGGATTCGTCCGGCTATGGACTTCAAACTCGGGTGATTGCACTGGGACTATTAAGCACCCGGATGCAGTCCAAGGGATATCGTTCTCTCCCTGCGGAAAACACATTGCGACTGCTTGTTACGACAAATGGGTACGAGTACGGGACGTGTCTTCACGCGAGCTCTGTATGCAGCCTCTCGCCGGACACAAGTCAGCGGTAACCGTTGTTGCTTATTCCCCAGATGGAACAATCTTGGCAAGTGGTAGTTTGGACTGGACGGTTCGATTGTGGGATCCGAAGACCGGGCAACCGCTCATGGATCCTTTGAGAGGACATAAGCAAGGCGTTGCGGGCCTTTGCTTCTCCCTTGATGGCCGTATCCTGGTCAGCGTGTCGCTAGACAAATCAATATGGGCATGGAATCCACTGACAGGGGATTGTTTATGGAAGCACGTATACGGTGGCGCAATGGATGTATTGTTCATTGCATGTGGTTCATGTCAGCAGATCGCCGTTGGTAGCAAGGATCCCCAAATATCTGTGCGCGATGTCACCACGGGGGCACTTACTCTCCCTAACGTAAGCGAAGTCCCAAGTTTTCACATCGGCACTACATGCTTACCTGCTTCCTTAGATAATCGATCAAAACTTCTCTGGAAATGAGATGTGCGTCTAATCTTTATCATCTCTCAATTCTCTAACCCACAACACTTTCGTCCAGGATGAATCAACAGCACCAGGTAAATGCCTTGGTGTGGTTCCCCGACCATATTCACTTCGCGAGTGCTGGGGAGGGGGGTACAATCAAGATTTGGGACTCGATTACGGGCGAAGACTCGCCAGACGGCTTCTTTCATGGTCGTGTCTCAGATATCTTTGTCATTGACATTTCTCCTGACGGTTCGCTGCTTGTCGGTGGCTCAGAGGATAATATGATGTGCTTATGGAGCACAAACACCCATGAACTCGTTCTCGACCCGATACAGGGACACACTGGCAAAGTCAATAGTGTCAAGTTTACCCCTGATGGTGCTTGCATTGTCAGCGCCAGTAAGGACAAGACTATTCGCGTATGGGATACTCGGACTGGGAAGTCTCTTCGGGTCATCGAGGGGCATGAGGAGTATGTCACCGCGCTTGGGCTATCTCCCGATGGATCAAAGATTGCCAGTGGATCATGGGATGGAACAGTTCGTATCTGGGCCTTTGGAACAGGAGCACTAATAGCGGGACCATTCATAGACAATGACAGGGCTCGGCTGCTTGACGAGGTGCTGTCTATTTGCTTTTCTCCGGATGGGTTGTATATCCTATCTGGAGCTGACAGCAGTGAAGTACGGATATGGAGCATATCCGTCGGACAGCGAACTATCAAGGTAGACCATGCGCCGGGTTCCGTGCGCTGTGTACAATATGCACCGGATGGTCGGACGTTCCTCAGTGCATCGAAATACGGAGGCGTTTGCATTTGGAGCGCCAGAACAGGAGAGCTTATTCACTCTCTGGATCACGACGGCGAGCTTTGTGCAGCTGCATTCTCGCCGGATGGAATGCGGATTGCAAGCGGGACAAACAACGGGTACATCAGGGTATGGGAGGCTGCGAGCGGAAAGCTGCTCTTGGGGAAGGTACGTCATGTTATACTCTGATGAACCTTATTGTAGTTTAGAAATCTTCAGCTTACGGAAGAAAGCGACGATGAAGAGGAAAGCGACGACGAAGAGGACAGTCAAGTAACGCAAGAGGTCAGCACATTCATCCATCCCGCCGGTCTGTAGTTGACAGCAGTGTGGCTTATAGCGAAGAGCTCGTGAGTTGGAGGACGAAATTATGAGCGTGAGTCACTAGTCACTCCCTTCTTGTCCTGAGTGTCTACCAAACATATGGCCAGATGCCCGCTACCATCAGGCGACATGAGCCTGCGCGCGGCGCCGGAAGGCAGCAACGTCCCCCTAGTCAACGGCCTTCTGATCGCCTTCAGACAGCAAATGCTGCATCGAATCGGCCTAGCCGACGCCCTACAATGTTGCTTCGACTGAAGACATTATTCGGGCTAGAAGACAATCAGAGTGCGGAAAGCCGCTCAAGAAACAACCATATCAGGTTGCGGCGCATCGTCACGGTATACACTGCCAAAGCCAAAGAGGTGCGTCTTATCGTTGTGCACTTCGTATATGCGTAGCACTGAGACATTTTCAGCGCCTTGCTGGAGCCGTGGAGCGAAAGAGAAAACGCTGGAACCGAGAGAACAACGAAGAGACAGAACTGGACAGTGACGAGGAAGCGGACAGCAATGCCCCGCCCGCCGACAACCATGCGCAAGCGGGATCATCACGAGAAATCCGAAGCCAAGTTGAGGGCGCAGGGACCAATGATGGTATACGCGTTGTTGACATTGTGGAGGACGTATCTCATAGACCTCCCTAGATACTGGGCAAGGGGAAAAGGCAGTCTGATATGAACGAGAGGGGTGGTACCACATCCCAGAAACCGAGTGGCAGCGCCCAGCCTCTGCCAGAGAACAGCAACCCACGAACCGGAGAGCAGCAGCGAGAACCCAGTATGAACGTGAACGAATCCCAGATGAATCAGGGCGAACGAGGATCACTCGATGCGTCTGCTGCACAATGCGGCTGCGCGGGCTGGATCCTCAACCTCTCTCGAGCTCCGCCGAGACGCGGATGAAGGGACGCTTGCGAACACGCCAAAAGAGATTCTCGAATCGATGATAACCTGACATATATACACATATCAGTTGCGCGTCATAGCTTTGAACATTCCGGGCGCTGCGCGCCGACCTTATTTATATTGTATAAAAACGAGACTTGCGCAAGCCGCTTGAATGGTGAGAAGCGACTTGTCTACCATAGACTTGCTCGACGATGCTGTGAACGCCGTTCCAGGAGAAAGAGCTGACTTAGGTGTGGTTCGCGATGGTTCAGGTACCCGTGCGAGTGAGCGCGGGAGAGAAAGTCGGCACAACCCGTTCCCGAGCACCGATCCGACGCCGAATACTGCTGAGCTTGCGCATGCGCCGCTTCTGGCGCTTCGCTTTGACAGCATTCTTCACTGCTGCATTGTGCGTGTGCCAGGAGCCAGAACATACGTATCTCATTGACCAGCATTGTGAGCGCCCTTCCATCACAACCTCACGGCAGTCTCTCACCTTAAGACCGCTCAAGCTCATTCATAACATGGTTTCCTTACCCACATCTTCAGACTTCAATGACAACTCTAGAGCCTCGAAGCCTTTCAATGGACACACCGCCTCAGTATACTCAGTCGCTTATTCACCAGAAGGGAACCGGATCGCTTCTGGCTCCGCAGATAAGACCATCAGATTCTGGGACTCGGATACCGGTATGCAGGTCGGAAAGCCCCTGGAAGGTCGTGAAGACGCGGTCAGAACCGTAGCATTCTCTCCTGATGGAAAGTACGTAGCTAGCGGGTCATACGACAAGACGCTCCGCATCTGGAACGCGCTGGAACAGAGGGCGGTTTTGGGTCCCCTCGAAGGACACACAGACTGGGTACTCAAGGTAGAGTATTCCCCAGATGGACACCTTCTTGCTAGCGGATCTCGTGATGGACACGTCCGGTTGTGGAAAGCGAACTCGGGAGAGCACATCGGAACTCTCGAGCACCCCAGTGCGGTGCGATACATCTCCTTTTCCCCCTGCAGCAAACGTGTCGCGACTACCTGCAACGATAAGCTGGTGCGAATATGGGAAGTCGCTTCGCGAGAACTCATCCTGCCGCCCCTTGCTGATCACAAATCATCTGTGCAGGTGGTAGTTCATTCCCCTGACGGGACCTTGTTGGCGAGTGGCAGTCGAGACTGGACCATACGATTGTGGGACTCCCAGACCGGTAGACCCCTCATGGCGCCTTTGAAGGGACATAGGCTTGCCATTTCCGATCTGTGCTTCTCCTCGGATAGTCAGATGCTCATCAGCGGGTCAGAAGACCGAATGATACGCTGGTGGAATCCTCTAACGGGAGAATGCGTATGGAGCCCAATATACTGTGGCGCACGAGTGCGCGCCATTTCGTGCTCTACGAGGCAGCATGTGGCCGTTGCGAGTGGGTGGAGCGATCCCCAAGTGTCTGTGCGAGACGTTACGACAGGAATTCTCGTCCTCTCTAAGGTAAGCAGCAGCTGTACACTCACTTTACCGGTTCGATTGACGTTTTCCTTAGGAAACTGACAAACACCCTTCGAAAGGCGAACTGTACGTATCCGGCGATGTTCACATTTGTTATACAACCCACAACTCAAGTTTGCAGAATGTTTACGCCAGGCTTCACCCGAGCGCTAGCATGGTCTCGCGGAACTCAGCTCGCGAGCGTAGGCTACGGTCATACGGTCAAAGTCTGGAACTCGAAGACGGGGGTGGACACTCTCGATGGCTTGTTTCATCACACAGGATTTATTACATCGATCGACATTTCTCCAAACGGCTTGCTACTTGTCAGCGGCTCTGAAGATCGGACAATATGTCTGTGGAACATGGCCAGTAAAGAACCCGTGATGGATCCTATCGAAGGACATACCGGCACCGTCAAGGACGTCAAGTTTACCCTCGATGGAACCCGCATCGTTAGCGCAAGCTACGACAAGACGATACGACTGTGGGACGCACGGACCGGGAAACTGCTTCGGGTATTCGAAGGGCACGAACATCGGGTCAATACAGTCGCATTACCCCCCGATGGCTCCAAGCTTGCCAGTGGATCACACGATCGTACGGTGTGCGTTTGAGACATGCGCACGGGCAGGTCACTGGTGCAACCGTACAAACATGACGACGTCGTGCGGTCTGTTTGCTTTTCGCCCGACGGTTCGTGTATTCTATCCGGCTCTGACAACACTGCACAAGTATGGAGCGTCTCTTCAGGAACATTACGTTTCAAGGTCGCACACACGGACCGGGTCGTCTGTGTGCAGTATGCACCAGACGGGCTGACGTTCCTCAGTGCGTCATTGGATAAGCGTCTCTGTATATGGCAAGCTAGCACGGGAGAGCTACTTCAGTCCCTCCAACACGACTCTTCTGTCACTGTAGCTGCATTCTCGTTATACGGCGCACGAATTGCAAGCGGAACACAGAACGGGTCTATTAGGATATGGGATGCAGCAGACGGAAAACTTCTCATGGGTAAGGTAAGTGTCAAACCCTGTCGACGTTCTACGGCCTTCTGACTGGATCAGGGAGCGGAAGATGATGTCAAAGAGGTCGAAATTCAAGAGGAGCAAAGACGATTTGCGCGAGAGGTCAGTGAGCATCGCTGCCTTATTCATTACTATAACACCAAGTTGATTTGAAGCCGAGCGCTTAGGGCCTTAGTGATAGCTTCATGAACGTGAGTTGCGTCGATCTTTGCCTCGATTACACCCACCAACCACTTTGAAAGCTTCCTGCAACTATTAGAAGGCAAACTCACGGCAATGAACGCCGGCAGACCTTCCATGGCAAGGCATCTTCTCACAACGGACGTACGGCACAAACTAGCTTACATGGATCAAGAAGCAGACACAAAGTGACTTAAGTGCCCAAACGAATGTTTGGGATCAACGGCAAGTTAGAAAGCGGCCGCTCTGGAAGCAACAGAGTCTTCAGGTCACGACCCACGAAGCCAGTATCCACAGCTCGCGAGAAAAAGGTACGTTCGTGTGCCTATTTTAATCCCAGTAAGTACTGAACACGTAGCAGCGTCTTGCCGTCGCTCCTGAGAAGCGAAACGACGAAGCCAGCGACGAAAGTCCAGAATCGGAGAGCGATGAGGAACCACTAGACAACGCTACGCCCGTCCCGGACAGAGTTCAAGAAACGTCCTCGCGCAACATTCCATCAGGTTTATACGATCACCCGACGCACATAGAGCCCACCGATCATGTCTACATGTGCTTCTGTATCCCTACCAGGTTCAAGTATGGTCTTGCTATTGTTCGGAGGGAGTAAGGTGAGCACATGGATGTGCAAAATAAGGAGAGCTTGATAGGAGAACCGACTGATGGTTTTATGGTCCCTGCTGATCTGTTTTCGGTTTTCTATTAACACCCGTAGTCGAATGTGCCTGATGTATTGAGCTTCACATGTAGAAAGTGACCCGAGGCGAGTCTCACGTCGCGAGAAGTACTGGAGCGGGCTGTTAGTTCAGCTGCTATGCCATCGGTTGTCTGAATGCCTGCTCTGAGAGCATGGCTATTGCCTTAGGTAAACCTTTGGAAGTGATGGTAGACTCATGGCGTATATTAGCCCTCGCTGGGGATACGATAAGGAATCGATCATGGTTAGGGTTTGGAAAGCACCGGTCCGGGCCGCACAAATTTCCCGGATGCCTCCGTACCTTCGCCCCAAAACACGTTCCTCCATCCGATTTCTTTCCTTATGATTCCCATCCATGTCCTCTCATGTTCTTAGCGAAGACCAGCTCTATGCCAACGTATCAACCTTGAGCTTGAGCGGTTGTCTCGTTCTAGAGCTGGGCTATGTTCGTTAATGTGAAAACGACCCACGAACTTCCATCCGTCAAGGCCAGGCGCCAAGGCCTCGTGTGCAAGTCGATGGTTTTCGGATCTTTGAAAGCCGATCACTTCAAGAAGTACTTCTTAGTTCTTACTTCAGGCGGTTTTCAACGTGCATCGTCACTTTGGTCGATAATAAAATCCCCTTAAACATTTACCAAAAGTACCTTGGTCTGTCTGTTTCAAATTATGCCGTCCCATCCCTTTGATCGCATCTACCGGGTTCGTGGCGTTGACCCACCTTTTCCAACACTACCTCCTCACCTGCATTCGCGCTTCTATCGTCTCCCCAATCGCGGCGACCTCAGCTTAGCTTGCTGTATCAACATTAGTTCCATGCATCGATCGCCCGGTTGCGCGTTGCTCAGATCCCTTTTGCGCCAACGCTCAATCGCCCTTGGCACGCACACCTGATCGCCTCGTGACTTCCCTTATCAGTATCATACGGCTGCTGGGCGGCCCCTATCCGCGTGTTAGCTCCTCATCTCGTATATAAGACCTCGTCTCAGTGCTCCTGACGTCTCAGAAACGCGCTCCTCTCACCCACAACCCTAGTGCAACCTTCACCAACTATACTTCTCGCTCACTATGTCCTCCAAGCCTGATCAGTGCCCGGCCCTCAAGGGTGGTGAGTTTGTTTCGTTTCAGCCTACTCCCTGACCCCCTCGCATCTGTAATGATCGTCTGACGCCCGACGCTTGGCACGTATAGACATCCAGGTCGCAGCTCAGCTCGGCCAGAAGCTCGGCCACCAGGTGTCGGCTGACCAGATGAAGGAGAGTGAGTACTCGTCTCCACCCATCTGTTGGACTTCACCTCCCCCTATCTCCTCATCCCGCCTCCCGCTGACTTATGATGCTCCGCTTTGCAGTCGCTCGTGGTGAGCGCGGAACGGAGGAGAAGAAGGCGCTTGAGGAGCTCGCCCCCGCTGGCCACCCCAAGGTTTAGGATACGCCCATCATTGCGACCAGATTCCTTCTTTGTACTTTTGCTTATCAAACCATTCATGTATCCTACGCGCGCTCGTGCATTATCATTTCACGAAATCCAACGTCTTCCAAGACATCTACGCTGTACTGCTTCACTCGCGATGCCTCCGCGGCGTCTGGACAGCACTTCGGAGGATAGCGAACCTGCACGCTGGAACGCTTTATATGCATCACGATCTGCTGTGTGCATGGTGACTGTGATAAGACAGTGTGCCGAATGAACGTACGTACAAGGTTGGATTTAGGCAAGTTCAAACGTTCATAGAGTTTCATCTTAGAGGAGCCCGCAAAACGCATGTGGTGGTTTGCTGTAGGCTATTTGAGGAAATGACATGATTAGGTTTGGTTGGTGTAGTGACGGCATTGTGGGCGGTTAACTTACTACCTCGATCACCGTCCTTCCCATTTTACAAACATTGCGCGTGGCCAGCCCCGATATTGTCAAGACTCTCTACCAACGGTGGCATCATGTTCTTCCACACGCCGCCCACGCTAGGTCCGCTCCTCAGACGCAACATGGCGAGCAATTGAAGGTCTAGGCCGTTCCAAGGTCATACCGAAGCTGTACTCCGTGCGGTGTACTCCACCGACGGCAGCCATATCGCAACCTCCTCCTCAGGCATGTCTGTGCGCATACAGAACTCTGAAACAGGACACGAAATTGGGATTCTAAAGGATGTCGATCACATGTTCATACCGATATCATTCTCTCCGGATGGCACGCGAATCGCCGTAGGCTCGCACGGCAAGACAGTTCGCGTCTGGGAGCCGCGGACTGATTCGATCTTGTTGGGTCCCCTCGAAGGTCACTCGGACGTAGTGGTTGACGTGCAGTACTCGCCAGATGGGCAATCCATCGCAAGTGGCGGAGAAGACATTCGATGCTCGCTAATGCGTCAGCGGACAAGAAGTACGCATCTGGGACCTCAACACGTATAAACCGATGACGGATACGCTTAGGTATGGAGGCGAAGTGTGCATCGTCGACTTCTCGCGCGATGGAGTCGTCACGCGCGTTCAGTTTTTTTCTTAAAACGGCAAAACATTCCTCAGTACGTCGTACGATAAACAAGTGAGCATACGGAAGACAGAAACTGGCGAACGTACTTTGTCCATCAAGCATAACAACTAGGTCACTGCCGCCGCTTTCTCCAGATGGGAAACTCATCGCCAGCGGGACGCTTAGTCGTTTCATTATAACATGGGATGCAAAAACTGGCAAGCTGATTTTGGGGAAGGTACGTCGTAACGGTTGTCAAATATTTTTCAAGTTATCTGAGACCATCGCGTTGATGCAGCCAGTAAAAGACAACGAAAGTCCAGATCAAATAGACAGCTCGCCGCTTCAAGAGCATCCGCCGCCTCGCCGCGTAAGTAGATCGAATACCTTATATTACCTTGATGCTACCCTCTCAATTTCACTTTAGCTATCCCTGCTGGAAAGGTTTATGAACGTGAGGTACCCTCGGTTTATGTATCTTAGAAATAAACTCACTGAAATATATAGATGCCTGCCACCGTTAGAAGGCCAGGCGTTGGACACGATTCTATTACTGAAAAATGCACGTGTCAACTCAGCCGATGTACCCACTCGACCGACGTCTTCGCGGGGGAAGAAGTTCTGGAAGACAAAGAGATCGCCCCAACGGACTAACTCGCGTGAATCAGATGCACACTCTCAGGACAGATCTAAACGCGGCATTCTGAGAATCGTATTTCCCGCCAAAGCAAAAGAGGCGTGTACTTACATGAAGCAGAGCAAAAACGCAGTGAGTCATCGGCGGACCTCCTTCTCCACAGCGGTTGGCTGGCATGCTAGAGCGGCCCCGATGGCGAGGAAGAGGAAATACGCAAGTCAGCGATGAGGGTAGTGACAGAGAGTGGGGCCGAGCAAGATGAGGACGATGAATTGCCTTCGGACCATGACCATGGCGATAGTGATGCGCACGAAGTGGGTCAGTTGGATCGAAAAGCGCAGTTTCAGCCATTTGCTGACTCGCATCGTAACAAGGGTGGACCTGTTGCGTCGATCGCAGCAGTGGTTGACGAGGATGGAGGCATAATGGGGCTACAAGCTGAAGGAGATAATTAAAATATGTGCGAATCGTGAACACCATCATGAGAAGGGGTTAACGAGACGCAATAATGGGTGTCGTTGCTGGACGATCTCCGCTCGCAATCCATGAAACGGTCTTCTATTCTTGGGGAATGACTCCATACAATCTTATGATGGGTGCAGACCGGTTCGAAGGAGTAGAGGTGTATTGAGACACAAATGACGATACAGCAATTAGTCTTGAGATACAACAGCCCTGATACAAAGCCATAACGTAAGAAGGTAAAGATCAGATCCAGTACACGCTTACAGTACAGATAGAGGTCATTTCCGAGAATCCAACATCACAGCCTGACTGATCCGCGCGCCGCAGCCTGCTCCTTGCGCCATTGCGTCAACAGCGCCTTCCCATAATCTCCTCCATTCGGCAAACGCGTAACCGTGTGGACATGGCACTTGGCGGGCGAGGTATTGGTGAGAAAAATCCCGCAGTGGAAGTCGAACTCGCAGAACACGACAGGGGACTGGATCCGGAAATAGTACGCGTCGTCGTCGCTTATCCCGCCGATCCACGCAAAGTACGTCTTATTGAGATGAGAAGAGGCGCGGGCGAGAAAAGAGGAGAGCGGGCCTGGCGGGAGGTAGGTGTAGAACGTGCGAATGAGTGAGAGGAGGGCAGTTTGGTTAGTGGCAGGTAGGAGGGAGGCTGGGCAGCCCTCTGAGATAGTGGCTCAGTTTAAGAGCTTGGAGCAAGAAAGTGCATACACGCACCATAGGGTACAACTCGATTATCCTGCCTCGCTCCGCCTACATGCCTCTCGTCGAATGGGTTCCATCGTCCTTCACCGAGCCCGTCAGGTCCAAGAGACCTGCTGATCCACGCCTTCTCTCTGCATTCGCCCGGTAGCGAGCGCATGAACTCCAGCCCGCCGAGCTCTTCGTCCGAGAACAGGCAAAGGCCAGCGTGTGGGCCCGTGTCGATGACATCGGGCTCGGCACCGAGGAAGGTCGGAGAGATGACCATGCGCGCGCTGCATACCAGAATATTGAGAGCGAGATGGTGTCCGAAGAAGGTGAAGCCCCATGGTTCTGTGAGAGACGGCTTCGGTGGGTTGGATGACTGAGGTGAGTGAAAGAGGCGGATGTTGTATGAGTGCTTGTTGAGCACGCGTGGGCCGTCGACGAGGTCACCGAGGAAGCCATTCGTGAGGGTGCATCCGAGCGCTTTATCGTAACCTTCTTTGGATAGCGAGGCGCGAAGGAGAGCGTGTGCTGCCGTTTGGACGACTAGGGTGCATTCATCAAGTCTTATGCCACCTACGGACGCAAGAGGGCGTTCAGAAACACGTTGTAGGAAATCATATGTTGCGACAAATCAGACAAGAAATATGAACAATAGGCTCAAATGCAAGAGTAGGGGGAAGGCTGGGAGAGAGAGGGAGAGAGAGGATACACGACGCGTCGACGTACCTGGATTGACATAAAGTTCTGGATTCGACCACACCCGAAACTCGTCACTCTCCACGTCTCCAGCCCACACATTTGTCCTCTCTTCCTCGCTCAACACCCTCAGCAATTCCTCCGCCGCTTCGGTCATCTCCCGTACTGGCGCTCCTTCGTCTTCCCCATATCGATACACATCCTCGCGTACCCTTCCGTCGCTCGTAAATCCCCGAAATGGTTGCTCGAGATTCTTGCGCTCGAGCCTGTTGACGAGCCACGCGGGCGCCGCGATCTGACGCCTGCTCTCGCACCATGAAAGCGCGTCATGGGTCGCGATACCGGCGATCTTTGGTGCTCCGGAGGGGGAATAAGGGAGCGGAAGGGGATGGTGGCTGCGCTGCTGGGCTTGTCGGGGTCGCCTAACTGGATGTAGCCTGAATCCGCGGGGATCGCGGTCGCTTGTTGCTTTGCTTCTCCGGGATCCCTCAAGCTCGTTGTTTGTGATGCTCCGTTGCTGCGCGAGGACATGACGGCTCGCTCAATATGGGGCGCTTGACGGTGAGGTGAGCGAGCAGAACGGTCTATGTAGGAATAGGACAGGCCGATGACCGTGGAGAGACATATTGTGCTCAAGACTAGCTCACGAATATGGATCCCTTCTCGGACTAGCTCGCGGACCGCTCTATTGCTCTGTTGGTCACCTGGACCTGCTCGCTTACGACCTAGTACTATCACCGTTCTCGCGCTCACGACTGCCTCCGACCGGCTTGGCTTTTTCATCCTCGCTTCAGGTGAAAGCAAGCTGTCTGCCATTGTACACAAGATGTTCATCGCTTCCTAATTAGCACCCAAAGATATGTCTGCCACGTTCTTTCCCATGGACCTACTCACTGCATGCACCCTCTGCGAACATTGCAACGCGATGGCATTGTGTTATCTACTCTTCCCCACGCTCGCGCGCTTTGTACGCCCAACTGCGATCCTAACGAGGCTCAATCTCTCTCTCCATTTTCTGCGTTCTCGCGCTCGTTCTCGAACCCCCACACGTTCTCGAAAAGCGCTCATCACGCATCAAACCTTTTAAAACTTTATTGCTCCAGGTTGCATCCCGCGTACCTTATATGCGGCTAATGAAGCTCTTGTGCCTAGCCCGATCTCACAGGACTCAAGAGCGAGGGCGAGCTCATGTCAACACTACCCTGTTTGTGTGGGGAGATGGCTTCTTCCGACCAGTTTAAAAGCCATTGCAACGCGCCGTTCCCTTCTCTCCCCGGGGCAACCTCCTAGCGCCTTCCTTTTCTTCTCGTCTCCCTCGACTCTCTTTAGCTTCTCCGGAACGTAGTCGTCTTCAACAGACCACAGCTTTAGCATGTCCCTAGACAAGAAACGTGTCTCCGTCAACACGGCGGGCACAGCCGACTCGGACGAGAAAAAAGGTGCTCACCGCGTCAGTGTGCAGACTGCATCTGCGCCGGACGAGGTGGACCAGCAGTACGCGGAGGTATTCAAGCGACATGGTCGGATTGTACGTTTCTTGCATCTGCGACAACGTACCTGGTGCTGATTAACCGCGCAGGACCTCGTCCCCATGCCGGGCGACTCACCTGTAGACCCTCTCAACTGGCCTGCGTACGTCTCTTCTTCACTTTTCTCCGAGAGGAGGTAATTAACCGACGGACGTCGATAGATGGCAGAAGAACGTCCTACTCGCTATCGTCGCTTTCCACGCGATGATAGGACCCCTTGGAGCAGGTGCGTCTTCTAGCTTCATCTCCGTGGACGAATTCTCTCACTGACCAACCCTGTTTAACTCATATGACATCCCCGGTTTGGATCATTGCTCGTGCTCGTGCTCGCATCGGGTAACTTTTTGCATACACTCCATCACCCCGAATCATGGGTGCATCGTACTTCTCGTTGGTACGATATTCAGCCATCGTGATCCCTGCGTTCGAAGAGATCGTTGTAGACTTGGGCATCACCCTTGAACAGGTGCCCTATCTCGTGTCCGTCCACCTTTCTGCGCCCACCCCCTTTCTGACACTAACACCTTCTTGCTTCACTGCAGCTCGATCCAGATCCTCTTCATGGGTGTCGCACCCATCCTCATCTCGCCCTTATCCTCGCGTATCGGTCGTCGCCCAATCTACCTCATCTCCGCTTTTCTCTCCGCCGCGCTCGCGCTCGCAGGCGCGTTCACACAGAGCTGGGGAAGCTTGATCACGACGCGTATTTTGCAGGCTATCGTGATCAGCCCGCCGCTGAGCATCGGCGCGCAGAGCGTGCACGACACGAGTTTCACGCATGAGCGGGGGAAGAAGATGGGCGTGTGGGTGCTCATGGTCGCGTGTGGGCCTATAGTCGGACCTCTGATGTGCGCTCTTTTTGTCTATCCTCTATGACCCGAACGTGAGCTGATGTGATGGACGATGTAGATCGGGCTACCTGGTCCAGTTTCACTCGTGGCGCTCGTCTCTGCTTCTTCTGGCTGGTATGAACCTCTTGATCTTCTTCCTGCACCTCTTCTTTGCGCCCGAGACGCTCTTCTCTTCGCGCACTGCTCCTGGGGCACCATACTCGGAAGACGAGGTTCGCTTGCGCTCTGGCTGGCGCGCGTACACGCAGTTCAGGATCTACGACAGGAAGCCGTTCAAGGCGAGAGAGTTCTACGGTTGGATTGGGATGGTTCTCAGGCCGGGTGTTGTGCTCGCGAGTCTGGCGTACGCGTTGACGTTTACATATACGGACGTGTTGATGGTGCGCTATCCCTGCTCTTCACTTCAGGATTACTGGTGACTAACAAACATCCTCCCGATGCTCTGATACTTAGACGATATTCGTTCCCCAAGTATGCTAAACTTTTGTCACAACGTTTAACCTCGCTAACGCACGCGAACGCACAGCTCTTCGGCGCCGCATTCAACCTTACCCCAGGCGAAATAGGCCTCCAGTTCGTGGCGTTGCTCATCGGCGCCGTTCTCGGCGAGCTCCTCGCCGGCCCAGGCAGCGACGCGTTTGTCAACTGGCGCACTCGATCTCGGCTCCGCGCTCTCCGCTCACCCTCGCCTACGAATGAAGGCTCAGTCGAGCGGGATGAAACAACGGGGTCGACAGCGTGGCACCCTGAGGACAGGCTCGTCCTCGCTCCGCCCGGGTTTATCCTCGCCATCGTTGGACTGATGATCTGGGGTGTGCGATTGCAGGAGGCGAGGGTTGGTGTGTGGAATGTGACTCCTGTGCGTCCTTTCTTCGCTTTTTAGTTGGTGATGCTCACGCAATAATCGGTATGCATAGGACATCGGCGCTGCTATCGCACTGTTCGGCGCCCAGTTCGGGACGACGATGTGCGTCACGTATGCCGTCGAGAGCGTGAGCCTTTCTAGCGTCTCGGGCACACACACCAGCAAAGACGATCATGCGCTGGAAGAGGAGAATACGGCGGACGCAAGTGTGTTTGTGAGCTTTGTCAGGCAGATATATGCTTTTGTAAGTGGCGATTCCCGGATAGTTGCCCGTTTTTACATGCCTTTATTGGGGTCATTCACTGAGACTCTTCCTGTAGATTTCGCCTTTCTACCTCTCTGGTGCCTACACTAAAATGGGCGACACACGCGCCTCAGGCCTCTTTGCGGGCTTGATGGGCGTCGCGATGATGATGGCAATTGCGTGCATCGTCTGGGGGCCCAAGTGGAGGACCTGGAAGCATTGATGAAACAACCATTATATGGTAGTGCCCCTTGCTGCATTCCATGTTTACGCCTAGATGAGGAGTGAGTTATCAGTCAACCTCTTCTTTTGCGGAACGAACGGGTGATTGACGCTATGACAGATTCATTGTATGATAAATTACGACTTGCAGTGTATGATTGGCATACGAGTACATAAACGACTTTCTACAACGATCCTCTTTAATAGCGCTTCAAAGTGATACAAAACATCTGCATATCTCATCGGTGGAGCCTCCGTACGTGAACGGGAGATGCTGGCTTTCAGCCTGTGTAGGCGCTCGCGCGCGTTCGAGGGTTTCTTTTTTTTTAATTCTTGACACACTTCTGCGCAGTTGTGGACCCAAAAGGCTTCTGGGGTGTAGCTTGTGCTACGGCTTCACGAGGAAATGCACCCTTCCCTGGTTCGGTCGTAGGTTCAGAGGTGACGCCCTCGTTCTCTTCTTCGTGGCCTGCCTCAGAGCCGTCGCTGCAGTCGCTGGCAGGATAACTTGAGACCAGGGCTGTGCCTCAGAGTGGCACGAAACGCTAGACATCTCACATAATTTTACGTTATGGCTATGTTTCTAGCAACAGAAACCATAATCGTATAAATACCCACCGTGTAAACCATGGGGATCTATAACTGTCGGTGATAGTAACAAGTACAAGTGCAAGTTGAAGTGAAGCCGAAAAGCATCGCGTCTGCTGTGTAGCGTGAGAGCATCTCGGAAACGACCGGACCGCTCTTCGCGACCCACCCTGGGCCGGAAGAGGACTCTAACTTTTGTCTGTGACTACTCTCCTCTCAACTCTTCAGCCCCGCTGTGCGCCAGACGCTGGAACCCTAACATTTAACATAACTTCACAGCTGGCGAAGGCATGTTGCACATCACCAAAACCTGGGCTGGACGGAGCGGAGGCAAGAAGATAAAGGAAACAAGTCGATGGGTGGGGGCAGAGTGTGTGTACTTGTCGCTTACTTTCTTCTGTTCTGTGTTGACCCATCCACGCTGCAATCTTACGACTTATCCGGCGCACCCAACCACGCAGCTCCGTGCACACTCTGACAATCGGGCCGCCCCTTTCCCCATTCTCTGTCGAGTATCGCATTGACGGGTAGTTGTCTTACATTCTCGCGTATGTGTCACTGAGTTTAGAGCATGGCTCGATGCAAATACCATCCATGATGACGAGGATCACAATATCGCGTTCACCAGCGGCCGTTCCTGGCTTTCTTTGAAGGAGCCAATGCGAGTGCGCACCTCGTCTCTGATACCAAGGTGCTCAACTCGTGTTGTACTTCCCGTACCAACGTAGGCGGTGCATTCTGGAGGTATAATTCGCTCTATGCTCTCGGAATGGAACACTGGCTATGTGTTACGACGAAGCGGCGACCTGACGAGGGTAACGCAAGTGGTGCAGGACGATTGTGGGCACTAGCTGGCGACATAGGTGCGTTATATGCATCTCCGCATTATTGTGCCGCTTCAGCTTCAGATGTCTCACGGCTCGGCAGATATCGAAGGTCTGGTGGTGTACAAACCTTTCCACCGAGCTCATAGCAATACCAATGCCGATCCGCGTTTGACATCCGTTACTATTGGCAAGCACAAATACCCTCGGAATCATAGCGAACCACACCTAAGTCGGCTCTTTCTCCTGCAACGACGTTCGTAGCATCGTCGAGTAAACCCATAGTAGACAAGTCGCTTCTCATCATCGCGGCTCGCGCAAGTCTGGTTTTCATATAATATAAATAAGTTTGGTGCGCAGCGCCCGGAATATCAACGCCGTAACATGCAACTGATGTATATATGTCAGGTTATCATCGATTCGAGAATCTCTTTTGACGTGTTCGCAAACGTCCCCTCATCCGTGCCTTGACGGAGCTCGAGAGAGATTGAGGATCCAACCCGCGCAGCCGCATTGTGCAGCGGACCCATCGAATGATCCTGGCTCGCCCCGGCTCGCCTGAGCTTCGTTCGCGTTCATGTTGGGGACTTGCTGCTGCCCTCTGGTTCGTGTGTTGCTAGTCTCTGGCAGAGGCTGGGCGCTGCCACTTGGCTTCTGGGATACGGTACCGTCTCGCTCGTTTTGATTAGGCTGTATTTGCTCGTTTCCCAAGATCTAGGCGAATTTATGAGTGAGATGTATTCTCTGTGTTGCAAAAATAACGCGCATACCTGATCAATGGCCCCTGCGCCCTCAGCACGGCTCGCAGATTCTCGCGAAGATCCCACCTGTGCGTGATTGTCAACGGGCGGAGCATTGCTGTCCACTTCTTCGTCGCTGTCCGATTCTATCTCTTCGTTGTTCCAGCGTTTCCTTCTTCGCTCCTCAACTCCAACAAGGCGCTGAAATTGTATCGGTGCTACGCAAATACTAAGTGCATGATAAGAAGACGCACCTCTTTGGCTTTGGCACTGTATATTGTGACGACGCGCCGCAACCTGATATGGTTGTTTCTCGAGCGGCTTTCCACTGATTGAGTACCTGCTAGTCCGAATAGTGTCTTCAGTCGAAGCATCACTGTAGGGCGGCGGCTAGGCCGATTCGATGCAACATTTGCTGTCTGAAGGCGATCAGAAGGCCGTTGACTAGGGGGACATTGCTGCCTTCCGGCGCCGCGGACGGGCTCATGTCGCCTGATGGTAGCGGGCATCTGGACATATGGTTGGCAGACACTCAGGACAAGGAGGGAGTGACTCACGCTCAAAATCTCGTCCTCCAACTCATGAGCTCTTCGCTATAAGCCACTGCTGTCAACTACAGATCGGCGGGATGGATGAGTGTCCTGACCTCTTGCTTTACTGGACTGTCCTCTTCGTCGCCGCTTTCCTCTTCATCGTCGCTTTCTTCCATAAGCTGAAGATTTCTAAATTAAAGTAAGGTTCATCAGAGTATAACATGACGTACCTTAAGCTTCCCCAAGAGCAGCTTTCCGCTCGTAGCATCCCATACCCTGATGTACCCACTCTTTGTCCCGCTTGCAATCCGCATTCCATCCGGCGAGATTGCAGCTGCATAAACCTCGTCGTCGTGAGCCAGTGAGTGAATAAGCTGTCCTGTTCTGGCGCTCCAAATGCAAACATTTTTGTCTTTTGATGCGCTGAGGAACGTCCGACCGTCCGGTGCATACTGTACACAGCGTACGGAATCCCTATGTTTGACCTTTATAGTTTTCCGTCTAGTGGATATGTTCCGAATCCGTGCGTTATTGTCGCCAGCTCCAGATAGGATGTTCAATCCATCCGGAGAAAAGCATACAGACAGCACCGAGTCGTCGTGTTTGTATGGTCCTGCTATTAGCGCTCCTGTTTCAAAGCTCCAGATACGAACTGTGTGATCCAGTGACCCACTGGCAATCTTTGATCCATCTGGGGATAGTCCAAGTGCGATGACGTCGCCCTCATGCCCCTCAATCACCCGAGCACATTTCCCAGTCCGAGTATCCCATACGCAAATAGTCGTGTCATTACTAGCGCTGACAATACAGGCACCATCAGGAGTAAACTTGACGCCAGTAACTTTGTCAGTATGTCCCGGTATTGGGCTGAGAACGGATTCATGGGTGCTTGTGCTCCATAAGCATATCGTCTTATCTTTTGAGCCGCTGACAAGCAGCGAACCGTCGGGAGAAATGTCGATGGCACCGATATCTGACATACCATGAAAGAAGCCGTCTGGCGAGTCTTCGCCCGTACTCGAGTTCCAAACTTTGCCTGTACCCAATTCTCCAGCACTCGCGAAGCGTATTTGGTCGGGGAACCACGCCAATGCTTTTACCTCGGGCTCTTGATGCATCCTACATGAACATGGCATGGTTGATAGAACTAGAGATGATAGAGACGAGACGTACATCCCATTCCGTGGGTGCTTTCGATTGATTGACTGAGGAAGCAGGTAAGCCTGTGGTACTGATGTGGAGACTTTGAACTTCGCTTACGTTAGGGAAAGTGAGTGCCCCCGTGGTGACATCACGCACAGAAAGTTGGGGATCCTCGCCACCAATGGCGATCTGCTGACATGGGCCACATGCAATGGACAATATATCAATTGCGCCACCGTATACGCGCTTCCATATACAATCCCCTGTCCGCGAATTCCATGCCCGTATTGATTTGTCGAACGATACGCTGACCAAGATACTGCTATCAGGGGAGAAGCACAAGCCCGTAATGCCTAGCTTATGTCCCCTCAAAGGATCTATGAGTAGTTGACCGGTCTTCGGGTCCCACAATCGAACCGTCCAGTCCCAACTACCACTTGCCAATATATTTCCATCTGGGGAATAAGCAACGGCGAGTGCTGCTGACTTGTGTCCAGCGAGAGGTTGCAGACAGAGCTCACGCGAAGACACGTCCCATACCCGTATCAAATTGTCGCGACAAGCAGTTGCAATGTGTTTTCCACAGGGAGAAAATGTCACTTCTTGGACTTTTCCTGGACGTTGAATGGTTCCAATGCAATCACCCGAGGTTGAGTTCCATAGCCGGACGAACCCATCCTCAGATCCGCTAGCAATAAGTCGACCGTCTGGGGAGTATTTCACAGACCATACGTAATCTGTATGACCCTCCAGTGGACCCAGTACGACCTCCTGCGTCAGAGCGTCCCAGACAAGAAGGGTCCTGTCGTCAGATCCGCTGACAATAGACCTCCCATTGGGAGCAAAGGTGATGGAGCTGACAATGTCGTTATGACCTTCCAAAGGTTTACTGACTGGCAGGCTGGTATTCGAGTCCCAGATTCTGATCGTCTTATCTTCAGAGCCAGAAGCAATCCAGTTTCCGTCAGGCGAATAAGCGACTGAGTGCACTCTGCCCTCGTGCCCCTGGAAGGGTTTGGGTGCGCTAGAGCTGCTATCGAGGTCCGAAGACGTGTCTGGGGCGGACATGGGGTAGCTGCTCTTGGGCGATGCGTGGAGTGAGCAACTCGAAGTGAGCTAGATATGGAGGTCACTCACGGTGGTGGTCGTTGCTGGTAAAGCCTGCGTCCTCGTTCACAGCATACACGGTGCCTCGAGGCTGCGACTGACGCCGGTGGCACCACACTTTCTCACGTTCAGCACTTATTCTAAAATGAACATACTTAACTGTCTTTTCGCCCTTTAATACCCACACCGAAACCGTCGTTGTGTTCCATAAGGCAGTAGCTGCTCTATGTGCTCACCTCATGATACCAAGCAGAACAGCTGTATTCACATTTATCAACGGCTGAAACAACAAGACCCGGATGACACCACATGCTATACTGTACCTTTTCGACCGTAGGCTCGTCCCCTGTCCACCGGGACCGGCGAGCCGAGCTTACAAGGGGTGGACTGTCCACCCCGGCACACATCATGCAGTAGACCCGCGCTCGCGGGCGTCGGTCCACCGGACGGTTGCTACCTGGAGGTACGTCGGGCCACCGGATCATCAGGTGATGGGGCGATGTGCTTCGGGTGACCTGACGGGGTTGAAAAGGGCCATCCGCGACTAATATAATGTGTGCATACAGCTTACAATGTAGTTATCAAAAGTAATAGAGAAGGCGGATGGTGATCCAAGGTTGGTCATCGTGCGGGCGGACGTCCGGTCACTGAGAGTGAGTACGTCCCTCGGGTCAGCTGGTGGACAGTAGATTGGTTGAGTGAGGGAGGGCATCGGGAAAGCTGATGCTGTCAATGCATCCGCCGTGTCCGCGAGGGCGGGGGCATGGAGTCAGCTGGGGTCTGAGCCCTGCTTGGGTGGGATGGGCACCGAGCCGCATGA